TTTATAATATTTTAAAAATATATTATTTAAAAGCTTTTCTTTTTCTTTTTATAATTATATTATTTTAATACTTATATTTTTATTTTTTAACTTATTAAATTTATTTAAAATTTATTATATTCTTTTCTTTATTATTTTAATTATCTTAATAAATACTTTATTTATTTACCTTAAAATAACATCCCTTAATAAATATAATATTTTACTTTTTAATAAAATAAAAAACTATATATATTAAAGCATTAAAATTTAAGCTTAGCTTAAGAAAGAAAATATTATTAGAAATAATCTTAAGAATTTTTTTTAAGGCTTATCTTTAGCTTAAAATAAAAAAGCCCTTATTAATATTAAACTTATATATAAATAAAATCTTATTATATTTATAAAAGATATAAATAATACTTAAAAAGCATAAAATATACTTAAATCTTATTATAAATTCTTTAAATTTATAAACTAATATTTACTTTATAAAGAATTTTTTAATATTAATTTTAATAATTTTAAAATTATAAAACAATATATTAATAAGCTAAAGCTCCTTTTAAAGAATTTAAAGATTAATAATATATTAGGAACAGTGCATTAAAAGGTTGCGCCAGCCTATTTAAACTGGTTTTATTAAGCAATTCTATTCCCTATGGCTTTAAGTGCACAATTCCTAATAATTGGGGCATTACGGATAAAGTAACTTATGTCCATATAAGCTATTATAGGGCCTCCTAGGTACCGCTAATTTAGTGCTGCCGCACCCTATCCATGGGTTGTTATTTATGTTCTCCTATTGGCAATGCTAATACGCTTAAGGCCTGGGCATAACGGGGATTAAACTTGCAACCTTGGCATAAATAGCTATAAGCTAAGCTATTAGCCAAGATAACTAGTTATAGCTACTATTTATTAGGAATAGTGCATTAAAAGGTTGCGCCAGCCTATTTAAATTGGTTTTATTAAGCAATTCTATTCCCTATGGCTTTAGGTGTACAATTCTTAATAATAAGACTTAATAATAATAATATAAATTTAATAATTAATAAATTATATAAGAATATAAAACTAAATTTTTAAGGAGATTTAATAAATTTCCTTAAAAGCAATATATATATAAATAAAGAAGATAAATAAATAATTATAAACTAAAATAAATATATAGATAAAATATTAAAAAGATTTAATATAAAAAAAAGGTTAAGAAAAAGGAAATAATTCCTTAACTTATATTATATACCCTTAATAGAAAATTAAAAAAATATATTAATTAAGCTAATAAAAATATTATAAAATTATATTAATAATAAATAGGGTTTATATTATATGTTAGCTTAAAAATAAGGTTAGATTTAACTTATATTATAAATAAGTTAGCTAAATATATAGCAAACTTAAGATTAAAGTATATAAAAGAATTAAATAAAATATAAGGATATATATATAAATTCTTATATATATTTAAAATATATAATTACTTTAAAAATAATTTATAATTAATAAGCTATATAAATTTAAATTAGGGTAACGATATATTTATTAAAAAGAGCATTTTTAATTACATATTTAGCTTATATAATATTAATAATAATAATAATAATAAAATAAATCCTATAAGCTAAAATTCTTAACTATAAAAAACACTAGCACTTTCCTTTATAAAAGCAAAATATATAGCTTTAAAAAAAGCTATAAAAAAAGCTAAATATTTATATAATTTACTTAAATATTAGCTTTAATCTTAAACCCCTTATTATATATATATATAATAATAAGGCTAAGAAATTAGCTAAAAATACCTTATTTTATAATAAAATTAAATATATAAATATTATATATTATTATATAAGAAAAGTAATAAAAATAATAAAGTAATATTAAAATATATAAATTTTAAGCAAAATTTAGCAAATTAACTTATAAAACTAATAAATAAACTATATTATAAAGAGTTTAAAGAAAAGTATAGTTTAATAAAAAACTAATATAAAAATATTAAGCTAAAAAATAAAGAGATTTTCTACTTATATTATAATGCGCATAAAATAAATTAAAGTATTTACTTTTTAATAACTAGGATTAAGATTTTTTCCTTTACTTATAAAATATATAAATAAATAAAGCAAACTTAATTATATATATATATAATATTACCTTAAATATTAAAGGTTTTCCCTTAAAAGAAATAATTAAAATAATAAAGGTTTTTCCTAAAAAATAAGCATTACTTACACGGCCCATATATACCATATATATACATAATTACAATATACCTATATTGCGTTTATATATGTTTAATTTTATATAGAAAATATATTTTTATAATATATATAGTATAAATAAAATAATATAAAACTTTAATGTATAAAAATGCCGTAATATATTATAGCCATTATAAAATAATTAATAAATTATATATAAAACTATAATTTAATATATAATACCTTAATGGCTATAAGTTTAAATTTAAGTAATAATAAATTTTTAGGTTTTTTGCCTAAATATATAAAAATACTTAATAAGTAAGTTTTTTTCCCTTTTATAAGGTTTTCTTATTATATAATTAAATATTCTTTTTTTATAAACTAAATCCCTTATATATAAAATAAAATAAATAAAAGGGAATTAGTTTAAGGGGGGCTGTTGGAATATTTTAAATATCTAGGCTATTATTAATACGGGATATCCTTTTCCCTATATGTTTGCCATTGTATGGAGGATAATAACTATAAATAGGGGCCTTCCCTCCCGTAGAATAGATGTTAGCTAGCCTAATTGACTAAGTATTTAACGCTATTATTTCAGAGGCTGTATGCTGGGTGTCGCGCCACACCGATAAAAAGGAAAGCCGCGACGGAAACAATAACAGAAGGCATCAATCCAACGTACCAAAAGTGTCTACTTCAATATTTCGACATGGTTCTACGACGGACACGGGAACATCGAAATTGCGACATAGACAAACTTGTAATGTATTGTCGTAGATCGGACAAAGTTCCATTTGATTCAAATGTAACGTGCTCGCCCATGACGTACACAGGTAGCATCATCCCATTGCTCATGTTGCCGAGATATCTGGGATCTCGAGACACAGAAATCATTGATTCTTGCAGGAACATTGGCGTAGATTCGAAGATCGATACAGCATTCGGAGAAGAATACAAGATCCCAAACAAGCTTCAAGGGCCTGAGAGTTTGTGTGACGGTGGCCAAGGAAAAGATAGATATCATTCCATGATTGTGAGATCGTTTTGTACATTGGTGACACAATCAAGGGTTTCCGAAATTGATCCAAGTGGGACTGGGTTGGTCTTGAAGCTGGTTCTACCTCACCGTCAGAGGGCATGCTAATATCCATTCTTCCGGATAAGGTATTAGTTAGATGTATTTCGCACAATGATGGATAGAGTTAGAGGGCAAGTATTGGCGCTTCCATTTGCGGATGACAGCGCATAGATCATATCAGAAAGCAGTAAAGACTTCATGTCAAGGAAAGTGTCACACACGAGATTACGGTGTGCCAGGTCAACCGAAGCATGTGAGCGTTTTGAAGAGGGACAAACTTTAGCTGTTGCAACCCGAGCCCACCACATACGGCTCCAGCCTCGTGGATAAGAGGACCAGGTCCTGCCGGAAAATATTTACCATTTCTCAAGAACTGGATCATATGGCTGTCTGCCAAAGTTGACAGGTGTTCCACATACGGGCCGTATTACAAACCTACTGGACCAGGTTGAATGAATTTCATCCAAGGGATTTGACTTCAACCAATGAGACGCAACAAACAGAAAAGGAGACAGGGCCAGAAACGCGAGGGATGCGAAGTTTGGAGCAATGCGAGATGAGTATGCTTTGCTTCTAATACATCTCACCTATTACCATCTGCTTCGACTCACACATCTCCGCGTGGTTGGTGTCACGCCGGGCACCACTCGAGCTGGCATGCAACAACCAACCTCGTCACTCAGGGCTCGATGGGATGGATGGGCCTGACAATGCATGCATACAACCCTGCGGCATAAGCCGCACGTTGACTTCAGGACCGAGCAGGGCACGCTGTCAGAAGCATAAGGTTTGACAGTTCCTGTCCTCAACACGCATGCAAAGCTAATTACTCTCCTTGCAGCCGAAATAAGCATAACACTAGTAGACTTTACACGATGTTTACAGCATATCCAATTAAGGTAGACCCCTCTGAAGATCGCCTGACACTCTCAAAAGCATAGATACGTAGAAAGAGATACAAGCAGTAGAGACAGAAAAGAAAACTGGGCGGCCCGTGCCTAACTGAACATTATGGAGAATCGTCGCCAGAAGTCAGGACAAATGCAAAGCCACATTCGCATCGGCGTGACCCCTAAAAATCCGTCCCAAGCCCGGAAATCCCAACACTAACGACACGGGTCAAAACTCACCCTTGAGATCAATCCGTCATCGACAGGAACAAGTAATGGATCGACGCCCATAGCGACGGAAGGCGGCGACGAAGGCGGCGGCGGCGGGCGAAAGAAAGCCGCCGTCAGAGTCGGGACGAATCCCAGACCGCTCGCCGTTTCAACCGATCATGTTTGAGTTTCCGCTGCACCAACGATCCCCGGTTCTAGAAGCATTAGCGCACATGTTTCAAGTTGGACCACCGCACTGTCAAATGTTAAGGCCTCACTGTGGCAAGCCGAACAAGGACTCTCTACACTCGCCCCATCGCCTCACTGAGCAGTTGTATGGGTTTCCCGAACTCGGTTTTCGAGATCTGAGTAATTGATGATTCTGGTTCTATTGACTGGTCTCGTACTGTGCTGATGAGGCAACGAGTACCGCTCGTGCCGCTGTCGTAGAGCCTCCTTCTTTCTCATCCTGTAACTGTATGGCCAGTTATATACAAGGGATGAAATGGTATGATATGATTGCAGCGAAAAACTAAGAAATAACCTCAACGCTCAGTATGAACAAGCCCCACAATGATGCGCTCATCTTCTGACAACACATTCCGCACCTTCCCTGTCCTCCACTGTTTACTGGTGCTCAGCCAGGCCGAGGGAGTTGTTCCCGCCGTTGAAGGCGACGAACTGGGACTTGAAGAAAATGTCACCGTAGATGCCGAGGTTGCCTTGGGAGGCCTGGACACCACCGAAGCAAGCTATTGATTCCTTGTTAGCTTTTATCCGGAGGTGTAAAAATGCTTTAGGAAGACTACTTACTGTTACCTTGGACCTTGGCGAAGTTGATGTCAGATCCCTTGACACGAGCCATGAAGTTGTCACCGACTGACATCATCAGATCCGGCAGCTGGGCGTCGCATGGCACGGTCACACCTCCGACTTGAGCATCGTTGACAGCACCCTGAACTTGGGAGTAGTAACCCTGGACAACAGTGGGGTTGGTGATGATCAGGGTGGTACCGGTGTCGGCGATAGCCTGGAAGCCGGGCTGACCCATTGTTGGCGCACCAGTACCGACTGCGAACATCTGGGACGGGAACTGCCAGAAGCCCTGGGTGGTGTTGACTGGGACCCAGGTCATGGTACCGTTGAACTTGGTAGCATCGACGCGGCCGAACTCGTAGGCACCCACGGCAGCCTTGCGAAGGTCAGCGGTGAAGACCGGCTCCGCGAGCGTGGGCATGACATTGTCGAAGAAGGTCTTCTGCTGCTGGGGCTTGACAGTGTTGAGCTTGCTGAAGGCCAGGCCGACAAGACCGTTGTTGTTGGCATCCTCGGTGAAGGACTGGGAGACAGCGGTTGCCATCTCAATGGCCTGGTCGGTCACGGTGGCACCACCGATGTTGACGGTGTCAGTTCCAACGTTGCCTGCCGCTCCAGAGCCGTCACCATAGCTGATGGAGAAGGAAGCACCCTGGACCATCTTCAAACTCGTGGACTTTGTTGGGTCGTACAGGGTGTGACCGGTGGTGGAAGCGGCGGGGAGCTGGGTGTTGAAGAGCCACAGGTCGGACGAGCCCGAGTCGAAGTCAAGGTTCAGCGTCTGTCCACCTATGTTGACCGGTGACAGGTACTCGACATCGCCCTGTTCGGGGGTGGCTGTCACAAGACCCACACCAGCAGTTCCGTTCGCAGCGTTGGAGGTAGCGTTGGCGGCATTACCGTTGACCATGGGCGCAAGCTTGGCTGGGGCCGGGCCAGCGCTGACGGCGGCGCTGTTGGTGAGCTTGTCCTCGATAGCGGTGGTTGCCGAGCCTTGGTTGCGGATCGAGTCCATCAGTGCTGGCGGGATGTTCATGCGGTATTTCCTCAGCGACTTGAGCAACTGTTTTGGTCCATTGTGCCCCTTAAAGTTGGGGTTTGCTACACGCTCGACCTTGAACACTCCACGCTTCTGGATCTTGGGAGACGGCGCGGCGGCGACCAGGGCGGCGAGGAGGCCAAGGAAGAGAAAGGCTCTGATGAATGACTGCATCTTGCCGTCTGTTGTGAGGGAGAGGAATAAAATTAAAAAAAGCCACACCAGGTGGATAGATAGAAATAAACGCAGGGGAGGAGGGGATGAGACAGCTCAAACCCAAGTACTTCCTACTCCTACTCGATACCTCGAAGAAAGAGTGTGTAACGGACTTGGCAAAGAAAGGATGTGAGGAAGGGTGCGAGGGAAAAGAAGAAGGAATATCGGAGTAGATAAACCGGTCGAGCTCTGCTGACGAGGGAGGAGAAAGGCACAGTAGTCCTGAGAAGGACGAACCTTAAGAAGGGTTGAAAGAATAGGAGCTCAGACCCGTGGCATGGTCCAGGTTGTTCTGGCGATTACGGGAAACGGCAGTGAGGCCATGTCAGGAACAGACACCCTGGAAACAGGAGGTTACGTACCCGCTGGCCCCCCTTGGCACACAGGTAAGCATCGACAAGCATCATTGGCGAAAGCTCAGCCTGCGTGTGGCAGCGTACCAAACGCGCACAGTTGCAATTCGAGGCCGATCCAAGACGGCGTCTGTGGCATGCCGGTGGAGAAGCAGTGAGGCAGACCCCAGCAAGCTCCGGGGGAACCCATGCGTGTGGATCACGGTGGTGCGGCGATCCAGGAGCCGCATCTGCAGGGATTGACTGGAGCCTCACGCATTGTTCTGCAACATTTGGGTCGTCAAAGTCAACGTCCAGCTGCGGCTTTCCCCAATCGGGCCGCCAGTGGCTTGTTTGAGAAGGTTTCTGTAGCTCGTACCGCACCTTTGTCACGCACGATTCAGCGGCCTAGGGCCAGCGGCAAGGACGGCAGGCTCTGCACTGGAGCCGACGACTTGCAGTCCTGCCTCCTGTGTCATGTGAAATGAGGCCGGCGCAAAAGATCAACGACAGGTCTTCTAAAGCCTGTCGAAAGCAGGCAGGCTGTGTTTGCCGGCCCTTGCAGAGAGGAGCTTGGTGCCTGACTAGAGGGCAGTGCTAAGGCCGGCCTGCGAGGGGCCTGCGAGGGGCCTGTCGACCGGGCTTCTACGCGGGTAGATGATGACATCTGATCAGGCAGCCTGGCAACACCCCCAATATCGCCAGTGATGGGCTTGGGGTTGCTTGATGAGAACAAGACTTTCGAGGCCCGGCTTGGGGCTGATCCCGTTTCGCGTACCGAGTTCAAACGTTGACAGCGTAGGAAGATTTGTCGACATCAGAAGAATGATCGGTTGACTGCGGCTACCTAGGATGCCAGCACTGGACAAACTTTCATGCGAATTATTGGCGGTTGGACGAGGCCGTCCTCGGGAGCCAGATAACCGGCCCCAGACAGGTTGGATTCCCCGAATAGACCTGTATGTCTCCCTGATCCATGGGCTCTGGATGGGACGAGCACGGCACTGACGGGTCGAGGACGAGATTGACAAATTGTTGTACGACTCCTTGGGTGTCGGAAACCGAGAGACTGGATGAAGATGAGGCTGGCACCATCAGTCAACCTGCCACTTTTCAGCTGCACAGCCCACCGGGAGTCTACATTCCCAGTCGTGGAGGCCATTAGTTTCGTTTGCCATATTTCTTCGGATCGTTCGTAGCCAATTCTGAGTTGGGCCTTGCCTTAAGATCTTGGCTCTTGGCTCTTGGCGGAATAGCGGCTCAGGACTCGTTCAGTGGCCGTTTCAGGGGCGTAGTAGTACCATTCCCTGGTCAGGATGTGCCGATCTGCCTAGGGCGGCGAGGCTTGTCTGCTGGTGCCGTGGCGCATGGATGGGTGATCACCAGTGATCTGCCAAATGATCCTCCCGAGTTCTAGGCAAATGGTAACTCACACCCGGACGCCACACACCGAGCCAGTCGCGATGGCTTAGAGGTACATTCAGATGAAGTAGAAACGGAGCAGTGTTCCGGGAGCTGCCTTGGCCCTTTCTCAGGACACGAACACGGAATCGCATCGCAATGTGCATTAATTGACTGTTGACTGCTGTAACCTCATAGTGACCATCAGAGGCGGCGGAGAGGCGAGCCCATGAGCGACGGAGGCAGCAGCAAAGAAGTGGGTCTTAGCAGGACGAGAATACGACTTGGAGACGACGACAAGAGAGAATACTCGCGTGGCAGGCCCTGGGCACCTTGGTAAGCAGGCTGGCACCCATTCTGGTCGCGTGCACCCGGCTGGTGACGATCGTGGGTGGCGGATGATCTGAGGGCAGGTTGCTGCAGAGTCCGGGCTCGAAACATGTACTGGGGTTGGAGGCGCGATTGGAAATCGGTGCGAGCGAGAGGCAGATAGATGCTTGGTTGCGGTTGGATGGCTTGTTCTGTGGAGGATGGTTTGGGGGTGGTTTCAGGATCTTCGGACGCTGAGGGGTTGTTTCGACGCTGACCCACTCGTTCGACAAAGACGCCGAGCCGGTCGAACACAGTCGTCATACGCAATAGCCAGTCGCCAGTCGCACCTTGTCCCAATGGGGCTGAAGAGAGCCAGAAGAGGGCTCAACCTTCCAGAATTGAGATGCAATAGCTCCACGCATGCTGTACTGTTGTTTTGTTTTGCTCTGGGTTGAAGAGAAGCACGCAGCAATGGAAATGGAGACCAAGACAGAAAAGCAGCAAGCGAATGCTTGTCTTGGTCGCCAAGCGCCGCAAGGCCTGGGCGAGAGCTTCTTTCCTGTCAGCACTTGGCAGCTACGATTTACCCACGTGAAGATCGTTTTCGCTGTTTCCCCAGGAGGCAGCGTGATCCACAGCGCGCATCGCAGGTCGCAGGAGAAGGAGGGAAGCTGCGAGTCATGGAGATCGGTTCAGTGCCAAGGCGCTACAGCACCCCAGACAGGTGGGCAACAACCTTGGAAGGTGCGGATCGAGCCGCCAGCTTCGAATGAGAGGCTGGGGCAGCAAAAGTTACCTGCTCTCCTGCAGTACCTCGGTACCCTGGGGAACAGGGGCAGGATCTAACCTTACTGCAGAGCTCACACTTGACACCGCCAGATAGATTGGGCTCCATCTACCTCGTACCGTTCGCCGAGGTCGATGAGACGGGCCAGAGAGGCTGACGGGCATTGAGGCACGGGTCAGAAATTAGAGTGGGCACCCCCTGGCAGGTCAACCGCCCAGGCACTCAAACAGGTCTATCACCACCATCGAAAGACCGATCGTTCGGGATGAACAATACCTAGGTACAAAGGCATCTAATTCCGAACTATAAGCAATGCATGCACTGCATTGTTACCAGTGTGCTTTGTCTCCTAGGTGCAATCACAAAGAGAACAGCTTAATTGTTAGATCTTCAATCAATTGAGCGCATGTAAAACAGTAAATGAAACTATTTAACTTGCATTGCCGTCTTCATCTTAGCCAAATTGACACCAGTACAGCTCCGTAAAACACACAGCAATCTGCTAAGTCCAAACTGCACACCTAGTAGTATCCAGTAGCGACAGCAAGGGAAAGAATGTCCACGGAGCAGCCGCGGGAAACCCAGGATGTTGAGGCGTCCGATCCAGTCGGGCCTGCACAGCCTGGACAAGTTGACGAGAACAGCGAACCATCGCTGGCCATAGGGCACGACGTCTTTCGAAACCGGCAGCGTCTACTCGAGAGAAGGCGTCTGACCAACATCGTGCTCGGAGCTCTCGCAGTCTGCTTACTTGTCTCAACCGTTACACTAGCTATTCTGTATGGTAAGCTCCTGCGACATAGTCACAATCTGGTGGAACCCGTCGTCGCGACGACCACCGTGACGGTGCACCACACCTCACAACGCACAACCACCTACTCGCTCCCCACACCCACCACAACTACCAGCACTAGCAGTGCAGTTGCGACCAATTTACTACCACAGATAGAGGTCACCACGGTCACCGCCAGCACGACGAACATTGCCATTTCCCCCGCCACGCCACAGCCAACCCAGTGCTGGCCTGGATCCGTCTGGGGCGGCGCCGACCTTAGGAACGTCAACGAAGGGTACGCGGTGCTCATGGGCGACGCGCTGAACCGGTCCGGACTCGGTCGGAAGGAACTTGTCACTGACTACGACCTTGTGGCCCTGCGGAGCATCTTCCTCTGTGGCCAGGCCATGGAACCGGGTGAGTTGCTGCTTCTTGACGTTTGCAAGGCTGCTTACGTCTCCCAGGGGGACACGACACGTTGTGATAAGAGTGGGAGCCAGTTACATAGTAGGTAAGTCAGCTAAGTATGGAGGCGGGTGTGCTTTTTCACGCATTGGGAAGGCTCAAGTGAGATTGTTTCCAAAGGAGCCTATAGTTCCAAATGTAGTCTGGAAAGTTGACACGGTCATATTACAATTAATCATAAATTAAATCAATCTGTTCTCAGGTGAGGGGTTCCTGTGAAATTAATTGATCGAGGATTTACGGCCTAGATGATATTGTCTGCTCTGTGTTGCGAATCACACTGCAATAATATCAAAGAAAGAAAAATATGGACTAAATTGAGTACGGATCAAAAAAGCCACTGTACCTACTGTTGCAGACATGGCAGTCTCTGGCCAATTATCTGCAATAAAAATTTCAAATTTGATTTCTCGATTTGTCTTCTTGTCCCTTAAGGACCGAAATGTACGGTGATTTGGTGCTTGTGGGTAACAAGGCCACGTACATGCCCTTGACAGGTCTTCTCACCGTCATGCAAGTCTTAGATTACGCATGCCACAGTAGTGCTTGGTTCTTCATCTAACCTCCTGGTCAAATGAGTTGTTGACGAAGCTTTAAGTGGATGCAAAAGTGGTTGCAGAAGGAAAGGCTTCTTTCTGGCAATGGACATGGTATGATGTCAGCGAACCCCCTTCCCCCGGCCCACATGATGTTTTTGGCTATCTGGCAGATCCATATCATAGTCGATTCAAAAGCTTGGTACTCCGACAGTGGGTCCTTCCTCGTCTTGGGATCTTGAAACTCCCCACCCTGCCCCGATCCCAGCTCCAAGACGCTTGCCTGCAGGCAATGGATGATACAGTTTGTGGGCCAGAAAGATTAGCCATCAGCCTCATCAGACGGGCTCGTTCGTATCACTCTCCCATGGCCAGCCAAAAATACCATCAAGTTGCCAGGTTGAAGCCAGAAAGGGGGTACACAATCGAACCACCGCCTTTCTCCCCGACCTAGGCGGCCTACCATCCCAGTACACAGTCTGGACAAGTCTACGCCTTGTGTCTAATCCACAGCACCGTTGCTGATCTGAGCCAACAACAAAGACAGGGCAGTTCTGGCACGGATCTTAATGCATTTCCATGTTTTCTTTCTCGGCTATGGCAGGACGGGCCAGGCTCATATCCTGAGGCAACAAAGAGAGCGCCTGCATGCGCGCTCCTTCAGTGTTGTGGGCCACGCAAGCTGAGACGACAAGGGCCAACTTTGACACTCGCTACCCTCCTCACGCCTACTGTTCACTACGTACAAGACTCATTGGCCCACCGATGGGGAAAAGACCTGCGCACCCATGGTTTCTTCCCCGAATAAAGCGGAGTAAAATCCACTGGATGGAGATGAAAAAAGCTTCAATTCCGGGTCAAGGAAGTGGGCACCTCAATGCGGTGTTGTTGTTAGGGTGCCTAGAGTGCCTGCCCGCCTGGTGGGATCGTGCAGCTCGGAACTGTGTGCATTGCAATACGATCAACATCCGCAGCCTTTCATCTCAAATCCTATGGGCTTGTTCAGTGCAGGCGAGCCAACCTTTCTTTGACGAACCAGTGTTTGCCTTGGCATCCAAAGGGCGCATGAAGGGCGACCCCTTCGTCTGGCTCGAGCCGGACAAGCAGCAAACCTCAGATGAAAGGCCGCATTGCTGTCCTCCGTTCGCCTCCCTTTGCACACCAAGCGAAGGACACTTGTGCTGAGCCCTGTCGACTGAGATGGATGGCTGGCTTGGTTCGGGCATCATTGTGAGGGAGTCAAAGATGGCCAGCAGGACAGAGATGATGGCTTCCCATCGTACAAGGGGTCGAGCGCGGTTTTAAGGCCGGAACCGCTCGCGCCCATGATGCAGAATGCAAATGCGGATGAAGAATCATCGAGCTCCATCAGCCGGGACAGCAACAGCCGAGGCAGTATCTCTTCTGGTCCTGTTCTCCTTGGGTGATAGTTCCCTGGTCAAGGTCAGGTACGGCTAGGCAAGGCACAGAGAGGGAGGTACGGTACGGTACGGTACGGTGGTTCCAGACTGGTCACGTGCGAGCTCGGCTCAAGCTCTCTTCCGTTTCAGCCGGGCAGCTCCACTTTGCCGTATCATTGTCATTGGGTTGGGCTCCGTCCGGCCAAGGCCCCCTCCCGCCCAGCCCAAATCAGCTCTCCTCAACCAACGGTCACCCCCATCACCCACCCACCACTCGTCCCGAGAACCCCAGCTGCCGTCGTCTTCACACGGAGCGACTGCCGGTGCCACAAAACGGTACACCCCTCCGACCCATCGTGATCCGATATCAAGTCACGTATTGGCTTTATTCTCCGGATCAGGGTCTCTTTTCCCCTGCCCCTTGGTCTTTTGATCATTTGCCACCATCGCCCTCGTCCTCGCGGTGGTCTGGCCCGGCCGAGTTCCCTTCGGTCGCCTCAAGGACACCGCTCTTGGCCAGTCGAGTCGCGGGCCCCGCTAGGCGCAACAGCCTGCTTGCCCGACTCGCCCAGCTTGCCCGGCTCTCGATTACCGACCGCGTGTCCGCAACGACACTGGCGGCAGCGTCGGCAGCAACGGCAGCATAAGCGGCAGCACCAGCCCGCTTGCTGACCTAGCCATCCCTCGACCGCATCCCCGAGTACACGGCTCACTGCCCTCAGCGACAATGTCCGACGGCGAGGACTATGGCTCCCCTGAAGCCATCCAGCCCAATGGCGCCAGCAATGGACGCCAACACACGCCCTCCCACCGCAAGGGCCCACGCTTCAGCTGGACCCCGGCGTACGAGGCCACCTTCTTCCGGTCGCTTTGCGAGAGCGTCAAGATGGGCCTCAAGGACAACCATAGCTTCAAGCAGGAGGCATGGGACCGCGCCGTGCAGGCCCTCGCCGAGCGACACGCTGCCTATCCGAACAAAGGGCATCTCATCAACAAGAGCGACAATGCGCGCAAGAAGTTCCGCCTGTGGAGGGGCCTGAGGGAGGACCCGGATTTCCTATACAATCCTAATGCGAGGACGGTGACTGCAAGCGAGGAGGCCTGGAGGGCGCACATCGAGGTGAGTCGACGCTCCTCATATTACTCCTATCTGCATGCGACAAAGCATGGTGGTGTGGACTCGGCAAGGATACAAACGAGATTGGGCCCGAGGGGCCTTCATAAGCTCGCTGCAGCTACCCGTCATTGAACCCGTTCTTTCCATCGGGGTCGAAGACGGGCTTGCTTGGGGTTACTGATGGGAGAGGGGATTACATCTAGTCCATTGCGAGACAGGCGCTGACGATATCTGCACGACTACAGAGAGAGCCCCTTTCGAAATCATTGCGCAACCGTCCGTTCGAGCATGAAGAGTACATGGAGATCCTCTTCCCAGACGTTGTAGGGTCCGGAGGAGCACCGAAGCGAATTACGAAGCCGCGGCGCAAGGGAACAGACTCGATGATCGAGGGAGACGAGATTGACGACACCCCCGGAACCAACGTCCTGAATCTCCTGGGCGCGGACACCTCCTTGTTTCAATCTACGCCCATCCAAACACCGATCCAGCCGCCAACAGTGCCATCCAACGGCACCGTACGACCGACCTCAACCACACTGCCGGCGCGCACCTCGATCGCCTCTTCGAGTGCGCTGACCCCTCCGGACGAGGTGCCTGTCGAGCCCGCCCAGAGTGGAAACACGCGTAAGCGCTATCTTGGATCCAACAACGGCGCCGGTCCGTCCAATACTGGCGAGAAGCGCCGCCGCACCGCCAACAACAATTATATCGACCTGACTCACTCGGCACAGCTGTCCAACTCGGACAACCCGTTCCAGCTTGGCAGCAACGGCGCTGCCCCGACCACCAACGGCCACGTCAACAACACTAATAATAACGGCGCCAGCAGTAGCAGCAGTAATAACAACAACAACCAACAGCTCGCCCAGCAAAATCTCCACAATGCGACCACCGCGACGACGACGAACGGCGTCGGGGGCGGCGGCAGCAGCGGCAGTAACAACCCAGGCGCCACGAACCGCACACAGCACTTCCAGGACGCGATGATCGTCATCGCCGAGCAGATCCGCGCGCAGCGGCTCGTCCCCGCGCAGCCGGCGGCGCCCAACTGGCCGCAGCAGGCGATGGAGGTGTTCTTCCGGGACTTTGGCGACGAGGAGATGGACCTGCAGATCAAGATCGGCGAGAAGGTGCTGTGCGACAACAACAAGGCCATGATGTTCTGCATGATGCCCGAGGACCTGCGCCGGCACTGGGTCAAGCGGCTGCGCGAGCTGCACAACCTCAACGGGGGCTCCTCGAGGGGCGACATCAACGTGCCGGGCCCCGGTGGCGGTCCCGTGCCCGGTGGTGGCGGCGGGGGCATGATGGCTGTCGTGGGCGGGCCCGGGATGCAGATGGGTGGCCCCATGGGGAACCAGAACCCCATGATGCGGAACGGCAGTCAGATCGGCTGAGGGTTGTTCCCCACTTTCGAACGACTGAAACAACAGCAGCAACTTACATCTATGGGCTCTGGGAATTGTTTTCAACGGGAGTTTAGCTTGGCTGGGTTTGGGGGTTTCTTTTTGCTTTTCTCGGGGGGGACGGGTTCTGCGCAACAGGAGAAAAACGGCACGGCAGGTGGGCGGCGGGCGGCGGGCGTTTTCTGTTCTCATTCACATGTGGCCTGCCATGTTTTTGCGTTGTGTTGCTTTTCGAATCAAGTCCTCAAGGGACGGCTTGGGTGTTTTCAAAGGCGCGTTGGTGGAGGCACAACTGCTGCTGCTGCTGCCCCTTTACCTTTTCGTACGGCTGATGATCAAAGTACACAATCACCACCAACCACTCAGAAATGGTCGGCCATCTGTATCCCGACAACGCATCTAGCGCTTCGGTGGTTTTCTGAATCAAAAAGAGTAGTCTGCCGATGGAACATACATTTAATGATTACACTCATTGCCTACTATCAACATCAGGGAGGCACATCTGCGCTAGTCATCATATTGCTGGCTGATAAGGTCATTCCATTGAACACCTGCTACGGACGTATCTGACAAGAATACACAATTCATGGACAGCCAAACATCATCAAAAAAGCTCGCAAGAAAAGTGGTGATTCGACCCTATGACTTGGGTGCTGCTGGTATCGTGTGGAGTGTCTTGAATGGAAAATGGCGTCTTCCCCAGCCGTGTCTGGGCAATGCAGCACATTTCGTACTAAAAAAAAGAGCAAGGAAATAAGAGGAAAAGACTCGAGAACCCCTCGCGTCAATTCCAAGGGTCAAATAGCTCTCGTGTCCATCCGTCTGCGTCATATCGTCACGCGTGCCCAACATGATTCGACCCTGTGTGTAAGGAAAGGAGAACAGCGCAGGAGTTCGACCTTTTTACGAGCTCTTCGATCCGCGAGCCTTGGTGAAGTATCTGCAGCAGGTCAGCATACCATTCTTAACAGGTCGGGACGGACAGAAGAGCACGAAACGTGTGGGGACCATAGACAACAGGGGAGGGGAAAACCTACCGGGCAAACACGCCCTCGACAACACCAACAACGCCAACAATGCCCGCCCCGATACCAGCAGTCTTCCAGCTAAGCTGCCCGCGCTCATGCAGGCCGAGGGCCTTGTACCCCAGCGCAGCGCTCAGGCCAACGACGACAGCGACGTTCGCAGCAGCAAGGCCGTTCGCCTGGCCGTCGGAGAGGGCAGAGATGCGCGACAGCAGCCAGTTATCGGCGCGGGCGGCCCTCTTCTTGGCGGCCTCCTTCTTCTGGCGGGCCTTGTCGCGGGCGGACTGCTCCTCGCGCTCGCGCCCGATGCGCGCCTGCTGCGTGTCGGTCTGGACCGACTGCTCCATGAAGTCGGAGGGGACGGTGCGCACGGACTGCGAGTCGACGTCCACGAGGCTGCTCGTCGAGGTGGTCACGGACTCGTTGGGGATGATCTGCGGGGGCTGGGGGGCGGCGGCCTGTGGGTGGTTAGTTTAAGGTTCTCATGCTGGCATGTGCGAGAGCTATATAGAGTACTGGTAGGTCTGTGGTAGGGACGTAGGGACATTGCGACTGGTTGAGCTTGGCCGCTGTTGCCCAGTATCTCGGCAGAGATGTTTTGGTGGTGAGGGGAGATGGGAAGGAGGGGAGAAGATTTGCCAAGGAGATGCAACATACCTCCTCAGGAGACTGCTTGGGGCCAGAGGCGGCGACATCGGCATAGGAAGACACTGTTGACCTTGGTCAGTGGCTTAACTCTCGAGCAGGAGACCGGGGAAAGGCCATGAAGGGATCGTGGCCGTACTCTTGATTGCTTGTGACGACAACAACACTGGGTGGTAAAAGTGGTGTTTCAAGATGGGGTGATCTTCAGGAACGCGGCGGAGTGGCTGAAAGCTGTCGAATGGCTTGCGATTGTTGTTGGCTGTGAGGGAGGAGATGCAGAGGGACAAGGTGGGATGATGTGTGTGTGTGTGTGCTTCTGCAGAGAGAAGACCCTGGGACATGTGATGTTGAGGGAGAAACCGGGTTCATGATGTGCTAGTGACTCTTCCCAGTGACGATAGAGCTTGGGGTGTGCCCCCCTGTCAGTCTACCTAGGTATGACGTATGCGGCTGGAGCTCCGGGAAAGGCCTCCACTAGCGATTTTCGAAAATGGGCTCGCGTATGTTCGTTCTCGACTCTATGTAGGCCTCCCGCTTGCTGGAGACTTCTGGATGAAGAAGTGCCTCCACCGATCCACCCTCCGGCAGGGGATCCCCGGCACGATCATGTCTCTAACTCGGCATCCACTACAGTAGCAGGTTCTGGTGTGCTGTGCGGTGCTACGCCATCACCATCATGGCGTCCTTGATGCAAGTTCCAGTTGAGCTCTTAGGACTGATCTGCTCTGACCTCGGCACTGGCGATATCCTCAGCCTTTGCAGGTCATGCAAGAGCCTCTACTCTGCCGCCCATCCGCTTCTTTTCCGCCATATTACCATAGCATGGGACAGGTCGGCAAGACCAGACGAACCGCCCAATTTCACCTCCCTCCTCCTTTTCATCCTGAAATACCCTTCCTATGCCAGGTATATCAAGACGGTGAACATCCCCAGGGTCAAGTACGGCGCCTGCCATGACTATGCATGGCGCCTGTCCCGCAAGGGCACCCCGCCACCATTATCGAATCCCGAGGAGACTGCATTGGTCAGAGATGTGATCGAGGAGCTCTATCTACCAGAACTAGACTACGAAGAGTGGTACATTTCCGTGGCCGAGGAACCTAATCTGGGAGCTACCATCACACTCATACTGGCCCTCTGTACTCACCTTGAGAGCCTCACCGTCGACGTCCATTTCCTCCCGCCCAGCAACTTCTGGTTTCCTGACATGATCAAGAGTGCAGTATCATTGCCAAAGGGAGCAACCCGCCTGTCGAGATTCCAAAAGCTGACCCGCCTCACCGTGTCGAGTCTCAACATCCCTGATCATGACCTCCCAACAGAGACCTTCCTCCTCTGCTTCTACCTTCCCAGTGTCACCACCCTCTGTTTCGCGGATGCCCTAAATGACCCGGAAAGAGAGCCGTGGGATCCCACTTCTGCCAGCCACCGCGGCCCCGTCTGGCCCCTCGCACGCCCTCCGCTCGCTGCCAGCCTCACCACGCTACATCTCAACGACACCAGGGCCCGTCCAGGCGCCGTGGAGTTCCTGCTGAGACACACGCCCAACCTTCAGTCGCTGGTCTACGTTTGCAGCCTACCATCGTCGAGCTCGCCGCTGGACCTAGTTGCCCTGCGGCAGGGTTTGGAACACGTCCGCGACACCCTCACGCACCTCTCGATCAGGTTCGACATCTTCGCCGACGAGGGCCTCGACCCTAGGAACCTGGCGGCGGTGCTACGGGGCAGCCTCGGGCCTCTCGGCTCCATGACCGCCCTGGAAGATATCAACGTCCCCCTGGCGTTGCTGTTGGGCCAGGTCACGCCGCAGACCGCGGCCCCGCTTGCCGATGTCTTGCCCTCGAGGCTGAAGCGCCTGACCATCAACGACGACCTCTGGAACTATGATGCGTTTAACACCTGGGAGCCCGAGCATGTCGGGTCGCTGCTCACGGCCTTCTTCGCCGGTCCCTGCAAGACCGCCACCCCGCGGCTCGAGGATTTCGTGCTGGACATGTGGGAGAACAGTTGGGTGTCGTACGAGTGCTGGGACGACGAGGATAAAAAGGAAGCCCTCCAGGAGCTGACCGAGAGCCAAGGGATCAGGTGCGAGATATCGCGATAGTAGGATGATCAGCGGGTCGACCATGACTTCTCGGCCTGGCCTGATACCGTGGGAGCAGCCGGCTCGCACCAGGGACTCGGGTTGGAAGAGGCCGGGCCTCTCCTGGTCTTGAGAATCCGCACATGGCGCATAGAGGAAGCATACCAAGCACGTGTCTTGTTCATACGGCATCGGAAGAGTACCGACCTGGTACATAATGTATAAAGTCTAAGAATCTAGTTGCAAAATATTTTGATACATCTGCAATATTGCCACTTATCGGTCTGATGGAAGTCTTTACCCGGAAAACACGTTTGTGCACGGAGTTGAGCGGAAGATGATCGGGGCTGTCAGTAAACCTCGACGAGCGCAAGAGCGTGAGAAATGGAGACACATATTTCGACTGAGATGAGAAGATCCGATAGTCGACCGCTGTCTCAGTTTGATAGTATACACAGCCCAGATATGCCGGGATATACACGGGTACCGGCAAGTCTGGTACGTCTAGATCCCCCCAGTGCGTCCAGAAAATGCAACATATTACACAGCCCATTCCACCCTGGCAGCCATTGAAGGATGTATGAACTTCTCTACTTTGACTGCGTGTTGTTGGCCCCCGTCGCGTCGAAAGCCTTCTCCGGCACGCCGCGCACCTCACTGATGGGTCCCGCCGCAGCGTCCGCGTCACTCTTCTTGTCGGTCTTAGCAACAGACGATGACGAAGGGGCAGAGACAGGCGACTTGCTGTCGCCGGGCGCCTCATGGTGCGACGGCTCCGTCCTGGTCGCAGCCGCGGGGGCGGTGGGCTTCTCGGCGGTGTCGGCCGGGGTCGCCGCCATGTTCCGTTCCGTCTTTGGCGGGGCGTCCGCGGGCGGGGTGGGCGTGTCGAGGGCGAGCTGCTCGGCCTCGTGCTCGGCGGCCTCCTCGTCTGCTATCTCGGCGCCGTAGACGTCCGGGTACTTGCGGAAGCAGTCCTGCATGTGCCTATTGGATTTTACAATTAGCTCCTTGCCTGGCCCAGGTCGTACTGTTGCTGCGACCGGAGTCAAATGCCCGTGACGTACTGGAACTTGTCAACGCATTCTATGCCCTTGGGCTCCTGGTCCGAGTACACGAAGCAGCTGAAGGCGGCCTTGAACTCCTCCCCGCAGGGCCCGTGGGCCATGCCGCCCAGGCAGGGGCAGTCGAAGTTGATCTCGCCCGTCTCCGGGTTGAAGGCGCCCTGCTGGCCGGCCTCCTCCTCGAGCTGCTCCGGAGTCTTCTCGGCCTCCTCGGGCGAGCCGGCGGCGGCGGCGGTCTTGTCGGTGGGTGGTGGTGGTGTCTGCTGTGGTGTCGCGCTGTTCGCTGCCTCGGCCTGCTTGGTGGCTTTCGCTTCCCTGGCCTTCAGCTTCGCGTCTAGTTGTTTTCGCTTCTCCTCGACGATCGCGTCCACGGTCTGGAGGTCTGACTCGGCGAATTGGGGTGGTTCATTGGATAGCCGAGCTGCGACGGGCGTCAGTGACCGCGAGGCCCGGATGCGACAGGGCGCATGAGGAGGGAGGAAGAGGTGTCACATACAAGGCAGCTCGTCTGCGAACATGGGGCTTGTGTTGTACCAGTACAGGGCGCCTACTGCCAGGCCCCATCTTGCCGCCGTGCCCTTCCATGTGTACTTCTTGTCTGCGGGGGCTGTGCTTGCGAATCTTCGGCCGGCGGAGGCGATCGTGGAGGGCTGTCGCAACGCCCGAGGCGTCGACCGTACTGCTGCGCGGAACATTGTAGAGGTCGTGGTGAGATCAGGGACGAGAGGATAGGTGGCGCTAAGAGGAGGAGGGTGAGAAGTAGCGCGCGACAAAGTGGTGGCAGATCAGAGCTGCAGAGGTTGAAGTTGAAGAGTCGCCGTCAATGAATTGGTAATCCGCGCCGGGAGCTCAACGGCCCAAAAATTCTGGGAGATCGACAGTACGCGCAGTTACGTACCTGGCAGGGATCCGGGGAGGTCCGCCCGTCCGCCCGCAAACCCTGATTGGTCAACTGAGGCTCCCCTCCATCCCGAACCCAACCGCGGCAGTGACTGCAGTTATACCTTGGTTCAGTCGGCCCTTGAACTCACTCTAGTACGCCTTCACATCCGCAATATCCAACTTCGTCTCCCACCACAGTGGCTACCCATGGTATTAGACGGTCTTATCTTCAGATGAATACTCCTCGGATCTAAGAACAATGTCGAACCCGTGAAATGAACGCTATTATGGATTCTACTAATAGCTTGTAGCCCGGTGAGCGTAGCTCGATAATAATAAAATGCCCGAGTCTTCTAGCTGAAATATGGCGGCTTATCTTCTTCGTTGGTGAATTTGACGTATACCGAAGCTTTTGGAGTACCTAGGACTATCCTACTATGGCCAGTATCTGTCGTTCTTGTACCTTGTTTCGTGACCTGGTCTGTCCTAGGCTCTACTGTAATTTTGAATCCTATGTCTTTACCGACGAGTGGTATCTTTTTAGTGTGGCTAAACTCGTAGGGACGATCTGTATAAATCTTCACCTGGTCTCTCTGGTCTGGCACGTAAAGATCTAGGGAGTCTGCGATATGTTTCTAGAGCCGTGAATGACGGCGACTGACGACCCTGATTATCCTATGGCGTTGGTTCTGATTAATAAGGCGGTCGAGCTAGGTATGGAATTCAAATACTATGAGGTCTATACAAATAGGTACGGTGGGAATGTAGGATTCGATCTCGTCGTACTTCTGTTGGCCTAATTTCCTATGATGGACTTACTTAATCTCGCCTGGTTTGATACTTATATAATAGCTCGTATGCCAGAGCCGCACGGCGGCTGGCCTTGGACACAATCGCGTAAGTAACGTCTCATATAACTTTGCCTTCGTGCTGTCCCAGGTCCGTGAAACTGAGGCCTTTTCTTACCCCTGTCATCTTTAAGGCATGAGCAATTAATGAAGTTTGCAGTTAGAAACATGCACTTGAGGCCTTGCAGCACCGCCGACCCCACCAAATTTCGGCAGCTGTCTTCTGCTTCTCCCCGCTACTCGCTGAGTCGCGTTATGCCGCTACTATGTCGTGCAAGAAAGCTGGAAAGGGTTTTGTTCTTCGGCAGCTCTGGTCCATATCTGGCCTTGCCGGTCGAGAACTTGCTGGAGGTGAACCTCATCAACTGTCACTTCGTCGAGTCCGAGCTTCGCAATCCCCTCCAGCACTGCAGACGTCTTCGGAAATGCGTCTGCGCCGGCGGGGCCAAGGCGTGCGAGGTTATCGAGGCCCTCGAGCCAGCCCACAGCAGCCTCGAGGTCCTAGGTATGGACCTCCGCCGTTGGGCTGGTCCTCGCGGTCTGAGGATCCCGTCCCTGGAACAGTTCGTTGCCCTCAAGGTCTTGTATATTGACCTGATTTGCGTCTGGGACTGGCGGTCGGGGAACAACACGGATTCCCCGCCCAGCCCAGACATGCTGTTCACCACTTTGTTGCCCGAGTCGATCGAGGAGGTTGCACTGTTCGGCATGGGCTCCAATGCTGCAGCCTATGGGTTCGAGGTGGAAGCACATGTCAAAAGGCTGGCCTCGGACAGAAAAGAGAAGGGCAGGTTTCAGCAGCTGAAACAGTTGCGTGGTCAAGGGTTCTGGCCCTTTGGGTACGACGTGGATCCGAGGTCGGTAGCAAATGATGATATTGTACCCCGTATCACCGCATTGAATGACGCAAAGACCGTATTGGGGGACAATGGAGTTGAAGTCATCTTCGATGCAGAAGGGGACTCGGATCTGGAATTTGGCAACATCATATCATTTTGCTAGATGGGCCGACTACACTCATGGAATTCACAAGCCCAAAAAATAAACAGGAACAACAGACAAGGCCTCACATTGCTCATCAGAGCACTGGGATATGTTACCCTTGGTTGGGCTCTACTTAGAAGGAAGCGCGGCCATGCAGTCTCATTCGAGGGACCGTACATGGGGACAACCACCGCCCATATTGCTCAAATCCTTGGCCGGCATGGACGGTTATGATGATTTGAACAAGAGATGCCCTTCAAATCAAGGCGACTCGAGCCAGTATATGAGCAAGTCATTCTCAGTACACTGAATTGCATACGTCAGAGTTGTGTCCACAGTCTGGGTACCGAAATCACACGTCGTTTCCTGGAAGAACTTTAGATGGCGCCTAGCTCCCCATCCTAGGGACCTGAGTTTAGCAATGCTGAAACTTGTCTACATTGCTTTCCACCGAGGTACCTAAGTATACTATTGATCTCAATATCCTAGGATTCGACTTCGTGGGCCCTATAGAGAGCCTCCCAATCACTGGCTGATTTCCCGACAGAAATCAGAAGGTGGCGTGACAAAGATCTTGGTAAATTGTGTCACACTGAACCTTCCGTTCGAAGGTGTCACCCTCCCCCCCCCCCAACAGAAAAACAAACGAATAGTCAACATGGACCCCGGGTCTCTGCCAGCGTACTCGCACGCGAAGGATTGCTGAAGCAAGCAGTATCCCATAAGATCACTAATGTTATCAATTAGGGCCGAGGCAACGTCAAGACACCCTTCTAACCCCCCACCGCGCGGCGGCTTCCCCCTGCCTTATCCTGCACCACCACCACCACCTCCTCCTCCCTCTCCGTTCCGAGGACGTGTCCCCTCCCTCCCATCAGACGGTGATATAAGATTCATGAGAGCCCGCACCCTTTCGTCTTGGAGACGTTGTCGCCGCATAGGCGACGGCGTGAAGAGGTCCGAGTCGGGCGGGTCGGGCGGCTGGATAAGCACGTCGCCGTGGGCGGCAGGATGGTCGCCGGGCTCGACCCTGCGGCCCATCTCCTCATCCATGCCCCGATTGCGGGGCGACCCGGGCGCTTCGAGCCGCATGAACCCGTTCCTCTCGTATGCTCTTGCTATGGCCAGGATCTGTGTTGTGTAGTTCATTCGACCCCTGCCGCTCGGATCGTTCCAAGTCATGTCGTACGGCGGCCTGAGCGCCCCGGGCACAAGGAGAACGGACAGTGGGCGGTCGAGGTTGTATGCTTCCCACGTGGACTGTTAGCTCTGCCAGCAGCGGTCTGTGACATATCACTCTCCGAACTTTGGGTCTGGGTTTAACTTACGCTCCGGTAGTGTGCCGCCAGTCATCAATCTGAAAAACAACTCAAAACCCTGGTCGATGATGCGCTGACCCGTCAACTGGGACACGGGTGTGGTTAGATGATCGGACTAATATGGGCTGGAGATGGCTGGGGATCGACGGTGAGATGCGGAGTGTGAATCAAACGGGCGGGCACGAACTTCCTTAGTTATCCAAATCAAAGGTATGTAGAGAAGGTCAGCGTTGCCACCGAGCATCGCCCAAGGTGCGGCAAAGTGTTCTCGGACTGGCTCCCACGGGAGCAGATGTTCATTCCGGTCCCGCGGTCGGTCGGGGGATGGGCTGAAGACTTGGAGGAAAAAGCTCTTCATCTCAGCCATGTCACCACGCGATGTGGAATCGTCGTCCAGGAGCATGTACTCCCAATCATCTGTCGTCCGTTCCACGTGCCAGGAGTTAATGATGCCGATGAACTCCTCCTGCTGCCCATGCCGCGTCAGGAACATCTCCCCGTAGTACCCCATCCGGCCCGCGTAAGTCACATCCGTGTGGACCTGCAGCGACATGCGCAGGGTAGCCCTTTCCCCTGACCGGTGGAGCACGATGTCCGACGTGCCTCGTGCCTCGGCGATGACTACGCAGTTGGAATCTCTTCGCTCATCTGTTCTGCCGCGCGTCGTGGGCATGTCACTATCTGCACGCACGTAAGGGCCATGCAGGGGCCGGGCGGGCAGCGACGCAGGGTTGACGCCGACGGGGTCCTGCGGACCACCCCGGCACCCGGGCGGGCAGTAGCAGCCCTTGAAATCATTCCTGACCCTCCGGAGCTTGTCCTTCATCCGCCGTTCGCGAAGGAAGAGGGCCCACCTGTCAGTGCCCCCTGGAGCGGCGGCCATGGTCAGACGAAACTGGAGTATCCGTGCACGAGTCCTTACAGGTGGAAGGAGTCAATGAAATGATTTGGTGCGGTTAACAGTTTGCGCTTGCAAGCACAGCGAATCGGACTGTGACCAAGGGATCGATTTTCAACGAAATAAGCTGCTTCGTCCTCTCTGCGACCAGTGGTATGTTAAAAGTTTTGTTGTGGTCCTTCGATATTGCGACAGTGTACTGTACCAAGATATGACGGCTCGTGGGCCCATTTGGATGAATGGATCAAATTTACCAAAGAATCTTCATGTCCTGAGTAGAAAAAGTTGCTAGATCAGTTGGTTGCACACAATGCCGCCGCATGCGGCATCAACATGAACAAAGCATAGCAGCAGCAGCAACCATACCCGCTCAGCAAGCTAAAGGTAAAATAATACGATTCATGAAAGAAACAAAGTAATGGACTGCTAAACAAGTCTCCTAGGCAACCCATGAAATGTCATGAAAGAGCCACCAATTAAATAGCACTCTACGCCGCGGCGCCATAGCGATAGGAAGCACTAAAAGGTCAGAAATGTTCAAAACGCTCTGATCGGTACATTGCAGTATTGCACTTCACGCGTGCTTTTTTATGTAGCTCGAGAGTAACGGAAAGTGAAAACTCGGGAAGTTTGTCAACTGAAGCTATAAGCACGCAAATGTATTAAAGCTGAGAGACTCATGCTCTTCCCATGGCTCCAAAGTTAAACCCGAATTATGGAGTATTCTCCCCAATGTACTCCGGTCTGGGTTCCTTCATGTAGTCATCTGGCAACTCGTCTGGAACTGGCTCCTATTCGTGCACGGTGGTGTTAGCCATGGGCTCACCGACTATTGCATACCGATTTTGACTTTTGAAGTCAGCAGCGTTCTTACCTGGTGTTCAACGGCCCATTTGCTGATATCATCAAAGTTCTTGCACTTGTGCTTGGTGTTGAAATCCGGGAAGGCGGTGGGGCTGTCCTGGTCGAACCAGACTTGACCGAGAACCCCGGTGTCGGTGTTGCACATCAACGTCTGGCGGATGGTATCCAAGCAATGCGCTGCAACAAACTTTCAGTATGGTGGCTATGTTCTCGGTGATAGGGAACATACAGATGTGTTTCTCGACAATCACATCGTCGTTCACGAATGCACCCGTGCCCATCTCCTTATAGTAGTCATAATTGAAGTACAAGCCTTGGCGAACGAGGTTCTGTCGGAATATTAGCCTCCTAAATTTGATACGCCTTTTTGTTCCCACGAAAACGGGTACATTCTTACCAAACAGTGCAAGTGATGCATGCCTTCCACATTTACGAAGAAGCCACCACCGTACTTGTCCGCCCGCTGGACATGAGCATCGGTCAGCCCACTCTTGAGTCCTTGCTCTCTGGAAATGATGCCAGCTCGAGCTGTGCGAAGACATGTGTTAGCCATTCCTGCGAAGTGAGGATGCTGGGTGGTATATCGTACAATTGACACCGAGTGCGTCCCAGGCGTCATCAACCGCAGGAGATCCCCTCTGTCTGTAGATAGTCTCCTCCAGGAACGAGCCGTTGTAGTGGACAACGTCGTATTTAATGCCCACTTCCTTGAGCAGGGGAGCTGTCATGTCTGTGTTAGAACCATCTGTCCGAAAAAATATGTCATTCTTCGAAGACTGGACTCACAGTACTGTGTCGTGTAGGAGGAACAGACCGCGTCAAGGTTCCGCTTGCCGTAGTAGAAGCCAAAACAGCCGCTGGCGATGTTGCACGCTAATGCCAAGAGAACCGCAACGACGGTGCACTTCCACGATGCCGCGCGAGACCTGGAACAGTCTTTAGGAGGCACAAAGTCGTCGACATCGGCCTCGGAGCAGTTGCTGTGTCTGCGCTTCGTCAGGGGCTGCGACTCAGTTGGATAGTCCTCATGCATCACGGGCTCGTATTCTCGACTCTTCCGATCCATGGTGAAGATTGCGAAGACGGTGAAAGTGAAGTGAGGAGGTGTGAGGGGGGATTGCGGTTGACCGGTTTTCCGATGGTATCAAGGGAGGGCCGATTCTGACCGACGCCGAATGGGGGTCAGTCAGATGGCTCCCACGGCCAGCCTCTTGAGTAAGAGAAATACCAATTAATGAATAACGGGGACGACACTGCCGAGCCCTGCCGAGCGAGGCTGCATTCGGACATCGAAAGTTTGGTTGATACGGTCAGATGCTCTAATCGATACGAGAAGACATTCCATCCCGCGCAGGTCGAAAGCTTCGCTCTCTTCAGCCGCAGACGCCAAGACTGGGGTATCAGTCGTGGTGGAACAAAGGGATGAGCAGCTGCGATTGCATCATGTCTTGTGGCTAGCGAGCTTTGACCAATGGTGAGCTCGGTGTCTCATGAGCTTGACAAGCTCTTAGAGCATGCTGTTAGACTCTTTCTGACCATGGGGCACGGCCCTTGTACGGTGATGTGCATGTGCTATCATGGTGAGATCGGCCCGCTTTCGGGACCTTGACAATGCCCGTGTTTTGTGCACTGTTTATCCATTAGATGCACTGATAATGATGTGCACGTATCTTTCTTGAAACGGCGGTATTAGGGTTTGTGTCCTGGAACCTCCTGACACGTGAAACGTCTGACAGCGAGAATTTCTCAACTGGCAGTGCGAGCACATGGCCGTTCTTCGAATAACAATACGAGGTCATGACAGAACGCTGCCGTTTTGAACAAATCAAAAAGCAGCAGCGCACAATTATGACCTTAGCTAGGCTACCAAACTTTGAGTAATGGCCATTATGTTGGCCAATTGGGTCACTGGAGAACGAGTTGGTGGTTGCAGAACTACTGCTGGCGCTGGTCGATATTCAAAGCCAGCCATGCTGCAACCTTTCGGAACTGGCCATCTCTCATGGTATGGCTTGGCTGGCGTTTTCACGTTCGTGACAGCTATGGCTCACCAATACCCGGAAAGGTGTGAGAAGTCAAGCTAGGGGACTGAAGATGCCAATTACTAATAGATTGGACTATAAAGGGCCCTAGGCAAGGAACGATTGGCAGTTGGGGGGACGTAGATAGCGCAGAATCTAGCTTTTTGGCCGACGACGGGCAAACGCCTCAAACATAAAGACAATCTGACTGGACTGACAAAAGACCTAGTAAATAAGGTTGCCATACTAAGCTATAGACTATGTCAGAGCTAGGCTTGATGTAAGTGTCGTTAAGCTTAGTATGACAGCTTGGCCTACCTATATTCTGACATTTCGTACTGGCACTGAGCTCTATTCAGCTCTGACCTCTCGCTAGAAGAAAGAACATCTCATACACCAGAAGCAAGCTATGGGCTCCCACTGAGCAAGCTGAGGAAATTGTATCATTCACGTACCTAATGAGGCCTTACTGTCATCCCGAAGAGGGTTCTCCCCATGTGAGATCGTACCTTACCTAGGTAGGGGTTCAGCTCCAAGCAGACAAAGAACCTGGCAACCATCGCTACATGACGCGATGACCGAGACCGGGGCACGCCCCATACGATGTCCAAGCATCCAGCTCGGTGCCGACTCGTGATTTGCAAGACGCGGAGAACTGGTCATTCTCCCGGTAGCTGGATGGTTGGGAGCAATAAGTTATCTGTGGGCCCTGAGCTCTATATAAGACGTCACTTGTGCCCACCTATCCAGATCTCGAGTTCAGAAGACCATCAACCGATCCCCTACCCTAGAACAACCAACAGCCAAGAAGCAAGCACTTCGTCACCATGAAGCCTTCCACTCTACTCCTCTCCATCCTGCCTCTGGCAATTGCGGCCCCGCTCGCGGAGCCCGAGCCCGTCGCCGACATCGAAGCTCGTCAAAAGTACAGCTCGTACGGTGACAAGAACGGTGGCTACGGAACCTAGTGAGTTATTTGTCTTTCTCTCTCCCTCACATGTTCGAATGCTCTGACGACAACGCACCACTCTCTACTCCCTGGCGTCACATCCCCCTTTCTTAGAGAGCTTGCCTACTAATACACGAGTCCGTATAGCAACAACTACGGGGGCCCTCCTCCTCCTCCTCCCCCCCGCCCCCCCTCCACCACCAAAGCCTGTTCCTCCTCCTCCTCCACCACCCCCACCTCCACCTCCTCCCAAGGTTGTCCTGCCGCCGCCTCCTCCCCCGCCTCCCCCGCCGCCACCGCCCAAGGCTGGTTACGGCTCATACGGCGACAAGAACGGAGGCTACGGCAAATACGGCAGCTACGGCGCCTACAAGAAGGACTTGACCGATGTCCTCGCCGCAGCCGCCTACTACCTGGAGTGATCTCGCAGGTGTTCCACCTGAGATTGAGATACACCCCAGTGCGACCAAGAGCCTCCTCGCAGTAACCATGTGGCCGATGGGCGGGACAAAGCAAGGACATCAGGGTGTGGGGTGCCTACCATTCATAGCTGGATGTCTCATCATTCCGGCACCAATTTTAATTAATCCGAGATGGTTTGGGTAATTGGAACAGATTCCCATAGTGGTCACTTGAGACACCAAAGCTCAACAGAGAAGCAACTCTATAAATATATTCATTCATTTAGTCATTTCTGCTCCTGGAAGATCTTATGTAATCGACGATCGTAGATTTAAATGTTGAGTCTTACGTGCCACGTATTATAAACTTTCGTAATGTTGGCCGTCTTAGTAGCGAGGCATGGGGCATTTTCCAGATGACAAGGCAGAGATTTATCACGAGACACCACAAACCTTTTCCAATACTTTTAATTCCATGGTCCCGATGTATGAAAGAAAGGAAACCAATCCTGCGCTGATCTCTTCTAAGGGCGATTTAGACCGATGAGACGCCGGACCTGAAAGGAAAAGAAATCCCAGAGCCTCTCGTACGGGTCGACATCCATGATGCGAACACCATCTACCACAGCTCCATTTCTCTTAGAGTAAAATTCTTGGATAACCCGGTTGTCCTCATCGGAGAAATCCAGGTAACTTGAGTGCACCCCCGTGCGCATGATAGTGTTGCAGTCCCCGTCGCGTGTGCCCGGCCACAGGAAGGACCGCTCACGCAACTCGACGGCGCTGGACCCGGCGTTGTAGTGGCGCAGGCCTAGGATATGTGCGAACTCGTGGCCGAAGATCTTGGGTATGTGGGCGCGGTTGTGGTCAAACACCCAGCGGACGGACGCGAGAGACGAGACGCCCAGCTGCCAGCGATCGGGCTGGTCTCCGGGGAAGAAGCCCTGGGCGAGAGTGACGAAGGGGAGGTTGGGGTCGTAGCAGATGTTGAAGACTTTGTAGCGCGGATCCGTGGTGTAGGCGAAGGCGATCCCCAGGTTCTGCTCCCTTATGTCCTCGGCTGCCTCGATTGCGGCGTCTCTGAGGCAATCCATGACATCAACATCGATCCTTGCGGACGTGAAGCTGTCCATGTCCATGCCGAAGTAGATCGTACCGCCGCGTGGCATTAGGCGTTGTACCACGCCTTCGGGGAACTCATCCAGTCGGGTATGCCGCGTGGCACTCGATGACGATGGCGAGCCTCTCCAGTATGCTCCCGTTGGCGGGGACTTCTCTTTGGTAGTGCTGAAGTCTGCGGCAAGCTCATCCTCATCCATAGCTTCCAACAGCATGCCGATGGCGGCTAGCTCAGCCTCGTCCATGGTAGCAATTAGAGTATTGATAGCAGCAGGCTTTGGCTCGTGCATGTCGGCCAATATTATGCCAATGACGGCCTTCAGCTTGCCCACGGCGGCCATGAAGGGTCCAGGTGCCGGAGCAGACCTTGTGCAATGCAGAAGAGTACTCGTATTGAAGCCCTGAAGGTGGCTTCCGGCGGCCCCATCTTGGAGCGATCCGGATTCCTCGGCTCGTTGGATGACGTTTCTAGCAACAGAAGTGCTCTTCTCAGGGTGAATGAGCACCATTTTCGAGATCAAATCCCCGTTGGGCTGGGTGCCACTGGAACCCCCTGCGCCAGGTCCACGCGTTCCATCCCCGTCAGGCCTGAAATGGTGATAGTGGCGGCCCGGCCCGTCTCTTTGCTCGAGCTTGATAGCAAGTGGATCCTTGTTAGGGCAGGCCTTGGTAAAACCAGCCGTTGCATCAACAACCTCGTCATGAGTGAACGCTTGCCCACTGAGAAGGATGTCCGAAGCTCTGTTCGCTACGCTATTGTACGATCCCTTGTGTAGATGAACATCGTACAGGTCTTGGCTCAGCTTGTCGAAACCGAGCATTGAGTCACAGACAAGGCCTCCACGGACATCGTCATCGTCGTTGCTTGTGACCCCATTCTGCTCCGTAACCCGAGACGTGCCATGATGGCTGATGATGGACTCGATGGCGTCCAAGTGTCCAGCGGAACTGCCAGTGGAGCTGCAGATATCCAGGCCCTCGTCACGGTTGAGCTCGGGGTTAATAGGGGAAGTGCAGGTGGGTTGATCAAACTCCAGAAGGCGCAAGGAGTCGTGACCAACGATCACGGGTCGTTGCAATGTAATCAGGGCAGCTTCCGCCGCGTGCATCCTTTGATGTATTGGAGCTGTGGTACTACAACCCATTGTGGGTAGTGTGGTTGGTCGGCGCTGTACGGCAACAATTGCGGGTCGTTTATGCAGCTTCCGAAAGAAACACCAAGCTAGCTTCCTGGAAGATGTATAAAAGGTAGAGCAGGACAGTAACGAGATACAAACTTTGTGTCCGGTAATTACACGGGATGAAAGTGCCGTCTTTGGAGATTTGGTGGGGGGGGGCGAGGAGAATCTGGTTGAGCTGGATGACACCGCCGATGCTTTAAAGAATAGACGACTGAAGATTGTTTTCCGAATAGTTTTGAGAGCGCAGCAGGTCCGACGATCCGAGATTTGAGCCGTCAATGTGGCTCAAGAATGGGCTCTGAGTTATGATGCACGAGATTGAGTGAAGGTGAAGAAACAATAAACCATGGCAGGCTGCCAGATATATACACTTCTTTGACCATCGATCTGCACTATAGCGCCAATGGAGCATTGCAACCCCCATCGTGTCACCATGGCTGATGAGGCATGCGGGCGGGCGGTGCGAGTTGGCGTGCATCACCCATCACACGCAGCCTCGACTAGCTTGACGTTGTTCAGCTTACTCCTCTGTCCCGGGGTTTCCTCAAGCATCCGGTGCGACTTCGGATATCGCCCGCGGCTGTCGAGCTAGGATCCCTTAGCGGGGAGTGCGATTGCCAGGGTGCCCACGGGACTCCGTGAGATAGCAAGGAGCAACACGTCAGATTTGTTCGGGCGCAGGCTTTGCTGCTTTCAACACTTATAAAAGTATTTCAAGACGCCTTTAAAGGCGAAGCGAGGATGGGAAGCGGGCGCGCCTACCTCTCCGGCCTGGGGCGTCACTAAATTCAACCACAGCCGACCAGTCTCGGTCGATACATGTGATGCCATATCCGTTACATAGGACGGATAAGTTACGCATTCGCAGTTCATTATACATGCTGCGCACAAATGATCCCGACAGCAGAGACAAGTGGGACCTCCTCCCACTGGTTTTCCACCCTTGCAACTCCCGTCAACGGTACGAGTTTCTCTTGGCATGCAGTCAGCAGCGCCGAACGGCAGACAGTGACAACTCTGTAACTGATCTGCAGGTTGTCCTGGCCCAGGTCACCCCTGTTTAAAAAAAACCTCGAGGCAAAAGTGTATTTGTCTGTCCCCTGCTGAGCATTATGTAATCCCACCTTTGAGCCCCAGGTCTGCAACGTCTTTTCCTGGACTAAGGACTTTCTGCTCCTGTCAACAATAAACCAAAAACTAAGTCCCAGCCGATACCTGTGATGCTATATCAGATAAATAGACCAGACAAGTTGCTCCCTCTCTTTGCTACCTTACTCGCGCCAAACGGTATTGTCCCAGACAATGCTAAATCTTGGTCAATATATGGCACGCCACGTCAGGTCCCGATATTATGTTCAGCTGGTGGTGGTCAAAGGTTTCAACTGCTCTAGATTGGGTCTAGGCGTCCCTCAACATCAATGATAGCTTAGCAAGTGTATATCATGCTCACTGTCTAGGCTAGAGCCCACACAGTTGAGCTTCATAGCTACGGATATACCTCATTAGGCTAAAGTGGACACGCTTAGATCCAATTTTTGCCTTCCGTTTGATTTTATTAGGCGGGAACATCTATAAATACGTCATCTTGAACGTGATAATGCTTGAGTCTGATTCAGACCGGCGACGTGTCACGCGTGAAGTTACATGTATCGGTTGCATTTCAAAGTCGAGTAGAAAATCGCAGAATATGAGAACGAGAAAACAGAAGTCAAATTGAGATGCATCTCCAATACGGTCTAGTCTGTTACTAGGAAACAAAGATTCGTCCACATTGCTTCACTCTGTTTCTGACTACGATGAAGTCCCGCCACGGGGTAGACTGGAATCTTTTGCGGTTAATGTCTGCCCTCACGTGGGCCAGGTCGGTTGACTGGTCGGTAGTAGTTAAGAACAGATCCACCAATCACACCTCCTCAACCTGCATCTGAGCCTAAAGGGCGCTAGAAATCATGCCAGGGTCTATTTCACTGAAACGGGTAGTGCGGCATTGGCACTTGAGGCGCATTCATTTTCCAAGTGATTGCTATGGTGCATTTCAGAGGACGACGGTTATTGAACGATGATAAAATCAATCATTATATATAACACGAGCTCCACGCATGGAAAAACACTTCGAATTGCAAGGTGCGTGGGCGGTTGCATTCACTTCACACTCAGGTCAGAACAACACACAATCTAGCTCCCCTGTGAAGCCGCCTCCTGTTCAAGTCGCAAATCGGTGTGCTTAGACTACTGGTGACCCTCGAGTATGAGATTGTCCTCTTCGAGATCATCAGGGCTTGTGTACAGCCCATGGGAGCCCTGGAAGTGGGCCTGGCTACCCCAAGCGCCCTTGAGGATTCCGTATTTGGGATCGTGGGTGGAAGGTGGATGACGAAGTCAAAATGTGGGCTGGCGTATTAGCTGCATCGGCTCAGCCGGAGCCGGAGCGGATCTCCTTTGGGTTGGTACTCACGTCGGGCATGATCTTTGGTGTCCGTATCGCTAATAGTTTAGATGAAATACTCCCTGAACACAGCGAAAATGACAGAGTCGAGACATTAATTTTCCAGATACATGGCCGCCTATTATGGGGAGACGAGGGATGGACATGAGTAGTGTGTCAGGGCCATGTTTTGTTGACTACCGAGCCCGTGTTGAGATTTGAGACCGAGCCCAAGGGAGGCATTGTGGCAGGTTACCATAGTATGAGATCCGAAACCTAATCACTCCGATTCATATGTCGCTAGCTACCGACGACCTTGCTGTTTGGAGCAGTCCCGGACCAAGACGCAGCGAAGTGTTCAGCTGGCAGCGAAATCCGCATGTAAACATCGTTGTGCACTACATGCTTGATGAAATATCTCTATAGGGCAAGCTGCATGGCGTCTAAGATACTGACTCGGGGAATAGCGTCATCAAGAACCAGGTCAAGTCACCCCTTGCCTGAGCCTAACTGAAGCTCCTGCCTTAGTCATGAACCGACGATTCTGGATGTCCAGACATCCCCACTATACCCCTCATCTCTGGCCCCGGCCCATTTCCCGATCTCGTCTCCCCAGTCTTCCCATCCCGTCTGCCTCCTCCACGATCACGCGCAGATCCGTGCATGCATGAGTGCCATGGCCGACCCAATAGAGTGGTACCCGGCCCGCATCCTCCAGGCCCGGGCCGAAGGAGATGACGGGCCCAACACCCCGGGCAGCCCCAACTCGTTCGCCCTCATCATCCTCAACCAGCCACTCAGGGACGTGTCAACCCTGAAGAAGCTGTGGAAGAATTGTAAACAGGACGTCCCTTGCATTCTCATTCCCTGCTGATGCACTGCCAGCAACCTTGCGAGTCGCAGCAGATGGCGGCGCCAATCGTCTCCTCGACGTTTGTAAAAATGACGACGACGGCAAATCTTTCGTGAGATTCTCTCAGCTTTACTCACCTTCAGATGTCTCATCGAGTACTCACGCCACGCAGGATAACCTCGACGCTATAGTAGGGGACCTGGACTCTCTCACAAACCAAGCACGGCAATACTTCACCACACGAGCCAAGCCGACCAAGGTTATCCATGACCCAGATCAGTACTCAACAGACTTCGCCAAGACCGTCAAGTGGATACGCGCATCGTCGGCCCCTTCGCCAGAGGACACAGGCGCCTCAATTCCCGACATCGTCGCCATGGGCGGTCTTGGCGGGCGCGTGGACCAGGGCCTGAGCCAGCTGCACCACCTGTACCTGTTCCAGACGTCCCCAGACTACGCCGAGGGCCGGCTGTTCCTCGTGAGCGGCGAGTCGATCACGTTCCTGCTCAAGGGTGGGAGGAGGCATCGGATCCACGTGCGAGAGAGGGACGGGCGAGAGAGGGACGGGAAGGGAGAAAGGAGGGACGACGTGTTTGACAAGTACGTGGGCATCGTTCCCGTCAAGGAGCCGAGCGTCATCTCGTTGAGGGGGTTCGAGTGGGACGTGACGGACTGGGAGACCGAGTTTGGCGGCCAGATGAGCACGAGCAACCACGTCCTGCCCGAGACGGAGGTGGTCGAGGTTGAGACGACGAGGGACGTGTTGTTCACCATCGCGCTGAAGAGGTAGCTGGCTAGACTACAGAAACTACAGCCAGCAGCAACGACGTCGACATCCGACCGCATATGCACCGCATTCACACTGGCATCGTTTTCACCCCATCTCTTCGCGCCCTATACTCAAAACTTGTAAACCTCCCAGAACTACCCCAGAGCAGGTATCGGCCCCTCTGCCTGCTTGGGACAAATGGTATTTACCAGGGCTAGAATGGCAGGGAATACTACTAGCCGAGGGTTCACGGAAACTCGCTGGTTCGAGCCGTCCTGGTAGTATGGTGGACGCAATGAAATCTCCACCGCAAAGGGCGCCCTCTGGGTGCTAACAGAGATGTAGGCGCTGGTTGCCGAACTCTTTTGTCTTTTTTTGGTCGTCATGACCTTTCGCCGGTCCGAGATACTCTTGCGAGAATGGCATGATGAGGATAGCATCGTAATGACAACGGGATAGGTGATGCGTGACCTACTACACTGCAAGCAAGCAAGCCAGCACTCGAGGCCAAGGACCATGTTTCTCTCAGGACGTAGACGCGCAACAGGCTCAGAAAGTCGCCTCATTCCATTCCCATAGATGATGCCAGCTATTCTCAAGCCTAACCCAAACGCCATGCTCATGCAGGTTTAAAGTACGACACGAATCCCGAAGGGAAAACCCAGCCAGCCCTCCCCAGCCACGGCAGACCGCCCCAGTTCCATCCAAATCACCGCAGGAAGTGCAGACACAACCAGCAAAACAAAAAGAATACCACAACGCCCGCCCAGAAGATCCACTTGTCCTCCCTCGCCCGCCGCTCAATCATGCGGATCGTGTCCCCAGACACCCCGAGCGTGTTGGCGACCGAGTAAAGCCTCTTCTGCGTGCCCTTGAGCATCTCGCGCTGCGTGCCCAGGTCCCCGAGCACCGCCTGCCCGCGCGCGATGTACTCGTCCAGCGCCGAGTTGGTGCTGGCGAAGAAGTTCTGCTCCCGCAGCGCGTGGTCCTCGCGCGTCACGTCGTTGCTGCCCATCCCGTACCCGCCACCGCTGCTACTGCTTCCTCCCACCCCGGCCCCGCCGCTCGTGTTGCGCACATGGCCCCCGCCACCGTACCCGCCGTATGAACTGGACGTCGCGGCGCCCGAGCTGGCAGCGTACGGGTTCTCGGGCGTGGCGGCGTAGGGCCGGCGGCCGAGGAGCTCGCCGCGGTCCTGGGTGTGCAGCGCCTCGTCGCGCGCGGTCTTGAGGGACTCGAACTCCCTGCGGTAGTCGGACAGCTCTGTGCGGAAGTTGCGTATGCGCTCGAGGGCCTTCTCCTGCTTGGCCGGGTTGAGCTCCTGCTTCGCGAGGGAGTTGTACTCGTCGATGGTGCGCTGGAAGGCGGTCAGGGAGGCGCTGAGGGACCCCAGCGCGGCGGGGCTTATCTGGGCGGCCGACGGGGGCGCATTTGGGTCGGATGAGGGGTGGCTGGAGAGGTTGGCTAGGTCTTTGCGGATCGAGGTGCTCTGCTTGAGAGCGCCGTTGAAGGTTGTGTTCTGTAAGCGGGTGTCAGCTTAGGCTTCTAGGAGCAGGTGCCATGGAGTTGAGGAGCTCACCATGATGACTCTGTCGATGCTATACGGTCATGAGAGCAAGGAAAGCGGAAGAACAGTAGCCACGATGACAGTTTGTGTTGAATGGGTGTTGCCTTGCTTTGATTGCTGGTCTAATTGAGCGACGATCTGGCATTTCGAATTGCCAGCTAAGCTCCCAGCCTAATATTTGACCGCCTGCCCAGACCAGTGGCCGACCTCGGCAGATCTGACTGGGGCAGGAACGGCTGACAGGGGTACCCCGTCCTACTGCACCTCCCTCAAAACCGACGATGTCGTGATCCTGATTGTCTCGTCAGTCACTGATGCATTCAACATATCACGCTCCAGATCGTCCGTCATCTTGAAGTCGCCCTCGCAATCACATACATTATTTCCGTAACACAGCCACACTTTTAAAAAGTTCGAAAACGTTATAGCGGAGCCGCCTGTGGCTTGACTGCGCTTCTGCACGGCTCTGCATACCTCTGCAGACGCAATCCTTTCATTAAAGTGTGGCTTGATTCGTGTAAAGATGCCGCGGGCCCATCCCGCAGGGTGGGCTCGCGGCCTCGCGGATTCATCACATAGATCCCGTGGCTGCGAAGCAGACACCCGAGGCAAAGCTCGTTATACCATAGTAGGAGAAGCCTACATTCAGGTTCCTTGTTTTTATCCCATACATTAGACTATCACTACCTCTCCTGGAACCGGGACAGTAGTGCTAGCCATAAGGCGGGTCGGTACCGTGGGCCTGGCTTTGGGCGTTAGCAACATAACGCCAACCAGACAGCAGGCCCGCCCGTGTACAGCTATTATTCTGGCAGAGGTCGCCAGGATCCTAGCATATAGCACGTGGTAACAGTCTCGTAAAGTTAATCGATTTCGAAAGGGGACGAGCTAGCTTCGGTGTATGTTGGTGCCAGAGGGGTGGTCGAGGTGATTTATACACTGAGCGTCACTGAGTGTGGGTGAGGTGTGGGCGGATTAGAGGTGTGTCGCTGACTAACCCGGTTAGGACACACCGGGCACAAACTTACGGAAGACTACCTAGGTAGTACTCCGTACTAGGCAAAATCTATGGATGGCAGTGGTTCGAACCAAAAGGCAGGGCAATTTACTAGTAGAGACCACACAAGAGGAAGTGGGGATTCATGTTAATCCGCCGTAATAGTGAGTACAATTAGTCAGTAACGTGGTATGCATTTCAGAGTCTCCAGACGGGAGAGATTTGTGCACTGAGATACAGTAAAGCTAAACATAAGCTTGAATGAACGTGTTATTCTATGAGCTCTGGTACTCTGCCGGTATAAATTTCGGAGATAGCTATGTAGCGATTGTTGATTCCCACCTGTCACTCTTCCAAATTTTTACTTAACGAGCGGCATCTGTGGGCGATATTGACAGTCCTGCTGTCTAGTCAGTCCACCTTCATCAACCCCCTCTTGTGCAGCAAGAAGTGTTACACGCAAAAACAGCTGCTAGTGCGCGTTGCACTGGCTTCCCCTATAGTATCAAAAGACCTATAAGTCCACGACCAGTCAGAAAATTCCCTTCTTCTTAATCCGTTCGAAAGTTTACTCAGAAGGCTGCTCACATTATATCAGGACCATCTGGATTGTAGGCCCTAAGGTGGGGTAGTACGCCGGTTCGCAGCCTGGCAATTGGGGCAGAGACCTGGCCGCCGCACTGGGAACAGGATAGGCGCAAGGTTTCGAGGACGATTGCATTTCCCATTCACCATGTATTGGCAGTCTTGGCGGAGCACTCGTCCCGTCGGGTTCCCCGGTGGGTGGTGCTGACACGCTTGGTACGTGATAACATTGTAGGCACACATCGTGTCTTTTCAGAGGGTTTGGAAGGTGTAAAAAAATGATCCAAGGGAGAAGACGATGATGATGCAGCTGAACTTGTAAATAAATGCCTTCCTGAAGACTTGAAGAATAGATAGAATGGAATAAGACTGTGGGTGATGAAACAAGATTGTGAGTGACGGGGAAACAGGCGCTTTCTATTTATACTGTCTCGGAGGTTACTCTGAAGTGGGAATCAGCATCTGAGGCCCAACAGCCACCACTTTCAAGGCGCGACCTCGAAAATAGCAAAATTGGTTGGGTGCGGCTGTTGGCCACACGTCGGCCACATGTTGACCATCTGTGCAGACGAGGTGCTATTCTAAGGGGTTGTTGGGCTCCTGAGACCTTTTCTGGTAGGCTCACCCAAGGCTAGACGCACTCAGACATGCACCGCTACAACAGAACTCTCAGAGCTCAGACTTCGCTTGAACCATTTTTCTGTGAGGATCATTCCCACACCACAAGCATGAAGGCCGGCCCGAACAGAGACTGCTCCGGGATAGACAATGTCCAGTGTAGACTTGGATTGGCTGAACACAGCTTCTCGTCTACCAGTGGACCAAGGTACCGGTATATTTTTAGAATCCTGTCTACTAAAGCGACCTGCTCGTGGGCGCGGTGACCCGGGATGCTTAAGAGGATCCATTCTGAGCTGAAATCGAATCTTGAAATGAAACGTCCAGGGATATCAAGTGGGCCCGACCTTGGTCGTGGCGTGGCACGTATTCTGTTGGTTGTGGTGTGGCACGTATCCCGTTGGTTGGCGCGTCGCATTCCTGTGCATCGTGGCAGAGACAACCCACTGCCTTCGCAACCTGGAGAAGGCGGGCGAACACTGTAAACGAAGACTTCCAGGGAATCTCATGCGCTTTCTTGACCCTGGTATTTTCAGCGCAAGCATCGTCTTGTGTAAAAAATAATTCTCGGATCCGTTGGGCGCGGTGGCCGTGGAGTGCTGGAATCGCAAGATGGTAAGGCATATAAATAACTTTAGCGCGCAAGCGCATACCGCGGCTATCAAGCTTGGCCAACCAGAATGGATGCTGTGTTGGTGGTCCGTGCCTGGGTATGGTGCGCGACTTTAGTATAAATACCCTGCAGTTCGAGCATCACCTCATCTACTTTGATGGACTGAGCAACGTCAAGTGCTTCATCATCTCCCAGGGGCTTCCAAGTGACGATGAACGAAACAATGATACGGTGGCATGAGACACACTGTCGTCGCCCTGAAATTGTGACGATTGACAGCTTACCGTACTGCAATAACTGTCATGCCCTGGCACCACCTCCGGCTGAAGCGGCACCTAACATCTCGGAACGGGTTCCACAAACGAAGCCACAGCCAACTGGTGATGACCGCCCGAGCTTATGGTGGCCACCACAGATTCAATTTCTCGACCAGAATGCCCCTGCTCAGCTCACTCGGGCGAGTCTGCCTCTGGATGGACCACAACGAAGACATCATGCCGTCGCGCCGGCCGTCCCCGAGAATGAAGATCACAACCCTTTGTACAACACCCTAGAAGTCAACGAGATCAGACTCCTCCACCTGAACTGCGGAGAACCCGAGGAGGCTCTGCATGGCGAATACCAGATCGTACGGAATATGGATTTCGAGGAGGCTGGCGCGCATGAACCCGGCTACGACTGTCTCTCATACGTGCATGCGGAAACTCCAGGTGAAATTAAGTGCACCGAGGTCATATACCTCGGAGAATTTTGGGACATGCTCTGCATCTCAAAGACGTGTGCAGAAGCACTACGGCACATGAGACACCAGAAAGGCCCCCAGAGAGTCCTATGGGTGGATTCCATCTGTATCAACCAACACGACCAAGGGGAGAAGTCAAGCCAAGTCAGATTGATGGCAAACATCTTTTCACGCGCTCGTCAAGTCGTCGCGTACCTTGGGCCTCCTTGCCAGACCAGCAGTGCCGCACTCCGCTGGCTTCGATTCATTGATCACTCGCAGAGACTCAAGTCGACACAAACTTCGAGAAAGAGGAAATACGGCGATGCGGACTTTGAACCCGAGCCCCACTCGTCCGAAGGCTTTACTGCATTTAGGGCCTTTCTGGGTGGGTCCTACTTCCAAAGGATGTGGACAGTCCTGGAGTTCATTGTCGCCCAGTCAGTGACCCTCCAGTGCGGAAGCGACACAGCCCCTTGGCCATTGGCCGGACTGTCCCAGCATGAGGCCATTTTGCCAGACTGGATGGCATACCGCGAAAGAAGAGCCACAATATGCGAGCAGGACCTTCTTCCCCTGCTCAAATGCACTGCCACCAACAAATGCGATGACCCCAGGGACAGGATTTTCTCAATTCTAGGTCTGATCCGAAGATGGGATGTCAGCGCTATTCTTCCATCGTACGAGCTTTCGGTTGAAGAAGTATTCATCGGAATTACTGCATACATCATAAAAAAGCACAATGCTTTGAGTACCATACTGCCTTTGGCCAGCACAATGAGCCCACTCAAGGGAGGCCTCAAGTTGCCAAGCTGGGTTCCGAACTGGAACAACCAGGCAATATATACAGGTCATGAAATTCCAGAAAGATCAATCCCGAACGCCATCACAGAAGATGCTTTGGCGAATGTCCAGGCACGGTGGCAGTTCAAGTCTGCCGAGGCTGCTCCCGAAGTTCATAGGGCCAATGGGTTTCTTCAAGTCCAGGCTATCTTATTGTCGTCCTCTGTTCAACCTTTCTTCAAGCTCATTCAGCAAGATGGAAACATCTCAATAACACTTGAATCCCTCTTTCACCCATTCAGCGCAAGTTGGGGTTTGTGTAGAGAAGGGATCAACACCGAGAACAATGACCAGCTGGCGTTCGTTGCCGGCAGATTTGTGATCGTCAGGCTCACTAGTGACCAAAATCAGTATTACGATCTTGTACAGACGCTAGGCGAGGACATCATATACTCCTTCCCTCATTCGGTCGCAGGTATCAACGAGATAGATTTTGGAGACGAAGATGAACACGACGAAATTCTCGAACGTTTGCAGCGCAATATGTTCACTTCCACTACAGGCCAACCCAACAACAACTCCATAACAAGTCGCCGCATCACGCCCATGAACACTGCGACCCAAGAGCAGCTTTTTGACTTGTGTTCAGCCGTGTTCGGAGATTCAGAGCCAGATCGTCCAGCAGGCACGGATGGCACGTCGGTTCAGACGTCTGAGGCTTCTCGTGCTCGATTCCTGAAAGTTCGGAGCCGATTGCTTGACGTTGCCCTCTACAGCCGAATGGGATGCTTCCGGGAAGGCAGAAAGCTATTTCAAGACTTCACGTACTGGATTGATAGATTTCGCTGTTGCAAATCTGAGGCGTTGGCATCCATAGCCTCCCCCGGTCACAAGCTGGAGACTTCTTTAGGGTCGGTTTCTCCCGGTCTGAGTGACCAGGCTATCGCTTGGACTGAGAGTTGGTGCCTGGGAGATACCATGGCAAAGCTAGATCTTGGGCATTGTGAGTCTTCAGTTTCGACTGTCATCAAATGGCTACAGTCTACGGAACGGCTACTTGCATTCCTGTCGTCCAACGGCTTTGCAGCAAAGCCGACGCCGAATAGCGGTCTACCGGGCACTGAACTTGGGAAGACATGGCTCCTTCACTGGGCAAGCTTCTTAGCGGACACCATCGCGAATTCTGAAAGCTCGCCAAATCTGACACCTGATGAGTTCATCATTTCGGCCGTCTTAAGGCACGCCATCGACCTTGCAAAGGTCGCCGCCACTCGCATACCTGACTTTGAAGGGATCGGCCTTGCCAGACTAACACGAATTATGGGAGAAAGACAAGCGATTTCTGAGAACATCCGAGTCCTGGAATGGGTCCAACATGCGTTCTGGACGGCTGACATTGGCCATTTGAGCGATTTCGATCAGGACATGGTCGTCAGGTTGGAGATGTGGCCACTTGGTCTTGACCTTGACCGAGAAAAGACTATGGTTATTATGTAACTAAGCCTTTATGTGGCGGTTACTGGGGGGTCAGTCACCAGAGGGTCAGTTAATGGAGGGTTACGTGACCTCCGTACATCTTTAAATAGGGTGCCCAGGGCCCCTTCTGCACTCAGAATTTAACAATGCGCCCACTTCGAATACAAATAATCGCATATTTGCCAGACCCAGTCCTTCCTACCACACTTTATGTGATTGTAGTTGAACAGAGAAAGGAAAAGAACAGAGCAAGAAATAGAATATCACCGTTCTCAAATGGTGTTACTTCGATGTTCAAATGCCAGGTTTTCTGATATATATCCTGGCTCCTGCAAAGTTCTGATCGTCCAGCTTTCCAGTGTCTTCATATTCCCTCTGAATCAAGTCACGTAAACGAGGAGATTCTGGATCACCTCTGAATTTCGCATTAAAGGTTAGCCTTGGGACTCTCACAGGGAAGCATTTGTTAACTCACAACCTAGCCTCAAGCTCCTCAATGCTTGTCCAAGTTCGAGAGAAGAACCGCTCAGACCAAGTACTAAGCAATTCCTGCTCTTCGCGAACCTTATCGCAGATAAAAACAGCCGGCCTTGCAAGGTCTGTAACAACTTGTCTTACTGGGATATCAGGTCCAAAGGATAAGACTATACTCTCGTCACTGACTTCTAGAAAAGCCCGAGGATCCTCTAGAACTGTAATTCCTAGTTCTTGAAGGAGTTCCTTATCAATTTCTGTATACATAGGGTCCTGAGCAAAGCATTGAATGCCCAAGCTAGCTTGAAGGCTTTGCAAGCTATCCCTAATGGTTAGCATGAGAGCATGCTGTAGGATGCTATGTTGGCTGTCGCTGGTTGAGATTGTACCATTGCCGAAAGCGATAATACGGGAGACTGAGTTGATAGGTAGTGTTCGAAGAATAGTCTCGACATGCTTGCAATCTTCACTACTTTGCCAGGTCTGAAAGCCGTTCTTGAAAGCCTCTCGTACCTCTTCCAGCGGATTAGTTCGTAATGGTGGTAGTAACTGGTTGGTCCTAGGGTCTCTGATTCGTGCAAAATAGCAAATTTGAAGTGGACATAATGCTTGTCTAGGGTAGAACTCTCTTGGGTCTGCGCATATAGTAATTAATTGTTGATATGGTCGGTAGTATAGGAATGGGGCTGTCCTGTATGTATAGAATAAAATTATTAATCAGAAGACTTTCAGAGATATAATAAGGGGTATAATAGGAGTAAAGTTGAAAGGAAAATAATAGATCATTACATTATGACTTCCTGCCCCCCATAATTTGAGTGAATAGTTCCGGTTTCAACTTCAATCTCCACAGTCTTGCCGTTAACTGTTGGAATTAGAAACTTCAGGAACTCAGCTGGTTCGCCGTTATTGATCTTCAAGTTCGTTTCATCGATTTGGTGAACTAGGTTTCGGATAGCGCTTCGTGAGAAACACGGTACGCCATTTTGGTAGAGTGTGCGTATTTCTGACTGAGTCTGTAATCTCTCCGCCTCTTTGTCGTTCAGTTCCTCCTCCGTTAACAAATATCTTGTAAGATCATCCTTGCCGAGATAGAGATAGAGTGCCATCTCCTCCTGGGACTCGGCTGGACTCTTGGGGCATGGGCCTTGCTGGTCTTCTAATTCTGAGCCCATGGTACTGAGTCTGATCACGTCTCCCGCAGAATGAGGAACGGAGGAAAGTAGCTTGGTGATTGAATCCTGAGCTCGGAGTGTAACAAGTGGTCGTATTGGATGTTGATGTGATGGCTGCGACACTACCTTTTAGGCAGGAGCTGTTGCATAACAATGAGGATAACCGGTAACCTATGATAATCTGTACCTGGACCATTCGGAGGATTCTCAGGGGATTGAAGAGCCTGGATGTGAGAAAGGCCAATACAATAGCAAAAGAGTGCAGTAGGTGTTTGTTGATGATCAATCAATACCCCGCATTGCTGGCAGAATTTGATGAACGCCCCGCCAAGTGCAACTATAAGCGTTATTGCATATTTTATCCACTTGGAGACACTTGCATATTGGATAATGATAGCTGTGCATGGTACCTACATGTCTCATTATATTCATCCACCTTGGGATCCATTGAATTCAACATCTTCAGCTGTTTGGCGTCAAGCATGTTTTTTTATCTAACGCTAGGTCTTTGAGCGTTTACCACTGCATGAAGGGACCGCATACAGCTCCGTATGTATACGGATTAAGAATGAAGCCACTTTGGTGTCAAGATTGGTAATTTGGGAGATTCACACAAACAAATAAGCCTCAGTTCAGGTACTCCTTATTTGTAAATCAACCGAATAAGCCTGCCACCTGTCACCAGGGGAGATTTAGAGACGAAGCAGCTGACTTCAATGCGTCAATTGAAGGGACTGACTGTAGTTAGGGTAAAGGTTTGAAACAGTAGAGGTTGCGGGCGCCAGCGCCACAGTAAATGTAGTCTGCGAATGCAGCCAGCCACTGTGGCCATGTAAACACACCCATTCTCACTCAACCCCTCCCCTTTTCGTTTTTACTAATGTGCCGTTAAATTGAAATTTAGGTAGAGGGGAGGAGGGTTGTCGTTAATGGTTGCCGATGATGGAAAGAAGCATTAGATAGCTGGGAACGGCCTTGTTCTTTTCATGTCTGGTTTAGTTAGATCTAAGCAGTATATGTTAGAAACATGCGGTACATTGCTTAAATGACAGCACGCACATAGATTGGGTTTGCAAGCAGCACGTCGGCTTCACTAGCGTGGTTTTGATATGGTGCAATGCAAACCAGTGTAGTACCTCTGTTTGGCTGGGAGCCATGCACCTGGTTAGGGGCAAGGCCTAGGAAGGCGAGGTGTGGGAGGGCTGGCCCTCTAACCTGGCCCAGGATCCCGGGCTGCCGAGCTGCGGGGCAAGTCTAACCGAACCCGGCCACACTCAGTAAAGCTCGGTTTAGACTCACCCCACCTCACTTTAGCACAGTCGTACTCTGACCTTAGGACTGTCCCAGATTCAGGGGCAGCTCAGCGCAAGGGGTGACTATAGAGGTACTGTTGCCGCGAGTGAATCTGCATTTGAACACAGCCACCCCAGTCGCAGCCACAGCTGAGCTCGAGTTGCACAACATCAGCTTGACTTTGTGTCCAACCCCCTCACTTCTCGGGCTGCTCACTATCTCCCGCATAGATCTCTAGGAAATCCTTGTCCCCTTTTCGACGATCACGAGAGCTTAAATGGACGTCTAGAGTCTTCTATCACTATCGACCCTCACTGCAGATTGTCTTACACTTTTGACCACGCGTATATTGCCCCCCAGCCATGGATCCTGTCTCGGCTGTTGGTCTGGCATCCTCTGTCCTCACCTTCGTAGAGTTTGCTTGGAACCTGGTTGGAGGCGCGATCGAGATATACCGCTCAGTAGACGGGACTCTGGATGAGAATGCGCGCCTCGACGATGTTCAGGATGATCTTGACGCTTTGTCTGATTTACTGAGCGTACAGCCCCTGTGTAAGACTAGAGCCGAAAGGAGGACCGCCAGAGTCGCGCAAGAATGTCACGCCGACTCCAAGAAACTTCAGAATCTGCTCAAAGAGCTCGCCGGTCCCAGAAACAATCGGACGGTCTGGCGCAGTGTGAAATCAAGTTGGATGAGTATCAGAAGCAGGAAGGACGTAGCTGAGATGAAAATTCGGCTGCAAGAATACCGGTCAGAGATTCTCCTCCAAGTGACATTGCTCCTCAGGTAGGTGTAGACTCCTGCAGTTATCGATATATTCAACCACATTCTAAGGACCATATAGCGAAGAGCAATCTAGCATCAACCTCGACATTGCCAAGCTCAGAGATGATTGTTCACAGTTGAAGATCGGGTTCAGAACTCAGATCACTAGCACACAGAACAGAATTCTGGGGGCCATAGACAGATTGAACAAATCCATCGGCGTTGAGCAAGCGACGAGTGAAACATCCCTGTCTGACATATCGACAATGCTTCTCACGATCCAAGCCGTAGTAGGCGATACCCATCTTCAGCACCGAATACTTCGCCAGCTCGTCTCCGAAGACATGGACTCCCGCGCCAATCAGATACCGAGGGCTGCACGGGATACCTACAACTGGACCGTCGAGGACGGCCCTTTGAATAGAGGGGATAAACGTGCACGTGCGTGGCAGCTATTCCTTGAATGGCTGAGAGCAGGGGACAAAATTCTCCACGTCTCGGGAAACCCTGGATCAGGGAAATCAACTCTGATGAAGTTTCTTAGCCAACATGAAAGAACCAAGAAGGAGCTGCAGGTATGGGCAGCACCGGACACATTGGTATTCTGTGTATTTCATTTCTGGAATCCAGGTTCCAGGATGCAACGGACTCTGACAGGGTTCTACCGCTCAATGCTCTTCCAAGCACTCAGCCAGTGTCCAGAGCTCGCTGCAGAAGTTTTCCCAGTGCAGTTCAGAAGAATGCAGGCCTCCGTTGGAGACATACTGGTAGAGAAGGTCCAACATTTTGACCAAGACCGTATTGAAGAATGTTTCAAACTGCTTTTGAATCGGGCATCCACGGGTGGATATCGGCTGTGCTTCTTCATCGACGGCCTGGATGAGTGTGAGGGCAACCGGCTTCAACACGAGGAATTGGCCAACATGCTGCAGAGTTGGGTTAGTTCTGGTGCCTTCAAGATGTGTGTCAGTTCCCGGCCATATTCGGAATTCATGCGCCCACTCGATCACTCAGGGAACAGGCTGATCAAGCTGCACGAGCTCAACGAGTCCGATATCAGGACTTACTGTCTTAACCGCCTGGCGAACGACATCGATGGTCGGAAGAGGGGCGATCTGTGCCGACGCTTGGTGCGCATCGTGGTTAAGCATGCCCAAGGCGTTTTCCTATGGGTTCACCTTGTCATCGACCTCCTACTTGTGGGATTTCGTCAGGGCGATCCCGATTCGGTCATCGAGGCCCAGCTCAGAGCATTGCCTCCCGACCTCGACATGCTATATACAAAGTTGAGGGAGCCTATTGAGGCGGACAAAGTTCAGAGGCTGAGGTCAAATCGAATGCTCCTACTTGCAACACACAACCCCTGTCGTCGTGATCTGACAGCTATGGCATTCTCCTGGCTGGAGGGGCAGCAATGTGACCAAGGAGGACTGTTGAGTCCCGACTTCCCATCAGCCAGCCACATGAAGCCATACTCTGAGGATGAAATTGCCAATCGGCTCGATCATGTCACAAAGCAAATTGATGGGCTTGCCAGAGGGTTTCTCGAAATACGAGGTCTCGCTGCTTACGAGGCCCGCTTGAGTCCTCCAGGACAAATCCGATCGTTCTTCAGTTCCATGGTTCGGTTTTGTCATAGAACCGCGCGGGACTATCTACTGCACAACGAAAATCGACGCCGTGCCTTGCTAGAAGCATTTTCAGACTTCGAAGAGTCTCAAGTGTACGCAAAAATCCGTATTGCAGAGAACATTTACGGCTGGCATTCAAGGTTCCCACCTGGACATGATGTCTTCAAGAACTTTGATCGGCCTTTCCGCCAAAACGTCAACCCGGACCTGATGGCTAAATTCGCAGTTCCACTTCGAGAATCACTGACTCCCACAACCTTGCAAGTCGTTCGAAACGCATGTTCACAATCTTGGGATCCACCGCCGGCTCAGGTCTCAATCATGGTGTATGCCGCGTATTGCGGTCTCGACCGGTTTGTTCTCCGCGAAGTTGCTAAAGACACCATAAATACCGGCGGGACCTGTGTGAGCGGCAGTGTTCTTTTGGCGGCAGTGCGGCAGTCGCATTATGAGCTGGCGTCAAGGATTTTAACAATGGGAAGAGGAATGAATGAGCTATGCGTGGTATCCGACAAGGACGCCGACGTGGAACGTTCAAGTTTGGTTCCCGCCTGCGTCGTCGCCATTGCGGACATCTTCGAGGACTTGCTAACTCTCTGGCGTCCACGGGATTTTCAAACGGAGAAATGGTTGAGCGTGGCGAGAAGTCTCTTGAAGTCCAATATTGGATTGAACATATCGATGTGGGCGACAGTACGCGGGATGCAAAAATTAAATATAGGATCTGGATCTATGTGGACCACCGAGATACGATTTCGAATCTCCTTCGCGGACTTTTTCGAGCTCTTTGAGATTTCTGGGAATGGAAGCAAAGATGATAACTCTGAATCACCAAATTCACTGGCTATAGACACCCTCCGCGTGACGAGGAGCGATAGAGCCGGCCGAGTGGAGAAGCAAGGGCTGGATGTGATGCAATGGCTCAAGGCGTGGCTAGGCCAGCCCTCTACCGAACATGGGCATGAAAAGACTGGCTCAGTCGAGAGGATGTTGCGCTTAGAAAAGATGGAGTGGTCATCGGATACCCAGGAGTTGGTGGAGCTCAGGGGATGGACAAGATTATATTGACCTCGGAGGCCGCTGCATTGCTACGCCACAAATCGTCACTGAGAACGGTCTAGATTTTGAAGTTCGATAGCACCAGTGAGTAGGGAACAATGGGGGAATAAGCTATATGTTCCCGCCGCGTCGCAAGAGACATGACAAGTAGACGAGATACGGTAAATGCGTGATGTGACAATTCTCCCACATACTCTCGGCCTTCGCGTTGTAATACCTGTGACGCAGTCCACTGCCGCTTTCGTAATTGGCTATATTAACCATATATCATGTGCAGCCTCACCACGCTAAGTAGCAGCAGCCTTGTAGGCCCTAGGCGGCACGCGGCCGGCGAGCTAAGCAGTGCCTTTCCCAACCTGCCAAAATATCATATGTCAGCCATAGTGAGTCACCGTGGTTGCTGTGGAAACAAGCATCACAAGAGCCACACGAGATTTATTTGCCACCTATCAGGAGCTATCTGATTTTTACTTGAGTATTGCGTTTCTGCTCTGGTACTATCCAGGCGTCACCACGTGGAGGCGCAGAATACGACTTTGACGCCCTTGGGGTCGTCGCCCAGCAGATAAACTCAGCACCAGCCAAGTCGCCCTCGTCCTTTGAAGAACGGTATCTGCACTGCCAGGCTCTTACCCCAGGAGTCGGAGTCCAGCAGATAAACTCAGCACCAGCCAAGTCGCCCTCGCCCGAAGACGGTATCTGCACTGCCAGACTCTTACTCCAGAAACAAAACAAAACGAAAACACCACAAAGCAGATTCGAGAAAGCAAGAAAAAGCACGAACGGGTCGCCGCCTAGCAGATAAACTCAGCTCCAGCCAAGTCGCCCACGTCCAAAGGACGGTACCTGCCTGCTAGGCTCTTACCCGTAAACTCCAGAACGCCAGAACGCAAAAGGTTATTGCCTAGCAGATAAACTCAGCTCCAGCCAAGTTGCCCTCATCCGAAGATGGTACCTGCCTGCTAGGCCATACCCGAAAAAAACAAGACGCACAGGGTCGTCACCTAGCAGATAAACTCAGCACCAGCCAAGTCGCCCTCGCCCGAAGACGGTACCTGCACTGCTAGGCCACACCCGTAAAAATCAAAACGCAAAAGGTCGTCACCTAGCAGATAAACTCAGCGCCAGCCAAGTCGCCCTCGCCCGAAGACGGTACCTGCCTGCTAGGTCACACCCTAGCGCACCCAACTAGACAACCACTGGTGGAACCGCCAGGCCACAGACCCGAACTTGCCCAAGGCTTTTCGCCTGCTGCACCCACCAGCGGCAGCGCTAGAGGGATTTCACCTCCGGTTTGTCGATGATCGCTGCATGCACTGTCGCTGCAGCTGTTCTTGGAACTCGGATGGCGTGAGAAGGTATGGAGACTTGGCGTTGTTCTGAGCAGGCTGGCTCCCAAGACTCCGTACTTGTTGTTGTTGTGGGGCCTCGGTTGACCACCACTGAAGAGGGATTCTCTTCTGTTTCTGAGATTTGGAAGGCATTGTGTGTTGTTGTTGTTGTTGTTGTTGTTGTTGTTGTTGTAAGAAGAAGAAGTAAAGTAAAAGTAAAAGTTTGTGTGTGTATGTTTGTTTGTTTGTGTGTGTGTGTGTGTGTGTGTGTGTGAGTGTGTGAGTGTGTGTATGTGTGTGTGTGTTTGGTAGAAGAAGAAGAAGGGAAAGGAAAGTTGGGTGGGAGGAGGACCAGCATATTTATACTCCCAGTCAAGAGTGTGCACCCTGATGGCGACCTGCTAATTCAAGCTGTAAACTGTGATGGCTGGCTGCTAATCCAGGAGAAATACTACTAGTATATAACTTATGTGTATTAGTTATATAGTGTGGACCGTGATGGTTAGCATTGACTCAAAGAGAACCTGTATGTTTATTGTGTGATCGAGACTAATATTGATACTAGCGCATATTCTATCCAATACCTGACATTAACGCAAAGCCTTTTACGATAGGAAGTTCTGGGACTGGCTGATTGGCAAAGCTAGGGAACCTTGAGGGGCAACATATCTATGCAATTCGAGAATCTTCTTGATACTCTAAGAATGTTTCCAAGAGTCGCTCCTAAGCCGCGCTAAAATACGTCTCTCTCCTTTCTGAGACCTCCGTGCCGATCGTTGTCCATGTCTGGCTTGATCTGTTCTACTGAGCGAGAAGAACAGCGTACCGGAGACTCTTGAGGGTGTGCCAATTGTGACTTTCATCCTCTCACAAGGTATTTCCACTTTCTTGAAAAATAGATACCGTGAGCTCGCCTTTCAGGTATTTCGTTCCCAATTCTTCCGATATAATGTATTGGCCTTGTGGCTTGATTCAACACTACAGGGAGCGTGATCCATAATGAATAAGGCGTTGAATTGCGGTACGCTCTGCTCAATATCCTTGAATGATCATACCAAGATGCATTACTCTCCCGCCCAAGCCTCTCATAAAGATCGGGGTCTCCAGCCTGCTACGGAGTGCAGCCAAGCCCAACGGACCCACAGCTGGACTCGCGTTTGTATTATTGTTCGCAGCGATGCAACCAACCACCCATGCGCGTGCCCTGCCGGGTGTGCATTTACTAAACGAGCCTGCAGGAGTGGTTTGTCTGCCTGGCACAAAATGGCCCCCCACGTCCTGAAAATTTTCAGGTGTTGCCCACACATCAACAGCGACTCAGGTCTGGGGCGGTCTGAATTGTTTCTTCTTTTGCTCACTTGCAACACACCAATACCTCTACCATCATGGCTGACAGTAGCTATCGGCCGCTTCATGCAGTGGACTACCAGGCCACCGAGCATAGCGCTGACAGTATTAGTGCAGAAACAAGCCAGGGTCCGACATACGATGCTCGCACACCTTCCATCGAGTGCCGGGATCAGGCCGAACGCCATTCTCGCGGGTCGCGTAGCTCCGAGCCCATACCGCAGATCAACAACTCAGCGGACGAGGGCCATTCCTCTCGGAGACGAAACGCACCGAGGCACGATACACCTTTTCTCGACGACCCTGAAATCTCAGATCCATCGGCATCGGTGGAAACGAGGGTCGACGAGTCGGAAAACGGGTTGCAGAGACCGGCTCTGGAACAGTCAGGTCAACCAACATTCACCACCAGCATGGACGGATTTCTATTTCCGTCCTCTTTTTATAGTGTCGCTGTCAGTTTTGTTGATATTGTCAATTGCGGCGCGTGAAGTTCTTCATTATGTCTCGCAGCGCAACCAAGGACTGGTGACGGTGTCCGAAGATATGCATTATGCATGGACATACGGGCCAACATTTGGTATTTCTCAACCCGCAGGGCTTGATTCGCTTTAAGACATTTCGTTAATGCGTCCTTTTAGTCCTGACCATGATTGCTGCACTATAGGGCCAACTGGAGCAGCTTGCCAAGCAGATAATGCCATGGTGCCTAATGAGCCGCGGGGAGGTACCTGCTCGGAACAGCCTCATGCTGAACTACATTACTTCGTCCATGCCGGGTTCCCTATTTCGGTCCCTGAGAAGGAAGCACTTCCTTGTTAGCATTGCATCTTTGGATCTCTGATTCTGCGACTCACGATTATCTTTGCCTCAGGCCTGCTTCGGCTAGAGTACAGGTCCCTGGCCTTCCAGAGGGAGTTGAATGTTGAGGACATCTTTGACCCCAGAAAGACCATCAGTTATAAGCCCTGGCAGGAGTTGAGTCCTGTGTCAAACCGTAGATATATGGATGTACTATCCGTTTCTGTGGATGCGAATATCCATTCTCCTGTTAAATATTCGACATGAGAGCCTTGTGATAGTAGTCTATAGGTGGTAAGGTGCTCTCAGGCGGCTGGCGGGACGTTGATAAAAGGAGCAGCCCAGAGCTCAAAATGTTTTGAAACCCCCAAATCGTGATATTTAGACCATTACACCAACCACTACTTACTACGGCTGGCTGATTTGGTCGACAACAAATCATGCTTGGGAAAATGGAGTGGTCGTCAAGTACCCAGGAGTTGGTGTCTGTCAGGGGTCGGATGAGGTCGTATTGACGTCTATAAGTCGGCCAGGGTAGTCTGTAAACTTGCGTGCTAGTAACATCACTAAGAAAAGTCCGGCTTTCCACGTTGGGTAGCACCAGCAAGTGAGAGCCAATTAGATATATAGCTCTGAAATAAGGTTTGGATCTACGACCCCTCTCCAATCACAAGTTGAGTTTGATTTTCAAAAGGATTCGTACATTGCTAGCCTCATCCTGAGTTCTGTAAGCCGGGACACTAATCTCACCTCTTTGTCTCTACTTAACTTCAGAGCAACAAATCGAACCTTCAGCCTCACTGATAAGCCAGAGTAAAAGGCACAGTCTCAATAGTGAAATAGTCCTCCGCAACGTCCGGGTCCCCAAAGATCCGCAGCGCCTTGACGACCAGCTGGTACTGCCCCGGCGACACGACCGTCCCGTCAGCCAGCAGGCCCGTGAACGGCGCGACGTAGTAGTACCGCGGCAGGTACGTGACGGGGTACCCGTACACGCTGCCGGCAATGGTAGTCCCCAGGACCTCGGCCGTGGTGCCGTTGTAGTTGGCGCTCAGGGGGGCGACGTCGACGCGGACGGCGCGGGAGCCCAGGTCGAGCTGGTACGTGGCGGCCGGGTAGGCGGTGCTGGCGTCCGGGTTCTGGGCCGCCGCGAAGGTGGGGTAGGGCACGGTGAAGGTCGTGTTGGCGGCCACGTCGGTGAGGTAGGGGTCGCTGTAGGTGGTGAGGTAGGTGTAGGTCTGGTCGAGGTTGGTCGCGTTGTACAGGCTGCCTGCCACGCCCAGGTAGGGGATGGCCAGGTTCTCGCTGTTTGAGCCGTTGATGGTGATATAGCCGCTGTACACGGGCAGGAGGGAGGCGTCCAGGCCCGCGGGGAGGGTGGGTGAGACTGTGATGTTGGCCGTGGAGCCGGCGGGGACCTCGATGGTGCTGTCTGAGAAGGCGAGGCTGGCGGCTACGTCTGTTGTTGGGTTGGGGAAGTATGCCGGCCAGGAGGCGGGCTCTGTGAGCGTGTACGCCGTCAGGGCTGGGACGTGGCTGAGTGTGTAGGTCACGCTGGACGACCCGGTGTTCTCGATGCCGAATGCATAGCTGTCGACGAAGTTTTCCGTGTCGTTGAAGGAGATGCTGCCGACACTCAGCAAGGTCGTGGTGAAAGCGGCATCGTAGGCCTGGACCAGGCCGGGTCCCTGTTGGGCGACAGGTGCGAGTCCGGTATAGGTGGCGGTGCCATCATTCCATATGCTGGCCTTGGCAGTGGTGGTAATAGCATTGCCGAGGACAGTTGGGTCGAATGTGCCGCGGACCTGGCCCACAAGTGCATAGATGGCTGCGACCTGGGGTGTGGCCATGGAAGTACCTGAGAGAACGGCGTATCCGCCGAGGGCGAGGGGCCAGGTGGAGAGGACGTTGCCGCCGATTCCAGCCACATCCGGGTAGACATCAACCTCGTAGGTCGGGCCCCAGCTGGTGTAGGTGCTGGCATGGCCTCCCGTGAGCGTGTTCTGGACCGAAGTGTAGAAGACGCCTGCATGGTTGGGGTCGATGAATGTCAAGATGACATCCAAGCCATCGTTCAGCTCCTCGACGAATTGGGCACCTTGCTCTGCGGATACCATACCGGCTCCCAAGATCCCGGTGGCGCCAGTGATATCGGCTGAGATGACTCTGTTCAAGGAAGAGTCAGCACAAACTTTCTTTTGCAGCAATGATCAATCATGCATGAGTGGGAACGTACTCATCCGAGTTAGCATAGAAAAGGATGAACTGAGCACCATAAGCAGCCGCGTTGTTGGCCTTGCTCGCGAAGGTGCACGTGCCACGGCGGATCAGGACGACGTAGCCGGACAGATCGGGTGTATCAGCAGGCAAAGCTGAGCAGGCATCGTCGACAACCGTTGTGGTGTTGCTCACGGCCCACAGAGGCAGCGTGACATTGCCAAAGGGGACCGAGCTGGCAACCCATCCGAACGGAGTGGAAGCGTTGGCCTCGCTCGTGGTGTATGTGGCCTCGGTAAGCAGCTTGGGGTACTCCGAGTTGTCAAAGGACGCGACCGAGGTGACGCCCTTTCCGTCTGCGGCAGCACTACCAAAGAACTGGCCATACTCACCGGCGTTGCCAGCGGCCAGGGTACACGGGACGCCGGCCTCGACGATGCGCTGGGTGGCTACGGACCAGGGCTCTTCGCTCCAGCCAGAGTCACCTCCGATAGAGGCAGTGATGACATCGCTGCCGGCCTCGTATGCCAGGTTGAAAGCGGCGATTAGAACGTCGTCTGCACTGCTGCCATCGCATCCGAAGACCCTGAACGCCCCTAGGGTGACCCCAGGAGCGGCACCGGTGAAGTTGTACTCATTCGGCTGAGCAGCAACGATACCTGCAATCTCGTTAGTTGCTTGGAATGATCATCTTTGATGGATCAGGACGCTATCTCACCTGCAACATGAGTTCCGTGCCCAGCGCAGTCATAGGGGTCATCATCAGGCACCGGAGTGTTGTAGCCTGTGTAGTTGTCGCCAACAAGGTCGTAGCCATAGGACACCAGGTATCCCTCACCGAAGCCGCCTCCAAGGGCAGGGTGGAGGTAGTCGATGCCAGTGTCGATGACGGCGACCTTGACACCGGTACCAGTGTAGCCAGCGGCGCGGAGCTGGTCGACCTGGGTCTGGACATGTGTCGAGAAGGTGTCCGCCTCGGTGCCGTTGTCTTGACGCTTCCGGAGAGCCCTGGCAGCCTCTTCCGGGGTGATGCTGGTGCCCGTGGTGATCTTCTTCTCAATGGGCACGTTGATGCGGCGCACTGGCCATAGCGACTTGACTGTCGCCAGGGAGACAATCTCGTCTACGGTCTGATCTTCATCGGAAAGGTCTTCGAGCTTGAATGATGCACCCTTGAAGAGGCTGTAACTCAGGTTCAGCCTCTCAGAGAATTTGATATTCTTGGAACTGAGGCTGTCATAGAAAGAACGAATGTCCTATCGCGAATCATTAGATACCCGAATGTCACCAGTATAGAGCAGTGGTGTCTTACATGAGCATCTTCGAACTCGACCATGTAGGCGCCAGGAATAGTAGCATTACCCTTGGGAGCCCTTTCACCAGCCGCCGACACGGTCGAGATGAAAGCTCCTCCCAAGAAGGGGAGTAGGGAAAAGAATGGAAGCATGGCTGAACCGTGCGTGTCACAAGGGACAAGACCAGTCGGAGAAGAAGATGAGTGATCAGGAGACGTGCCTCTCTGGCGACCTACCGAGACCAGCTGGACCAGACATTCTTGCGGTGATCATGAACATTGCTCTTTATATGTGGTCAAGCAATATGCACTCCTGAAATCAGCAGCGCTATCTATCCCACTTGGTGTTCCGCTTCGGCATGTGGAGGTGGCAAGCAGAGCTCACCCGACCAACGTCCAGAGGGGCAGCATCAGATGCACAATGGGTGGTCTTGGCTGCTTAACCAGGGAAGGACAGGGTCGATGCAGGGTGCCATTTGGGAGGCCAAAGCCGCAGATAGCAACGCAAGGCCTGGTGTAGGTCGCATTGGTATAGGTGTAGTACAGCATGGCCATACGCGTCCCCCGGTGTCCAACCCGCGTGCGCGTGCTGATATGAGACTATGGGGTGCTGGCGGCGAGGTCGCAAGGCGAGTGGATGTCATGTGGCCCGTTGCCGCCAATCTGATGAGGCGGCCCCTGACAGCCGACTGGCAGGGTGCCATCGCTGGGACCGGGCCCGCGGGCGAGAAGCTGTCGGGAGCTGGGGTGCTCACGTGGAGTTCCTCGCGACCTTCCGCTTCTGGCCAGGCACGGTTATGAGTATTGGCACCGCCAAGACAAGGCGTGATAAGATACCACTGCACCCATTGCATGCAGAAGAGCGACGGCTCCCACCAATCACGCCTGTGCCAGGAGCCTGGGTTTGAAACAAACTGATATCTATCCGTTAAGGCACACCAGCTTCGGCATGTAGATACCCTACTACAAGTGCACTGCACATATAGTGCACGATGTAATGTTGTTAGCTCCTAGATGTAGGTCGCGAACGGACCGCTTTGGGGATCCGATGGTTGACGTCCATAGCGGCCGCAAATCCGAGAACTAGGACTGCTGCAGGGACGGATCCCTTGATCATGCAGGCATGCAAGACTCACTGCAGAACCAAGCCAATAATACAGCAGTCACCGGATGGAGATCGCGTAATTGTGCAGAAAAGTGGTGTCGAAATTACCTCCGCGCTGTGCGACTAGGCTAGAGTATTTCTGCGCAGATGCGGTCCTCCTTGAAGCGCCCCGGTAATAAGAACATGCATGAAATACGAAGGATCGCGACAGCTGTTTTCCGAACACCTAGTTGAAAGATGGTTAGAACGTCTCCACAGAGGCACATACACGAAGGTCGAACAAGTAGTAATATCCTTTGCCTTCTAGTCATGAGCGACCAGACTTCATGTCGACTTTCTCACCCACGATCGGCGGAAGTCATCCGGGCCGAACCGTTGTCAGAGCCTAATTCCGAGTCTAATGGCAAGTACACCGGCTCGGTGGCTCTAAAATACAGCAAGAGAGCTTATATAATACCAGCACATTCCCCACAACGACCCACCACAATTCTCGCCATTCGCACCCAAGATCGAGTTCCATGCATACAGCTGCGCAACCGAGATTCCATGAAGTACTGAAAAAGGTGAGCACCAGTCCTCATCCTGCGCCTGGCCGTATTTTTTAATCCAATGGTCATGGCGGTCGGCGTGGAGCTGATGGTCCTTGCTTCAGACCTTTCGAAGCGGACGCAGTACTAATAGCCTAAAAGCACGAGGTTTGTCAATCATCGCCCCAGAACAAGAGGGATGCGGAAGAGGGTGCATAATTAAGGAAGTACGTACCTGCCCACATGCCCGAGCAGTCCGCACAGACGTTGGGATTTCACTCAAAGAATTGCATTAAACTTTTTGTTAGAAATAATAACCTTGGCTGTTGTCATTCCGGATGTAAAGGTGGCGCGTAGCTGAAGTGAGAAGATGCATGTGTGGTTACCCAAGCACAGCGTGCAATTCCCAGACTACGTGTGTCTTTTTGACCGTTCAGCTATTGCATTGATATCTACTACATAATGCAAGTTAAATTTAGTGAACTCATGATTGGGTGTGTACGGACAGATCAGTATTATCTGTCGGCTGTGCCATCTACTTCTGCAGTCACTGCCACCTCTTGAACGCGCTGCTATCTCTGAGCTGGACTCGGTTTTTACGAAGTAGTGGCCCCCATGCTCAGCTGGAACATCACTATATGATTCAAAGAGGAACAGGTCGACTGCCAACATCACGGGAGTTCAAAAGAATGGTCGGTTCTGACACCTCATTTTCTTTTATCGGCCCCCAAATTTGGATCCGGCAGCTCTGGATCTGCACCTGCATGCGTTGCCTACATTAGGCCCCCAGACAACGTCATTCCACATCTTACGTGAGATCTCTCTTGCTGCAAAATAATAAATGGGGTCCAGTGCTCGGGTGAAGTGCAGCTCTAACCGCACATTGGCAATGGCTCATCCCTTGTGGTGCGTGTTCTCATATGTCAACCATTGGACATGAGCCCCTCTGCACTGTGTGGCCGTGCCTCAGGATCATCCCGGCGAGAATGAAGGCTGAAGGAGAGTGTTGGGGGCTAGAGCCGGATGAGTTGATCAGTTCAAACGATTCAGAAGAGTCGTACCTAGGAAAATACAGTATATAAATGCATGTCTCACTTTCGCAAGCCTTGCGGCAACGGCCAAATGCATGCATGTTTCATTTCAAAATTCGCTGAGAACCAACGGCTGACCGATAGAAGGCATTCCAAGACAGCCCGACAAAACCATGACTACCTACGCTGCTATTGAACCCCCATATGCAGGAACAGCGGGCGCGGAGCCGACGACCTCCTCTTTGCCACCAGGAGTGACACACAACATCGACCTCACGAGCTCATGTCTCAAGCTCTACCTCTATTGATGCCCCAGTACAAAGCGATGCCACGCCATTTACATTCATTCAGCTTCATAACAACAAGGACATCTTCCCACTCAGGGAGGATCACTTCCTCAGGTCGGACTTCGACCAGATCTGTGAGACAAATGATTGTCAGGCAGACTGCTTCAATATGACAAGAGTCTTTAGCGCAAGCCAGCATGCCCTAGCCAACAGCACTGATCGTTACGAAGTCGACATACCGGTTACGCTTTTTGGGATCTGCAGTAACCTCGCGAACGCCACCGAATCTGTAATCCGGAATGGCGACGAAACGACGGCATCCTTCTTCCCAAGACCCTTGGCTCAGATATCCAACGACAGCGACCTCCTCGCAGCAAACCTTACGACCTGTCTCGCCACCACCTGCGAGATGACAAGGCGTCCATCCGAATGCGTCGACTACTGTGGGCCGGAAAATCTTCTCCAGTCGCCGACCGAATTTGATTTCAGTTCGGGTCTGTTTCGATGTGCCAACAAGCTTTGCAGTAACACCTGCGGACTGCCGTTCGCAAATCAAGATGTCTTTGGCATTGGGGTATGCTTTATAAAGTTTTTATTGTGAAACCTGATATCGCTTCCAGATTGCTGATCTTTACCAGGTCCTGATATCATACTATGTTCAAGCCGTCCTGCTCTTAGCGTTGGCGGTAGCTGTTTCAGCATCTGCCGCCTGGCAGCTTTTTCGATTTGGTCGGTCACCACAGGTGATGGGTAGTCCAAGACCGACTCAAGCCGTCCTTAAGAAGTTTTTGGCAACTGAGTGCTATTTCGGAGGCAAGTTCTTACATCAACAAGCTTTATCTTTGTCATCACCACTCTGACCCTTGACAAACAGTGACAGCAGGAGTCGCGTCATTCTTCATGTCACCAGAGGAAGTCGACCCCTTGAACGGCTACGCCCTGCTGGCCGTCTCGCTCATGGGATGCATTGCTCCAGTATTCACGCTGCTCCTGCTCCACAGTCATGGCATCAAGTCGTGGCAGAGCACTGCTCTTTGCCTAGCAAGCTGGCTTTTGAACACTGTCGTCTTCTACATGCTTTTCGGCAATCTGAGCAACTCATTGAACACCATCGAACGAGTTGATCAAGTCCTGCGCAACTTGTTCCAGACAGAGTACTGCGGTAACTCGTCCGCCATGGTTCTCTGCCAAGAGTGGACGGGCTCAAATCCCGTGGAGTACCTAACCGAGTTTTACAACCAAAACATGGTCACAAATATTCATAATGTTCCAGTGTTATGGGCGTATGCGACTCTTGTCCTCCTGGTCCTTGTGGTAATGCAGGTTCTTGGACGACGCGATAGGCATACCTCTGGCTGCGCATCGATCAAGCAGGTAACCCCCAAGAAACAGCGCACCCTCCTCGGAAGGTTTCCCCTGCCCTCACCTCAATGCTGGAGGTTTGTCCTTCTCCTGGCCACGACAACGCTCTTTTCTCTCGCACTTAGCTGTCAATATGTCATGGTGTCAACTTATCATGCAATGGACGTCATTGACACACACGAATGGAGTTTCGGTCAAGTCGTCGCAGTCCTCATCTGGGTGCCAACACTGCTAGAGGTTGTGGAGTCATTTAATGGTAAGCGTGAGCTCTTGACCGAAATCTGATAGACTGCTGAAATGTTTACAGGCAAAAAGGAGATACAGAGGATAGCAACCGGCCGGCAAAAGCCTGAGCCAAGCACAGCGACACGTCTGCCATCCTCCGGGTCCCGCCAGCCGCTGGCACGTCCCTGAGCATTCAATCTCTGGTTTCCAAGGATCTTGCTAATCTACATACGCTAGAGGGAAAACGTCGCCGGATATTTGAGGAGCAGGTCAAGGCTAAAGATGATCCAAAGCAAGGCTGTCAATGATGTGTCATTTTGATTTTGTGTCGCATAAACAAATCGACTGAAAGTCATGCATTAAATTCTACCAATTATTGCATCGCAAATATCTAGTCTGTACTAGACAAAGCAGTCAATTTTCTAAGATGAATTTCGCTTCCCAAAGTCCCAAAAAAAAAAGAATTTCCTGGCGATCACTCGGGCGTCTCAGCGTAAATGTACTCAGGCTGGTTGAAACTGATCTTCTCCGCCGCCGTCCCACCTTTCAGCCAACAGTTGGCTTCATGATTCTCCAATTCCTTTGACATCTGCCAACCGAATACAAGGCTGTCCCAGCGGCTGCCATTATTGTTCCTGACGACAAACTCATTCATTCTCGCACAGGCTTCTACACAATCAGAGAACGTGTATGTCACAAGGGCTGTCCGGTCTTTGATCTCACCACTCCAAGGAGCATCCATCCCGCAATAGAATTGATACTTGAGTCCGCTGACGGCTGTGTGCTCGTTGGGTCCCCCGCGCTCCGCGCACTCAGCGGGTTGAGTCAGGTTGGTGGCATCTTGTGGCAACTTGGGCGCATAACCATTGCCATCATTGCTGGCATCTTCATCGCCCGAGCCAGCAGTCGTGCATGCGGCGGTGTCGGTCGGGGCTGACGAGGGTTCAGATCTGATGAAGGACAAAGTGCGAGCTCGGGACTGGTGCAATTTTACTATCATGGGTGATGATCAAGCGCACTTGTCGCAATCAGCCCGTTTTGCCCCCAGACCTCCTCCTACGCCGGCGCCGATGACCAGGGCGGAGACGACGGCGGCAAGTGTGGGCAATACCCACAAGCTCCAGCCAAAGGGCAATTTCTTTTGTTGAACGACGTGCACGTAGTCTGATGGTCTGCTCTTGTGCGTGTCAAAATACCGGAGATCGACCTCTGGTGCTTTTGCTGCTTGGTCCTGGTAATTGTCCACCTCGAGACCAGCTTCATTGCATGTTGTCGCCATTTCTTCAAATCAGAAAGTAGTTTGGATTTGTTCAAGACGGCCGTAACAGTCAGGCGCCAGAATGAGAGGGCAGCCAGGCAGATACAGGGAACTGGAATATAGAAAGAGAGAGAACGAGAGGGATGGAGCCTTGGGTCAATGTCGCGGTTACCTAGGTATGGGGACCGAGGGATCATTCGAACAGGGTGGGTCGACGGCGAGCTGAGAAAGCAGATGCAACACAATTCCAACCCCACGCTGAAATCATTGCGGCGGAACCAATGAGTACCTGGTACTGCTCAGCCTGATTGTGATTATCTATGTAGGTGTGCGGCTTGGTAGGCCACGTCGATGGCCTCCATTTTCACGTTGATAGGGGCTCGATCCCTTGGCAGTGCTTCTCGACGAGCCTCACCGCGATGCAGTCATGCACGCCGTTTCTCAGGTCCTATTCACCGGAATAGCCGAGACTACCTACGCTCAGAGTTTTTATGGCCTGCCCCTTCCAGAAGAGTGCATGCGGTTGAAAAGTGATGCTGTGTACATTAATCACACTATTCACTCGTGATCCCGCGACCACTGTGGACCGTTGCGGCTGCTACATTTGCATTTCCATCATCAGCTGAGCTCAGGACGGACTTCATGGTCGAATTGTCGACAACATATTGGAGCTGTGAAAGTGGCGTGCAGTTATATCAGCCTACCGAGCAAAGGCTTCCACCCGGAAAATAAACATCCTCTTCTTGAGGACTTGACATTTGAAAATTTATTTAGGACAAGAAAACCATGACAGGCCAAACACATGATGTAAGGCCTACTAGTGAAGAACACAAGCCTTTACCAGATTTATGTTGACTACATGATTGTCAATATAGCAGCAACTTAGTTGTCTTAGATTCTTCGTTTAAAGTATGTGAGCTCTTGATTTGATTGCCACAATGAGAGCGTTGCTGGACTCCAGTATGATCTATCAGTTTGCCGCGCCTAGTTAAAATACATCGCCTCAGCTAAATTATCAGGGTCAATTCTAGACACCGCAATAGTCTGCACAACTTGGCTAGACTTATGGAGTGAGATAAACAGAGCCAGAATGTGTCTGAAGTTTGTGGAGGAGGCCAGGAGCAGACTCAATGAGGAGGACATTCCTAAGGATTTAGACGAGAATGGTCTCAACGTACTCTATGATATAGAAGGTGGGTATCTTAAAGATGACGATTGGGAGGCTCTGAGGAAGGAGCTGAAGGCACTCGTCAACTCGGAAGAATCAACCTCAACGGGTTGGGAATGTCTTTCCCTTAAAAAGTGGACATAGGTGTCCATTGTTTAGGAATCCCAGTACATTTCTACATACATAGCTGCCTCCTGGGAGTGTGGATGATGAAGAATTCGTAAAAAGAGTCCAAATACATACTGTAAAGACCTGATCCCCGGCCGGCGTCACCGCAAGGCCATGATTTCTGTGTTGCAAGCAATTGAATTGCAATCTCTGTTTTGGCAAATTGCAAGGGGTGGATGTGACTAGGGGGTTAGAAAGGTGTCGTGGAATTCCTGCTAGCATGAGAAACGGGCAACTTAAGGTCTGATATAATGACTGACTGGGCATTGGCCGCAGACCTGCAGACCTTTCCAGCGTAGTATGGAATACGGATATATCATCTTTATTTCTCTGTGTCTAGTCGGGTAGAATCTTCAATTTAACTTTGGAACATCTGTGCAGCTGCCACTGCGGCTGTTACATATTGCTTGCGCAACTCTGACACGCAATGAGTCGCAGCCCCTAATGCTAAAGAATGCAAACCGTTTCCTTCTTTATCTGTGAAACCCATTCAAACCCTGATTTTTTCTACAAGTACACCAGGCCCAGTCTCTCGTAGGCTGTTGGGTCACGGAGCGATCTCCCAAGCAAGATCATCGTTAACGTGTGACGATTCACCTCCTCCCTCATAATAATGCCCCACAATCTGATTTCGGAACCAGTGTCATATCTTGGAGGAGACCTGACATAAACACTCACTGAGTTTCCCTCAGTTCCTGCCTTTAACTCGAAGGGCACGTCCAGATTGACGTTCGCCTTGAAGACCTCTTGGTCGATGTGTTGTAATCCATTGGAACTGTCGTCTCCCGGAATCACTGACACAGCAAATTGATCCAGCAGTGAGATAGTGCCATATATTTGGCCTTAGTTCCCGGGTCAGGCTCGACGACTTGTAAAGTTGGCGATGCCCGGTGTGCTTCCAGGTCAAGGATTCTCGTGGGAAGTACTGCTTCGGCTGGTCTCTGACACATAGCTTGTTTATGTGACTGGCAACATTTGTCCAGCCACCTCTGGATCACATTGAGGCTGTTCTCATCGCCGAAATTCATGGAGTATATTGGGTTGGGCAGGCGATTCTGAGGAAGTGGAGTGAAAGTTAACCTCGGTCCGCGGAAAGGAGCACTATGCTCAAAGGTCTCCCCAGCTCCAAAGGCGATTAGATTCCATGCCTCTTCGGTATCAAATTCCAGTTCGCAAGATTGACGCCGGTTGGAAGAGGATAACCACACCTGTCCGGGATGCTCGAGCCAGGCTGAGTTGACAGCCTTGATACCCCTGACAAGGACTGAACAGACGTCGCACCCTCCTTCGTTTGCGGCATTAACAGCTGAAACGATGCATGGAAAGGGAGATTCTCTAGGTCTGTGAAAAAGTGGCCCGGGGTTGCCATTCGGTAGATACAAGCCATTATGGCAGCCTTGACAACCAGGCGCGGATGATAAGAAGGACTGCGCAGGATCCCTCATGCTGAGTGTGCTAATATAGCGATCCATAGAGGCCAATATAAAGAGGTTCTACACCATATATTTATAGCAAGGTGGTGGACTTATGTTCTGCTATGGAGATCAGAGAAGACTAAGGTGACACGGGCTGAAGGAATAGATAACACCCAGCCAGATGCACTGTAACTAGGCATATACTGAAGAAGAGGCGGCCCTGTGGAGTACTTATAAATATGGACCCTGCTTACGTGGCGTCTCAAACAAGTATCTCATCTGACTGCAGGCGCAACGTCCGTCAGTGGGCCCGGTACATACGAGTACTTGAGGCACACTGCCAACTAAACTGTCCATTTCCTCAACAACTACGCATTAGAAAGGGAAACAAAAGTATTATTAGATCTATATCAAATAAAAGTAGCCAGATCATTTTTTTTCACAATTACTGTTTCAATCAGAAATCATAAAATAGTGATACTTTTCTTAGAGGGCTGCCTCTGCTTAGTTATCTGGCGGAACACTCCGTTTATTAGCGCAGCCCACAGATTATGTTTTTGCGTTTCTTTTTTTGCGTCTGCGGCCACAGAGCTTCGTATTCCTCTGTCGATCTCTGGCACGATGTCTTAGGAAACCTGAGTTGCGTCTCCATTCAATCCTGCTCTGGACTTATGAGGAGCACCTATGACGACATTACATCCATAGGAGAATGTTAGAAGCTATGACCAAACCGTAATTTGATACTGTATACTTCTGCAAGCTTGATCTTAGATAGGAGTCATAAGAGAAGATGAACGATCGTGCAGCCAAGTCGCTAAGCAACACGTGGTGTTCCAACAACCTCCCATCCCTTCCTTCATGGATATTCACCTCAGCTGGGCCCGAAAAGACCATAGTTGCGATGGGAAACTAGGAGGGTCATTTCGAGATTGATTCGTGAAGCTCTTGAATTCGAGCAAAGAGCACCAATGAGGGCCTCGCTCAGTTGTCGTCAAACCTTCTTACCTCAACAAAGGCGTGTGCTGATGCATAGCCTGGGCTTTCGTGTCGTCTTACTACCAGTGAGCACGAAGCGCCTCAAGAAGCTGCAGAGCAGACGTCAGGCAGCCGGAAAACAACACCGCCTTCAAAAATGCCATTATTTCCCTTTCTGGTCGTTTCTCCAAGGGTTCAAGGGATCCTGATCCGAGCGTGGGCGGTATTCGTCTGTCACTGACAGTGAAGTCTCCCGGCGATGAGCTCAACGACGACCTTGCGGAAACGGAGGAGCTGGTCAGCACCCATAACGAGCTCTTCGAGCACAACTAGGAGATACGGAATCAGTTCAAATACCTAGAATTAGCTCAAGATCTGTTGTCAGCCAATCCTCTGCAGCCCTTGGGATGTGTCTCGGAGTTTCAATTCGATGGCGGCCGTCTACGCCCATGACCGCTATGCGCTATATGAAAGTTAGGTTCGGAGGTGAAAAAGTGGCACAACGCGTGCTCCCTTGGAGATGGAATATTTTGGGAGCGCGGAGAGAATCAGCGAGGCTGAGGATGATCTGAGCGAGATGAAGTCCTTCGAGGCGGAGAACGCCAGATGTACTCCGTAATATCTATTTGATGCCAGGGACTGCGACCTGTCTTGGAGGATACCCGGAGGGTTGCGCAGCGGCGATAAAATGCCCGGAGGCCACTGGAAGAATCCATTTGGTGATCGAGGACGAGAAGATAATTATTTAGGGATGGTGATCCTGTCCATTGGGCAAGAAGTCTGTGCCGATTGTGTCGACTTGCCTCCCCCCACCGCCAACATCCCTGTTCTCAAAGTCAAATAGTTGCACTGGCGGGGAAGTCTTCCGCGGCGATATAAACTTTTAAGAGTAACTTTGAGCATATTTTTGAGCTGCGGGAAGACGTAACACCCTGGTTGGTTGCGATATTGTTACTTTGCAGGTGGAGAAGGTAGCAGAACAGCTGAAGACCAAGGACACGCAGTAAACAGAGTTCAAGTCTCATTTAACTCTGAGCCGCTGTCTCGTCGACCTCCTCATCTCCCGTTGATTTCTCAACCATCTCCCCACAACTCGTCCTCATTGCTTTCAATCGTCGGTCCAACGACCTGTCTCACCAATCAGTGACTGAAGCCGAAAGATCTGTCAATCATGTCAGCAGTTGAGCTCAAAAGAGGTCCCGGCCGACCAAAGGGTTCCAGAGTAGTGAAGAACCGTGCGCCAGTTCGCCGCTCGATGCGTGAAACCACCGCATCAACAAGCCCGGAAGATGAAGGTCAAGCTGATGGCCACGAAAATGACATGTATGAATATACCCATAAGCTTCCATCACGGGAGAACCTTCCCATTCCACTCCTGCAATGGACCGCTAAGTCCCACCAAAGTCATGCACCTCCAGCCTCGGACACTTCATCCGCCGAAGATGCTTCTTGGCAGGTCGAGCGCCAGATATTGCTAGACGAAATCGAAGATCTTAATAACAAGTACTCAGCTATAGAGAAGGAATTGAGACAGGACAAGCGTCAATCAGACCGGAAAATCTCGGACTTGCAGGAGATTTTGACGCACACTCGGAACGAAAGTACCAGACGAATCGAGGAAGTTACCAGGGCCAGCGAGGACAAAATCGAGGAACTGTCGATGACGAACGGGCGGCTGATACAGCGAGCCAACGAAGCGAAGGAGAGAGAAGCCGAGCTGGAGCAGCGAATCGATGTCTTGCTGAGTGGGCAGCCAGGGCCTCTGGCAGCGGGGCCTTCCAGTAGAACTAACCCAGCTCCGTCGTCGAGCAGGCCACAACCGTCTGCCTCGTTCAACCTCGTCGATTCCTCTGCCGAAGATGAAACGGCGAGCCCACGGCGCTGGCAACAGGCATCCGGTGCCAAGAGGACAGAACGCAACAGGAGGGAGCCACAGAAGCGGACTCCATGGAGTGACCATGATACGGTGACACTGCTCGAGTTGACCGCGAGCCACGGAGCGCAGTATTCAAAACTTGAGAAAATCTGGACAACACATCTCCCAAATCGTCATCCGCGAGACCAGAAGCAAATCAAAGACAAGGCGCGGAACTTGAAGGTCTTTTATCTCAAGTGAGTAAAGCGGCTCCGTCTCATTATGATGGCCTGCTCATATAACGGCACGCTCTAATACACGTTGCAACAGGAATAATAGACCACTGCCCCCGGGATTCGACGAAATCAGAATCGACGCCAAGGGAAGAGCACAGATCAAAGATGCAGGTTACAATCCTGATAGGATGGAGAATGATATAGATGAAAATGGACGGTTGTTTAACACGTACCCCGATGAAGAGTAGGACTGAAAAAGGGAGTTGAAATTGAGAGTTCTGTTGGGTACCGTCAAAACGATGTATGGGTGTATGACCAGGTTTATGTAGTGTCGATGTAGAGCCTTTCAGCCGGTCGCAATGTAATTCCCATTATTTTTCATTTTTGAGATTGCTTGATACCCACACCTTGGCCACATCACTCGCCTTACCACCTAACTCAGCACCTGGCAAGGGTGACCAACATAAGTGTAGGGATAATTATCTAGATGTACGAAGCAACTTGATCAACCGGGATCAACAAGGCTTTCCCGAACCAGCGGACTTGATACACAAACGAAGTAAGTATTCTCTTTTCCTGTATAAAATGAAGCTTGTGATGACAAGAAAAATGTAGAGCGTTTTATCACGGGAGAAAGCTGAGCGTATATGTGTTCGCTGTCTACTCTCAGACTAACTGCCGTCTGCTAGTGGTGGCTTCCACGATCTCGCCATTGGGGCTCACCTGAGGGCGACATGAACGGCCGCAACGAGTCTTCTCAGCCTCTGCGTTGGTCTGAAAGCATCCTGGCTTGCCGTGGCAGTGAGGATACAGACAACCGGTCAGCATCACGAAGCCTGGAATTCCAATGGCTTGCAAGTCGAACCCCTGTACGGTATGGACCGTGACGACTGCGAGAAATCTCTTGTCTGCAAGGACAGTTACCATGCCCAGGACATCACGACAGATTCCACGGCCTGTGATAGTGGTCACCTGTGGTCCGGAAAGAAGAAGGCATACCAAACTTGTCTCGTTATCGAGTCCTCGATGCCATTGGTTCAAGAAGTGGACCGAGTTCAGTACCAATGATGCAAGACGTGGCATGTTTCTCTCTTCGTTCTTTAGCCTTTGGGGGCGAAAGGAGTATGCCCAGCGAAGCTAAGAGCCGCCTTCAACCGGCTGATGTGATGCTGATGGGAGATGCTGACAGCCGTGCCAACTCTGACAGGGGCGGGGGCTAATACTAGCCATTCATTGCTCAAATGAGGCTGAGAGTGTAAGACGGCCCAGTCGCTACCTACGTTTAGAGAGGGGGGTTGGTGGCGAACCATTTGAACCGCACGGGATGATCGACTAATTACGATGCAGTATGCAAGAAGCAACTACAGTTTTGCCGCCTGCAGATATATCTGCTCGAGTTGCTTTTTCCTCAAACAAAAAGCAGAGCAACCTGGGTCAGGTGTTAGAATATCAACACCACGGCTTAGCTTCGTTCCTCGGCGAGGTGGAGCAAAGGATCACAACAAACTTGATACACATACGTGCACACGACCCATCACACCACGTGTTGCAAGCCAACACCATGGCGAAGTTCAATGACCTCGCCGTCGAGCTGCAGGAGGCCATCTGGGAGCTCGTGCTCCCCCAAACACGCGGAGTACATTGGATAGAAGTAGACGGCATCCCGCACGAGCCCGACTTTGTCCGGGACAGCATCCGCATGACACAATGGCACAGATTCGACCGAATCCCTGAAACACATGACGCCGTTTACTATTCCCGGCAGAGACATCCCAAGTTTTCGGAGCGCGCCAGGGCGAAAGCAGACGAGTCGGGCCCCTTCTTCCGGCATCTGCTCACCACCGTGCCGGCCGTCTTTGGCCGCCCGGGGCCCGATGATGATGAGGACGGCAGCAAGCAGCTGCCGTATGACCGTGCCGATGAGATAGCCCATACGCATCGCTGCAGGCAACTATCTACCTATACTCAGATCTCCACTCTCCTCTCGACCTGCCGGCTGTCACGGCTCGTCGCCCAGCAGCGCATCCGGGACGACAGCAATCACAGCTGGCCCCTCCACCGCAGCATGGGCCCTCTCTACCGGCCGCGCCCGATGGGGACCTGGGAGGCCCAGTACGGTCACGAAAAGGCCCCGGCCGTCACCAGCAGCCCCGATGGCGCCGAGGTGCTCGCCCCTCGGATCCACGCGCTCGACCTCGTCGTGCTCCGGCTCCACGACAGCCGGGGCCGCGCGACGCCGCTGCTGCGGCAGGCGGCCTGGCAGTACGGCGTCGAGACGCCGTGCCACGGCACGACGTTCGCGTGCTTCGACCGCGTGGGCATCGAGTGGCACCCGTCGTGGGGCGGGCGCGGTGGCGAGCTGCTGCTGCGGCCCGAGAACGTCCAGGCGTTTGTCAGGGTGATGCAGGTGGCGCACTTCCCTGCGTTCCTGTACTGGATCGTCGACGGGGTGCCGCGGCCGGACTGGGGGCGCGACTACCCGGCTGTCGTGCGGGATGTGTTCGAGGAGCGGATGGCCCTGGAGAAGGGGCACGTCCTGGAGCATCTGAGCAGGCACTGGGAGCAGAGCGATCGCGAGAGGCAAGTGATGCTGGCTGATCACCACCTCGGCCAGGAGTTCGAGGCCAACGGGCGCCGCTACTACATCGTTTTCGTTGCGTTCGGCATGTTTACAAGGGACCTGCGTCGGCGGCTGCGGGCGGCCGGGCTGGACCACCGCGCGCCGTTCCCGGGGGGCGCGGACGTGTGGCCCGAGGCATTGAGAAGGCCGGCACAAGTCGCATATGATGTGATGAGGGACAAGTCCTCGAACATGGGCACGTATCAGAGCACTTCATATATCCTGAGCTGGGAGCCAATCTGAGCCTGTTGCAAGCCTGCGGCCCAGCGGAAGGCACAGACGAGGGAACTCGTTTGACAGCGCAGGCTTTACAGATGGCTTGCCGTCGCGACATCAGTACCATGTAGTTACGATATTCGCATAATTCATAAAATTAAACCATATCAAAAGACATTCAAAAAGCTGAAATACCAGCCTTTCTCTTTCTCCAGTAGTCGAGAGGCAAGTTGACCAGTAGTGCGCTGATAGAGAGACCGACCGAGATGCTGATGGCAACTTGGATCACCTGGGTGGTCACGCTCATGGCGATGTCTGTCGAGGCAGTAAGATCCTCAACTGCCGACTCGCCCACCTCCTCCGAGATAATCCAGTCGGCGCTCTTGATGCCTGCAAGCAGGCTACCCCCAACCGCCACTACAAGATGTTAGTTGACTAGAAAGTGGCCACGCGCCACATGATAAGTTCAAAAAGCCGACCGCTATCAAGAGATTTCACTTACGTCCACTGGGGACCTGTACACTGGATTTATGTCAGCGGTTCATCTTTGCTCGAAAAGAAGTACTTTCCTTTAATGTAAATGAAAACAAGTCCTCGTGGACCAGAGCAAAAAGACCGGCGATGTAGATGACGTTTCGACTTACAATATCGCAGGCAGCATCGCTGCCCCCGCAACGCCGTAGCCGACCCTCGGGTGGGTCTGTTGTGGGATATCTCGAGGACCCGAGTTGGTTTGACCCGAACAGCCGCCGCCCTCCACGTCGCCTGTTTTAGAGCGCCATCTTTGCACGCGGTGTACCCATGGCTTGATAAAGTTGTTCCAGGTGTAGACTGTACAGGAGGGGTCTCTTCCCAGCCGAGAATAGAGATTTGCGAGAATACCTGTGCACAACATCACATTAATGAACTGGATGCATGAGTGAGGCGGCTTCCCTTTCTCACGGTCCATTTGTCCACGAGAACCGACTCCCTGGAAGCGACTCACCAATTGCCATGGCCCCAAGCGTATTAGATACCGTGGAAGCGCCCTTAAAGTAATAGCCAGCATGCCAGTTCACCGCGTAACCAGAGACGGAGATCAAGAGCATAGCAGGCATCTGCTCCCATCTCGCCTGGTTGATTATCGCGACGCAGATGGTGAACAAGGACACAAACAGAAGATTCCACTCCTTTGGCAAAGGGGCCGAGCATGCGGTCTCGCTCGTTGCGTCCTTGTCCAGCGCACCATACCTGGTTGCACATCCTGTTAGAATCTTGCTGGGCCGGGGAGAACAATTCAAACGGCCACGCGCTGTGACTTTACGGTGCTAGAGGACCACTCACAAGACAGATCCGATTGTGATGCCGTAACCGAGGAAGAGCGTGTATATGATGGCGTACATCATCCTCGTCGCACCGGCAATGAGGTGGCGCGTCTGAAGCTCAAGGCTCGCGCACAGAATCATGTCTAGATGCGGTGCCTGTCATCAGCGTATGAGGACTTTCCAGAGTACAGAGCCCACCTACACCCAGGGAGAATCAGCGCGATGCCGGCCTGCGCCAGGGCCGAGAAGCAGAAGAGGCCCCCGCCCCGTATCGAGCCGAACGCGCGGGCGAGGAAGGATATCACGATGGAGGCGACGATCTCGAAGACGTTGGAGAAGAGGCGGTTGCGCGCGAAGTAGAGCTGCATCAGCCCGAGGACGCACCCGAGGACGAAGGCCACGGGGAGGTCGACCCACCGGCCCAGGAAGCCGAACGGGGCGACGCAGGCGCACGCACAGCCGTCTGTGTATCGTTGTCGATCGGCACAGTCAGCTTTGTCCTTTTTTTTTGTTTTTTTTTTCATTATTGGTTGTTTCGATCACTCGCACCAGGGGTTGGGTGGGCTTACACATCAGGACGCAGAGGGAGTCGCAGTATCGCCTTTCCCGGCTCATCACCTCTTCTAGGCGGCCCGTGCCCTCGTCGAACGTGATGGCGTCGTGCAAGACGTTGAGGTAGATCTCGTGGACGCATCTCATCCGTCCGAGGTCGATCCCTTGGGGAGAGGTGACCATGGTCATCTTGGTGGTTTGGGTACCCTTGTCCTGCGAGCAACGCGAGGTTAGCAGCTGCCCCGCAACCTGGCATACATCATCTTGTGGCAAGCTCGATGCGTTGCCGGGGGGGGGGGGGTGTTGGGTTGTTGCGTATGAGTCTTTGGACTTACCAGGAATGATATCAGCATGCAGTTGGGCGCGTACAGGAACTGCGCGTTGACTCTTATGGCCTGAGCCGAGGTCGACATGTATCTATGCAAGTGAGGCATCAGCGCATAAGCGCCATATAAAAAGTGTTGATCCATGGCATGGCGGTGAAGGAGATATTTCTAAAGCTTCAAAAAACTTGGCGGCCTGCCCAGGCCTGAGAGCCCAACCTCACTGGCTCTCCATATGCCAGCCATCAGACCGGGCCGGGGCGGTCACTTACTCTTCCAAGCGATGTGTAGGTGCTCCATAGAGCATCAAGGCTCGGCATAGCCGGATCAGGTACATATGGCGGCCGATGTGGCCCTTGATGATCTCTGTCAGGTGGGTCTTGGTCTGTTCCTTTTCAGTTGCCCACTGGTCGTTGTGTTCCTTGGACTTCCTCCGCGGCCGGGCCCGAAGCGGAAGTGGGCTCACTTTCTCCCAATCGCTAGTGTCAACGTTGGAAATCCGCGGCGCCGATGCTCCCGGGGCCTCGTCTTCTTCGTCCGAGGAGTCCAGTTCCAGGTACGAAGTTTTCCGTTCCCAGGTCGGGATTGTTCCGAAAGTCGAGGTCCGGACCGGCTCGGCTGGACGTTGTAGGTCGTGAAGGGCGTCGTTGACGTGCAACTTGCAGACGTCCATGATAATTGCCAGGAGGCCTTCCTGTGGCATTGCGTCCTTGTCATCGATGTCGGGAGAAGTGGCCAGCGAGTCGATTTGTTCTGATGGCAAACCTCCCGCGAGTGACGCATGCGCCGATTTAGTAGAGAATCTCCGTAGACTAGTGTCCACAATCTTTCTGGCGATGTTCAATGATACCGTTTTCGGCTTGGCTCCCGGAGTCGCCTCGGCAGGCTCCCTGCTCCCTGCTGGGTATCATGTAGCGTCAATTGCGCGTGCTCCAAGATACGGATGAGGACGGAGTAGAGTTTCGGCTTGCATACCGGCTATGTTTTGCCCTTGAGTTTCATCTGGCCGAGCTGTTGGGATTGCGGGCTGCTCTGTTTGGATGCCATCACCTGACACTGTAGGATGCCGGGCTGAAGAGTGTCCATTGGAGTGTCGACTGCCTCCTGGTTCGCCGCCTGCTTGTCTCTCAGACACCCGGAATGCTGCTGAGGTGTTGGGAAGGGTATTTCGACTGGTACCTTCCGTACAGGTATCCCCACTGTAATCCATTTGGGTTGCATTTACATGCTCTCCAAATCTCTCGGCGAAGGTGTCCTTCATTACAGGATCTGGCCTCTCAGGTGCTTTCTTAGACATTGCTCGTGACGCGAGGTATCTGCGACAGGTCAGACGTCCAGTGCTTGTGTATGTGTGCTTATCCACAGTGTATTCTCGAGGTCCTCTCGGAGCGTACCAACGATGGGCGACTCATTAAATATCAGGAAAAGTCTGAGCAGGCAAATCGATCGATTTCGTTTACTGTTATCCCATTGAAATACCTCCAGCTATAGATAAGCAACTTGGGTACAGAGACAATTGTGGGAGCGGAGTGAATCCTCCGCCAGCCTTGATCGCGATGGAACTTCGTGCCTGCGCCGTCGTGGAAACGACGTCATGGTGGCATTGTAGTTAAAGGGGACTGGTGGTTTTGCACCTACAACCATGCGCTCGTTCCTTTTCTATCAATAGGCTCACGCTGCCTGGCTTCTGATTAATTTTCAATGGCATTTATTTGTTTCTTCAATGTACCGGTCGGACGCAATCTTCATTTTCTTTTGTCAACTAATGATCGTTGCGTCGGCACGTGGCATAAAGCGCTACATGTACGGTACTGTGTTTCTGGCCATGACTCTTGGGATGATGCGTCTGCACTGGCTAGATTAACGGATCGGCTGGTTAAGGTCCCGGCCATTGCACAGACGTACGTTATCGCCTCAACCAGTGCCACACAGACACGGGCATCTATCTCTCAGGCAATTATGACGCTGCAGACAACCTTTGGTTTGATCTAGAACATGAAATCATACTACATTGTCTTCCTGGCGTATCGAGATTGATCAAGGACTCGGATGACGCTTAGCACTCCTAGAAGCCGAATAAGTGACCAAAACATGTTGTGTAACATGTAGATGCCTCGCCGCACTGCTAACACGGATTTAATATGCCAAGAGTGCGGGCATCGCTCAAAGCCCGGCCTTGGGTACGAGGACGACATCACTTGATCGCTCAGCCCGCAACAAGTGGTCGGTGTGATGTATTACCGTTGACTCTGACGGTGGGAACTGTGCTGTACATATAACCATGTTTGAGCTCTGTTCATTTTTGAAGCATTCCCGCTGTTCATCCAGTCCTGTACGTGATAGAAAATGTGGACACGGCTCCCCATGGGCCGCCTAGCCTTCCCGACACAGCTTCCAAGATGTCGCAGCGTGTGCTTGTGCCTAACCTGTGCACGCAAAGATGATCTAGACGCACTGGAGGATTGCTAACGTCCATGCAAAGTCTTGAAATGCGTCTTCGCAAACGGCCACATAATATTGCTCCAAGAGAGGCAAAGTTGACTTCGAGGTCGACGGTGTTGCCCATGCTGTTTACTTGGGTTCGGAAACGAGTGGACGACCACATTGGTCAACGCAGCTTTCCCGGCCTCATTAGCTATTTTTGGAAATTCTTATCTTCTCCAGAAGGATGCCCCATTTAAATCGGTCCACCGGAGAGTGTTTGGCGTACGCATTTATCTATTGCTTGACTGCATCAATGACGTATTTTGAGATTTTCCATTTAGACCACGTTTCTCGCCGAGCGGCCCTATCAAATTTGTTTCTGACGAGAATCCATCTACATGAGTCAGCGTACGCCCACCCAGCTTCTACAGTACGCCCACCCAGCTTCCAGCGTTAGCCCACCCAGTATAAAGAAAATTAGCTGCATCCGCATTAAAATGTAAGTATTGCGGGGTTCCCAGCAAGCTAAGGTAGCTATTTTTTAATTTAAGCAATACTTTAAAAATATAAACCTAAAAAAGCCCAGAGGGTTGCGAGGGAGCAGAGGGCCGCGAGGGCGCAGAGGGCGCAGAGGGCGTAGAGGGCCGCAGAGGCCGCAGAGGGCGCAGAGGGCGCAGAGGGCGCAGAGGGCATAGAGGGCCGCAGAGGCCGCAGAGGGCGCAGAGGGCGTAGAGGGCGCAAAGGGCTGCAAAGGGCATAGAGGGTAAAAGTAACTTTTAAGTTATAAATAAAGGGGTAGCTATAAAACCCCTTTAGGGTAGCTATAAAACCCTTTTAAGATAGCTATAATTATGCTTTATTAATAACCCCATAGTATTAATATTTTATAATATATGCAGCTAATTTCCTTATACTGGGTGGGCCAACGCTGGAAGCTGGGTGGGCGTACTGTGGAAGCTGGGTGGGCGTACGCTGACTCCATCTACATCCATCTATATCACCCTCCTCTCCATCTGTTCATATACTTTGCATATGATCTTTGAAGACCCTCAATGAGCGGACGCAACACTGCTGGCTCGACTGGGAACTCGTTGTCCGGCGCGTGGCAGAGACAAGGCCCGTGACTCCGATCGAGATGTCTTGAACCCTTGTCGGACAAGACATGCCTGCCAACTGGGCAGACCAGCGGCTCGATGCTGGATGCTCGATTCACAAGCTGGATATTGTCCGTAGCTTGGTTGTCCGTTTATCGGCCTCTTGAACGCCGAATGCCACCAGCGTGGAGGAAGTTCGGGATTGGCAGCCTCCAGCTGACGTTGAAGTGCCCGAGCATCGTGGACATGAGTGGCCGTGTACATGCGGAGTTGGGTAAGAGAAAACCAGGGTTAGGGGACTATCAGTGCACGCCTTGCCAGCCAATGACATAATAGTGCATGTGTTATCGGACCCCTGCCAGCTGTGGAGCAACCTTGATGGTCATCCCTTTGTTGCTGACCTACAACGTTCGACTCATTGGCTTTTTTTTTTCCTTGCTGACAACACAAGACACACTCGTTTGTCAACACCAGGCCCCAAGATGCGAAGCGCATCGGTGCGGCAGCTCAGGCTGTTGCATGGCCCTGCTGGTGCCCCGTTTGCGAAGCCATTGAGTGCTTCGCTGTCGCGTCAGTCTTCGTTGGGCGCTGCGGACGCGGTGAGGACATGCATGTGGTCCTGCAGGCCGGGCCGAGGCCGCGATGTCGGCTTGGCAAAGGTCACACACCCTCACCTGGGGACAACACGGCGACAGCAGCTGGGTACGACTTCAGTTCGGAGTAAAAAGTCTGGTCGAGATGATGAGGAGACTGGCACCTACAGCGAAGCCGACCACGAACATGCTGTCATCTCAACCTTTGACCTGTTCTCCATCGGCATCGGCCCTTCCTCGTCGCATACCGTCGGCCCAATGCGGGCTGGCAACATTTTCGTGACGGACCTCCTCGAGGCTGGTCTCCTGCACAAGGTCCACAAGATTCGAATCTCCATCTATGGCAGCCTGGCACTCACCGGCGAAGGCCACATGACACCATCGGGTATGTCTGGAATTGCGAGTGCATCCACCTGGAAATCCTCACTGACCCCTGCCAGCCTTGGTCCTGGGCCTCGAAAGTGCCGATGTGGAATCCGTCGACACGGCCTACGTGCCTGCTCGATTCGCCGAGATCAAGGCCACCAAAAAGCTGTTCCTGGGCCAAGGTCTTGCTGGCGGCAAGGGCAAGGAGATTGATTTTGATTACGAGACCGAATTCGTCTGGGAATGGGGTCGAAAGCTGCCAATGCACAGCAACGGCATGCGATTCATGGTCTTCGATGACCAGGGTGACATGCTAGCGACCAACGACCTCTTCAGCGTTGGCGGTGGCTTCGTCGTCAACGGCGCTCTATCGACTGCAGCATCTTACAGAGAACCGTCTATCTCCATGGACAAGGACTCTGGGGCTCCAACACCAGGGACTCATCCGAAGGATCTGGGTGAAAACCTGTTCTATAAAGAAATCAGACGATCTGATGCGGCCGGCGATCGGAGGAGTGGTATCGAGGTGAAACCAAAAGACGACGCGAAGCTCTTGGATCCGGGCAATGTTGAGAGTGAAGCTGTTGTGGTGTCATCCGCGGGAGACGCGCAACCCGTGACTGAGGTGGAAGACGACACAAGCAACGCCGCCCAGCCCAGCTACCCTTTCCGGGATGCGACCAGCCTCCTGGCTCTCTGCCACAAGCATAACCTTACCATTGCTCAACTGGTCTACGAAAACGAAAAGAGTCACGGTTACACTGATGAGGAAATATACGCCAAGGTGATGCGTATCTGGCACGTCATGGACCACAGCATCCTCGAAGGCGTGCAGGCCTCCCCTGAGACCACGCTTCCGGGATCTCTTAACCTGCATCGACGCGCACCGGCCTTGTACAAGCGACTCACCAGGGGTCTGTACCCGGCTAGCGCATACAAGATCGCCCCTGCTGCCGAGTCTCCTGAAAAAAGCCGGCTGACCGGCGCGACGGGCATGTCCGGGTCCACAAACCTCGCGACAACGGCAGCGACACCGTCCAAAGTTGGCACAATCGCCAAACGTGGCCCCCCTCGCATCCACGGCTCTTTCAGCCACCCAGTCATGCCGTCTCCCCTGCGCCGGACAGAGTTCCCGGCCATGGACTACCTGGCCGTCTACGCCATGGCCGTCAACGAGACCAACGCGGCCGGCGGCCGGATAGTGACGGCCCCGACCAACGGCGCCGCGGGGATCATCCCGGCCGTGCTGAAGTACACGGTCGAGTTCATCAGCGACGACCCGGAGCGCGACATCATGACCTTCCTCCTCACCTCCGCCGCCATCGGCATGCTCTACAAGCGCGGCGCGACCATCTCCGCCGCCGAGGGCGGCTGCATGGCCGAGGTGGGCGTCGCCTGCTCCATGGCCGCGGGGGCCTTCGCCGCCTGCATGGGCGCCAGCCCGGATACCATCGAGCAGGCCGCCGAGATCGGCATCGAGCACAACCTCGGGCTGACGTGCGACCCCATCGGCGGCCTCGTCCAGGCCCCCTGCATCGAGCGCAACGCCCTGGGCGCCATCAAGGCCATCTCGAGCGCCAACCTCGCGCTGAGCAGCTCCGGCACCGCAAAGGTGCGCCTCGACGACGCCATCCGCGCCATGAGGCTCACGGCGCAGGGCATGCGCAACGAGTTCAAGGAGACTAGCCTTAGTGGCCTTGCTACGAGCGTGCCGTTTAACATCCCCGTCAGTGTGCCTGACTGTTGAGAAGCTGTGACTGGAAATGTTACGTCTGGTTTATGGTGGGTAGTGAAGTGGGGGTCTTGCTGATGAGGTAGTGAATGTGGGCGTGAGGTTTGTTTTTTGGCGTTTCCAAGTGATTTAGCTTCAAAAAAGAACGGTTCCAGTCTATAGACGGGTCAAAGAGGCATATTCTTCATCCCACCTAGATCTCATCTAGCAAATATTCATTCATTTCGAATCTGGTTCTTATTTCTGTAGATGCTTGGAAATCTATGTGCCGCCACAAAGCTGTCGAAGAGTATGATAATACAAATGGCGCTCTGGATCAAATTTCTCTCCTCTGAAGAGTTACTGGAATGGCCACTCTGCAGAGTCTACAATTTTTAAACTCCAAACCAGGACAAAAGTTACGAATGCGTGTAGCTGTTCTGCTGAATAGTTATGTGTGGCTGTAGGTCTTCGTACCCTGAGGGCGTGTTGAAGAACCCAAGGCCTGATCCACTGTCAAGATTCAGCAGACGCTCCTTTTCCGTAAATATTTCGCAGCGCGTGTATGCTCAAAATTAACGATGCTCGCGAGCCGTGCCTCAAGTTGTTCGCTGAAGGAGGCAAACACATCATCAGAGGAAGCAGGCACAGACAACTCCCGCAACAATATTGGCAATCCGTTCATTGAGTCTCGTGTGAACCTCGCTTATGGACCATCTGCTCTGTTTCACACGCACCAATCCGAACGATCGTTTGAGCTCTTCCATAATTCAACGAAAGAATCAGATATTCCTGATGCCCTCACGTAGAGTCTTTGCCAGCAAGCCAAGAGGTTGAATCAATGAAGCTTCTCCGCGAGTGAAGAGGTTCAGGCAGGAAGGGTGAGACACAGAGAACATGTATTCATTACTGCTGTGCATGTTGAAGCCGTCACTCCAGAGCGCGTAGTAACTGACATGACGATCCATGCCTTGGCATCAATCACACATATTTGCATGGGACGATTTCTTGTGACTGTCGTAGGCCTCAGTAACCCTCAGCAGTGAGTGATGTTCGCAAATGGTATATAAATATCTTCTTCGACCTCCTACTTGAGCCAAACCTTTCCATGAAACACCCAAACTCAACTAAGAACACACAACCAAGTCAAAAGCTTTGCACAAATTGAAAGCCACACATCAGCACCTGAGAACTTCAGCGCCTTTGAAAACCAGGTTGGACCGCCGCTGAAAGTCCTATCCAGCCTTGTTGACTAGTCACGGCACTATCACCGCCCACCAGAACCAACGTACAGAGATAATTTTATGAGCGCTCCGATGTCGTTACCAACACCCCTCGGGGTTCCAGGTCCAAACCCGTGTGGATTCTGCAACAACGATATTGGACGCCCATGCGCCATATACGTATCGATCGACTGTCCTGATTGCCGCAACCGATGGGTCCGTTGTTTCCACTGCGAAGGTGAAGGAACCTCTCCGACCGCCCGCCCGGACGGGACCCATGCCGACTGCAACACCTGCATCAGCAGCGGCCACGTGGTCCGTTGCGTCGTGTGCAACGGCGACGGCTCGGTGAGCGGCGGCCGCCGCAGCAGCAGCAGACGTCAATGCGGCCACTGCGGCGGAAGCGGCGGTTATCCCTGTTATACATGCGACATGTCTGGTCAGGCCTGGAGGTTCTCGCGCTTCTGCGCCGGGGATGGCCCTGACTTCAGCCCACAACGGCGCCACCCCAATGCCTGCCACTTTATACGAGTAGAATGGAGTCGGTTTGAGGAGCATTGAGGGGAGACAGACTCGGATTGATCACCCTGCCGAGGTGGGCAAGCTGGCAAAAGATGGGGACGGGCGTGAGGCGGGAACAGGACGAAGGCCATATTTGGAGCTGGCTAAGGCATGAAATGGGGGCAGATCGGAGCATGATAATTCATTAGCATTCATTCATATAAGATTTATCTTGCAGGGCGTTGAATTCATTTGATTCACTGAACATCCCCATTTATCTTTGGTGAACTAAACGCGCCGAGTAGCGTGGACAATGTTTTGGGGAAGATGAGACCTGAAGAGGCTTTCTAGACTCACACATGATCAAGCCCACTGCTAGGATCCTCCTAGTGACGAGTGACCTGAGCATTACAGTACAGTCTGCCAGGTCACGCATGGTAAGGATCTAATCATATTATTCGAATTCCGTCAAATATCACAGAGGACTATTGTTTTCCCAAGGTTGGAGAAATCTTGGCTGAGGAAGTAGCTAAAATACTTGGATCAGGTAATGCTAGCAAAACCACAGAGCAGTCTCGTTGTGCGGTGCCATGCCGAATCTGTTACTTTAGACCAATATTTAGTGACTGACACGACCGTCACCACTTTCAGGATTGGTCGAAATCTTGTCACTCCGGTAAGAGGATTATCGTAGTGAATCATGCTCTCAGAAAACTTGTAACTATCTAAAGTTGCTTCTGAATCGAAGAGACCTGGGTAAGCTATTAAACTCAAAGAATCATCAAGGAGGGCGCCATGCGGGGCATTTCTTCTTGGTGGCTATTAGCGAAGTATATTGTACACGGTGCCAGTTTCCAAGCTCTTTTGCCAGGACCCAGTGACCTCTTTTGAACTCCGTTAGATCACACAAGGGATGGTTTGATATTTCAGTGCAGGAAAATTGATTGAGGAAAGAGCCGAGGTTCATGGACAAGGTACTTTGTCTCCCAGAGCAGAAGAGGACAACATCTGGGCGCCCATGCAAACTCAAACTCGTATCACTTTCGACCTTACAACATTTACAGTCAAGATCTTCGTGACTCTTTCATCGTAGAGAGAAGCCACCAGCCAATTCCATCACTTCATCCGGATCAACAGAGGCCTTGATAGCCCTGAGCCTCGCCGCGTTCGTCGTCCCGTAGAGCTCCTCGGCAGTCGTGTCCCCTATCGCGTAGTTTGGATATGCAGTAAAGCTTTCCTTGAAGATCCCCTCCTTTATGGCGACCTGCTTGATGTTGGCAATGGACAATTTGACCGAGTTAATCCAGAACTCGTCGTCGATGGTTAAACCCCAGGCGCAGTACAGGCTGACCTGTGGCAGGGTAGAATTATGGTCAATTACAGGAGACATTATGGGAGAGGGAGCCATTTGGAGGCAGGTGCTTACCGGGAGGGGTGAGTCCGCGTGAGGGTATGCACTATCCGTGGCATACTGGCCGTAGCCTTGGAATGGGTCAACACCCCCGCTCACCAGCGAGCCGCTGTGTAAGGGCATCTGGGCCGTGAGTCTCTGCTTCATGGTCAGCAAGTCAAGCACTGGCATCAGAGGCGCTTCCTCTTACCTGAACCTCAGTCTTGACAGCATCCAGCAGCGGCAGTGTGACGGCCGAGACCGAGACCGTGTGCGAGGTGCCCCGGTTGTTCTGTATGAGCTGCGTCGCCTGCGCGGCCACGAAGTTGGTGAACGGCTGCTCGAACGTGCCGCTGCTGACGGGTATGATTCCGTCGAACATTGCGAAGTTGTCTCCCGGGTCCGGGCCGTCGTAGAACATGAGGATCACAGGTGTGAGCGAGAGTGCGGGCAGTCCCTCCAGGGTCAGGATGACCTGGGCCTTGGGGTCGGTGATTGTGCGGGTGAACACCTCGGTGGCGTTTAGAAGCGCGTCTGCCTTGTCGCCGGTATAGACTCTTTGGCCGCCCTGTTACATTGCTGTCAGCTTGGCAAACTGCATTGGAAATACCACCAGAAAAAATGGTGATTCTTACCCAGATCTGGGGTGGTTGTGGGTGTGTTTCATAGACTATAGAGGTGACAATACCGAAACGATTCAGGCCGCCCTTCAGAGCAAAAAAGAGATCGGTGTTGGTTCTGGCAGACGCTGTGGTGATTGTGCCGTTCTACATAGACATCTGGGTTAGCTGCCGCATACATGCTAAAAAAGATTGTCGACGTACCGGTAGCACAACATTGTACATCCTCACAGTATCACAGGTCAGTCCGAACTGATTTGTTTTCCTGGTACATTGGCATTAGTATGGCTGCGTTTAATTTGCAATGCAGATCTAGGACATACCAGGAAAACCCTCCGCCCAGTGTCAAGCCGCCGACGCCCGGCCCGGACACCCTGCCGCCGACGACGTTGACGCCATCCTTAGAGAGCTCTTTGTATGCATCCGCCCAGGTCTGTTATAGCGGTGTGCAAAAAATGGTTAGACTTGTCACCAGAAACCATTGAATGGTGTATACGAACCAGTCCCATCCCGAGTTCGACAGTTGACTTGTCCCCGGATAAATTGACCTGCTTCATGCGCGCGAAAGAGATGTGCACGCCGGTTGTGCTCGAATGACCGGGGTTTGAGGCATGGCCTCCGCTCTTGAGGGCAAAAGGCGTATGTGACTGTGCTATGATACTGATCTGTTTGTGAAAGGTGTGAGTACCAAGAACATGTAAGCATCACCGTGTACGTACTGCGATTGACACATCCTCTGGAGTACCGGGCTCGAAGACACACGCTGGCTTTTGGCTTGACGATGCGAACCAGTGGTCAATGCCGATGGCATACCTCGCATCCACTGTACGGTCCCGTGTTAGGCAGTCGCTCAAGGTGGGTGCGAGAGCTCGTTCCACTATCCGGGAATGCGGTGAGTGACTACTCACGTGGGCTCGTGATAACAGCGCTGGAGCTGGAGACGTTGCCTCTAATGTCGAGGCAGGTCTGATTCACCCCAATGCCCTTGGTCATACCGACCAATGCTGCTATAGCCATGGACGACCTGATGGTGTGTCTCATTTTGCAACGTCTGAACAGTATTCTGGCTGAAGATCACGAAACAGGGGCCAACCACGGTGCCTAATTCTATGGAGATGGGGGTGACTGGCGGTCGCGAAATTTTCATGATTGTTTTATACTATATGCTGCCGCTGTTGTGGGTACCTGCGGAGCTGCGAGTTGCTATTGAAAGCTGGTATGGGTTTTCTTTTCCCGTGGGCAGTCTAGTGGCATCAGCTTTGTGGAACTACAGTCCATTGGGACGCTGACGCAGTAGCCTCGATCCTGTTTCCCCGTTCCAGAGCTGGATCGGCACCTTTTGGGCGTCGTGATACTTTCAGCCCAGCTGAGGAAAAGTACTATTGAACGCTAAATGATGCAGATGGCCGTTCGTCATGGGGTGACGCGCTGCCGGCTACCGGATTGCTGAGCCCCAGCTGGGAGATGGACCTGCCTAGACTCGACTGTAAGACCCAATTTTGATCCGCTTTACCCAGAGCACTCAATACAGTACTGGTCAGTGTGTCTCGGGGACCGGGTCACTCCGGCAGTGCGAGCTGTCAAAGAGTGCTTCTGTGGGCCCACCGCCGGAATTCCCCCAGCTAATATCCATTACACCTCTCATTAGTGGTTGCCAACCCTTGGAATGTTAGGCACGATTACGTAGTCTCTTGCAGGATGGGTTAAATCTCAAAAGGTATTCAGGTTCCAACGAGGAGAGACACTAGAGAGGATTGGGTGAAAGTGTAAGCGAAGAGACTGGGTCCACCTGTTGTTCAACCCTACTTCCATCTTGATGTTGTACAATGGACTCGCAGCCGACCAGTGATCCAGGAACTCTTTGTGTTGAATGAATTTCCTTGAATGGGTTTCAATTACACGTGCCCAATAACTGGAATGGGCCAGGCGACGTCATATAATGTGTATCTTGGTTCACCCACAGCATGTAACTGTGGCCCACAAGCCCTGGTAGTAAGAACCCACCAGACAGCTGAGCCCCATCACATCTCAGTATCTACCAATCCCTAGATCCCGCCCTACTTTCTCCGTCAGTCTGTCTAACCGCGGATGGCTCCACAGCCGGGGCTGGACGCCGAATAAGCCGCAGGTCGGACCAGATCGTCCCATTCTGACAGGCAGAGACACTGCAGCACTAATGCAAGGTCTGTTCGTGTTTCTGAACTGCATGCATTTTAACTTTGCATTCGTGCCTGTAGCGCTTATCTCGGTTCCGCCAAATACTTTCAAATTCAAGTGGTAACGCTCAAATCACTTCGCAGGGGTCACGAAGTAGAAGCGATGATTAGGATCTAACGTCGGCGCAGTGAGCAAAACGCAAATGCGCTTCGGGCCCAGCATTGGCACTTGGTTGCATCTCTCAGAGAAGGAGGAATTGGCTAGAGAATTTACGCATTTGTGCTGGTTGGATGCAGGCCGAGGCGGCTATTTGCTGTCACTTCAGCCCGCCTGCACGCGCAAGGATGTGGTGCGATGGCATGCTGCGTCCGAGAGTAAGCCACATTGATAGGAGCGCTGGGCATACAACTCATTACTGGTGCCCACAGGTGGATTAATCACTGCCTAAATCTTGTGCATGGGCTAGACAGATGCTAGCAATATATTTTCACAGGCCATGGAATGCTCGTGGCACGGCAATTCAGGTTTTCGTTTTCGTTTTCGCCTGGGGAAGACGAGCATGCCACGTCAGCCTGTTGATACCTCCTTTTATTACTGCATGCGGCCTTGATTATCTGCGTAGGATTAGAGTACACCATGACGTGACAAGAGGCCGCTTCCTGCTCAATTATCCCACCGCCGTTTCATTTCCTTGTTCAACTGAGCATGGCTGGACTTGTATTCTATTTCCTAATTCAGTATCCTCTATGAACAAATTTAAGTCAAAATGTACTTGAACAAAGTGCTCAAGATATTTAATGGGTGGTAAATTGTTAGTAGTAGAAAGATTGATTTGAAATTTATAAAAGATGAAGATTCTATATTAGACGCCTAAAGAAATGGCTGACCGTTATTTGTACTCATAAAACTGTTAAGTAGCTTTCATTTGCCTTTACCGTGCTGTCAGATATAAAGGGCTCTCTATTAACACATTACTATTGGACGCTGAGATGACATCTAGATGCACTGTGGTAAAATTTGAGGTAACTTTAACTTGGGCGAGAAGTGACATTTCCGTGGGAAAGGGAATATTTGGGTCGTGGACAAGTCTCGTGTCCATCGCGGACATCATTAAGCATTCTGTCTAACCTCTTTAGGAACGGCCGGAATATGGCACCAGTCCCGCATGATAGAGCTTGGTGAGCGCTTTATCCCCCCTGGACTCACGCGCCAATCCTTCGTCAGCAGCTTGGGTGTTTTGTGCGTCCTCTAGCGTGCGAATAGGGATGGCAGTCGTCTCATCGTGCTCGGAAGCATGGACTGTCCTCCTCTGGCTTCGGCTTTGGCTCAGGCGCGTGACTATCGTGGATTCAGTCCATAAATCCCTTTCTAACAACATTGACCAGAACCCCCGCTTTGCACCAGATGGACTTTCGTCCGCATTACCGTGTCGGTGTGCAGGGCCGACACCGTCTTCGCCCGGCGTCTGGCGCCTGAACTTCTGACACACAAGCTCGTAGACAGGGTGTAATGTTGACATGCACGCGGCAATCATGATCGTATTCGCCTCGACGACAGTGGGAATAATGGCAGTGGAAACATCATCTACAAACTTAGGTCAGTAACCAAGACTGGACTGAGCATGTGAGGGGATGTGAGATCAGGGTCTTACAGGTGAAGTCGTCAGTAAAGGCGAGAACTTTGAGAGTCGTGATCTTATATACCGCCACTGCGGTTGCACTGGGAAATTCGCGCACAGTCGTGGATCAGTTGCCTCGGTCGAGTAGATCGTGATTTTGAATGGGGAGACGCACCAGATTCCAAGTCCCATGACCCCAGACAGCACCAACTTCTTCCGGATATTCCATCCAAGCTTGCGGAAGACAAACGCGGGATACAATGCGAAGTAGAGATCGAGGGCGGCTGAGAAAGCTGGGAGAACCTGTTAGCGTCTGAGGAGCGGTAGCGACAAGGACGTCCAAAGCGATTTCGGACTGTGGGCTCACTCGTGGCGTAGTAGCAGAATTTAACATAGATCCAGGGGTCCAGACATCTTTTAGCTGTTATACTAACATCCCACGCTGCAGATATAGGACGACAGGGCAACCAGGCCAGTAAGATGACAACAACAAAGTTGACGACGCATAAAATGGCGGACACCCAAAGAATGGTCTGATGCAGTTGTCCTGGTTTGAATACTCGAGTCAGGAGGCTCACAACGGTGAGCTTTGGCAGGCCAAGCCCCAGGACGGACGGCGCTGTGAGGACGTTATGCCAGAAGACGGCTTTGGTCCGCTCAGAGTCAGATAGTGTTGCCCATCGTCGCCCAGCCGCTGTTTTTGTGTACAATTTGATAACCAATGCTGCCGTCAGCCACAGGTCGATCTGAAGAAGATGCGGTTAGCGACCTGGTACGACATGTAGAACGAGCCATCAGAGGGTTTGCCAAGTCGCTTTTGGTCTGACCCCAACGCACCTGGTTGATCACGCTGAGCCATTCTTCCAAATAAAGACGTCGGCGCAGAATTAAGAGGCATCCATATAGTCTTAGGCCGATGAATATTGTCGCGATTAATGTCATAAGCACCGTGACCACCACAACGGGTGCATCGTCCTTCCCCGTTGCAGCGTGGGGAGGCAGATCGTGCTGTGTAGGGGCCATGGCAGATTTTCCCCCTGTTGTGAGACGCATAGCAGATCTCGGGAGTTTCTTTGGCCACTTTCTTCTAGAAGCCGGGCGAAGGGTCAGATGAGTGATGACCAGAAAGTAAATTGCACGTCTCTGATTTCCGCGGCCTTAATAACACGGTTTCTCCCTAAACTTTAAGAACGGCTACTTGAATCAGGTGAACTTAAGATTAAACTTTATCGCTTGAAGGAGTACGTGGTTGGACGACCGTTTTTTTCTGATTTACTGATTGGAAAGTCTACTTAAGTAACGCTAGCGAGGATCCTGACTCCATGTTTGTTGCTGGCTGCGAGCCCTCTCAAAAAAGCACTTCTTTATTTTCATTGTAGTGCTGCTTTCAAAGTCCTATTCTTCCATCCTCACTTCTGAAGCTTTGCCCAATGTTAGGCCATGGCTGCGGTGACATCCTTTTCCTCACCCTACGGCGGAGGTGGCGGATTGTTACCGCAAGCAAATCTAAAAGACCCATCGTCATTCGTCGCGTCTCGGCCCAGCCTAAGGTATGGTTAGTAAAGTTTTCAAACATGTGATGCTGAAGATTGAGAATTCAATATGGGAGAACAGTCAAAGTGCCTGAAGAACAAAGGAAGGTGACAAGGCTTACAATATTTGCCAGTCGGGAAACAGCACCCATCCACCCAGGTCTTGGCAGTTCTCATTCAAGATGCCGTCGACTATGTCGTATTCGGCAACACTGAAGGGCACATCATACTCGCCAAAATTGCATACGTCTGCAATCATTTAGCAAACCACTCGTCAAGGCAGGAACGGCGTAAGGTTTTAATCAAGGAAAGGGGAAACTTACAGATCTGAGTGCCTGGAAGTGTCCCTATCTTCCACACCTCCCCGCTATGGGCCCGTAACAGAGCCGAGTTTGCCCTGCCCGCGTATTGGCCGTTGATCAAGTCCGTCACGTAGTTGTGGTTGATCGCAATGTCCGCGGACCCGTTGCAGAAAAGCAGGCCCGTTGGGAGATCCCAAACGTCGCTGAGGGACTGGCCGGTTTTCTCGTCTAAGCCGAGTGCGAATGAGTCCCCGAGAAGAGACATGGTTGTAGCTGCCCATTCGATTTCGAGAGTGTTGCCATGAGCTGGAAGGTCAGACGGCGAGAGGATCGGGAATGCGGCGGAGCTAAGGGCTAGCGCCAAAATGAGGAAGAGAAAGTGGAACAGCATGATGAATCGGAAGATGTTTCGATGCCGTGTGTGGCTCTTAACAGTTCTCTTTCGCTGTTCGCTCTCTGTTCTCGAATTTTGGACGTTGACCTGTGTCTCGAGGGTCCACGTTCGGGTTATCCCACCGAGAAAACGCGTGCCAAGGTTGCGATCGTGTAATGTGGCTGTCACAGGCAAAATGGTCAAGTGTTTTTACCGTCGGTTGGAAAAGCACGTAGGAAGGTTTGAGAAACCTTGCGCACGCAGAATCGAGCCTTTCAAAGCTTGGACAGAGTACGAGAGGCGTGGAATGCAGCCGAGTAGTTACTTCCCAATTGACCACAACGACTCGCACGGCTCGACCATCGCAATGTGCCTCCCAAAGGAGCTGCTAAACTTTGTGAAAGGGTCACACGAGCCCCTGAAAACTGTTGAGATTTGATGAATGGAATAGATACAAGTTAGCCCGTAACAGTGAAAACCCCAACTTGAACGAGACAACTCTATTAGTAGATAAGCTCTGCCTCCCGTGTGCCGCTGAACCACTTCCAACTAGCGCAAAATTGAAGGTATAAGTCTTCTGTGAAGCTTCAATGAAGGTATCTCTGGTCTAATACTCGTCACATATGTCAAACATACGTCCTGCACTGTTATTCGTGAGCCGTTCTATCCTCGAGTAAATAATTAGCGAACACGGAAGCCCACCTCGATTGCAAAGACCTCATACATGCAACAAATGTATTTGACTCTCATTCATGATTGCTGGCAGATTATGGTTTTGTGCCCGAAGAGCTATGTGTTTTAATCGTTGTCCAAAACCTTCAAACAGTCACCGATTGAATCACGTGAAGTTCCACCTGCCACTTCAAAGGACATGCCTTCATCAACAGCGCCATTTACAATGATAACCGACTGCTCGGCCGGGACCAGCACAGGACTTGGGAGATTGACAGTGCCAGTCTTTCCCTCAGGTGCATCAACGGTCATGGTCAGCAAGCCGTCGCTATCAAAAGCCCAATCAACCTCAACCATACCGTCAACAAGAGGAACTCTGCCCTTAGCTGAACGAAGCCCCAGGGCCAAAGGGGCAACTTGGAACTCCGACCAGCCAGGCTTGGTCGGCGTGGCACCAAGGACGTCCTTGGTAAGCTCTGCCGTCGGCCCCGCAGACCACCCGTGGCACAGGCTTTTCGTGATTCCGAGCCCAGGCCGGCCGGCCTGGTCGAGGGTCTCCCAGAAACAACCAGTATAGTTCGCGTTACTGGTGTCGGCCATGGGGGCCCACAGGTTGTCAATTAGCTCCATGGCTGCATCACTGTTGTTGGACGCCAGGGCTGCACGGAGGTGATAAGCAGATGCAAAGGGGCTGATGTATGGCTGAAAGCCGGACGCGATGACATTGCTTGAAAACGCCAGCGGTCCAGCTGGCCGCATCAGATCGGCTGACAGCGTAGACAGAATAGCTTCCGACGAGTGCTTGGCGGCGAGATTGACGCCGGCAAGTATGGCGATGGCGTTGGAGTCCTGTCTGAAGCCGTTTGGCATGCGTTCCGACAAGATGTGCGCACCGAGGTCGTCACTCCAAAGGTGGGCGTCGATGGCGCTGCGGAGGGCTGCAAGTCTATCTTGGTAGATTGTGTTGTCAATCCCGCCATCGGCCAAAATCGTGAGGCACTCCTGCAGAGCGCAGGCGTAGACAACGTTGAATTTGGTGACGACACCGCTTTGTGGGGCGTCATAATAGTTCCAATCTCCTCCGAACGAGGGGTCCGATAAGTTGAAGAGTCCGTTGTCGAGAGTCTGGCTGTCTGCCCAGTCAAGCATGGCCTGGACTTTCGGCGCCCAGAGCTTTACGAATGTGGCGTTACCGGTGTGCATGTACGTTGAGGCCACAGCCGTGAGGAGATTGAAGGAGTAGCCGATCAGCCCAGTGATGCTGACGTCCAGCCTCTCCGTCAGTGGCTCTTGCTGAATCTTAGCTGTAGGAATGAAGAATCCCGGGGCCGCTTGGTATGACCCAAACAATTCCAATGTTCCCATGATATACTCGAGGCCATGAGTACTCACCAGAGCTGCTCCACCGGCAATATCAAGGTCTCCCGTGTACGCAATGCGGTCACGTCGAGACCCGTAAACCGAGGCTGCTGCCGGATTTGTGCCCATGAAGAAATTGGGTACAAATGACGCATCTGTAAGGGGATGTGAATAAATCTCGGTTCCTTCTGGACTCCAGGCAGACAGATTCCGAAAGACTGCCCGGTGGCTGAACGATGCGCCAATTTCGAAAGATCCAAGAAGACTCCTCGTCTGGGACATGGTCAAAGCATCGAAGCCATCGACAGTCACCTTGATATCGGTCATTGCAACTTTCGCCTGTTGTGAGTTGCATAGCATTTGGCTGGCGTGGACTTCGCCCAAGGCGACCCTTACTATCCACTGGCATTTCCGTAGGCTAACCCTCACCGAAGGTCCATGTTAATGACAGGAGGGGCTTACAATAGATGAATGGCCTCACTGGAATCAAAATTGAAAGATCCAATTACATCACGAGCGGAGCCCCTGCCAGAGGCACGACGGCCGGCGCCAGACCTTCTGTGGCTTGGCTCGTGTTTTCTCGCAAGTCTCGGACTATTCATATAACTGGGACCAAGCCGTCAGCGCGATCATGCCAATCATCTTCACCCATGCAGTTTGATGCCTTGGCTGGCCCGTAGCCCCGTGCTTCATTTTTCTAGGAAAACTGGAGGACCGGTCGCCTGCTGTAATGGCTTGATAACAAGGAGAGGCAGTGGTAATCGATGTAGTTGCAGAGAAGAACGGAACGTCTATCCGCTGAAAGGCTAGTAGATCCAGCGACTTGTCAGCCCGTGATATGACCGGAGTGTAATTGCTAGATATCGTACGTCAAATTTCAGAAATAAAGGACGGGTAAATGAAAGATAAAGTCCAAAAAGTAACCATGATAGGACGGACATGATCGATTGTGATTTCACCGCCCAGCGTCTGAATTGCTAAAGATGGCGATAACAGCGGCAGCTCCGTGTACACACAGATTAAATTTCTGGGTTGGCGTTATGTTACGTATCCTATTTCCTGGAGAGGCCATTGGATCCAGAGACGATGTTCCTCGTCCAACAGATTGCACGACCTGGCAATCAGATGATCCGCCCAATCCTCGCAGCCACCAGTGTTTCTCGAACCTTTTCAGGAGAACAGTGAAGAAGGCAAATATGGCCACGGCTTCCTGCGTCGGCTCCCTAAGCAGCGGCGGCAGGTCGTCGGCAACCTCAAAGACCCACACGAAAGCGTCGGTCATGTCGCAATGCCCGCCGCCCACACCATCAAAGACCGAAAACGACTTTTCCAGCTCGTCAATCGCCCTGAAGTAGGTACTCCGTAAGTCCAAGTCGACCTGGCGGAGCGCAATTGTAGACCGCATGCTATGTAGGTGCTCATGGACGCGGGACGCGGGCTCAGTGTTCGGTTCTCGAGCCAACCAGCGGTCGGCGCCGTGGTTGAAGAGAGGAGCCATAGGTCCGTCAACACAAGAGCCCAGGATGCGGATGAATGCCCGCGTGGCATGGCTCGGCTTCGTTCCCGAGTTTGTTCGGCTGAGCTGATGGGCTCGGGATGATCACGAGGGCTGTGACTTCTGGCTCGAAGTTTTCGAGGGCCCCGAGCATGTAGCCTGGTTTGGGACGTCGTAGGGTGCTGGTCGCTGGTTTTCGCACTCGCTCGTATTCGGGCATAGTCTAGTACGAATGCCCCTGATCGCATGTGACTACGCGAAAAGATTTACAACGTGCAACTGACTAGCAATGCAATGCGATGTGGGCTAGCTCGGATTCGGCCGAATCAAGTCCGGCTACATCGGCTCCGATCTTGCTCGAACTTGGGACTGAAACTAGATCTCAATAAGTGCAGCTATGTTTCTCGCTGTTTTCAAAAATTTGGAAACCGCCTGTTCCTTTGCTATCTGAGAAACTTGAATAAAAAGTCCACGAGACCGACGACGGTATCAGCAAGAGAGGTGGCGCTTAGAGGATCCATGGACACTGTTGAGGAGCTAGAGCCGGTGCTTGATTGTGCCTTTTTGACTGGGTCTGTCGATTGATCTCGGGAACCAAGCTTCGTGTTGGAGTGAGATTGGATGCAAACTGGGTGCTATGATGCAGGCACACAGGTGATGTCCTTACTCAGAAGCCCACAGCCTTTCTGTTAAGAAGTTGTGGCCGGAGTTCGAGAAGCTGCGCCTGCCAGAAAGACAGAACCCGGGTGACTAACGTTGAAATGCTTCGATTCCGGGTATGGTTTGCCCGAGTTGTGTTGGTCACTCGTTGGTCCTGCTCGATTGTCAAGATGGTAGTCAATAATCTCCCGCTAGGAGCTGAAGGATGGAGGAGGATGACGCCTACTTCAGCCTGGTGGGTCCACTCGCACACCCGGCTCGAATTTGATCGACTTGTCGGCCTTAATTCAGCCCTCATTCCATGCTGACCAGGGGTAAAAGTGCATGGCACTAACTATACCGTCCTTGGCCAATGTTATAACGTGAGCTGCCTTAATTTTTCCCGAGGTTGCGCGACGCGGGCTGCCCAGATAGTTACCCCTAATCTTCAAGTTCGTTCACCATGTATACTCAATAAGTCCAAATTGATCGTGCTCTACAGAAGGTCGTGAGGGCTCCCTTCGGAAAATCCATGTCACTGGCGAAGATATCGATAGCAGGGAATGAATTCCCTCAAAGTTACGTAGGGAGGACATGGTCAGGAGCTGTGAGATCCCACCTGGGCACTGCGCGTGCGCCATTACAGTCCACCCCTAGGTACTTGGCAGACAGAGAACAGAATGTAAATGAAAAAGAAATTTGACCGAACAGGTAACCAAGTCTCAGAAATTCCTCTCATGAAGGACCTAGGTGTACTACTTGACGCGTGTGAGTTTTCTTTTCACATGCTGGAGCTAAGGGTCCGGTGCAAGCACGGGGCAAGTACGGTAGTCTCTTCAACCTGCGACCTGTCATACGCTCTACCAAAGATTGAGGCTGGCTTGGGCCTCGAATTTCAAGATTCGACCGCGGAACTTTATACCGCTGATTTTGAATTTGCACAATCGTTGCTCGTCTTGCCCACTCGAACAGGAGCCCGGGGTCGCTCGATGCGAGGCTGAGAGACGCGATTCTCACGGTGTGGAAAGAGCGGGATGCCAGCATCGTGCTTGCCCTGAATCATTGATACTGCACAAGTGGTCCAAAGCCCCACAAGTTCTGGTTGGCTGCTCAGTGCCTACCTTACCTTAGGTAGCAGGGAACAAAGGGATTTCTCAACATTGGAAATCTCAATCTCACAGGAAGCATTGAGCGAAATGGAGAACACCACAGATTGTCAAGATGTTGATCTCCTTCGCGAAAGAGTTGATTAACATCGCACTTCAAGTCAAGCATCAATTGAGTCGACCCCACAGTGGTCTTGAGAACCGTTTAGCAGTACGCTTGCATTTCGGAAACAGGTTACCATTTTCCCTTCTTTGATCATCGGAAAAAGTGTTTTATCGGCACACGACTCCTGCTTCACACATCGAGAAGCTCAGGTGGACGTGACCATTCAAACAACTCGTTCTCCTCTCACCAGCTGCTTAAGCACCCTTCGTCACAATGACACCAATCGCCATCTTCATCGCAGTCTCCACTGCTCTCGTGCTGGCGGCAGCTTCTCATGTGCGTATTTGCCAGCCCTGCGCGTTGCGCCTTTAGTGGCCACGCGGCAACGGCAGATTCCTCGAAGTTAACCTGAAGCTTTCAATAGGTGCCATTCCCTCCTCCGGACCCCAAGTACAGCGTCATGGATATCACGTGGGCCGTCGAGTCCATCCCTGGCAACGCGACGTCCACCGTCCTTGTCAACGGCACCGTCCAGGAAGTCTACAAGCGGCTCACCGAAATCAATCCCGACTACGACGATCTCCTGCACGAGTATGAGTCCTCCAAAGCCACTACGGCCCTCCCAGACTCCTCCCCCTCCTTCGATTCGATGGCCGACGTCCCGAGCAACTGCGGCTACTGCAACGTCTGCACCAAGCGGTGGGAGCCCGCCGCGTACATGATAATCCTCGACGGCATCAGTTACCTCAACAGCCTCGAGGGCAAACCCGCCATCCCACCCGGTCCCGGATTCTGCAGCAGGGTGAGCTGCGAGTACGGCGCGTCCATCTGGTGGTGCAATGACAACGACGAGCGGAAGGAGTTGCACTCGTGGTCTGAGCTCACCACGGCTGCGGTGGACATCACGCGCCAGTGTTTCTGGACCATCAGGGATAAATCACTTGTGACTGGTGGCCAGATCTTCCAGCCGGGTGGGTGGAACGTCGTCATCCGGCACGATGGTAGTAAGGGCTGTTGAGGGTCTGGTTGGTCGCGCACTGGCTAGTGTGCATGGAAACTTTGGTTTTTTGAATCCAATTGTGGTGGCCTGAAGGACCAGTCTAGAACACCAACAACATCCTTACGCGCTGTTTTATCTATCTTTGAAGAGGACAGCTTTCTAGTTGGCAGACAGTACAACAAATGAACCAGCTCTTGACGGCAATAAAATGCCCGACCTCGCCCCGTAGTAAATTACGGTGAAAAGCACGACTGTGATTGCAAGCCATACACCTGCAGTCGCCAGCATCATCCCTTTGATCAGCTCGTTGAGCGCCGCGGCGTCGTTGACCCGAGGGAAGGGCTCCTTGGGCACGGGCTTGTTCAGCATCTTGCACAACGGGGCCCAGCCGTCAGTGATCTCCATCCAGTACATCTGCCCGGGTGGCGTCTTCTTTTCTACCGTCTTGTTGTGGAGTGCGATGAGGTCTAGGGAGGACTGGTCAGCAAGCTTCATGATTGAATGCGCGGTGGAGAGGGACATACGAGGGCCAGGAACGGCGTTCCCGGAGACCTTGGCTCCCAGCTTTCCTCGTCCTCTGATACCCTCGATGAAGGCGGGGAACCACCGCCACGTCGGCATTGGGGCCAGGAAGTACGGCAGCCACCATGGTGATGACACCTTGTTCAGGTTGCCCATGCTCTTCCACCAAGCATCTGGGTCTCGCCTGACGCCCATGACCTGTTCAAAACAATGTCTGTCAAAAACTGTCCCACTCCTGGAGCTTCCGTGCTGATGGGGTATGGTGACAAGAGGTGGAAGACGACAAGCAAGCATGGGGTGGACAGGCACGACTCACTTTGACGTTGGGGTAGAGCTCGATCAGCTCCCCAATGAAGTCGACAGCAGGGACATCGGTGACACCGACGAACCCTCTTGTCGCCTCACGCAGGGCCTTCATCAACGCAGGGCGGTTGCCGGCGTCGCGCTGCCTGTAGACCTCGATCCACTTCTGGACGTAGCCTGTCCCCATGGTCAGCCGAGTCCCACACGTGGCACATCACTCGACACGTACTATCCTCTCTGCCCAGCATCTGCGAGCCGCCGTGGCACACGGGCCCATCCAGAAGCTTCTCAAGCGCAATCGCCATCGACGAGGTCCCGGTGCGGGAGTAGCCCGCGCCAATGACCTCGAGGGTCCTGTTCGGATCAGTGGGGACGGAGGGCACGCCACCCATCTTGCAGGACTTGTGAGAAAAAGCCTGAGCCGGAGAGGAAGTGGAAAAGCGACAGAAATGCTAGCGCGTAGACCACGACCAGGTAGCGGCGGTAATCCGTGCTTCTCTGCCAGACAGCTTCGGCTCGCAGGAGCTCTCGTTGGCGCAGGGTGCTGCTGTCGAGGCGCACGCGTTTGACGGATGGTCCCTTGTGGTGGTGCATTCTGATGTAGAAATGGGGATAGTTTTATGACTTTTTGGCTTGGCGCCTCTCGATCGCGGGTCAGCAGCATTTTTTCGTAAGGCGGCGGACCTGACGCTGCGTGTTTGTTATAAGATCCCCGATACCCCCGACGTTGCCCTTCGCCCCTGTTCTGATTCACCCCGAGATCTGAAACGTCGTTGCTTGTCGTGGTAAAGATCGTCCGTCTGAAGCGCGGTCCATCCTTGGCTGGCGCCGCTTCGACTTCGCATCCAAGGGGTTTGCTATTCTTGGGATGAACTGTGCGATTGCGATGCCGACGCGTGGTGGCCACCGTGGCGAGCACGGGTGCTGTGATGCAGCCTCGGTGATGGTCGGTGGCGGATTGGCTGACGGTCAGCACGCGAGGCTGACATGTCAGCGTCCCCGACACAAGAGATGGATGAAGTGATCCCTCTCATCATTAAATTCGCCTTCGGAATTGTATTGAAAATGGACGCCTTATTCTCATTTCGTTTTCTTGGGCCTAAAGTTGTCTTTGACTTGCACCCAAATCTGACGTTGCCCCGGGGTGCCTGACAACGGACAAGTGCAACTTGTTGATCACTCTATCAGAGTTTCACTCCCCCAGTGGCAATTCAAATTCTTACCTGGTTCAAATCAGTTGTCACAAACAATTCACACCCTGATTTCGATCGAGTGCTGCTCCGCTGTTCCCTCAGCCAGCTGCACACTGGTCCTCGTCCCATCTTCGGCAACTCAACTGGGCCTAATCTTCAGGCTCATCTCGTCCAACGTTCGAAAAAGTCGTTCCTCAAACGATACGTCTAGATGAAAATGGGCATTCGCGAAAATCCCGATCCCATCCGACCTGAATCCGACCCCACTGGCATGGAAATCAAGAAACAGAAGAAGGTCGCCTTCGCGGCTGTGGAGGTGCGAGAGGAGGTGTCTACCCGACCCGAGACGATCCGGGTCCAGACTTGGCCAAGAGTTGTGGCGGACAAGTCGAGGGAGATCGAACTTGAAGTCGAACCAAATATTCACAGGCCCAAGGGAAGGGTGGTGGAGCAGGGAGGCGCGATAAGCTATGTCACGGAGATGTTGTTCTACATGCGCAACTTCAACTTTTTCCCTCTCCAGCATTACTGATTCGGACCCGATGGTATCACTATCAAGAATGGAACCACCTTTCGTCAGTCGCAAGCATGTCTGGTCGAATTTGTCACCGTATGCAGAAATATCGGAGTACCTGGCGAGGTAAAGGCATCTGAAGTCGAATTAGATTTTGCGAACTTGAGAATATCATAATGTAACAGCTGTTTAACCAGTGACCCATGGCGCCTGTTCAGATTGATGTTGTTGGAGACCAGACTGGCCTCCCTAAATTATGGCCAGCACGCAATCCCATCGTGAACAAACATATGCTCTCTCCACACACACTTTCCGGTTCAAGGACTCTCCAGGTGTGACTCCTCTAAAGGTCTACTGTCGTAGAATCGCACTCCTTTCTACGACCAGGCTCATGTCAAGCTGAACTTTTTGGCCACACGTTGGGCACCCAAGTAGATACGCCGAGCACCTGATCAGGGAGAAACAAACTCCTGCCCGAGAGTACGATCCGCGCGGGCGAGGCAGTGAGAGGGTTGCTATGCCCACAGCGGCGATAGCGCCGGTAGCTGATAACCTGTGCTGCTAGGAAGCTTCCCGCGTCTCGCAACAAGTCGGCCGCAGAACCGGAGCTCTTCAGCGCGAAGGAGACGTAGAGAGGTGCCCTCGCGGGGTATGGGAACCTGCGTTGTGGGTCTGCTTCTTGCCAGCTCCTCAAGACGCCCTCACCCATTTCCTGGACATGGCCGGCGGTGGAGAGGCACCATTGGATACTCGCAAACCTTGGGTTGGGATGCAATTGACTAGCAGAGAGCTCGAAGTAGTATCAATAAAGATACTGAAAGGCTAGATGATTGACCTGAGGATCCCAAAGAAACTTTCTGCGAACATGGTTTGTGGTGTGTGGTGTGGGTGCTCGAAGACTTGCCGGTCAACAACGATCTGGAGTCAGCAGAGCTTCGATGCACATGAACCAGGTTGTTCATCTGGTCAAAAGGGGGCTTCAATGCATCGCAGTGTAGAAACATTTGCTGCTTCTGGTTAGACCGTGTGGTTTCATTGCCGAGAGCACCTTGACAAAGACGCTGTTTTTTTATTTGCGAGTTGACTATACGCCGCAAAAAGGAGCACAAAGTCGGAGGCCTTGAAATCCAATGACCTAATTAAAGTCAGCTGTCTGTTCTATCTAGAGTTATTACATTCGCAAGACCCCATGTAACTTTGATTGTAGAAGATTGAAGGGTTACGAGAAGATGATTTCCGTCATGGATGGCATCATTACAACCGCTCGAGTAACAAAACCTGGAGCTCAGATGACGATGGTGCTAATTGAACATTTTCAGTAGAAAGCTGTGGTTTCGATTGCATTGGCGTCTTTGTTTCAAGTGGATTATATGTCCTCGACACCTAGAAGATTGTCAGATAGCGCTCAGTTTGAGAGACAGGGGATTTCATGAGGACCCTCGTGGAGGATATCTCTGACTACCGTGTATATCTAAGTATAAGATAAGATTAGTCCATGGAGTGTCATGGCTTAATCGCAATGACGGCATACCAACAGATGCACCTCCTTTCTGTGTCTCCACACGGCCATGGAACCCATCTAAAGGCATGAGGTGAAGAGACGCCTTGCCTAACGAAAAGAAGTACGGAGCGAGCGGGTCCTTCTCACGTGCTACCCAGATTGGATGATGAGACCTTGAAGAACTGCTTCAATCGGACTGCATTATATGCAGCCTTCCAAAACTGGTATATAAACCTAGATCCTGGTCACCGGGCATAGCCGTCAGGCTCTGAAAAGCTCCAGCTGTTCGCCTTGTTGAGCCGATCTTACATTAGCTTTGGTCACTTGAACGGGCGACGGTGCCACATTGGACCCCAGCCAAGCAATTTTGTGTACGTTCCCCGCAGTGCACCATACCTACGCCTCAGATGCGTTGTGCACGCTCTTAGTCAACGGGGGACCTATCATGCATCAGCACGTTCTATGGGGAAGTCGACTCTATGACAGAGAGGGGGTTCTCCACCAGATACTAAACAGCTCATATCAAACCCAGCTCTTCCACAACCTCACCTTTCGATCTCTCATACATCAGATTATTACCCATGGATTCGAACGATCTGCAGAGACAGGGATCCGACAGCGAGGCGGGCGAGGGTCTCGGTTCGCCGGCTAAATGCATCGAAAGCCTGCCCGTCGAGATCCAGCGGCAAATCATGTTCTGCCTCCCCAGCCTGGCATCTCTCGGCGCTATAATCCGCGCGTCCCCAATATTCTATTCCCTATTCCAGAGCGAGCCGAAGAACTTCATCGCGAACTGTCTGATACTTGGTCTCGGGGATGCGTTCCTCGACGCGTCCACGGCGCAGGCCGCCATGCAGGACGACTTTCAGAGGCAACGCCGCGACGCGATGAAGATGCGTCGTGAGTCCAGCATAGTGTGGCCCTTCCTGGAATCCTACCGGAAGAAGGTGGAGGAGCTGCCCTGCAATGCCTGGATCCATTCCATCAGTCTGCCGGAAGCTGTTCAGATGGCGACGTTCCACACCTCAACAGTTGAGCCCCTGGTGGAACAATACACATCCTGGGCTTTGGGAAACATCGGCACGTCGGCTACAGTACCCGGCCTCAGCTGTACGGAGCGCATGCGGATTCAGAGAGCCATGTACCGTTTCCAGATACTGTGTGATGTGTTCGGCAACAGGCTCAAGGACGACAACTTATCGGCCAACCGACCAAGAAACCTGAGATGTCTCCGATTCCTCTCGAGGTACGAGCCTTGGGAGGTCGAGGAGATCCTGTGCATCAACGCTTTCTTCCAAGAGAAGTACGAGCAGAGGCTCTCGCAGGTCTCTGACGACCTCAACCCCAACAACGACAGACTTCACAGCCACTCACCACTCGGGGGCCCGGAAGATGCGTTTGATCTTGAACAAGCCCGTACGTTGGCTGTGGCATCCGATATTGGCTAGATCCCAATCGTGCTGACACGGTTGACAGGCACGAGGTCTTTCTTCCGCAACTTCCTCGTGAGCCAGGGCCTTCCACTCCTGGCGTCGGTGTTGCCCATCCAGGACCACGACGAGCTCGTGGATACCCTAAGCGCCAACATGCACCACTTCGTATCGGACACGTGGCTCGACGACATAACCGGGAACACCGACAGTAAGCAGCTTATGGATTCCATTTTTAACCCCCTGAAGAGCAACGATCTCCTATCTGTAGCCTGTACCTCAGAGGCGGTACCAGGCTGCAGGTTTTGAGACACGCCACGGGCACCCTGTGGCCTGTTCCATTCTATATCCCAGTGACTTTATTCCTTAGGGATTTGATAACTGACTCCCAATGCTGCAGTGCATCAGAGGTGGGAGAGGTCCTATTCGGAGCGTGATGCCGCCCAGGACGAGGGTCGGCCGATGACCTTCCGAGGAGACGACCTGGATTCACCGCCGCTGGCGTGGGTTCTCATCTGGAGCGAGGCGTATAGCAACCTGTTTGGCATTTTCATTCCGAAGCAACTTCGTTTATGGGGTTACATCATGTGGGATGCACGGCGTTTGGAGGAGAGCGGTGCTAAGGATGTGCTGATGCGTGAGTGGTATGAGATGTGGCAGGGTGGCGACTATAGAGATAGCCTGAGGGCTTGGGGTAACAGGGGATAACGGACATGTATTGAAGAGATGCTGTGGGGAGAGCAACTAGATTGAAGACAAGCAATGTGTTTGTGTACTTGGGTATACATGGAATGCGGTCTACTATATAGACTTTTTATCCAGCTCTCACGATGGGACGTTAGTGCCCTTCCATTGTGTTCCTTGTGCAGATGTCGACATGTCATCGATACCCGAGCCTCGGTTCTTCACCGAAAAGCCCGACCCCGGGAATTCGGTCCTCGTCATGGAACTGCAGGCCATCGTTCGATATGCTCACCAATAGCCCGCGCATTTGGAGGAAATATGGGCAGCCGCTCGGCTGAGATGGAGTACAACTAGATAGACGGATCATGACCTACTTATGTTGCCTACCTCTGAGCATCATCTGGGGAACTCGTAATCCAGGTTTGGCCGTCCAAAAGCAACGGGGAAGCGGAGCTACAAGACAAGATTCGAGGGCATCGGGGCCGGAGAAGGGTCCAGACCTGACGCACCCCTGCTGCGAGTGACATGGTGTCCACGCCCGAAGCCCAAGTAGGCTAAACCACTGCGAGAAAAAAGAGGAGAAAGTGATGTCGAGGCGCCACAATTCCTGATTCTGCACGTCCTGTCTCAGGCCGTCCTGCCGGTCAACTGCAGGTGTGGGTGCGGGAGCCTGGTGTGTCTTTGTGCAGCACTTGTCTCGGCCGGTGATCGCGATGAGCGAAGATCCCCACAGCTATCGTGTGGCTTGGGCGGGTGTATGATTGCGGTGACAAGGGGGCTCGTTATCCCGTGGACAGCATGCCTGGGCGACGTGAGTGGCCGGTGGCCTGCGTCAGCTAGGCCCAGGTGTGGCGAGTGAGTTCGAGGCGCGATGTGCATCGTGCATGAAGGTGGTGTCGCGTAGGCGAATCAGCTTCACCGCAGCGCCCGCGCCCGACGTCACCGGCACCAGACCCCAGCTGTCATCTCATCACACCTCATGCCCACCCCCTTCGACCCGCCGTGGCGCCCTACGTCACCGGTCAGCCTTCGATTTACATATGTTCATATCCTCAGCCACACCTCTACCTCAAGAGCCCGTTCGAGTTTCTATGTTTTGGATGTTTTTCTCTCAGCCAGACTCAGTGTTGCCCTAATTCAAATCGATATGGCGGATATTCTGAAACAGAACGAGCAGTTGCAGCGAGAGGTGGCTCGCCTCAAGAAAGAAGCCGCACTGCAGAAACAGAATGAGGCGCTGCAGAAGGAGATTGCCCAGCTGAAGAAAGCAGCCACTCTCCAGGGTAAGCCACCTTGTCTTCCAGTCCCTCACGGTCTCGTCTTGTTAGTCTGTCACAAAAAAGATCCACACGCTAATACGGACCGTCCCTAGCCTCAACCGCAAATAAGACGCCCAAGAAGCCTTCAGCAGATGATGCGGTGAAGAAGGTCACTGCTGCCAAAAAGTCAACGGACGATGCCGTCAGAAAGGTGTCATCAAGGAAGCCGGCGGCCGATGATGCCGTGAAGGTATCTCAGGACAAGACAGCCGAGGCAAAGACATCATCAAGGCAGGCCATCAAAGCTGCGGCATCTAAGCCCAAGCCAAACCTGCCCCAGACCTCCGACATCAAGGACCATGCGCCGGTCAAGAAGTCGACCTCGGCTTCCAAGCCATCGGTAAGCAAGACCGCCGCCGAAGCGAAGAAGGCAGTCAAGGACTCGGCCGCCGTGGACGTCCCGCCGTCGGAAGCCACGACGGAGAAGAAGAAGAAGAAGAAGAAGATCAGGCACACGCCCAAGTACGACATGGCCGCCGCCCTGTCGCGCGGCGAGGAGATCCCCGGCGTCACGGACAAGAAGCCCCTCGTGCGCAAGGTGCCCAAGGCCGCCGTCAAGGCCCCAGAGCAGCCCGCGGTGGAGGACCTGCCCCAGCAGCCACAGGCCGCCGTCAAGAAGTCCGTGCCGGCGCAGGCGCAGGCGGCGCCCAAGAAGCAGAAGATCTACTCGGAGGACGCCCAGATCCCCACGCACCAGATCCTCGCCCAGCGCAAGAAGGAGGAGGCCCTCAAGCAGCAGCAGCAGGCCCTCCAGCGGCAGCAGGGCCAGGGCCAAGGTCAAGGACAGGGCGGCGCGATCGGCGGCGTTGGCAAGGCCGGAAAGGGCGCGTTGGACACTGTCGGCAACGTCGGCCAGCAGGGCGTCATGACTATCGGCGATATCGGCAAGGGCCTGCCTGTCGCTGGCAAGGCCGTCGACGGCGCGACCCGCGGTGCTGGCAAGACTCTTGGTGCTGCCACAGGCGGGCTGGGCCAGACGCTGGGCGACACAACCGGTGCTCTTGGCCGTGGCGATCTTGGCGGCACCGTTGGCGGCGCGACCAAGGGGCTCGGAGACACCGTTGGAGGAGTTGGAAAGGGATTGGTGAGTTATCCCAAGACTTCGGCTCTCGATCCACAGACAGAAACTGACAACAGTTACAGGGAGACACCGTCGGAGGAAGTAAGCAAAAACCACCACCACCAAAGCCACAACAACAACCACCACCACCAAAGACACAACCACCACCCCCGAAACCCAAAGTAGTGCTGTCTCGAGGCCAGCCGCTCTCAGAGGGTGCGCTCCAGCGGCTCGCTGAGACGTCAGGCCCGAGGAAGAGTCTGCAGAAGTCTGCTTCGTGGATACTGTCGACGCAGAGTGAGAAACAACACTAACAACCGGGCGATTTTGCAGCTGTCGGCGGCCTCGGAGACAGCCTTCCAGGACCAGTCGTAAGTACCAACTGTTTCACCACCCTATCCTTGGTTATTAAATACTCCGGAAAATCCTCGATTATTCTCACCAAACATTTTCGATTTCATTGGGAACCCGCCAGGTGGTCACCATGATTAGTCCCCTTTACTATCGAGATACTGCACCAGCTCCGAATGTTGTGAAATGTGAGGCTAACTCGTGTAACTCAGGGCGGAATCGTCGGCGGAGCCGGCCGGGGTGTCGTACGTTAAAACTGCCCGGTCAATACACTGATTCGAATCGCATACTAACCTGCGCAAAAGGGCGACGCTGTCGGCGGTATCACTGGCGGCCTAGGAAAGGGCGTCGGCAAAGTCGGCCAAGGAGACCTGTGAGTTGAGCCTTGCTCTTGATTGCTCGAAGTATCATGATTCTAACAATATTACAGCCTTGGCGGCGTCGGAGATGTCGTGTAAGTCTCTAGATTCGATTGATGTTTGCCTAGGAACGTCCGCGCACCTTCACCGGCGAGGTTCAGCGACGTCTGCCTGTGTTGGCTTTCATAGACCTTCTATCCTCTGGGGTGCCCTCAATTCTTCTCCCGGTGTTCAATGCTAACAATGTCGCACAGCGGCGGAGTCGGAGACGGAGTCGGCGGTAAGTGTCATGTGATCCACACTGTTGTACGACATAAAGCTGACGCACTTTCGAGGTCTTCTAGGAGGCGTGCTGGGTGGACTCGGCGGGCCGCAGCAGGGCAAGGGCGGCAAGAAAGGAGGCGGAGGCGGAGGCGGAGGCGGTGGGCTTCTCGGACTCGGAGGAGGTGGTGGTCAAGGGGGAGGCGGACTTCTCGGCCTCTAAGCCGGACAGTTTATGAAAGACCGGCGACGAAGACGATGATGAATTGAGTGTTGTGGTGTATCGGGTAACTGCAACCAAGACGGCACGTTGAGATCTGCGCATGCAAGCGGTGCATAAGCAACAAGGATAGTAAACACAATTTCCGGGCTCTACTCCTTCGCTTCCAACGCAGTGTAACACATTCAGGAGGCAAGTTGACTCGGACGGTCGCAGAATGCCATCATGGACAATCTTGGCTTGGGCTTCTCGCTGTTAAAAGCAATTCCGGGGACGCTAGAACTCGCATCCCGCGCCGTCCGTGATACCATCGTAATGGTGTACGCGGTGGGGACTGGGCGACGCTCGACGCAGCCCGGAACCGCCACACTCCGAGATGCTCGAAGATGTCCGATGTCCGAGCCACCAGGACTTGAATGTGAAGTGGCAGAGACCCGGACTGCTTAAATCATAACATAAGAGTGAGAATATTTATAATATGCAGAAACCGTCAATTAGAGCATAAGCATTACGCAGCCACCTCCTCCGAATCCCTGTCCCACCAAAACTTACAAACAATGGCTGTCCTATCCACAAGCGCCACCGAACTTAGACTGGATTTGATCCCGACATCGTCACAGATCCTGTCCATGTCCACTTTGGCACGCGGGGGCATTTTACTGGTCACATTTGGCCTCTTCCGACTGGTCTACACTTGGCTGCGCTCTATCTATCGTGTGCATTTCCATCCTCTGGCAAAGTTTCCAGGCCCACGGGAAGCGGCTATTTCCAGGGACTGGGAATTCAAGATTACCTCGGAGAAGGGCGCATATCCCGAGAAGGTGTACGAGAGGCTTCACAAGGAATACAGTGAGTAAACATCCTAACCCTTGATTCGGGACCTGCTAACGCCCTGATGGAAACACATGCTCTTCGCATCGGACCCAACGAGCTCCATCTCGACGATGTCAGCCTCTACAAGACCATCTACAACCAGAACACAAAGTACCTCAAGGCCCCGAGCTACTACGATGCGTTCAGCTCCCACCAGACCATGTTCGGGCAGTACGACCCGCAGCTCCACCGCCGGCGGCGCAAGCTGATGAGCCCCATGTTCTCGCGGGCCGGCATCTTCAAGCTCGAGGGCCTCATCCACGACAAGTACGAGCTCATGGAGGGCAAGATCCTGCGCCTGTGCGGCAAGGGCTCCGGCAGCGTCGACGCGTACGACGCCTTCGGGGCCCTGACCACCGAGATCATCGCGCAGTTCGCCTTCTCGCGCCCCGCCGGCATGATCGCGGAGTCGAGGGACAGCTTCAAGGCCAGCAGCGTCGACGCCATCGAGGGGACCGCGGACGGGATCGAGCACATGCGGCAGTACTGGGTGCTGAGGGTGCTCGCTGCGATAATGCCGAGGAGGCTTATGGCCCGTTTTGGCGGGGACGTCGGACAGTTCATGCACGTGCTCGACGTGAGTTCATATCTCCATTCCTATGCTGTCGTAACCCCCTGTGACTCCCATGTGTTTGCTAACGTCCGAGCAATAAATAGTACGCAGAAGAGTCCGTGCATCATTGGGAGCAGCACAAGGGCGAAGTGGACCACCCCGTCGTCTTCGATGCCCTCGAGGGCCTGGCCGATGAGCAGAAGTCTGGCGAGGCGGTGAGCATGATCATCGCGGGGGGAGATACCACCGCGAGCACCCTCACGTACGCGGTCGCGGCCGTCACCGGCGACCCGCAGATCCACCAGAGGCTTGTCTCCGAGCTCGAGACGGCGCTGGCGGCCCGCGGCGGGAGGAGGGGCGACAGGCCGGCGCTGAGCGAGCTGGAGGAGATCCCTTACCTGATGGCCGTGGTGAGGGAGTCCGTGAGGTGTGCCGTTGCGCAGCCTGCCCGCCTGCCTCGCACAGTGCCCGACGGTGGCGAACCGCTCATTGTTGATGGCAAGGTTATCCCCCCAGGCGTAAGTCTTTCAATCAATGCGTTTCCTGCGCCGAAGATTATGTCTAACCACACAGCCCAACTCTGCAGACTGTAGTTGGTATGTCTACCTACACCATGAACATGAGCGAGGAGATCTTCGGACCAGACGCACGACAATTCAACCCCGAACGGTGGATGAAACCCGAATCCAAACAACTAGCCGAGCACATCTATACCTTCTCCAAGGGAAGCCGGATGTGTATTGGGATCAAGTAAGATATTTTTTCTGGGGGGGCCGAAGACAAGAAACTATGCTGACGCACGCGTTTCGCAGCCTTGCCAACGCAGAGCTGGTGATTCTCATCGCCAGCCTTTTCTACAATCTCAAGGTGTCCCGACCTTGCCACTTCCAGGAACCTGTCGAGAGGGAGCATTTCACCGTCAGCTAAGCTCCAGGAGGAGTGCCGATGAACTTCGAGGCAAAGTAAGACGCCGGAGCTTACCTTGTTTGTGTAAACTTTGCCAGCTGTCTCACCTTTTTCTATAACGAGATAATACCAAAAGCACCATCTGACTATCCCCGAAGGAATCGAGGGTTTTATCGAAGTGAGACGTGAGCTATGGTACTGGGAGGAATTAAGCTCTCGACGTCGACGGCATTGCTTTCGCATAGCTTTTGGCGAAGTGCAGCTGGTTCGGGCATTATTTGATTTCTTTCAACTGTGTGCAGGGCTTTGTTATCCAGCTTTCCATACTAGACTGTGCCATCGGAATGGGACTCCGCTCAAACTACAGGAACATCTAGCTGATTGTGGATATCAACATTCCCAAGTGCCTACGTGGAACGCGTGGATAACGCTAGGTATAGTGCAGGGCGAAGAGATATGGGGTGGAAAACGACATTGCTTTACTCGTCCCTGTATGCTCTGCCCAGGGGCGTCAACCTGCCCTCGCCATCCAGCATGGCAGCCCACCGGCCAACAGCCCCACAGTCCCTCATGGGCCCAAACCAGGCGTACCGCTCCACCCAGTCCAGCGTGTCCAGGTACTTTGCGCTCTCCCTCGCAAAGTTCTCGACGTGCTCCCGCGGCAGGGGGTCCTCGACGCTCCAGTTGGTGCACGCGTACTCGGTGATCCAGGCCGGCCTGTCCGGGCCGAGCTGGTGGTGCGTGCTCCAGATGTAGTCGTAGAACTGGCCCAGCTCGGCACCGTACCAGTGGAGGCAGTAGAAGTCGACGTCCGAGCCGCCCCCGCGGACCCTGGCGAGGAACTCGCGCAGCCAGCCGACGGCGTGCGGCGCCGACGAGATGCCCGGGCTGCCCGCGCGCACGCCCGCCCGGCGCAGCGGCTCGACGCACCGCAGCCACTCGCGCGCGGCGAGCTCGGCGGGCATGTTGGACTGGTCCGGGAGCTCGGGCTCGTTGAAGCCGAGGACGGTGGCGGGCGCGCCGGCGCCGGCGCCGGCGGCGTGGCCGGCCAGCTCGTCGATGTTGACGTGGTTCCACTGCATCGGGACGAACTGGAGGGAGCTGTTGGGGGTTGGGGCGCGGGGACCAGTTGTAGAGCCACGAGACTTTGGAGCCCGGCTTGGTGAAGGCGAGGACCTCGTCCTTGCCGTGGTTGTCGGTGGGCCAGCAGAGGCCGCGTTTTGAGGGGGTACCCATGGCTTTGGAGGTTAAGCAGTGAAAGGGAGGAAGCTAAGGTGAAAATTGCTTCCTGATGACGAAAAATTGCTGGATACGGGTAGTAAGCTGGGCAATCGCAAGAGTTTGGGCTATGTTGAGCGGGAGAACAGCGTCAAGCCGCCATCGTGGAGCTTGGAATATTTGCCCTTGGCGCGATGTCAAGAGTGGCTGAGCAGCTGACGTAATGCTACCTCGCGAAGGGACGAAGTGGAAACTAAGGAATTCGCTCCCTGGAATTGTTTTGCTGTGTTTGGAAAGCTCGATTGGAATTAACCGTCTTTCTATGGAAGGGTTAACAACCAGTTCGCCTGGCTCATTCACGTGTAGACGAACAGGCTGATCCCACCCAATATCTCTCTGAACTACCGGCCACCCGCCTAGCTGGTTCAAGGTCAGGGTTACAGGGTCCTTGCTTGTTGCCTTTGACACCAGTTCCGGGAGATTTGCGGAGGTGGGGATACATCCAATGTTAGCTTGCAGCTAAAGATACAAGAATGAACCCGCGACATCACGCCTGTTGAAAAGCCCGGAAAGGCATGATCTGGGGCAGTAATTATGTAAATGAGGAAGAAGACATGTAGCCAAATAAGCTCTCATGCGGATGTCTCTACCCCCGTATGTTTCAACTCTGCCCAATTCCACACGCATCGTCAGAAGGAAGTCGAGGATGACTTGCCTGTATTATTGGAATGGTGTCTAGAAGCACTTACTTCAATACTTCCAAGTTCAAAATAGCAACTTCGTTCGCTTGGGTAGTAGCAGCTGCTCGATGTCGTGAATGCGCCTTCCTCGTCCTGGTATGTCATGCCTTGGACTTATCTGGACGAAGGGGAGGGCCATGTTCCCTATTCAAAATGTCGTCACGGTTTGTTGTGAACTTTTTGATCCTCCCATCAATTCCTTTTTGGCTCGAGACACCACTCGTAAACCCGCCCTTTACTCTCGCTCCAAACCCCCCAACAGGACATCATGAAGACCTCCATCATCTTGCACGTGGCAATTACCAGTCTTATCCAAGAAGCTGTGAGAAAATTTCTCTTCTCCTGAGCAAGCCCAACTGTTCTGATCGGTGTGCCTAACTTCCCTTTTACAGGCCCAACACTCCTCTCGTGCCGCGCCTCCTCTCCCAGGTTACGGTGTTGAAGAGATGCAGTGGAGCTTCAAGCCTCCATTCGCCGAGCCGATATTCATCAACGGAACTGTTCAGGACGTCGAGCGTAGTCTTGAAGATACCAATACTATGAGACCCGAGCCATGCAACGAAGTCGTGCATCCCATGGCGCCTGGCCAGGAGCGCAGCGTCGCCAGAGACACAATGTCCGTCCAATTCTGCGGCGTCTTCCCCACGGCCAACAGTCACCACATCTCTGCCCAGATCCCTGCCATCACGACCATTTCTGGACCCGCCGTTATCGGCCCAGGGCCAGGCAACTGTGTCCAAGTCAGCTGCGCCCAAGGCTCCGCAATATGGTGGTGCAATGATGTAGGCCTTCGATTGAACTTTGATGAATCAAGAATAATTGACGCGAAACAACTAACATGACTGATCATCTGTAGCGCAATACCACGATCATGCTTCCTCGAGGAATGGAGCAAGTTGGCGACGCAGTGGACGCAATCATCGATCAGTGCTGCGGCACAACCCGTTGCCGAATGTTTCCAAACTTTCCAATCTCCGGACAAGCCTTCGCGGAAGAGAAATGGAATGTCTTGGTGAAAGGGGAGGACTGCTGAGGTACCACAGTCACCAACATCGTGCGTAACGTACAGCATGGATTAACTTGACTGGGTGTGAGGCAATTGTTGTTCATGCTTATCTCATTTGTGATCCCGATTCATTCACAGGGTTTCAACGGGACAAAAAGACATAGCTGTGATCAAAGTATAAACCAACCAAGCTCGTTTAGCAAATTGATGGCTTATTTGGCACTTGACTTCGTTCAAATATGGGTTCATACTAGTCCTTGCAACATCTGCCGCTACAGATCCGTAACCAGGATACCCACAGACTCTCGCATGCCAGAGAAGATCCAGACTTGACTGCAGTGTATGGTGAAAATGTTTCGACTTAACGTAATCCGCTTGTCGGAACTTCTCTAATTGCTACACATTCCCGGACGTGTGCCCAGCGCTAGTGGTGGAGCCTGGGATCTCGATCTTCTGGTGGGCATGCAGTAGATAAATCACAATGAGCAAGGCTGGGCGGGTCTTTTGTTCATGATCGTACACAGCGTTCCATGTCTAAGGCGAGTCTACGAATCAATACATGCCCACGCTGGAGAGATTTGCGGACATTGATGGCCCATTTGTGGTGCACAACCCCAACGGTCAGTCTTTGGCCGGATAGTTCTATACCCCTGGGATAGATGTTTCAGTTGTCAGCCATTGGCGGACTTGGAGACAGCAAACACTATCATCGAATGTGCTAGGAGGTTTCCTACTGACACAGTGTGTACGTTCTGACGATATCTTTTCATAGTTCACCAGTATGCCAAGATCCATGATCCCAATGAACATCTGATCACAATGCGGCTTCGGGTGAAATCCTCGATATGACCATGTGTTAGCCGTCATTCGCGCTGGAAATACCTTGTTCGGCGTTCACAGTCAGCTGTGGATTCCCTCCGAGACACCGTTGATCAACCCGATCGGACGGCGGCCAAGCCACTGCGCTTTGAACAAAAAAAACGGAACAAGCCGCTTGGGCAAAACCGTTCAACTTTCCATTCCTGGGCACGAGGCCCAATATGCCCCATCATCAAACAACCCGGAGGAACCGGGGCCGCGGCATTCGCCGTGTTGGAGGCTTGCCGACCGGGACGCGGATGTTGTGACATGGTCCGGGGTACGACGCGGACCCCTCTCAGTCGGTACTCCGTACTGAATGAGTTTCCTCAGGAGGCGCCATCTGCCTTCTGTCACCCTGCCGTACGGCTGCACTCAAAGCGGAGCTCCGACTCGGACAGGCTTCGTATCCATATTACACGACTCAGCTACCGAACAAGGCAGAGCATCCGCCGTTCAGGCACAATCAAAAGCTACAATAGTATCTCGTTATTGGGAAATGACACAATCTTGGTCTAGAATAACAAGTGTAATGAAATGTCAAAATGCATTGAACTAGAAACTATGTGGTAGCGAGCTCGAGCAAGCAACATCATCGATCTCTGTTTACCCAAAGGCGTGATGGGACTCGAGATCATCAATGAAACATCAGCCCCTGCATCCCCAATGGGCCCTTGTTGAGACAAGCTTAACCGGTGATTACAAGGCGGGTCCACAACAAGAAACGAGGGGGTTCTTGCAAGATTGGTCTGGAAAGGCCATAAGAAGTCATCTTCCCTCAGCCGCTGCGGAAGCTTGCTCCATGGTAATTTTACCCGAGCTGTCACTTTTCTTGCATGGGAGTTGCCCGCTCAAGATGACATGCCAACGGCACCAGATTACCGAAGATGCTTCTTGAATCGGAGTCTCTTTATCTCACGCCCACCGACGATCTCGCGCTTGGGACCCTGGCTCTGTCGATAGTCCTGTCCATCCTGAGCCTCGCCGCCGTCTCGCTGCGATGCTGGCTTCGCCTGCGAGAGAAGCTCTTCGGAGCGGATGATGCTTTCATGCTTGTTGGCATGATTGCATTTCAGGCCACTTGCTGTATTACCACGTACAGCTGCTTCATTGGGATAGGAAGCCACGATTCGTCAATCAATATCGTGCAGTATTCTGAAGGCCACAAGGTACGCAAATCACTGAATGAAGCTTGCCAATTACGATTCTCTTTTTGCCCGGCCTGAATAACAGTTTTTAGTACTTACTCATCTGGGAGTGCCTTTACTTCACATCTGCAATGTTCATCAAATGCGCAATATCCTTGACGATGCTGCGTGTTGCGGAAAAGAGGGCCCACAAGATTGCGCTATGGATCATCATCGCCTTCGTTGTCATGACTGGGCTGATAGGCGTAATCGGGGGGCTGACGGTGTGCCACCCTATTGAAAAGAATTGGGACCTGACAGCTACATCTGAGGATTGTGCATACGGTGCAGTGTTGGTCATCGGGTTCGTGGTGACGGCAACGTCTATTCTCACAGACTTTGCCTGCGCTGGGTTGCCGATCTTGGTTCTATGGAATATGCAAATGGACAGGAGGACCAAAATACTGACCTGGTTCATGCTGGCCCTTGGCGCCAGGTACGTTCATCCTTGTCCGGTATTTCTTCGCGCAACTGACGGTCTCCGTTAGCGCATCTTTGTCAACAATCATTCGCATACCCTATCTCCAGTATTGGACAATCAATAAAGATCAACTATGTAAGTGCACTTGAGAACAAGAGTCTGCATCGACACATTTGTCATGTAACGCATTCTAATTGAGGCCCACAATACAGACAACATCGCCAATGTCATTATTTGGTCCATGTTCGAATGTGGAATAGGAATAGTTGCAGGCAGTTTGTCCATGCTGCGGCGTCTGGTTCTCCAATGGTTACCTCAGCGGACACCCGATGAAGAACCATCAACTCCATTGCCACCGACACGCTCTCTCATAACAATTGGCGTATTCGCTCCTGCGCAGCAGACGAAGGCACCTGCTTCTCGCCAGTCCAGGGCAGCGGACATCGGTGCCGCGGTGGACACCAACCGCATGGGTGCATATGAAGAGCTTAGCGGCTCATCGACTGGCAAGACTTCAGTCTCGGTGCCTCGAAGTGCTCGTGACGGCGTGGAGATGACGGATCTCGGCCACAAGAGGCGCCACGGGAGTGATGCTACCGACAAACGGCCCCTCAGAGAAACGTTTTGACCGTTCAATGTTTACCAACTAGGACAGCATATTCCCCCCTAACACATGAAAAGGCCAGCACCTAGGTAGCCTCGCATCCGACTCATGTTTCCCCTGGATTCAATCGAAGGTTATCGCATGGACACGATAGTCCCACGTATTACCAAGCCGACTTGGCTGCATCGGAAACACTCCTCATCGATGTTCTGCATTGGTTTTGTCAGTGCTCCCATTAGGTTAACACAGGCAGCACTAGCCCTCTCTGTGATTCGTTGCTCGGGTTTCGGACAGTCTGGTCTAGGGCCGGCGCCAGGAACCGTCCTTCACTACTACACACCGCCAACACCACAGCTGGTCTGCACAGACTGACACTAAAGCAAGTTGGAGAAGACGTTCTTTGTTACCCCTTTACAAGTGGCCTCAACACGGGCCCTTGGAAAAGAACATAGCGGCCAACTATGGAACTTCCCACGTGCACAATAGACGCCGGCGGTCAAAGACCAGGCCTTTCCAATGTTGCTATACCAGGAGTGGGCGTCGGTTATGGATCTTGCCGAGGACGAACGCATGCCTTTGTCAAAGATGCAGCCATTTTCGAGGACTCGACCGCAGCCAAGCATCGCAGCTGGCCGAATTGAATGCCTGAGTCGTCTTAGCTGGGTCTGCTACAGTCTAGTTCCACGAGATGCTCTGAATGCTCAGCGGCCGCCGGCCCAAGTTCATAATCTAGGCCCCGCGCTTCGCGATTGTGCATGCCCTCGCGCCAATCCGGAGGGGTTTCCTGCAGCCGTGAAGCTGCCTCCAAGACATCAACCAGCACAAGACCGCAATGGCGACGACAACACCCTCCCCCGGCCAGAGTTCACCAGATCCATTGGGGATCACGGCAACAAAGTCGGACAGCTCTGACGACAGCGTCACGACTCCTTGCCTTGGGGAGGCGGGGCGTCATTTATATGGCAGTCTGTTCAGACGGGACTCGTCTTCGACCACCACCCTGCCCTTCCCGGACTTCAAGATGGAGAACGATTCGGCTGAGCAGCCTGCCAGGCCCTTATCGCCACCTCCGTCGCCACTCTCACCACTGGCCTCGCGCAGGAAGAAAATCCCGGATCCCCTCACCAGACGACTGAAGAACAAATCCGGCCTCAAGTCACATGTCAATGAGTCGGCCCTAAGACAATACACGGAGTACGATAACCTCGGAACACCTCGGTCGCCTTTCTTCTCCCCCGGTATCTGGACGGGGAACACATTCGGTGAGCCGGACGCCAGGACCAACCTGGAGCAATACGAAGATGCCTTCACTCCCAAGCTCCCGATTCTCGACGTATTCGCGATGAAGACTGTCAACTCCGTCTTGAAAGACCAGGCTGCAGTGGCTCGGATGAGGCAATTCGCACAATCGCGAGGCCGCTACAAGGACATCGACTTCCTGACGAAGGTGGAGGAATATAGCAACACGATGAGCATGGTCTCCTCGATCATGGCTAACATCTCCATGAAGTTCACCGGCGTTGCAGCCTCCCAACCCATCAGGCTCCCCATGGCCGTTTCCAAGAGCCTCAACACCGACATCAAAAATGTCTCCACCTCACTCCTACCAGGGCTAGAAAGCCTGTTTGATGACGCGAAGTCTCATATTGAGAGGAGCCTCGCACAAGATATCTATCCGGATTTTCTCAAGAATCAGCTGTCTCTCGGCTTGCAAACCATCGGACCTGGTTACTCGCCCAGCCAGATTTGTTCCGGATTCGGTGACTCTTTTTGCATTACCGACTCGTATCAAGCCGATTCCCCAATCGTCTTCGTTTCAGATGGCCTGGCGGGTCTCACTGGATACAAACATGACGAGCTGGTTGACAGGAACTGCCGCTTTCTCCAGGGCCCAGGGACGAGAGCAAGCGGCGTCGACCGCATCCGGGACGCTGTCTCGAAGAACCACGAGTGGTCCGAGCTGCTCCTGAACTATCGCAAGGACGGCAGGGTCTTCTGGAATCTTCTATTCACAGCGCACCTGATGGGAGTCGACGGCCAAGTTCGTTACCACCTCGGTGGCCAGGTGGACGTAACAGAAGTCCTGGAGTCGCAGGAGGGCGTCGCCAGCTTACTCGGCTACGTGCCTCCACTGAGGGACCGCAAGCTTCCGAACCTTGATGAACACGAGACCCGCGGGTCATGGCGAAATGCGTTCAGCAGCAAGGAAAGACGGCCGGCCAGGGAGAGAGATGCCAAGTACCCGCCGCAGACCTCCCGCAACAAGTTCTTCAAGAGCTTTCGGCGCCATTCTCGGGGTGACACGCCCGTCTCCCCAATCGACAACGAGAGCAACCATGACCTTTCGACGTCAGAGCCGACCACGCCCCTGGACCATCGAGGGTCGATGACCATGCCAAGCCCGCCGCTGCCGACCCATCACGCGGTCCTCTCGCCATACTCCCGATTCATCGTGCTCGAAAACATCCCGCCGGGCTCGACGGGGAGCACCCACGAGAAGAAAAGCCTGCGCGCCCAGCTCCCGGTCGCATTCTGCTCCACGGCGATCATGGACAGCCTCAACAACAGCGGCGGCGCCAGCCAGAAGTGCCTCGCAGACGTCATCGGGAACAACGTCTTCAAGGTCCTCTCCGAGGCCGGGAACTCGCCGTCGGTCAACAAGTCCTTCAAGGCCACCGTGCGGGCGAGCATCGCCGAGGGGCGCACGGCCAAGCTCGACCTGACGCTCAACGGGAACAACAACAGCCTGAGGAGGCCGCGCGGCCTCTCGCTGTCCCGCAAGTCCAGCGGCGTCGGGCTCGCGGCCCTCGGGCTCGGCGGGGAGCCGACGCCGAGCTCGAGCACTGCCAGCCACGGCCGGTCTCTGCGCAAGAGCATGAGCCTGGAGAGGCTGGTGCCTACCAACCATGGCAGCGGGGGCGCGGAGGATTTCGTCAGCTACTGGACCCCGTTGAAGGATGGGAATAGGGCTACTCGGTTCGTGGTTGTTGTGCTTATCCCCGAGGTGTCTTGATTCGGGCCTACCGTGTTGATGGGAGATCTATATCATTTCATAGCTGGCATGCAAAATGCACAAGCGTGCTAGTCGAGTGTGACGCTGTGGAGGTGTCTGTGGAAGTTGCTCATGGAAGGCCAGAGAATCTGTTGTCCTCGCCTGATCGCATGCTCCGCCGTGTAATAAAATCACTTGTTTCGAAGTATTCGTCAACGCGCCGTGTAGCAGGAATTGAGTCATGTTTATTTTGAGTGGACGATCCAAATGACCAACGACACTAATTATTTACTATCATTACCCTCTGCTTTCAAAGCTTCACCCGTCAAAGAAACGACATTTGTTCTCAGACCAGGACGAATGTCTCCCACACCGAAAGAATTATAAAATGCCCACACCTCACCAAATATGCCTCCCAACTTGTAATTATGAACTGCAGAACAACATCAAGGCCTGGTTCCTCCAGGTCATTGTGCCAATCATGCAATGCTCAGTCGCCATCCTCAGTACCATCAGCACCATCATCTTGACCGTCCGTATCATCCGTGGGTGGGAGCGGGAAAGGGAACGGGTTCACAGGGGCCGGAACGGGCGCAGGAGGCGGGCGTGTGCCGGTGCCACCCGTCCCAGTTCCCGTCCCGACCCCAGTGGCAGACTCGCGCTGCCAGAACGCCCACACGCCACTGCTGTATGTTGCGCACTGTCCGACCCGAACGGTCCCTGCTTGGTCGCAGTTGGCATCGGCGCAGGCGAAAAGGGTCGGGTCTATGGCGTGGTTGTTAGCTGGTCTCCGCCAGGTGTGTGAAATATTGACCGCAAAACTTACTCGTTGTGCATAGAGCGCTGGTACAAGTCACTTGGACCCATTGCATGCTCGCCACCCCAGCAGGGCCAGGCTGGACCACGTTGTTCTCGGGGAACTTGGTGCCAGCAGACTGAGTGCAATCCTCGTCCCAGAAGCTAAAGAGCGTGGAAGGTTAGTCCGACGGCATTGGGTTCATGGACAGGAGGTGATTGACTTCTTACAAGTTCACAGTCCCGTAATCTGCCGACGACTGCCTCGATGGCAACAAGGCTGGGCTCGCAGCCGCGAGGGTGATGAAGAGCGTCCAGATGAAAGAAGTCATTTCAAGGGTTGCAAGTGCGTGGCAAGATATGTGATTGTGAACGAGAGTAGACACAAGTCAGCACAGACTCGAGAGCGTTGATGAGATGAACACCTGCCACACTGATATGGCAGAGACCTGTGGACGTTGGCCATATTTATACACGGCTGCTCGAGGATGTGGCGAAGATGACTTTCGAAGACGGGATTTTAGATCACCCACTGGACCAAGGCGAAGTAATTGTCCCACACCCTCCTAGACATTCAAGCTCAAGTGAGCTCCTTGGCGAAGAGCTTCTCAAGTCATACAACAGGACCGTAGCTTTCGATCCGGGGCGCTCATGGCGCTTCTCCCGGTGTACGAGGTCGCATTGGGATACCTAGATGTGCAGTGCGTAAAGAGGACCCTGAGCTTTGAGTCCGACGCTCAAAAGAACCCCCCATCACTTGCTGCAAATGAGGCTGTTTATTATTCCTGTCCACCGGAGCTTAAAGTGTGACCACTCGCCCGATATGCCTTCGCCAAGACAAGCATACTTCTATTGCCACTGAAGATCACGATATTCTGGACTCAATTGTTCTAGGCCGCTCTAAGCTCACTCACAGCCCCGGACTTGACAACTCAAGTGAAATGCGGCAGCCAATGGCATTGATTACGCCCCAACTCGTCCAATGTTCCACCCGCGCACCCATTGGGCAGGTCAGCTCACACCCACTTGGCCTGGCTAGGTAGGTCGAGAGATCGACAAAAAGGTTGTCGGATGCAATATATCATGCTCTATGAGATACTCCTAACTAAAAATAACTCCCGATTGCTCCGGTTCAGCGCGCCGGCGGCCGTGTGTTTCGAAACACAAACCTCTCGAGAGTACCGGCCCCTCTCCGGGCTGAGAATATTAGTGTCTGCAGAACAGCCCTCGCTTACAAACTGCCGCCTGCACATCTCTCACCACAAAGACTTCCACTGTGAAACTCGGAGATGACATGGCCAGCTTTCAAAGCTAGCTCTCGTGTGCATTCGTCGAAAAGAATGGCCTCTGAGTTATGTGTCGTGTTAAAATCGTGAGTCGTCGGGGTCTCTTCTGGAAAGGTTGGAAGATCACCCCGTGCCGATTGGCCGCCTTGGATTAAGGTTCGAGTCTCACGGTAGGATCCGTCTCACCAGGTGGTAGTCCTGGCCGAGGTCCGAGAGGCGCTATTTTTAGAGTTAAATGTTTTGATCCCGAGCGGCGCGCTTCCGTGGAAAATCATGAACTACATTTGTTGGTGTGACTGTGGTAGTCAACGGGCGTTGACTAATCCAACGTGAACACCAAACCCGCATTCTCGCAAGAGTCGACGGGGTTACTCGGAAATAGTCACACTTGCTGAATCTGAGGAAGATAAAAATGTTGGAATAGTGAGGCAGAAATTCTTGATAAAGCGTAAATCACAGCAGCGAGGCTTTTTGTTGGAGATTGACCATGGACATTGCGTTGATCACAATCAGCAGTCAAGGGAGACACGTAGCCGAATACCCAGTTTTACTACACGCTGGTATCACGTGGAGGCTCAACTATGGGTCGAATCTGGGGGGGAGGGCCATTCATCTGTATTTTGTTCCTTACGAGAAAGGCCCGTTTTCCAGTTCTGTGCTGCACGTCGGTGGTCCCTAGAATACTGTTCAATGGCCACAGGGTGTAAGTTCCCGACGCATAGCGCCTCGTTTCACCATCTCCGTATGAAAAGTGGTATGACTTATGCAGGCACCGAGGTCCACAAGTAGTGTCCAACTTAATATCCAGCGCCATGGCTTCATTGCGACACTATGCTGCGTCCGTGAATAAGCAAAAGGTACCCGACATAGTAGCACCAGGGGCGAGGTTCAATACAGAAAAACAATGCAGCGAAATTGAACATTCTGCGCCGAGCCATTTGTTGATATATGTAATCTTGATGCCGAGGCAGATAATGGAGCAGTGAAACCCCTTGCAGAAATACTATTGAGATGAATGGGAAGGTATAGTCTGTATGACTCTGGTATGCATGACTGGTTGTGGACCGGTAGACAAGGCCCAGATTATGTTCAGTCTCAGTCGGAAAAGTAACAGAACATATCACAGTACCTGGCATTGTCTGGAGAACTTTCTTCTGGTTTGGCCTGTGGTGTTTCATAAAACAGAAAACCAGGGAGATTCAGAAACAGGAGCAGGGTGGAAGGTAGGAGGATGAGTGCCACGAACACATTAGAAGGGCACGTTCGACTTGCTCATGCACAGATGCACAAAGTGAAGGTGAAGACAAAAAAAGCCGACGGGAATCAGGCCCTCTCGAGTGCCGAGCAACAGGACCGGCTTTGGCCAGAAACCTTCTCATTGCCGTCACAGCATTGCATAAGAATGTGGTGCCTTAATATCATCGGTGTTACGGAGTCAACTGGAGTGGCTGTGTGGAAACTTTGATCGGGAACCACCAACAACAACATGACAACCTTCCACGGAGACCAACATCAGATGGAACCCCCCTTGGAACACCTGGGCCGGGCTGGTATGTGAATCATCATTGTGATGAGGGCTTTTGCGACTGAACTTGATGCCGAATACCGCTCGACTCCTCGAATGTCTTTTAAGAAAAAACGCTCGTGCCATCCAACGTTCTACTTCCCATGCTCCTAGAACATTGTACCTCTGCTCCTAGAACATTGTACCTCGATCAACTGTCGCGAAGTCTACAAGTCGAGGAATGACCTGCTAAGCCGCGAATAACAAGCCAATGACATCAAGTCAACATGGAAACCGTGTTTGCGTTGCCTTCTATCCATTGTTACAGGGGTTCCTGGGTTGCAATGACATGTGAATTAAGCAAGTTTACAATGCGCTGGAGCGGGAACATGATTGGAACGATCAGGCCCAAATATATCTTCGATTTAATGTGGCATCACGTTTTTGGCAATGCGCTGCGCGGTACCAGTAGGTATTGAAGGTAGAAGTTAAGTGATGCTTGAAACATACAGCCAAAGATGGATGACTTCCCCAATGCACCGTATACAGTATTTTTGATGCGGTGAATAAGAACGTTTCACACATTGTGTCCGACGTACTGCGAATCCCACGTAATCGTATGTTGAGAATAGTGCCTGTTTCGCCATGTCTGCAATGTGATAAATACATAGGTACCTGTAATCAGTAGAATGAAGAGGAAGACACAGAATGATGAGAGAGGGAGGAGATGGTATAATTTTGGTCGTCTCAATACAAGTAGCTTCCTCCGATTTGTAGTGTCTCTAAATGTCAGCTTTTGCACTTTCCCTCCGAACCCTTAATTGAGCGTCTAATTCAATCTGATAAGAGTGTCTGAGACTATCTAGCATCTACATAAATGTATGCTGTATCCTTCAGTCTATCGTTTTCATCTGAAGTGTAATCAGTGTATGACGTTTTGCAATCTTCTGCACGACAGAAAAGCAAAAGAAACCATTTTCCATCCAAATCCTCGCCTAGACGTATGAAAACCACACAGAAAACAAAATTTGTGCAATCGGAACTCCTTGTTTGGTTTTTTTCCCATCATTCTCGTGTCTCATCAACTCATGACCGGTCACTCACAGAGCGCTAACCTTGGGGCCTTGGAGGTCCTCTCCCCTCGCCAACGCTGCCCGAAGAACCAGGTCAACACAGCAAGCGGCGCACAGCAGGCCATGACAATCGCCAAAGTCAGAAACGCATACTCTGGCCCCAACCTCTTAATCATGGGATCAATAACGGCAACGCCCACGGCGCCGAGGGTGCACCGCACAAGGTTGTTCATCGCCGTGGCACTGGCCCCCTTCCCGGGGCAGAGGTCCGAGACGAGCGTCTGGTTGGCGGCGAACACGGCGTTGCTCGTCGCGGCGATGATGAACTGCAGGGCGAGGGGCACGGCGATGTACCCAGCGCGGCCGGACACGGACGCCGGCGCGCTGAGGGAGAAGCCGTACCCCGTGATGGACGCGATGAAGAGCGCCACGATCCACCACAGGTGGCGCAGGCGGGCGTGCTCGATGGGGAAGCCGGCGGGGACGGCCTTGGTGGGGATGGTGTACTCGTCCGAGAGGCGGTTGTCGGCCTTGTACGCCTCCTCGCAGGCGCGGAAGTCGCGCGTCATGAGCCTGGCCACGACGGCCGAGCCGGCTATCGTGCCGATGCCGTTGGGCAGGTACGCGAGGCCGATCATGGTCTCGTTGAGGTGGAAGCGGTCCTTGAACAGGCCTGTCGTGCTCGAGGTCACCATGGACCAGATGGCGTAGACGACGCCGCCGAAGAGGAGGTTGGTCAGGATGTCCTTCTGGATCAGGAGCTTGAGAGGCGAGGTGAAGGTGTCCAGGTCTATTTTGATCTTTCGTGCGTCTTTGGATGCATCACGAGTGTGATACTTCGATTTGACGCCGAAGGATTCGATCAGGGGTCGGTAAATGCCTCCAAGGCGCTTCGACCCATTTCCCGCAATTGATCGCATTGTCTCCGGGAGAAAGATCACAAGGGACAGAAGCGTGAGTGTAGAGAGGATCAGGAGGAACATGAAGATAGAGTGGAATCCAAGGTAGTTTGACAACACGCCGCCAAGTACCGGCCCGACCGCGATGCTGAAGTTACGAACTAAACGAAGCAAATGGTTAAGGGACTTGAGATGGCCACGAATCGCTCCTTATTGTGAAGCAAATAGAATTTGGGTTGGACTTACTGGCTTGGTAAAAGCTAATGAAATTTCCTCTCTCGGATGATGGAGTGATGTCTTGAATCACTCCGTTGCCTGTATGATCATAGTCAGTGGCTCACGTTTTAATTAAGTCTATTTCACATTTAGAAGAATCCACGTACCAATGCTCACTGTGGAGGCACTTCCAACAGCTTGCAAGCCTCGGAAAACCAGGAGCACCGCATAATTGGGAGCAAACGACAAGACAACATTAGAAATGATATAAACACCAAAGGATGCCATGTAAATCGGACGCCGACCGGCGGAATCAGCAAGAGAGCCCCATATCATGGGAGATATGGCTTGGCAGACGAGATACGACGTGATGGTCAGAGACACTGCCTGCAAGCTAACGTGAAAATCCTTTGAAGAGTGTCAGTAAAACGAAATCAGCTCTGATATAGTTGGTTCTCGAATTAGCAAGACTCACCTTAGCTATGGCATCCAAGGCAGGGAAATAGATGTTGGAAGAGAGGCCAGAGAAGAGCCCAGCAACGCCGATGAGGATAACGACGGACCATTTCTTGCCGTGTGAGAAGACATGGTATGGTTCTTTGGGGCCGTGGCTTGGTCTGGGATTGACAGTAATGTATGGCTCTTTCTTGAGAGCCTCCAGATCAACTACCGATCCCTGGCGTGTGTAAGGAGGAGAAGTATAGGGAGTGACACTTGGAGAGTATTCAATGTACAACGGATCTGCCCAGAAGGTGTTCCCGCGATCAGCTTGTGGTAACCTCCGGGGGGCCACATTGTGATTCTCGGTTGGGGAAAATGGGCGAGTACTTGGTTCTGAAGAGGCTTGGGCAGCAATTTGTGGTATTGTGGGGGCGGATGGCGTAGCCGCGGTCTGGAAAGGTGTTGAAGAGCTCATTGCGCACGTACATTTATCAAACTTTATTCGAAAATGGGCACAGACGATCGCATTACTGAGGATTTCTCATTCAGCATCATGAAGGCAGCTACTTGACAACTTATATACTCTTCCATGGCAATTCCGCGGCCTCTGAAATCAACCTCGCCAAGACCCAGGAGGCTCTCCATAGTCAAGGTACCACCGGATAGACTTCCAGATAACCTCGCGGATGGAAGGCTATCTCTTGGCTCTGCGAGACCGGATTCCTGTATCATGGGTGCACTGACTGTGGATTGCGGTGCAACTTGTGGGTGCAACTTGTGTGGATTCGAACGTAACTTCTGTGTGCAACCTCGAGGCGCTTCGCCCCTTTCAAATGCGCAACCTGTTTCGTTTGGCTCCACTTGAGGCAAACCTCCGTGGCGACGTCTCACGTACAGATCCTTATTTTGCGTTCGGTGTTCAAAAGTTGTGCATGAACAGATTATCAGATGTCGTTCCAGGCAGAATACTATCGAATATTTGCAAGGCGCGGGCGAGGTTCTGGAACCCGGTGCAGGCTGTGTTTCAAGCCGCCATTATGCTTCCGATTCGCCATTGCGGACATGGCGGACAGACAGTGGCGGTGCATTACGTCCGCCGAGGAAATGTCCATACCCACGGCAAGGCTGGGTGTCATCGTTCATTTTTGCCAAGAGGCCGTATTTAACAATATCATAAAAAGCCGCGGATGGCGATCCGTCCCGTCTTCAAGGGAAGGACCGACTAGAGGCCGTCTCTGCCGCACAAGAAAAAGCGAAGATTTGGGCAGGCGGAGCCCCTGACCTCATCGAGGGTTGGATTGATGCAGTCAGGTCTGCAGGCGTTCATCTTGGCGCTGACTTCGGTCAAGTTCGTCCCATCTCGGGGCGGTAGTTATGCGCTGTCTCTCAGATTCCGCAATGTCGAGACCCACGCGAAGAAACGAGTTCGGCTTCTGTTGAGTCAGTTTCTGCTCGTACTTCAGGCCGCATTTTGCCTAAAAGAGTCCGGAGTGTTGGAATCGCGCTGAACTCGCTCGGGCAGAGACAAGACCAGCTCGAGTCATTAGTGGAAAGGAGCGATCTGGTTCGTGATGCAGAGGCGGTTGTGGTCCGTCGTCCAGCAGAAGATAAAGGAAGTCCGGTTGTGGATGCAGCCTAGTCGATGATTGGTTTCGGTCGAGTCGGGTCGGAAGCTTGGCATGTGCTTGGCAAATTGACGATTACAGGGACGATGCGTATCCAGCACGGGAGCTACCGGGACTTGGCCAGACTAATAAGCCTTTGCCCCCATCTGAGCCCCCACGCTTTCTCGATCCAGGCCGCCATTGGTAAGCGGCGTCCGGAACAGGGGCCGAGGACCAGATCCCCGTTGATGAGGCGGCATCGCACTGCAGAGATGTTCCGGTAGCAAGGGTGAAGATACATCCACCATACTGATGGTGATGACTTCGCGCTTGGAGAAGTTGTGACTGCGATCACCGTGGTAGAATAAACCGGCCATATGGCTTTATAACCTCCCAGTATACAGTACGCCTGCTCACCTAACTAAGTAATGCATTTTGGGGATCGGCACAGTTGTGTATTCAGGTACACGTGAATCTCGAGAACCAGTCTTCGGTCTGATTCCTTCCTCCGACACTCCTAGAGAGTGGAGGTCACGATGAATCTCAAACTCGGCAATATGCCAAGATAGAACCCGAGCTCCCCTAAGGCCGGTCCCGCCTCTCTCGTGCATCGCCAAGATGGCTGGAGCCGCTCATGCTACGCTCATAAATATTGGGGTACCATTTTCATACAGCCCACAACATAGCGGAGCACTACACGAGTAATCGTCATGAGACGTCGATGTTCCTTTAAATCGATAGGCGGGGATTTCATTTGTCACCTTCCAACTTTAGGCCTGTGAATTCTCTCATTCCTGACCTTGAGAGGAAAAAGTTGGATGATCAGCGTGTAACCCTATTCAATTGCTCATTGGTAGGCTTATAAATCTAGAGTATGTCTTACAACGGTGTGGAGCACTTGAATTGCTGGAACATGCGTGTCACTCGGATAATCTTGCTTTTTGGCATATGAGCGTGAGATGCAACCTCGGCTTCTGATTTTCAAGCGGTTCACAGTATGGACGGAGTGACAGTGCCCTCTTATTTCGAGTCAGGTACCCACGGCTTGCTTCGGATCAGTTAAGAAAATACGATGGGTCCTTAGAGACGACATATGGCAGGGAACCGCATTAGGCATCATGTACTTTCTGTGGGTCTGGAACCGGAAAAGATTGATATGCACTTCTTCACAGACACATCGATACCACTGGCAGAGCAGTCTGCTCCACCTTGCTGAAAAGGACTGTTCAATTGGCGAGAGCGGGGAGAACAGCCATCAAGGTCCGCCGAAGAACGTCCAATTCGTGGATTGAAGCGCCGTAACAGCCGGCCCCCTTGAACATGAGTCCGATAAAAGGCTGACGGCAACGCTGTGTCTAGAAAGTTACGAATTGCGTTAATTGAAGACAAAGGTGATAGTACCAGCCGTAGCTCAGATCACAGCGTGAAAGACCTAGACTTATGGAAGAACTTTCCTTGTCTGGGTGGATATTGTTGAAGCAGATCAGGTCCTCGTCCTTGGGTGACGTGCAGAAACAGCTCTCCGTCGATCGCATCTGGGGCGTTCGCTGATCCCATGGTGACGAGAACCATTCAGCCAGAATTGATCTGCATGTGTACCGAATAACTGCAGCAATCAGGTATACATGGGACATGCTTTTCTTGTTATTGGTCTCTCTGATGACGATCAAAGATCCCTGGCACGTCAGAATAATTTACAAACGAACATCTCGTACCTTTAAGCGAAACTGACATGAACGCTTCGCATGTGGGCCAGCATGTGGTGAAGCCTACTTCGGCAACTGCGGCAGCCTTGGTATGGTCTGAAGCCCGTCGTGTTTGTTGAATCCGTTCCTCACGCGGTAGTTTTGGATTTCTAGATAAACTCTTTGGGCTGGTCACAGACCTTCATTGTTTTGCATGGGATGAGCCTGTTCTAAAAGCTCATGAGCACGGAGCAAGCCTTGTTTCAGCAGCCCCTCCGGAATTGATGTCTTGGTAGATGTGTAAATGTAGCGTGCATGAGCGAAACTGCACAGGAAGCTCAGCCCGCGCACTCTTGGCGCAGCAAACGCAGAGCTTCTAATAAACGTGTTGAGTACCTGCGTGCCACATTGATATCGTAATCCTACCTACCACGGGGGAGGGGGGTTTTTAACTGGATCACGCAATACCATCACAACTTAATATTAAATCAGAATTTAGAAATTATAATAAAATATTAACAAAAGGCTGTTAAAATATTATTAAAAATAAAATTTACTAAAGCTTAAAATTTGTAATGAGCTTGGGCTAAAAGCCCAAGCCTTATATAGTGTGGCTAGATAGTCCAAGGGAGCTTGGATTATTACGTACCTTTTAGCTTAAATGGTTGCTGCTTTGCAGCTTATGAAAGAAGGCGCTAGCCAACCTGCAGCCTTAATAGGGGCCAGCGCATAACAAAATTAAATTATTATTAATTTAATATTAATGTTAACCTTATATTAATTAATATAAAAGATTTTAATTTAAACTTTATTAACTTTAAACTTAATTTTATTTTTTATTATTTTTTTAATTTTATTAATTTTTTTATAATAAATAATTATGCTAATAAAAAGTAAATAAGTAATTAAGTTAAAAAAAAAAGCTTTTTATGCCTTATAATAAAGGTTAACATTATATTATAAAATATTAAAAATAATTATATGTTAATAATATATAAAGTACGCAAGATATATATAGTAAAAGCATATTAAAACCTTAATTAAATGTCACTATTATATTATTATTCCGTTAATATACTAACGCGGTATTGATAAGAAAAAACCCTCCCCCTGGTAGGTAGTTCCAGTCTTGATCTTTTCCATTGAGTGAGTACGAGGTAACTATATCAGACGACAGGAGGTGGGGTTGACGCTAGGAATAAATTTCCTAGTACTCCGGGATTTCCAGTCAAAGGGTGTCGTCCTGATTCTGAGAAGGTTTGACCCTGCTACACAACCTTGGGGGGGGGGGGTCCCCGATTTGTCCACCATCAATACCCTAACCCTCTCTGTCCTACCGCTTTTGTGAATCGCCATTTCGACATCGCGTCCATGGTACACCTACATCTTTGCGCCCTTCAAGCAAAACGGTCCACCTACCCATGGCGCTCCACACCACTGCGTCACCACCCATCGAAAGCGACGTCGCACCTCTCGATACATCAACAACTGGTCAGTTCAAAGGCGTCCACGTCTCTCGTACAGGATGTGGACTTCCGCGCCGCCGACTGGGCCAGGACTCCTGTTGCATCGGGTTCTTCGCGGCCAGGGCCTGGAAATTCCGGCTTCTACCCACTGAGTACGCTCCGTGGAAGAACTGGGGCCTTGGTAAGGGACGTCTTGCCTGTGGAAGATGTCGCCTGCCAGCGGAGACTGGTGCTTGGGCCGCCGTGGAACTCGATTGCTTCCCTCGTCTCTTTGCTGTCCACTTGGCCGATTCTCGCACCAGAGTCAAGGCTGCTCTGTCACCAGAACTCAAAGCCTGGGCGGGCGGGATCCTGTTGTGGCCTCGTAAGCTCGAGCCATGATGCGGTCAGATTTTGACAATGCCCTCCTTTGTTAATGTGCGCGGTGCAACGCGCAAGTTGACCCGTCTCCAGCTCCCACGACAGCCTTGATTGGCATCCCGTCACAGGCTGACGTCTCGACCGACTATGGCGAAGTGACTGACCCAGAGAACTACGCCGAATATCCCAAGAACGATGTCCAAATCAACGCTGTGCCGGTATGTGTGACGTGAAATGATGGCGACAGCCGACCGGCGCGTCCCATTTGCCACTTCGCCCATGACCACTTGCTCTACCACGCTCAACACGAGACGTCCTCCGACACTGCCTTCTTTCGAGTCCGAACGAACATAGCCCTGAAAGCTCGAAAAGACAAGACCAACGTCTTCCTCTCCATATACCCCGAGCGCATACAATCCGTCGCGGTCATTGCCAGTGATGGAGCCGACTGCGCAGCGTCGGCGCAGCTTAGCGTCAGTACATACTCTTTGCAGTTCACGCCGAGCATGCCTCCGTGGTTGTCCCAAAGGGCGATTTGAAGCCCAAGCAGAGGTCCTCAGGCCTCTTACTCGACTCGTTGCGGGGCCTGGCCGAGCAGACATCTTTCCGACTTCATCTGCCGACTACAGCCCTGTCCAAGGCCCAGCTCGAGTCTCTTTGTAAGGCAGCGTCCTCTGGCGCCTTGCCATCTATGGAAAAACTCAAGGACGTGGCCAGTCCTTATGGAGGCAGAGGCGGTAGAATTATTCAGCCCGAGCCCCAGCCGTCCCCAGGCAGCCGTTCCCAGTCAGACTGCATCCGTGACTGCTGTGCCTGGAACAGAAGGCCTTGTCGTACTTGGGCTCATTGATAACCAGGCCTGCAGAGTCTGGGACGAAACGCCGACGGGCGAGTTCCGGCGCCCCTGCCTCACACAAGTGTGTGAGCTTGGATGTGCAGACTATCTGCAGCAAGATGATCGAACGCATAGACCAAGGTTTCGGCCAGCTACATTCGCGCATGGATCGTATGGAAGCGCGCCTGACTGATCTAGAGAGATGTGCTCAAGTGTGCATTCTCGGGCAGAGAAACTTGAACAGTCCACAGTCAACTCTCAACAGCACTCAAGTGAGCAAGCTGATGAGCTCCGTGACGAGCTCGAAAAGGGCCTTTAGGACGTTAGGAAAGAGACGGAAGATGTCATCACCGTACGGGTAGAGGATGACGTGTACGCGGCCAGGCAAGACCTAGACGATCACGTACGTGATGAGATGGCCGAAGTGAAAGAGAGAATTGAGGAGAGGATCATGCAGCGTCTCAGTAACGCGAGCATGCCTCTTGAATTCAACTGGACTAGGGAATAAAACCCTGTTCCCAATTCACTCGTCCCTGTTCCAACTAAAAGATCTCTCGTCCCAGTCATTGTGCACATTAGTCCCAGTTCATCTCAAGTCCCATTTGTTGTCACATCGTTCCTGCGGAAGCCGGCAGCTTGAAAGTTCACACCGAGAACGAGAAAACATCAGCCTGCAGCTGTTGCGAGGGCACAATTCTTTCGTAGCGCGAGTGTAGCATTAACATCGCTCAATATGCTCGGTTATGACAATAGCATGCCACAGCTTCCAAAACGCTTGACTCTACTTCACAGCTGGCAGGGGGTCTTCGAAGGTTCTTGGGTACGAGTGGACAGTCCAAATATGTTCAACTGCTAAAATATATATACTAGAAAACGTCCCTGGTGTTCCACGCGCCCAGGCACGAACGGTCTCAAGAGCTCGGCCAATGCTTGCGCAGTTCACTCATACGTTTCCACGTCCACAGCCCCAGGGACAAACCGCCCCCTAGACGTGAGCAACATAGTTGACACCAGCCTCCCAGGTGCTCCCGGGCTCGAGGCTGTTGAACTTGGCGACGTAGCCCGGCTCGATGGCGAGGTAGTGCTGCCAGGCGTCCTTGGGCGCGAAGTCCTTGGAGCTGAGGATCTTGGTGGCCCACGTGTTCCAGACGGTGGTGTCGGGGAGGGCCTCGCTCCTGTCGACGGTGACGCGGGCCCTGCCGTTGTCGTTGAGCACGATGGGGGACACCTCGGCCGGGCTGTAGATGCGGTCCGTCTCGCCCGTGATGCGCAGCGCGTCCGAGGTCTCGGTGACGACGGTGTAGTTCTGCGTCTTGTCCTGGTAGGTGGAGCCCTGCAGGCCGGAGACGGTTGTTGTGTTGATGTTCTGCGTGTGGCTGTCAGTGTTCTGGTCTATGTGGTCTGAGTGTGTGCATTGTGTGTGACTTACAGGGACGGTCAGGTAGGTGTGGAGGAGGAACTGGAAGTCGATGGCCTGGGTGTCGGTGTTCTCGAGGCTGAAGTGGACGTTCAGGTTGTCCTGTGTGAGGTTGACAGTGTACGCCAGCTTGGCAGAGTATGGCCACTTCGCCTGGTAATCCGCGCTCAAGGAAGCCGAGTCGAGGAGGAATTTCAGCGACACGCCGGAACCATCCTCATTGGGTGTGGCCGCGTCAAAGGTCCAGGTGCTGTTGCGGGCAAAGCCGTGGGAAGGCAGCTCAGATGTCTGGCCCTCGTCTGGTGGAGACCCAAAGTTAGGGAAGACGACAGGGATGCCGCCGCGGATGGCAGCGCTGCCGTCGAGGGCTGAGGCGGTCGACAGGAAGATCTTCTCGTCGCCGTCGCTGGACTTCCACGATGTCACTGTGGCTCCGTGGAGGTAGACGGTGACGGAGTCCCCGCTGTGCAGCGTGGCCTCGACGGTGCCTTCGCCTTGGATCACAGTGTCGGACGGCGGAGATGCGCGATGAGAAAGGGGTCCAGCCTGGGCTTGGGCCAGGAAAAGGCAAGCAGTGCCAAGCGGTAGGAGTGAAGGCAGCATCATGTTGTTTGAAAAAAGAATGTTGTCTTGAATGAGAGACTATCGGTCAAAAAGAGTGACTGAGCAGAGAGAAGTTGGCAGGTAGAAGAACTAGTAAAGCACTAATTACCTGAGGTGTGTCGCTTCATATACTAGCAGTCCACGACCCTCTTGCCGCATACTTTTCCCAACCCGAGTAGTCGGTATCGACGGCGCATGATTCGAGACCACCGAGATTGCCGGCCCCTGAGCGGCGATCCTAGAGGGCGAGATGAACGCCAAGCGCCCAGAGTAAACCTTGAATCGAGGCAAAGCCCGGCAACAGCCCTTTTCGGTCGACTCAGTTTCTATTTAGCGAAACTTTTGTAAACTTGAAACAGCGAATCAACGTGCATTCATAATAGAGTTCATGAGTCTTGGCTCATTCCTGCAAGCACGTAAAGCAGACACCTGGGCAATTGTATTCATTCCCTTGGGCACATCGGACCTCACGTGCATTTGAAATCAAGCGTCCCGAATTGCGTGACTCTTCTCGTTGAAATTGCTTGAAGCGAAGAGGCTTTGATGGCTGTCAACCATTCACATTGCTCTGCACTGGCGCCATTCCACTCTCGATAACGTGACCTTACCTCGACAACAAGTTGAATACTCGACTTGTGACTAGCTCACCGACTCCTGACCATTAGTACTCTGAAAAGAGTCCAAAGGGCACGATGGCAAACGACTATTCCTCTCGGTCAATGTGATGATTTCCGGCCTGGCAAAGTCCATCGCGTGCATTGTAACTCGCGTGCTACTTGCATTTCCGCCCCTGCTAACTCGAGTCTGCAAACTCAAGACACACCTCACAACTTGCAGCCTGGCAGCTAACAAATCATGAGATGATCAACGGTACTCAAGACGGCACACATTCAGCGGTGCGCCCGACGACATCGGTTCGCTAAACCAGAAACATTTCGAGACCAATCTGCTGACCTTTTGGCCTGCTTATTACCAAGATGCAAGCTTGGAAAGGCAGACCTCTCAGTCAATACTTTCAACGGTTGTTAGTCACGCAAGAACAGCGCCACAAGGCCAAGTCAAATCCTACAGAGACCTAGGCCCGATTCGCCGACACCCGGGCAGTGTAGCTTGTCAACCACAGTGCGGTCACACAGGTGACCTCGGCCCTGTGTCCGAGGCGCTTTAGTGCTTACACCTCTTGCCCATCCGCAGTAGCATCGCCTCCTCGCTGCAAACCGCCACCTCTGCGATTAGAGTATTTATCACAGCGCGAAGGCTAGATTCTCTAGTTCCTGGCGCCATTAGATGCTGTACCCCAGCCTGTCTTGGTTGCTTTAGCTCCCGTTCTTTGTGGTCTCAATAGCAGCCGTCCAATAATGTCAGCCCCACTCCCTGACTCTGGGATCGACGCGCAGGACGCGCCTCCCCCTTACGATGCCGTGTCCAGCCCGGGAGCGCCGGCAGACCTGCCACCAGAAAAGGCACCACTGCCAGACGACGTCAAGGATGAAGCTGACTCAGCGCTCGGTTCAGTGCCTCCCCCGCCGTTCACGGTCACTCCCGGCACGCTCATCCTGGATCCCGACGCCGTGGTCATACGAGGCGCCGTCGCGGGAGGCAGGCCGCTTTACCAGCTGTCGAGGCCGCTCAACGGCCACGCCATGTCGGTCACCCTGATGCATGTAGACCAGTATCGGGCTATGAATGATGATGACACCATGCGGACGACAGTGGAACAAGACAATCTCTACCGGATCTACGCGCATCGCGACCTGGCCAACATGAATGCACAAGTAGCAGAAGTCAGTGCGCAGAAAGCGAGACAGTTCCACGGCGTCCGTCTGAAGAAGGGAAGCTCCGTTGGCCTGACTGGCGTGAAGGAATTCTTCGAGGCAACCTGGGGTGATGATCTCAACAGGAAAACCGTATACCAAGCGCGGCAGAAGAAGGGGGTTCTTGACTGGCGAGATGGCACAGATAGGCTTGTTGCTGTTGACAACCTGGCAATTCCCCGGAGATCCCAGGCGGAGAGCCTCGACATCCTTGTCTCCCTGGACAAGAGGAACCTGGATTTCATCGTGGCTCTGTGGGTGGCTCGGATATGGCACGACACCCAGGCCGAGGGGCAGAAAGAGGACAAACAAGACGCCAAGCGGCGCAAGGCCGAGCAGAAACAGCTTGACAAAGAGGAAGGCAGGCCGCATGGGCCGGTCCATGACATGAAGGAAGCCTTGGGGATCGGATATGGAGTGAAGGGTCCATCTAATGGCCTTTATCCAGGAGGCATGCCTGGCACCGACCAGAGCGGGCAGATCAACTGGGGCGGGTCGAAGGGGTGAAGGCGTTCGAAAGCTCAGGCACTAGGTCTTGCCGGAGGAGAAGCAGTGCAATCGTGTTGGAGGTAGGTGGAAGATGGTATTGTAATTACGATGCAAACTTTATTACAAGACGACCAGGCCGGAGTACCTGTCGCCCGTTCACGAGAATGGAGATTGTGATCATTCAAGATATGTTGAGCAAGCCAAACACACATGCAAATGCCTGAACACATAAGCTCACCCGGCAATGGGGAATTTGTCACCCCTCCATGCCCAACCCGCCGTCTTGGACACATCACGAGCATGTAGGGCAAATCACACGACAGAACAGGTTCGCCATGCTTCGCAATACGTGACAATGGTCGCGCTGAGTAACCATCAGTCATGAAGTTAAGACCTAGGAGAGATTGTATCCACGACTCATCGCCCACGATGACCGTCTGAGTCCTCAGTCGGCCATACAATCTTACGAATGCATCCATAGTTTCCATTCAAGCGCACTAACGTCATTCTCACATGTGAGAGAACGTCCATGAATAACTTCTCGTATCGTACACGTCAACACAGGTACACGTCAACACAGGTACACGTCAACACAGGTACATGTCAACACATGTACGTTGCCATAGTTGATGTTCTTCTCCGTGTCAAAACATAGCACCATCAGAGTGCCGGCTCAAGCGTAGTTGGCGCTCCGCCACACGGCACCGTTTCAGGTTGCTGTCCTGGATGTTGATCGCCCTCCTGAGTCCAAGATATTCAAAAATGTCAATCCTTCGGCGCCGAGCTGTCAGCACCCCTCCGCACCGTCAAGGCAATTAACTAACTTTCACGCGATGCGCTAAGATTAAGAGCCGCTGTGTGTGGAAAACGAAACTATCCCCCCCCTGTCTTTTTGACTCGCGCTCCCCCTCTGCTGCAGAACAACAAAAATTAAAAAAAAATATGCTATTTTAAATATTTATTTATATTATTAATATATTATATTAATAATATAATATATTAATAATATTTAAAATTTTATAATATAATATAAAGAATAAAGATTATAAATATATATATTACATTAAGATATTTAATTTCGTTATAAAGTTATGATGAATTATAGTTAAATTTAAAAATTGGGATTTTGGGGGCGGAGGGGGGAGCGCGAGTCAAAAAGACAGGGGGAGGGATAGTTTCGTTTTCCACACACAGCGCATTAAGTATACCCCTGGCCCGGACTGCGACCCTCCCTGCCAACCCCGACGTCGATGAAACCTGGTGCCTTACGACCGCCGAATAGACTTATTTTCGTCCCAAAATACCATCAGATGAATGAAACGCCAAGCCTCAAACAATCATGCCAAGCTTTCAAACAACCATCGATGCGGAATGCCAAGACATGAAACCGCTCGCGAGGCTCGGCGACGGCAAGACGGCATGACGGCATGACGCACAGGCTGGCGCGAGAGGAACCTGAACTGCCTGGCCAGACACCACTGCCGCACGGGCTGGACTTCGGCCCAAGGGCCTCGAGTTGGGGTCGAGGGGTGTGTGTGCATGCGGGTGCGCGTCGCCCACTCAGGAGAATGCTGTCTGCCACGATGAGCAATTTTGGTCGGGATGGTTTCATCCAGAGGCGGCTCTCTCCTGATGGTGAGCTTTGCCGATGTCTCACTCGTGCAGAACTGGTCACAACGAACCTGCTTTCCGGGCTTCCTGGTCCTTGCCAACACCTGCGTATAAAGTCGTCCCAGTTCGGATGTCTTGGCATCAGTCTTGGCATTTCTCATTGTGCTCCATTTTCGTGATTGATTCAACTCGTCTTTCACTTATCTAAGCCCGACAACTTTTGTATTTTTGACAGATTCAAACCCCTGGTGGGCCAACGTACATCAACAAAATGCAGACCCCGTCCCTCGTTCAGGTCATTGCCGCCGCTTTGGCAGCCTCGACGGCTGTCTCGGGCTTCCAGGCCCCCGGCACCAACACGGTGTCTCGACGGGCTGTGGTGAGAGCCGTCCGACTCTTCTTCATGGTCCAGTACTGATTTTCTAAACTTCAGGCTGCGGTTGCCGCTCTTGCTGTTCCTGCCCTGGCGGCCCCTCTTGAAGAGGAAGCAAAGATCGTAAGTCCTTGCTTCACCAACAGCGGCTACGTCTTACACTAACCTTTTATCTCCACAGGTCGAAATCACGGCACGCGTTAGTTAAATCCAGCCTCGTACCTTTGAGACACGGACTTGAAGACGACTAACCACTGGCAACAGAACCCGGCCAAGGGCAAGAAAGGCAAGAAGGGAAAGAAGGCCAAAGGCGCCGCCGCCGCCGCCCGTGCTGTAGATGAGGAAGGGGATGATGAGGATGTGGCCGACCTCGAAACCCGCGAGTAAGCATAAAAAAATTACCTTAAAATAACGGGCGACCTCGCAGCATTATCAACTGACACTATTCACAAGGCCCGCCAAGAAGAAGAAGGGCAAGAAAGGCAAGGCCGCCGCCGCCACCGCCGCTGCTCGTGACGTCGCCGACGATGAAGATGAGGATAATGAGGATGCTGACCTCGAGAAGCGCACGTGAGTCCGATTACCGCGCCATGATGAGGGGATCTGTTCTCGATCCCGTGGCTGACCCTCTCTTCACACAAGACCCGCCAAGAAGAAGGGAAAGAAGGGCAAGAAAGCTAAGGCTGCTACTGCTGCCACTGCTGCCCGTGACGTGGACGTAGAGGACGACGAGGATGCTGACGATCTCGAGAAACGCACGTGAGTTTGTACCGCAAGTTCCGTGAGACAAACCTATCGCTGCCTAGAAACTGACCCAACGTTCATCAAGGCCCGCCAAGAAGAAGGGCAAGAAGGGCAAGAAGGCAAAGGCTGCTGCTGCTAACTGAGGCCCAGGGACGGAAGAAGAGGGAACTGCTGACTGATTGATTGACTGACTGATGAACTGGAATGTAAAGGCTTTGCTTGCTGAGAACTTAATAAGTCTTGTTTCAACTATGGATCGACATTTACTTGGATGATTCGTCTGTGCGACTGGTATGCCATAATCTTTGTCTGTTGATAAGGACGAGCAAGTAGAAACTTAAACTTAAGATTCGCGGTACTAGGGAACTCTGGGAATTCCTCAATGCAGATCTGCTTAAGCCATCACAAGTGGGCATCTGATTTGTAAGGGCCAGATCACGGTTTTGAGCCAGTGTTGTGAAGCACCCCTGCAAAGTAACTTCCATGCTAAGGCGCTACCGAAGCTTATCGAGAGTCACTTATGGGGAAGGACCCACTTTAAAGCCTTAAAAAGTTAAAACACTAGCCAGTATTATATAAAACGCTGCTAAATAAGCATTTTTAAAAATAATGTTTTTATAAAATTTTAATATTTTAAAAGAGAAGAATAATATAAATTATTACCAAAAAAAGTTATGGCGTAAATAAAGATTATGGTAGGTCTTAAGGTATTTCCCAAGCCGCATTTAAAGACCAAATGCACCCCGTGGTTAAAATTGAATTCTAGATTAAGTATAGCGCCGCGGTGTGCTTTAAAACACTACGGCGTTTTAGAATCCGTGATCTGGGCCTAAAAATTCCAGACCACTGGTCTACCACATTTCTGACTAGGTGAACGGGACCGACTGTAGAAGCCTCTACTACAATAGGGTGTAAGTGTTATGTGCCACAGACGGCGGAAAGCTGACGCACTACGAGTTCAAAAGTGACAACCTCTAAATGAGGCTTCTACGCACCAACTTTAACAATTATTGAAACCAGCTGCACGGTCTATTGTTGAGCTAGTTTAAAGTCCGTCGTCTATGCAGCCATGAAATCCAGACCAGATTGGAAGTTGACCTTGAGATCCTTCACTGCCACTCCCAACAGCCTCTTCTCTTCTTCCGACCGGGCACCAAAGTCCAATGCCTGCTTAGCACCATTGGGGCCCAGCTCCACCTTGACAGCAAAGTAATCGACCCCAAGCTTTGCGGCGATCTCTTTGCCACCTGGCACCCCGGGCAGTTAGACGTATGCCTCTTCCGTGACGGGCGTGCCCGCCCTGGCCGCGCCCGCCCTGGCCGCAAGGAGGGCATTGACGAATCTGAATCCCGCGTAGGCCATGCAGGTCGTCGCGCTGCCAGCGCCCTGCTTGCTCTGGACAATCTCGTCGCCGCCAAACTGGACCCCTATATTAGAGTCAGCATCCGAAAATAAAATCAGCCGTGGGCGAACTTGGGATTAGAGACATACTGTGGATGACCTTTGCCAAGGTCTCAGCATCGACATCGACTTTGGGTTCCGACCGGCTGTAGAGCGGCAGGATGGTGCCACCACTGTGGCCCCCGATGACCGGCACTTTGAACTGCTTGGGATCGGCACCGCCGCCCAGGGCGTGGGCGACGAAGGTCGAGGCCCGCACGACGTCGAGCGTCGTGAGTTCGGAGAGGCGGGTTGAGTCAAAGACACCTCTCTTCCGGAGGGCCTCGGCTGCCACTGGGACGGTCGAGTTGACGGGGTTGGTAACGACGCAGCTGATCGCCTGAGGGCACGTTGTGGCAACCTCAGTGAAAATGTCGCGAATAATGCTTGCATTGGTCTGGGTAATGCCATGTCAGTGCGTTGTTTAAATGAGAGATCGTTCAGAGACAAGAATGGCTCACCCTGAACAGGTCTAAAAAGGCACGTTTAGCATGTTTACCAGGCTGCATTGTTCTTGAGACTAATCAGGGGTATAAACCTGAACGGGGGAAGACCTACCATCCCTAGTCATTCCAGGCTTGCGTGCAATACCGGCTGTGACAACTATGAAGTCGGCTCCCTGCAGCGCCTTCTTCAGGCCATCGCTCTCGGCGGCGAGGTAGCCAGAAACCACGGCCTTGGTGTCGATGTGGTTTAGGTCTGTTGCAATACCGGGGGCATGAACGAGGTCGGAGAGGGAGATCTCGTCAAATAGGTCACTCTTTTATGGCCCCCCGTGTCAGCCAACGAGTAGTTATCCAGTCCCGTTGCGTTACCTCACCGGGACATTTGGACTCACAGTTTTGCACAGCAAGCTCAGCGGCGTGCCGATCTGGCCCGCGGCACCGAGCAGAGCGATCTTAGTCATCTTCGAAGTGGACTTGTATTTTCTTCTGACTGCAGTTCGGATGCGGCAAGTCTAATAATTGATCCCATGTCACTCATTATGTACGCAAAGGCTCGCAGAGCGCGGCGACTCTTAAAGGGGACAACTTCCCCATCTCAGGCTCCACAGGATACCGAGGACGGCACCGGGGCCGGCGCGACTTGCGCGGCTGAAACTTTAGCCACCTTTCTACCTCCGCCGTCGCAAGACATGGTTCTTCTGTCAAGCAGGGGGGCTTACGTCAACACTTCGTCACTCCTGAGTATCGCATGAATGAAGCTATGTCTAATTTGCGACTGAATTGCACTGGTTAAGTCACCCATTCACTGCCCAACGACTATGAGGTAGCACATACAGTACGAGCCAATGCTCGTGAGGACGGACTGCCTAAGTATTACGCGTCGACGGCAAACAGCAGGTAGTTTGAAACAAACAGCGTTCGGCAAGCGAACCTCGGTTTGCGATATGCAGTCTGATTTCGAAGGCAACATACTGGAATCATAGTCTGTCTGATGGCCAGCCCGTGATGCTCGCTCCGTAGAGTCTATCAAGAAGTCACGAAGTGGTCAAACAAGGCAGTCTGTGATGTGTACTACAGCCTGAAATTCTTTTCAATGTTCTATTTAGGTAGATATAATGTGCGAGGAGTGACACACCGTACATGAACGCAATTCAAAACGATGCTCTATGCTGATCCATTCGTCTGTTTTGAACGCAACTCGACGTGTTCAGGGACCGGAGACAGCACCGGTTCACCAAGGACGGCCCTCCTGGCGTTCTCCATGGCCCACGCCTCCATCTTAGCCAGCGTCTCGGTCGTGTGCGTGCCCAGATGCGGCACCATCAGCGCGCGCTCCTGCCTCAGCAGCTTCTCGTTGACGACGGGCTCGCGCTCGTACACGTCAAGGCCGACGGCGCCGACCTTGCCGCTCTCGAGGGCGTCGGCTAGTGCGGCCTCGTCGATGATGGCGCCCCTGGCCGTGTTGACGATGACGACGCCGTCCTTCATCCTGGCGATCTCGCCCGGCCCGATCAGGTGCCTGGTTCCCGCGTTGAGCGGCACGTTGACGCTGATGACGTCGCTCTCGGCAAGCAGCCTCTCGAAAGACACATGCTCGGCGCCGGCGGCCTCGTCCTCGGGCAGTGGGCGGCGGTTGTGGTAGCGCGTGACCAGGCCGAACGGGTCGGCGCGCTTCTTGATCGCGCGGCCGATGCGGCCCATGCCCAGGATCCCTAGCACCTTGCCCTGCGGGTCGTGGCCGAAGTCGATGCCCTTCTTGAAGTTGCCGGCCCTCAGTGACGAGAGTGACGGGTTGAGTTGCCGGAGTGCCCCGAGCAGGAGCCAGATGGCCAGGTCGGCCGTGGCCTCGGTGACTGCATCCGGGGCGTAGGTGAGGGTGATGCCCCGCCTCAGACAGGCCTCGGCATCGATCTGGTCGTACCCTGCGCCGTTGTGGCAGATGTGCCTGCAGCTCCCGGGCAGGCGCTGAATGAACTCGTCGTCAAAATTACCGGCAACCTGTCATTCCCCCCTGGTCAGAAGTGCGCGCCTAATTTTCTTGGGACAACGAGGACATCGCCTACCGCGCCGCTGGCCGAGGTCCTGTAGATGACAGATATGTCCTTGTACTTGCCCCCGAGATCTTTGAAGAACTCGTCTCTCGACTTGCTCGTGACCACTTCTGTTCGCGCAACCTCTTGCAGGCCCTCGTAGTAGGCTTTTGCATGCCTGACGGGATTGAAGAAGAGGATAAAGGGCTTGGAGGAAGACATGGTACTGATCTGGCGGACGTGAGGTCTTGCTGTTGCCCTGTGTAGCAATTGCGGGGTCTTCAATAGGATGCGCATCACCTGCCGACTGCCTCTTCCTGTTGCCTAGGTTTCCTCTTTTCACTTCGTTGAACGACAACTTTCTGTGTATGCGATGAAATAGAACTCAATGGACGAGCCCGTTGTCGGCTCTTTGCGCGCCCCATCGGCTTCCTTGTTCCTGAGCAAGTACCGTCGGTTTACCTAATTGGTTGGGGGCGCGGCCAAGACTTCTACCGCCACTAACATGCATGCGACCACCCGCAGCGGAGAAACACATGACCGCCTGCCGGGCCCCCTGGTAATACTGATATCGCTGGGATTTTCCTGTCTTGCAGGGCAGAGGGGGAGGTCTGTCCAAATCCTGGGAGTCAGATCAGTAGTAGGTATTAACGCAATAGGTCATAGCTATTGCCACGATTGTTTCTCAATAAGCATCATATATATTTAATAATTGACTGAGTATCATAACTGCTTTTCATGAAATAACCACGCTGAGGTAATAATAAGATTATGAATAAATACAAAAATAAATTTATCGTAAAGGTAGTTGGAAAATTGGATCTTACATCAGACCCACAATCGTCTTTCTTGCAGGACTTGAACCAGTTTTCGGAAGCGAAGAAATTGGTCAACAATCAGGGATGTGCTAGTAGAAGACGTGATTCCAGCCGGGGCAGTTTGCAGATTGAAAAGACATATTCTGTAGCGGGGCTGGCCATAGAGTTAAATGCTGAACTAGCAGTGATACTAGTAGTATCATGCCGACCAAGTATAGACGAAATGAGTATTTCGACAATACTGCATATAGTTGGCGTGAGAATCTCAAACGCAAAATCCTGCCATGACATCTTATTGAGCCTCTAGAGGTGGAAGCATGGGATGAAAGAGACAGCAAATGTCAGACCCGACGCAGGTGTAGGGGGACGGCGGGTTGGATGGCGTGTTGGTTCACACGCACCCTACCTTATTGGGTAAGTGGCTTTTTCTTTGAGTCGCAAGCGGCAGCCTGCAGTGATCCTCTGGCATCAGCACACAAGTACGAAATACAAGTAGCTTACTGCAGCGGCTGAGGCTGCAGCGACCCGTGGTTTCAGTGGGGTCCATGTCTCATTTGGGGTCCGTGTCACCAAGCCTCATGCTGTTGGCATCCAGCCCCCAATCAACCTCGTTTATGTGACTTGTCAACTTGCTTCCGGAACTTGGCGCTGCACGATTTAGGCCCCAGAAATACCCAACGCGTCCTTTCGAAAACCGGGCACAACCTCACCTTTGCTCCTCTCTGAGCACTTGATCCAGCATTCACGGCTGCCTGAGACAAAACACAACAACAACGTTCCAACATGGAGGCCGACCGGTCATCAAGCTTTTTCCGTCTGGCGTTCGGTTCAATCTGTGCCGAGACGACTTTTGTCGGCACCTTCGTTTTCTTGGTGCTTCGCACCCCATCGCAGGCTGCGAACAAGCGCATCGCCGGACTCGCTGTCCTCGGCGCGGCCACCTACGCGATGGAGAGCCTGATCGTGCAGCTGTGCCTGGACAACGGGCGGCCGCACTGGGCCGCCGTTCTGGTGTCTCTGTTGTGGGTCCAGCTGCTCAACGCGTCCGACCTCCTCCTGGTGCGCCGTGTAGATGCTGCTCAACTGTCAAAGCTTCGCGGAAGGGGCCCCGGGGCAGCCGGGCGCGTGAGATCAGCTGCGGGTGTCCTCTTCAACTCGCGCCGGGTTGGGACCCCGTGGCAGGTCAGGAATACGCCGTCCACCGCTGGCCTCGAAAGTCAAAGCCGTGCAGGCTTTGTGTTCCGCCGACTTGCTGTTACGATACCGGCGTACCTATTTGTCGATATCATGACCTCCTTGCCAGCGCCTGACCCGGCCTTTGTGCGGGCAGATAAGGCAACTCTTCTCCCGGTCAACAGCTTGAGCGCTGAGGACATCATCTTCCGGCTCGCAACGACCATTTCGTACTGGGTCACCACTGGTATCGTCCTCATGGTCATGAATAACACGGGCGCGATCGTCGGGGTCTTATCAGGTCTCTGCAGGCCTGTCGACTGTCCACCACCATTCGGCTCTTTCTTTGAAGCGTACACGGTTCGCCGCTTTTGGGGGTGAGTTGAAACAAACTGCGGAGCATGGAAATGAACGATGTATCTGACATTCCTTTTGCAATACAGTATCAGCTGGCATCAGATGCTCCGGTCCTTCCTCACGGGGCACGCCGACTTGCTTGTTGGCAAAACTCTCCCCTTTTTGCCACCCCGCTCAGCTGCTTCTCGGAATACGCGCCTGGCAGCCTCTTTTCTCATCTCCGGCCTGATACACTGGCGCGCCGATCAGGCCCAGGGGGTTCCCAATGCCGAAAATGGGGCTCTGGTCTTCTTTGCTCTACACGCTGCTGTCATAGTCCTGGAGGACAACCTTGGGCCTATTTTTGTCGCGTCGCTACCCAGACGTGTCCGTCATGTCATGGGATACCTCTGGGTCCTCGCGTTCTTTGCTTGGAGCAGTCCAACCTACATGTACCCTGGCATGAGACTCGGGTTTGATGGGGCTGCCTTGCTGCCCATTCGCGTGATTGGGCCCTACATACGTAAGTAGACAGGTTGTAAACCATAGCGCAGGTTCTAGACGACACTTGGCAGCAGTTTATGGGATGAGGTTCATGTTACCGACGCGGGATAGTAGGAATTGCATCAGCGTTGTAATCGAATTTCAAAGTGTTGTACTAGCTATCAAAAATCCAATCTTCACAAGCGAGGCGATGAAAGAAAGCGAAGAAGAAAAGCAAAAGAGTAGTACGCCCGTTGAAACCAAAGAACACGGTCCAATTTCTTCCATCTGACTGGCCTAGGTACGACACTTGTAGCGTATGTATAGAGGCATGCGTGACTTTTCCGGCCTGAGTAGGTTTCGATCCACCGGTGGCATTTCCCCCACTTTTCGCTCGCAATGCTTGTTAGAGAGTTCCCAGTCAAAGTTGGCAAGCATGTGGACCAGAACTAAATTGATCTCGAGCTTCGCAAGCCTCATACCAGCTATCCATGTCTTCGGGTCAGATTTGATTTCACGTTCGCCTGAGTGGGGAAGAGTAACTGACCGCATAGGTGTCTCGCAGAACCCCAACCCAGAAATGTGTGCGGCTCCCGCTCATCAGATCCGTCTTGGTGTTGATGGCGAGCCGGGTCGAACCTGAGGGGATCTGGGTACAGTCTGGGATCCATGTGAACGTTGTCGGGGAGGTAGGCAGCATAAGAATTATTCGGCACCACCTCGGCGGAGTCGCCGATGCGAATGTCCGCGCCGCTGACGTTTTTGCGGAAGAATGTTCCAGTGGACGTAAGGCGAAGCGTCTCCTGCAAACATGAGTACAGGACGGGGAATTCAGTCTCCCAGTCCTGAAGCGAGAGACTCTCGAGGATCTCATTGTGCGATTGCGACGGTGTCTTGCGGTGCTCGAGTAGAACAGCGTCGACTTCATCTCTGCACTTTGACTGCCACTCGAGCGAATCCGCCAGGAATGCAGGGAGCCACGTGATGGAAGCGCCTGTCATAGTTACGCTCGACGAAAGAGCACTGAAAATGAACTTTGTGTGTCTCGAGTGTCAGCCGCATCCTGACCCGACGGGCTGTTGCAGGGGTTTGGACTCACTCTGACGGTCTTGTCATCGTCGCCATCCTCGTCGTGTACGTATTGCAGGGCGTCATCTTGCCTCTTGGTCTTGCGTTGCTTGAGGATTTTCATGATGACCATGTACAATCTTGCGCCCGCGATCAGTCTGATGATATAATTCGGCGTCGGCAGCCAGGGAAATATGATGTGGGCGAGGCTAGTACTGCTTTCAAATGTTTCAAAAACGTGAAGAGTCTGGCGCATCAGTTTGTCGCTCTCAGCAATCTCAGTGGCGCCTACACTGCGCTGCACAAGACGATACAGGAGCATGTATACACTCTGAGTTACGTCTGTCACTCTCCAGCGCTCACTTTCGCAACAGCAGTCAGTGACGGTTCTAATCTTTGGAAAGGGGCGAGTATGTACCGACTCTGTCTTAGGATACTCCTGCACATTCAGGTCGTCACAAAACTCGCGAACGTCTTTCGTCAATACCGGCAGTCTTCTGGCAAGTTTGTCGCCACGCGATAGCGCGGATACGCACTTGACAAAGTATGCCGCACCATAGTCATCGCGGGCGTCGTTGGAAGAGACCAGTCCGGTCAAGAGCTCAACGAACCTATACAATCTAGTCAGAGACATCGAGCAGGTGAGACATCAGACTGAAGAAAAGAAAGACTATACCCTTGAGACACGCTGAACTCCTTGTTCTCGAAGAAGGTCCGCCTACCATCCAAGCCACCCAGGTTGACGACATGTTTCCTCCCTATGAAGAAGCTGAACGTTCCATTTGGGCTGACCCGGGTGCCGGCAGTTACCATATCCCGCCGCTTGCTGTAGAAACGCAGTGCAGAGCCGAGAATTGGCCAGTGATAGGCATCCCATAACGCAGGTGAGTACCGGGGCAGGATTGGGCGGTCAAGGGGCCCAGCATGTCTCAAAGCCACAAGGATAGCAGGCACAATCAAACAATATAAGAGGCTGGGCCAAGTTATTGACTGACCCGGCTGCTGGTGAGACGTTGTCGTTGCGTTATACATCTTGTCGTGTTCCTGGTCTGATGATAAAGTGCAACTGGGCAAGATTGACAGGCCGTCTCTGAAGTGGAACAACGCGGACTAAAATACGAACACTCTAGCTGGCCTTGAAGAAATGGTGCTTTGACGTTGTATATCTTCCGCCAAGAATAAACTTGAAAGTCGGCGGCTCGCAATGCAGTGTAAATCCGATAGAATTCGGCATAGCAAGCACGCAGAGCAACACGCCACTTAGATAATGCCTCAAATCCTTCCGGAGTTACGGGCAAGATGACTTTTCCTAGACTTAATCACAGTTACATTGGGGGCTCAGCCTTTACATGCATGGCATGGAGAAAATAGGCAACAATTGTTGGCAAGGTGGGTGATACAATGTTGCCCACTAGGCGCAGCGCTTGGCAACGTTTTACTTGTTTTATTTTGGGCCGTAGCCTGCAGCTCCTGTACTTGATTTGGGCCCTCAACGCTACAGTGCCGCCAGTGCAATCTTTTTTTTTCCCCTTCCTTCCTTTCGGGTAATTCACTGGCAACAGTAGACCTAATAATTTCGAAATGTCAATTGTGGCTTAAGCTGAAAGGCAACACTGAAAGAGTGTCCGTAATATTTATGGCTTGAGCTGAGACGCACTGGAGACCCGCACTGTATGGTGTTATCCGCCTTGACAGGCTACAGCCATATCTGTCGTCAACAGCACTGATCGAGTCAACTTGTGGGCAATCGCTTATGTGTCCTTGTGGCACAATTGCGCCTCCGAGTGGAGCGAAAATCGAATTTGTTTGGGGGCCGAATCGAAGATGATGCGATTCAAGACGCATGCGTTCTAGGTCGAGAGCCTGCAGGAGAGCCTGCATTTCTCACCCGCAAGAAATTTGAAAGCCGCCTCCCCCCCCCCCCATCCTCAGGATGACACCATCTTCAGCACTCTGCCTCGAACTATCATCTTGGCCATTTACGCCCCGCCAACAGGTTTACGCCCCACCAACCTTTTCACGCCCTACCAACATGCATGTGATCCAGCCTTCGAGCCTGCATGATGGGGGCCAATCCTTCGCGGCAAGGAATTGAGAAGGACCCGGCCTCTTATCTCAATCGGGATACATTTCGCACCACCCACATTTTCCCTGCAATCCTCGTCTGGGGGTTTGCCACTGCCATTCCTCTGACCTGGACAAGCCACGATGTTTCTTTCTTTATGAAGCCCGCAAAGTATTATGTAAAGCCCCTCACGATCACCTCTGACGTTCGAGTCCCCTCGTGTCTTGGTTCCCTGTCTAAATTATCTACGTTTCTCTTCTAGGTCCATCTTCTGTACTGTTCGTCACTTTTGAAAAGCTTCCCAACTGTAACAAGTCCTTACCCATTCCACGCACCATGAGCGCGGGATTCTCTTCACTCGACCTCTGGGAAATTCCAGCAGGCCCGCCTCCTCCGGGAAAGGTCCCGAACCTCATCGACCCACCATCGCAAGCGCCGATTCTCAGCATCGGAATCTATGTCCTCCTTCCATTGCTGGTTCCTTTCGTCGTAATGAGGCTCTATACTCGCCTCCGCTTGACCCGGGCATTTGGAATCGACGACCGTACGTCAGAACCCAATCTCTGATTTTGCTTCGACTCTGATACTAATTCAATGTTTAGTTCTTTGCATTGCTTCGACCGTTCGTGTGCTCAGAATCCCATTCTGCTTAGATTCTGACTGACTCATATAATTGCGTACCCAGGTCTTGATTCTTGCATACGCCGGTGTTCTGTTAGCCTGTGAGTGTTCTGGTCCGTGGAGCCTTCGAAAATGTGCCGCTGACCACGAACGTCAGTGTTGAACTTGAAACCAATCACGCCCCTCGGAAGGCATATCTGGGATATTCCGGTGGCCGCATTCACCAGTGAATATTTGGAGGTACGCACGAGGATGTTGCTTACCAACGAGGACAGATGACTAACAGCAAACGCAGCTCATTATCATGGCCCTCGTCACAAATCCCGCGGCTGCCATGTTCGTCAAGTTGACGATCCTGACGCTCTATTTCCGCATTTTCCAGCCCTCACGCTGGGCACACCACCTCATTTTAGCCGGCTCGATTGCGGTGGCCGTGTTCTATCTCGTCACCATTATCACACTTTTGGCCTTGTGTGTGCCGTCACGCGGTGAGACATGGCTCGCCAAAGCATCATTTGGCACTTGCCCAACGGTCCAAGTCAGAATCGCACGGTCACAGGGATTCTTCGGACTGTTCTCCGATGTATTTATCCTGGTCATTCCGCTGTGGCAGGTGTCACAGCTCTCGCTCCCCCCAAAGCGTAAGGCAGGTGTCATGCTCGTGTTCTTCACGGGATTGCTGTAAGTCAAGCTGAAGATAACACTCTAAGCCCACGAAAGTCTGACTTGGGACTGGCAGTGCTATAGGCAGCTCAGCGGCCGGACTGGCTCTTCGAGAGAAAGTGAGTTTGGCCGACCCAAACTGGTTGACAACTCCATATCTATTCGGGTAAGATGTCCACTCAATCTGGTTTCCGTCCTTGTCCCTACGCTTTCCCTTGTCCCTACGCTTTCGTTACCTAGTTCACTGACAGCGAAACCCCTGAAGTCTTTGCGAAGTGACCATTGGCCTTATCTGCAGTTGCATGCCGGTCATAACTATCCTACTCAAATCCTTGGTCTCTCAAACTTTATCCTCCTGGAATTCCATCAAAAAGTACTACTCGCAATCTCCATTTTCGCGTCGCCAGATGGGGTCTAGTACTGCAAAATTGGACGCTGGCAAAGAAGCGAATGATTTACCTGCAATTCCTAAGGGCAATTTATCTGGCCTTAGAACCTTTTTCCGGAGATTCGACCGATCCACGGTACGCAGCGCGCCTGAGACTGGCCGCTCCGACTTTGTTGAGCTCAATGCGATTGACCAAGATTACCATGAACAACTGCGAATGATCTATAGCTCTCATGGTGGTGCTCAAAGACCGGATCGCAAGGCGCCTCAAAGCCATGACGTGCCGGTCTAGGCATCTGACCAATTGCAACAAATTGGCCAAGGAGAAGGGTCTCGGCAGTTCTGTATGTCTATACAGTGAGTTTAGTGTACCGATATATCAGTCTCGAGCGCGTTAGGGGTATCATTGCCAAGTGTTGACTCCTCAGGAGCTCACCCTTGGCCTGGATGGGAATAGGGGAAGAGCATGTCGCGCGGCCATCATGGCCGGAGACACTCAAGTCGGAATTGTACGGAGAGGGGAAAGTACAAGAGGCTGCTGTTCATAGGAGCAGATATTCTCATTTACCTCGCGATCAATACACAAGGAGCAGTTGCTATTGATGATTCACTCCAAATGGTCAAGGAGTAGTTGTTCAAGTCACCAGCCCAGAAGAGATTCAAGTGTACCTAAATATGTGCATGATCCTAATACACTATGTTCCAAATCTTTCTGCGAGCTAAAGCACTGCGAAAGTTGTGACAGAGGATGGCGAGCGTCATCGAAGTCAGCACAGGGACGGCTTCGGGTTTGGCCTTATGTTGGTGGCGAGGTCTGACCTAGAAACAGCCCGGGCACATCGTCTGTAGCATCGCTGGCCCACAACTATATCGCGGGTTCAAGTGAGCCAGTGAGGTATTCTTGGAGCACTAGGATTAACATCTTGGATCACCACCAAGCTAGCAATCATGCTTTACTGGTGTTGGCCTGCAGACTCATTGTGTTCACAGGCTTGGACATCTGCAAAGATTTCCTTTTTAAGCCCCAAACGTGTGAGTTTTGGGAGGGATGCTTGAAGACTCAAATGATATCATCTCAAGGATTGGATAGCTTCAGTGTAATACAAATAAGAGTTGTAATATAATCAGATTAGGTAATGCAAATGAGGCTGTCTAAGTGGCGGCAGAAACTTTACCTACCTGGGGGATTCTGGCTCTGCGATGAGAACTGTCACTTCCCCCTGACCCAAGAAGCGGCCTATACCATCACGTGCTCCACGACACAGGTGGGGGAGTCTGGGGAAGATAGCCAGGTCTTGCTGGATCAGATTCAGCTTGACCCAGCGAGAATGCAACCCTTCCCCGTGGGGAAGGATCATACGAATCCGGGGGAGGCTACTGTCAGACCGGTCGATTGGGCTCAGTCTGGGGGTCGCCATGGGCTGCTGCTGTTTCATCAAATGGAGAGGACAGCCAACTGCAAGCTCGACTACCGCATTGCGTATGTATTCGACTAGATCATCTTCGCGGCAGCTGTGGCCCTTCTCCTTTTTGTCCCGACGTACGACGAGGGCCTTCAACGAATCTATACCTGTTAAAGATTGCGTTGATTTTCTTGTGTTGTCGCGCATCATTATTCTGATCTTGATCTGTTTGGAAGAAAAGCGTCCTCGCAAACTTGATATCCAAGCGCCGTGGCGGTTTTTGGCTTGACAGGCGAGACACTCGCCATTGTCCGCATCTTCCTCGTGGTTTTCCCTGCATTCTGGCTGTTTGGATACAACCAGTCCAACATCGGTGGCGTGATGGATGGAAGCCGGGGGTGAGGCGTACCTTTCGCTTTTTGGCGCGGCACACGAAGCAAGCTCCACCAATCCGACCCGCCGATTTCTGGTTAGGACGAGTTGGTGTTGTGTCCGTCAGCTCGCCTTGAGACATCTTGCTTGCGGTGCGAGATGTGACAAGAGACAGGCGGGTATAACACAGCCGTGCTGGAGCGAAAGAATCAGAGGCTGCGGCTTGGATTTTGCCCGACCGAAAGTGGTGGCGGTGGAACATGAAGAATCGGGGCCGGAGCAACCGCTCCGCACTGGGCTAACAGCAATCGGCACCCCAAGTGCTGGCAATGGCACAAGGGCGCCTCGACGTCAAGACTGGCAGGCACTACATGTTCGTAGGCCTGGCGTGGATGCAAATATTTCATAGGCAGTGGCTTACTGACAGCTACACAAAAGTCATGAAATCCCATATCGCTTTGTCAAGCTGCCAGATCTCCCCATCCATACAACCATGGACGTAACACCCGCCAACATATTCCCATGGACCACTATCCCCAACAGATCTAGCCACAAACGGGATCCTGTTGCCCTGGAACATGGCGATGGCGTCTCCGGGCCTGGCGGCAGGCGGCGCCCATCCAATCCGGTCACCTTCCGTCACAAAGAATGACCGGTAGCCATAAGCCTGGTCGAAAATGCTAATAAACGGATCTTTAAGCCCCTGTAGCAAATCCAACTGTGCAAAGAAGAGATCAGCATCCTGCTCCCATCTCCGCGTCTGGTACAGCCTCCAAAACATGTACCAATACCCGAAGGAAATGCCGATTGTGCTGTCAGGGATAACTTCCTCCACGAAACTGTCTCCAGTCCGATTATAGACCATTGTACGCCAAAAGGTCTCAAACTTATCCCCTGACATGACATCGTCCCCGACAGATAGGCTCGGATCGCCAAGAAGTCGCGTGGTTGTTATAAATCGTAACATGTTGATGCTGTGCCGGTAGTATTGCTCCAGATCATCCGAACCCCGTTTATTGCCATTAAGCGTCCCAAGAAGGGTAGGAGCAACTGTGTCTTTGATCCTACCAAATATCGTGGCCTTGACTAGTAATTCTGGAGCCTAAGAACAGTAGCGTGAGTCTGTGTATTTTACTTTGAAAAGTAACCAAGGCTCGCCGGCCTGCCATAAACAACTAACATACCTTAAAAAATAGATAGGGAAATTCTGATACTGTCAGTGGCCGGGGACTGGGGCTTGGGGCCTCAGGGTCCGTGGTAATCTGGAACTCCGGCAGTGGAAATTCCGGGTTTTTTGACCGCAACTTCGATGTTGAATACAATAATGACATCTCCAAAGGTGGTGGAGGTGCCGAGAAGAAGTCTGGGATCCATGTCTGCAGTTGAATTCCTCGATTTTGAACACCACGGCTTGGAAAGTCCGCTAGTTGATCCAAGCCGTCCATCGTCGGGTTTTCCGGGCTGCCCAAGAGTGCCATGAGACCCACTTGGCTGGCCACAATTTCAATTCTCCTGGAGTAGTTGATGAAACCATCGGGAACTTCTTGGGAAATTCCAGCTAATGCGAAGAACCTGTCCAGGTCCTCCGTTGCTTTCATTCCTCTAGTAATCATCATGTTCGCCCAAAGGGGTGGCGGGCTGTTCTCATTAAACTGGTAATAGCACAGAGCTATTACATCGGCGAAGAAAAGTCGTTCATTAGGGTATTGCAACTCCATTGCGAGCTTGAGATCTGTATGTGTGGCGATTTGATCAGCCATCCAGAGAAGTGCATCCACCTCTATGCTTTCCCTCCCCCGCCACATCTCAGCATACTCGGAAACTAGAAGTTCCTGGACGATCCAGATACGACTAAACCAAGGATGGTGCAGAATTTTGAAAAGAGTCTTCCACGTCGGGTCGAATTCCATGCCCACGAAGCCTTCAGGGTAGAAGGGCTCAGGAAGGCCGCGCCGTGTAGCTTTGAAAAATCGGTAATCCTGACGGGTGCCTTTCAATTCGAAACGGAGATGCTCTGAGCACCTTCTATAAGCGAGCTGGGTTAACTGGATGGCCTGGACATCGCCGTCTTCGAGAGGACCGAGCCAAATGATGGTAAACCTTGCGGCCTTGTAAATGTCTCTCATCATCCGGACTTGTTCAGTCTTCTCAACCTCATTATTTTGGTTGATGCAGATTGCATCTGCCCATAGACCTCTGATTTGATCTCCGTCTCGACCTCGGCCTAGGCGCAATCGAAGTCGATACTCTATTAGCGCAGCGTGCAGGCTCTGGCCAATCGTCGCACTTTTTCCGTTGCAGTTGATGTGCATTCTGGTCGCTTGGTCGCCCCATACATACGAAAGGGCGTCGAATTCCGCGGTATCAAGATTTTCTTCGACCAGTCTCACACTGAGGGGCGAGGTAAGCAAATTGAGACCACTGTGACACTCGACGTACATCACGCGGATTTGTCGACCTTTCAGGGTAGAATTGTAACGGAATGAATCCTGATTACTAGCCATGGTTTCTTGAAAAAGTGGGACGAGCCTCTTATTCTCATAAAATGCCAAGCGCTTCGATAGAGAGAAGTGATGACTTCCGGAAAGTGGAAGCTTGAAGTCAGGTGGCCCCCAGTCGGCCCACGGAAGCAGCCTGAAGTAACGAGACCGACGTGGGACAGAGTCAGCAACGCGCCCGAGGTGTTGCTGCCTAATTATGCACATGCAGGCAAACATGGGTGCTGATGTACTCAAACCCCCAGACTTCTGACAATTTTACACACCTTGGGGACGCACACCGACGCAACGCGTTCCCCGTTTCACCGTCAGCTTTGCAACCCCCCCCCATCCTAGACGCACATGAATACGTACCTCAACTATGCGCATTGGACCATCCTGAAGTACATAATGATAAGCACAAGTCTTTTGGCAGGTTTGGCGACTATCAGAGTCGGGAGTTGTGCCAGGCTCCATTACCAGGTAGTTGTGTATAATTCGCCATAGTTACATAAATTTCCTCATTTGGTTTCATTCTCAATCTCACAAAGCCTTCTGCAATGAATGTGAAAAGGTCACCGGCCCAAGTAGCCCGATGAGCTCTGCCTTCAGCGATCCGTACAGTTCAGGCCATACGGCCCTCAATTTGTTCCACATTGTTGTTGCAACGGTGATCTCCAGGCCTGATAGGTTCATCAATCAGTCAATCACCGTTCGTCCAAATTGACCAAAGCAATCTCATTAGCCGGAACTTACAATTCACACCATCACGGACCAGATGCGTCACATCGGTAGGCTTGTTGCCAAACCAGTCCACTGCGGTGAGGATCTGGCCGTTGAGCCGCGCGCCCAACGTACCCTCCACCTCCCCCACGTCAAGTAAAACCCGGATTGCCGAACTATTTCCCTTGGTAAGTGAAACAGTCGTTTCGTATGTGCCGATGCCGCTGGCGGCGGCGAGGCCCGTGATGTTGGGCCAAGCGACGAGGTCAGTTAAGTGGATGGGGTCCAGGTCCTCCTTCGCCGTGTTGGGCGAGTCTAGCCCCGTCTCGCTGACCTGAGCAGGATGCCAGTCTTGGACGCTGAGGGTCCAATTCGAGGGAGAGATTGAGGAAGGCAAGGAGGAAGGACATAGGGACACGGTTGTGCCGTTGGATGCGGTGGCGCTGCAGATAGGTCTGGATGAAATGTAGACAGTACTGTCTCGGAGGTAGCTGTCGCAGGTCGTGGCCACGAGGTGATTGGTGGGAAGGGAGGCGCCGAAGTCGTTGTCGGGTCCCAAGCTGATGAATTAGGTCAGTGATCATGGTCCTAGCAGTGTAGATTATCGAGTGAGAGGATACGGGAGCGCTTGAAAAGACATACTAGAATACAGCCGAAGAGGTGGACCGCAAAGTCGAGTTTAACGAGATGTAGCCATCCGAAGAGGAGAACATTTCCAGGGGGCTCACAGACCCAACCCACAGGTCGACCGCTAATGGATAGCCCTCACCCTCAAGCTCAAAGCTTCCATCAAATACGTCATCGCCGTTGTTATAGACCCAGTACAGATACCCAGAGCCTATGGTGCGTCGGTACGTGATCAGACTGGCGTTCGCACTCGCGGAGTATTGCACAGAGGGTCCGATTCCCTGCGCACTTAGGGTATCCGGAACGGCTGCCGCGTCAGAGACGGAGGTCGTCGTCGACAGGCTCAAAACCTCGGAGAGAAGCTCACTCAGGCGCTTCAGCTCGGCAGTGGTATCATTGTTGTAGGAAAAGGTCGTATTGGGGAGCGGCTCGACGAATACGACAGGTAGGCCGTCCCGGGCGTAACCCAGTAGGAGCTCAGCAGTGCTGGCGTCCATGGCCGAGCTGTTGACCACCATGGCTTTGTACCTAGGTCCCGATGGTGCAAGACGTGCGTTCTTGACGGTGACATTGTGCCTGACGAGCAGCTCCGGTGTTGGAAATTGGTACGAGAACCCGGCCGCGTTCAGCGAGTCGTCGGACCAGCCGCCGGTGACGCCCCATGCATCATTGAGGATAGCCACGTCGATGGACGGCCCACTCTCTTGCAATATTTTCTGCGCGTGGGCTAGGTAGCGGCTGGCGTTGGCGGCGAACATCCACTGAGGCTGGCGCGGGTCCCAGGCATCGGCGAAGCCGTTTGAGCTGGTCCCCAAGGGGGTGAACGCAGCCAAGCCTGGCCAGCGACTGTCCGGAGACGAGCTGCAAGGGAATCCATGGATGACGAGTTGGCTTACCCCGGCAGACATGTCCAGGTTGGCTGTGCTGAGAAGGAACTTCCAGGTCACTCCGTAGGCATTCCCTGTGTACGCACCGAGTTCGTCCGAGAGGATCGTCGTGGATCCCCCAATGTCTCTGCCAGTGGCCAGGACGCGGAAGGCGTCTATGTCACCCTCAAATCCGAGGGACTCGCCCTCTGGATTATCCACCAGGCTCGCGGCATAGCTGCTGTCGAAATACGCGGTGTACGGCTGAATGCGAAACTTCATGCCAAGACTGTTGGCCCAAGATTTGAGCCCTCCCCAGAGACGGTCTGGTAGAAGTCGTTCGTCACCTGATTGGAGATCTTACTATCTCTGGAAAAGGAGTTGGTGTACTTGATAACGTAGAGTAGAAACGGGGCCAGGTCGTAGCCCCGTCGGGTCTCGAACTCTTTGAGGAAGTTCAGCGTCCAGTACTGCTTGGTCTTCAGCTCGAGCGAGTCCTCGAAGATGGAGCCATTCTTTCTACATTGAATAATGTTTATTGATTCTCAACTATTTGAAAACATTTAGACTGCGAATGAGAATTTGAAGCGGAGATTCTCGATGTATCGCAAATAGCCTGCCGTGAGAGGCAGGCACGTAGATCAGTCGTCAAGACATGCTCGCCCCAGTACTTCACGCCAGCCTCCACGCCTTCCTCGCTAAAGTGATCTAAAATATAAGCTGGGAACGGATATGTGACCTTTGGGGCGTCCGCGTTTCCTTGATTGAAAATCAGCCAGCGTTATGGTAGAATCGTGAAGTGATAAGGTTCTCGTAACATACCATCGTATATGTTCTGGATCTGGACAGTGCCCCGTCATCATCGGGAGCTATCCAAGAAATGGAGTTGTTGGTAGCCCTGCTACTGATGACCTGCACTGTCGACGGATCAAAGGTCACCACCGACGTTGTGTCGTTGGTCGAGTTGGCGCGGGCAATCAGGACTGCAGCCAGTTTCGGAGTCGCCACGACGTCGGGGTTGCCAGTCTCGTTTCCGGATGGTGCTGCGACGGGAAGAGGCAGTGTACCTGTGTAAGTCTGACCACTCTGTACAAAGACCTGGCCGTGAACAAGCTCTTTCATAGTCTTGGGGGAGTCTGGGGTATATCCAGGGAACCTTGTTGGCCAGTGCGGACCAAGAGTCAGGTCTAAGTGTCCACCCAAACTGGCCGTTTCCAAGTCCCATGGTCAGCCCCAATAGTTCTTTGCGGTCTCTTGAGGAATGAAATAGAAAGCCGAACCAATCAGCCTGCTCGCACGCAGCAGCCACACCTGCGTTCCATCTGCTCTGTGCCCAACCGTAGACCTGAGGATTCATCTCGTCACAACATTTATACTGACGTGTGGGACTCTATTCATAGTGTTTGTAAGGAAGGAAGAAGGGTGTGAAATGTGCAAAATCACAGACCCCCGACGCGCCTGGTTGTCCTCTCGGCCCCTTTTGACACGACATGTCGGTTCGGTGAGGTCTGTCCTGAGGCCTACTTACGCGTCCAAGGGTCTAATAATCACAATTTCACATTCCCATACAGGTATAGGTTGCAATCACCCCTACCTTTACTTTGTCCTGACGCATATCCCTTGGATGAGGAGTCAGAACTTCGGCTCTAATCTTACCGCGAGTATTTGCATCCAATTAAAAACCATCGTACATGTAAGCTGAGAAGTGCGGGTTATTTGCCCGCGAAGGAGACGCCATCAGTCCGCGTAAGATTTCCTTTGGCGTCGGTAAAGGGTGAGGTGAGGATCTGTGCGAGTGGTTATGTTAGACGTTGTTTTAAGGAGTCAGCATATGCCCACCCAGCTTCTATAGTACGCCTACCCAGCTTTCAGCGTTAGCCCACCTAATATAAAGAAAATTAGCTGCATCCGCATTAAAATGCAAGTATTATAGGGTTCCCAACAAGCTAGGGTAGCTATTTTCCAATTTAAGCAATACTTTAAAAATATAAGCTTAAAAAGCCCAGAGGGCCCCAGAGCGCCCAGAGGGCCCCAGAGCCCCCAGAGCCCCCCAGAGGGCCCCAGAGCCCCCAGAGCCCCCAGAGCGCCCAGAGGGCCGTAGAGCGCTTAGAGGGCGCAGAGGGCGCAGAGGGCACAGAGGGCGCAAAGGGCGGCAGAGAGTAAAAGTAACTTTTAAGTTGCAAATAAAGGGGTAGCTATAAAACCCCTTTAAGATAGCTATAGTTATGCTTTATTAATAACCTCGCAGTATTAATATTTTATAGCGCATACAACCAATTTCCTTATACTAGGTGGGCCAACGCTAAAAGCTGGGTGGGCGTACTATGGAAGCTGGGTGGGCGTACGCTGACTCTGTTTTAAGGCTCACTTCCCCATACTAACTACCCCAGTTCCCCACAATTTCCCCAGACCGGAGATCGACCTCCCTCTCAAAGGCTTCCGAAGCAATTCACCTCCAAGCTTCCACTTTCCGGCCACCGGCAAGTACCACCGGCAGAACAAGCTGAACACCATCTTATATCTCCGGTTGCTGGTCAGTGTTTGCAATAAGGCCCTGTTAGTAGAAGTTATGAGAGTCACACTAGTGATTTTGAGGCAAGTCTAACACGACAGCAGATCACTGCAACTGCTTTGCGCAAGCTTATGGCGAAGCCACACCCATACACAACTTGATCCGACCAAGGGAGCCCATTCAAGTTTCAACTTCTCATGTGGTTGGACGAATTGTTCTAGCGGCCAGATCCAAATATGATAGGTGGGAGATGCGTATGGGATCACGATACCGCTCTATTTTGCAGCGGATCAATAATACAACTTCCTGCTGGGGTCTCACTTTACTCGATTTCCCCAGTTTGATTTCCAGCATGACCAGCACGCTGGCCCAGGTCTGATGGGCCTGCCAGGAGACATAACTGAGTACTCTTACCTCAGTGATGCTCCTTGTTCAAACTGAATATCAGTACTAAGCCTAGGCATGTTCCCTTTTCAACGAGTAAGCCTGAGATTGAAGCCAGGGAGAATAACTGAACCCCATCTTCCATGATTTGTAAATACAAAGTATCCTTCGTAATTTTTTATATGCTTCGTTCAAGGCACTTCATCCTCATCGAGGTCATGATAGGCATTATTATTGCCTGACAACCACCGATTGTTACTTCCAGGCACAACAAGCTCCATGGGCGCTTGACCCGAACCCCCCAATGTCTTGCTGAACACGAGTCTGTCTTTGCGAAAGCCCGCCGCTGCATACATTAGGACGGTACAAGTCGGGAGCGCTAACAGAAATGACAGCCTTGGGATGATTATCGGAACCTCTCCGTCGCTGTCTTGGAAGTGCGCGACTGTGCCGTGAAGTATACTGAGGCCCAGAGCTAAACCAATATAAAAGCGCATCCGGGCAGAGATTGATCGAAGACCTTCCGGTTTGCAAATGGGACGCATGATGATGAACAAGATGGCAATGCCCACGGCTGCCTGAGGGAGGAATATCATAATTTCCGTGGTTTCAGTCTGCTCCAGTAACAAGACGATCCACGTGATGCCGCATAGGATCAGGTGTTTGTCAACCGATGAGCGGATTCTAGAATATTCCACGGAAATGGGGAGGAATGAAAATAGGCTTGACTGTGTCAGTAACTTCGGTGTTTGTTCGTGGGGCACACATCAACATACATAGCATTAATGCAATAGACGAGGATATACAGATTGCCTCTCGTGCCGGAATTCTCAGTATAGAGCCAGATGAGACTCGTTGCGAGGATAGGCAGGACGTTGACCATCCCAGACCTTGAAACACGTTAGTCCCGTTTCATGAGATCTATTGCAGCCGGCCACTACCATTGGCACCAGATAGCTAGGTCCGCGATCAGTTCCAAGACTTCAAATGGAGAGATGCTATCACTTACTCAAATTGTGCAACTCGATGTCATCTTTCACGTTCTCGTAAAATGTCTCCATCCTGGAAGCTGATGGGTCAAGGGGATATGATGGTAGAAGCCGGAAATGAGGAACACAGGACGACCCATAGGTGTTGCGAACAGAGAATGGAGGTAAACTTGAGCCAGTTGCTGTATTGGTGCAACCATCTTGTTGTGGTGGCATGGAGGCCTCCGCCATTTTGAATATCACGTCAGCAATTGTCCTCCCTGCGGCAGAGGATACGCAGACTGGAACGAAACATAATGCTGATCTCAAGTGACTTGCATGCAAGGGGGCAATTCCACCAACCAAATCGGTGCAAGTGGAGCTCAAAGCCTTGTTAATTAATATTGTGCTACTTCATCGCTGCATCGAAACGTCATGCTTACTTTCTTTCTGTTTCATTGAGATAGGCTTCCTTGATCTGGCACTCAGGCTGTTGCCCAAGCTCGGTTGCGTAAATCAACTATATCTAGTCAACACATTCCACCGCGGCCGGACACCGGGGGCCGAATCATTGAGGCCTGCCCATCAAATTGCGCCGTGATCAGCCACAATGGATGAAAGCCGTGACAAAATATACGAAGCGTTACGGCCGCGCGAAATCAGGCTCCTATCTCTCAAGCCCTCTCTTCCAGACGAGAACATCGAATGCTCCCTGATCATAGCTGGATTGGATCAACCGCTTTCGTTTGATGCTCTGTCATACGTTTGGGGACCCGAGGCGCCGACTGAAGAGATACACTGCAATGGAATCCCGATGCGCGTGAGAAAGAATTTGGCCAATGCTCTGAGGCGACTCCGCCCCCTGCCGGCACATCGAGTTGGTCCTGAAAATAGACACTGGGCATCAGTGGATGTGTGGAAGGAGAACCATGTGCTTCACTCAAGCCACAACGCCTGGAAACCTTTTGCAAGAAATAGGCACGAGCATCCGAGTCCGTTGGACCCGCTGGACTGTCTCCTGTGGGCTGATGCTCTCTGCATCAACCAGAATGATTTGGATGAAAGAGCGGAGCAGGTGAAATTGATGGAGGACATCTACCCTTCTGCGCGGAGAGTTTTACTGTGGTTTGGTGTAGGGGATACGCAGCCGATCCCTCACGACCTCGATGACAAGAGAAGCAAACACTCCGATGATCCGCTGTGGAAAGTAGTGCAGGCGGTGTTTTATCCTACGCGTCTTTTGCATGGCGGGATTTCTTTCGCAAAAGAGCGGGTAGCCAGGACAGTACGCCCGACGGTTCATCTCGGGCAGTTTGGCAGCATGCCTATAGTGCTCTCATTCATTGCGCAGGCGATCAGGAACGTGGAGAGGGAAGAGAAGACTGCGCTCGGGCCAAGGGCCAGAGGAGAAGAAAACGAAGACAATGTCACGCATGGACTGCCGGGTGCAACGTCGAAATACTGGCAATTTGTTCGACAGTTCTTTGAACAACCTTATTTCAGACGTGTCTGGATCGTCCAGGAGGTCGTATTAGCGACACACGCAGTCGCCCTGGTGGGAGATTGGGAAATTGAGTGGTCAGCTTTGGGCAAGGCCGCAGCTTCGTTCCTGGAGTATGGGTACATGTCACAGTCTGAGCTGCCACAAACATTACGCGGAGGAACCCTTGCGAACCCGGCCACAAACGCCGCCGAGCTATGGAAGATGCATGAGCAGGGCGTGAGGATACCTCTTCGCCTACTGCCTATCTTGAAACTTCTTCGCCAACGAATGGCAACCGAGAAGGTTGACAAGGTGTTTGCGGCCTTTGGACTAGCTGAGGAAACACGCCGGTCTGGCGAGATTCCATGTCACCCGCTAGTGGAAACCACTTATGCTACGAGCATCAAATCGGTTTATCGTAACGTTGCAAAATTCCTTATCATCAATAACGGCAACCTCGAAGTCTTGTCGGCTGTGGGAGGCTCTCAAGAGCCTGGACGTGACTGGCCTTCCTGGGTGCCTGATTGGTCCCGCAAGAAGATGTCCATCGACCTCACTGACACCCACCAAGAGAGTTCCTCCCCATATGCTGCGGGTGGAAATGAGTCTCTGACCATTGGGGACAGCCTCGATGAGAATGTACTATCCTTGAAAGGGATCGAATGTGATAAGATCATCGCGTTTAGCACGAAATTCCGGGTCGGGGCTCTGGAGAAGCAGCCTCCAGGGAAGAGCATGATTTCATCCTAAGCGCGTGGAATCTGGCTACTAGTATAAGCCAACGGATAGTGCGGACCCGATTTGACCAAGGCGGACGAAGAACGGAAAGACCGTGGCGTAGCTTTACTGCTACAGTCTCTGCCGGTTTTGGCGACAACGAATCCTTACTGGAGGTAGCGGAAGAGTGGCTAAGCGAACACATACAACCATCTATCTCCTTGAGTTCTCTAGTCGAACGGCAGTATGGGCTGTTTTCTCGCCATCCTTATTTTCAGCCACCTTCGCTGCCCGGAGTTGAACAATTTCACATGCAAATGGTCCGTATGTGTCGGGGAAGGCGCTTCTTCATAACAAGGGATGGCTTGATTGGCTTAGGACCCGAACTCATGAAGGAACGAGACATCTTAGTGGTGCTTTTCGGGGGTAAAGTGCCGTTCATCTTGAGACCGACTGAGGGTGGTTATCGGTTGATAGGGGATTGCTATAGCCCTCAATTGATGGAAGGCGAGGCGGTCATACGATGGGCGGCTAGGAGGAGTCCAACTAGACTTTTCAACATATTATAATAAGCAGTTGAGCGCTCTACGAGAATTAGGGAGCATGAAATCACTTTTCTTGTTTTTCAATATATTGCAGTAAACAATCGAACGGCATATGTGAATATGCGACTGTGAACGCATATTTGAGTTTTTCAATATGTAGTTAGAAGTTAGGTCGTCTTGCGAGAGTCAGTAAAGATGTCGACTAAAGGATGCTACTCCCACTAGAGATTGCATAGCAGTAACAGCATAGGATCTTGCAGCTGCACTTCAAAGAGAGAGAACAATGTACTGATTGAGAATTGAGAACTCCGAAAGCCATCTATCTACACCAAAATCCTATGTGCAACGTTTGCATCTCTAATTGGCAACATGGCGGTTCCGGGGGGCTAAGATGAAACTGCAAAACGAGCAGACAATGTACGGCTGGTTTTAATTAGCGTCTAAGCTCCGAATAATAGGTATTACCTCTGTGAATAAGTTTAAGGGTCAAATGTGGTCCCAAGTTGAAGCCAGAATTGGTCCAGCCTGCCTCTGTAGTTTGAACTAGGATAAGTCCTCGAATGAAGAGGCAGAGGATGAAAATGTGGGCTGGCTTGAATCGTCACAATATTGGGTTCTGTCCCCACTCCGGCTATTTGTAGCTACGCTGGTACGTAGGTCCTGAAAGAGCTCCTATGAATCATGGTTTTTAGGAAATCCAAGTAATACCGGAGACAAGGCGTGGAAAATAACCTAAACCCTAGGTTACATCTCAATGTAAACGATTTTATGTGATGGTAATGGAATATTCGCCCCCTCGAAGACCCGTGACAGTCGCGATCGCCAACCCCGAAAGTTGAAACTTCTGAGAACCCCCGGGTCCTTCAAGCACCATTTTCTTTGTCCCAGCGCCTAATGGAATGCTCAATTCTCCCATCGTTGAATCAGGTGTAGCGAAAGTACCCGAAAGGCCGCTCGAACTGTTCGTCCAGATTGTTGTAAAGCTGCCAAGTGGGGTTTCGAAGCCTGTCTGGATATTTTGGAGACTGCCCAGTGCTGGAGCGACCTTCCAAGTCAGGCCTTAAACTATTGTGAAATACCGGAAAGCTTCACGTTGGAAATCATAGCCGGCCTTATAGTGGCCCGGTATCATATCGTTAAACCATTAAGGAAGATCAAATACTTTATCAATCACAGCATCGCAAAACTAAGTGCTAATATATATTAAGAACTTACTAAAAGTAAAGCCTATAAAGTTACTTAATCCCAAGACGGCATTAACCTAGAAAGCAATACGGCCAGCTATGTTTTTGCCGAAGTCCAGCCTGTCTGGATATTTTGAAAACTACCTAGTGCTGGAGCAACCTTCCAAGTCAGGCCTTAAACTATTGTAAGATACCGAAAAGCTCCACATTAAAAATCATAGCCAGCCTTATAATAGCCTAGTATCATATCATTAAACCATTAAGGAAGGTTAAATGCTTCATTAATCATAGCATCGCAAGACTAAGTGCTAATATACGTTAAGAACTTGCTAAAGGTAAAGCCTATAAAGTTGCTTAATCCCAAGACGGCATCAACCTAGAAAGCAACACGGCCAGCCACGTTTTTGCCAAAGTCCAGCGTAACATAAGAGCCATTTCCTGCAAATAAGGTTGACTGATTACCCTGATGCGCGTTAGCAGTGGTAGTAAGGAGGGCAGGAGCATTCTCGACCGCCGGTCTGGTAAATAGATACCGGGCTGATGACACGTGAGGTAGGCGCCAGAATGTATTAGTGGAAAGGAACTTGGGCCGCAGCGGCCGCAAGCAGAAACAACTGCATATGAAACCAAATCCATCGACATTTCATTATGGCAGTAGTTTCTTAGGATCGCGATGGGAGAGATGTTGAGGAACACAGTCGCTATTATTTACATCGTAGAAAGGTTATTCTTAAATACAACTTGCAATTGTACACGCTTCCATTTTAGAGCGTCATTTACGATATATATTACAATAGGTTGTCTAATATAAATCGATATGTCACCTGGGCTTCAACACCGACGATTTGCAAATCTCTAGCGGGGCCGAAAACAGGGGGTTAAAATTACGATAACAACGAAAAATGAAACATATCAGGCGGCTATAGTCTCCACGAGAAAGTCAATAGACTCGGGTAAGAACACAGTAGCTAGTCCTTTGGTATTTTGACAAGGAGAATTCATTGAAGGGGGCGGAACAGTCCACATGTTACGGTCTAAAGGCTCGATTTAGCTACAGTAGCTTCTTGATAATTATCGGTTGAGGTTCGCTGACGGAACAGATAAACGGAGATAGATAGAGGCACCGGGGAAAGGGGTTGGCGGGTGGGAGATGGAGAGCCAAAGAATGAAAAAAAGAGAAAGTCCATTCTCTGGCCTTATTAATTTACCGCTATACCGAGCCTTGAATGGCCAAGAATGTAATGGAGCTAATTCTCAAGCATCTGCTGTGTCATTTGGGTTGAGCCGTTCTAATTTACGCTCGCCAGGGATTTCATATGTTACTCCCACTGTCGATTACTACCAAACGAAAATTTTCTGCTCCATGTTCTCATTCCTAATGTACATGATATAAGCCACCGCAAAATGTTACATACTTAGATGATCCCCATCAATGACGACCCTATTAGAAGGCTACAGGGAAAATGGATGCACCCACGCCCCTGAGCGTTGTTCTTGCCCTTATATGGTGACTTGCTGGATTCAACGCTATTCCTTGAAGAGTCTATCGCTCGAATCGGGAGCCTCTGCCTTGGAATTAAATCAGCCCAAGAACCAGCAAAGCTGTTGCCATGACCAACAGTATCGTGACTGGATGTCTGCCCGACTCACTGACTGTGACAAGGCCGGTAGTTGGCGAAGGGTCGGCGACGTCTGATTCGTTTGACGCTCCGCCGTTGTTGTATTGGTCGACAACGAACCGAGCAATATCGCTGCTGTGTCTCCGCAGGTAGGTCACATGCGTCAAGGCATTCGCGTCCGGGCCAACGGAGCAAAATTGGTCTCCGGAGTCGCAGTACGAGCGAATACGGCTGCCCATCGCCTCACATGCGCTGATATCGTGACGCCAGAATATGCCGCTGCCTGTGCTGTTTCCATAGTTGTATGTAGCGTCGCCGCGATGGCTGGGGTCGCCGAAGAGTACAACCGATACCACTGTGTTCGGTTAATTGTTAGCCAATTGTGACTGCTGAAAGTGGTGTTGCGGAGAGCTTGCCATTCTTGCTGATGTTCACCGGCATAGGCTGCGCGAATGCCATAATGTCGGCGATGGTGGTCTTTCCGACTGCATATGCTGCCCAAATGGGCGGCGTTCCGCAAAAAGTATTGGTAGTAATTTGAGCACCCTGCAAGACACGGTCAGCATGTGCGTTCACTGCAGGATCGTTGCAAGCTCGCACCTGAGAGTACCCAAAAACTGCCATCTTGGATCCGGGGCATGCTATAGCATAGTTGGTGATAGCCTGCTTTACTAGAATCGTGCCGTTTGCCGCCGAGAAAAAGTACACTGGGTCGTCCTCAGTTGCTGGATACTCAATGGCCTCGATATCGGACCCGTTGATCTGTTCTGCAATGACGTCGACCAGGGCTCCGGTCGCACCGAGGCCCATGGGCTCGCCAGTGCCGCGAGAGACGAACATCTTAAGTCCTTTGGCGCATTCAACAGTTGTGTTTTGGCCCAAGACACCAGTGACAGCCAAGAAGGCGGCAGTTATCAAGACTGTGGCCGAATACATGATGGCAAGTCGGGATACAAGTTCGGTAATTAGAAGAATTAATTGCAGAGAGGTAGAGAAAGATGAAGATAAGACGAGCTTGATCGAATGCACAAACTTAATATCTCCTTCTCTTTGGACCCGTGGGACCTTTAATACTGCTCAAGATTGAAGCTGTCGAGCAGCTAAGAGCGCACAATTTTTCCGTTTCCAGACAAGTGCAACCTTTGTCAGGCTGAGAGGCGTATTCCATAGGCTCTGCTCTAGCTGACTCAACTTATGACAGGCCAGTCATTTCGAAATCAGGTGCCAACCGGTCTGCCTTCCTTACCACCACGTATTTTGCAGAAGGGCCAAGCTAGATCCACGACTCCCGAAGTTCCGACACAATGGGTCTGTGAGCTGTCCCCAACGGTTAGTAAAGATGCTTCCAGCAGTATTCTTCAGCTACTGCTCCGTAAGATTTTAGCGGGAACCCTTGCCTTTCTTCCCGAGCAAGAATGCTTACGCCAAGACTTCTGAGGCGCAAGACAGCAATCCAAGTGAATCCAAATAGCTGCTTGGCAAATAATGGACCTGATTGTGGAGTCCCACTGTCTTCTTTAGGAAAAATTGTGCGCTCTGTGGCTTATCCACAGGTGCTCAGACCACCACGGAGAAACCCGAGGACTTCTCATATCGCTGGCATCAAGATTCATTGGAGTAAATATCACACAGCCAAATGATGAATTCTATAAGAAACATTCATTTCACACGTTCTCACTAAATTCAGCAAAAGTCGAAGTAGGGATGAGAAATCAGGCAGACACAGAATCTTCACTAACCTCGAACGAGTTGTATGGAGCCAAAGGTCGAGTCTTGTCAACTCATCTAGAATCACTCGGGTTCAGTTTCATTGGAGTCTGGTTGAAAGGGAATCATTTCAATTGGATATATAACATGACTCTTTTGGTTCTATTTTGACTGGTAACTTCTGGTGCAAGTAGGTCTGTAATGTGCTCAAACAACATATTTTCTTGAACTTCTAGTTATGTTGAGATGACGAGACAGACAATGCGTCGCCATTCAGACAAGCAACGAAATTCATGCTGTCCACAAAGTCCTTCTTCTCTAAGAGCACATGATCCCAGCGCTGACCCTCATTCAAATCGTATACTGTGACCTTTTACTGATGAAACTTCGCTTCCAACGTTTCTGCGGCAAGTTTTGGACAATGAGCTGACTTTAGCGCGTAGAAAGCAGTGTAGACTGGGGCGAGTGACGTACGACGGAACATCAGATATTTGACTGCTTGGAAATCTTACGCGGCCCAAGAGCATCATGCTCAAGATCCAAGACACTAGGATGCGCAGATCCTTTCTGCTGACGTTGGCGTGCCGGTGGCCCAGACACGAGCTGAAAGACCTGGCAGTGTAACACAGTAAGATGACTCTATCATCACGCTGCAAGTTTCGGGTAGTTCTGCCTTGGCTTCTCCTTCTTGAATCCTCACTGGCTAATTACCGATGAAGTAAAGCCGAATTGATAGTGCCCAATGTCAAGATGGAAAGGACCAAGAAATTTTGTAATGCTCAGGGAGGACAATCTCAGCCACTGAATAAACGTTTTCTTGGCATGGGCGAGCTGAATAATCATATAAGTAGACTGTCTGCTACATAATGTGCTTTCTGCCCAGATCTTCGGAGTAGTCCAGTTTTGCTGTGGCAAAAACAATTCGTTTATACTCAAAAGTCGGACGATAGAGTTCTCGGCCGAATGACGGAGCATAGTTCTTCTAGTAAAGGAAAATTGTTTGTCAACATCACTCCATTATTTCTATTTTACATATGCATCTATTCTTCGTCATTTCCGGCAAACAAATAGTAATCGATGTTGTACATTTACAGAGAATTGATCAACCTCAAAGTTTTTGTTCTAGCTAATGCGCACCGGTTGTCTCTGCTGTAAGGCATTGCGTTGCTATTTAATTGAAGATTCCTCGAAACTGCGACTTATGGCACGAACTCCATCCAGTCTAGGCTGTGAAGCTTGCCGGAGGCAAAAGAAGCGGGTAAGAGATCAAAAGATTGGGGACATCAGACCGTGCTGCCCACTCAACTTTGAAAAACTAACTACGAGTTTACAGTGCGATCAGGAGAGGCCAAAATGTGGAAGATGTAAACGTCTAAGCATCACATGCATCGGAGTCGGTCGGCAGCGCTTGATCTTCAAGCCATATCGGGACGATACACACATTCCTCATCCAGAAGTTATCCCAAGCAACGAGACCAGCAAGTTAACATCCTCTCTTGTACACATTCTCGGGATAGAGGACATCAGATACGACATTCGTGTCTTCGGTGGCAAAGGAATCACGGAACTTCCCGGCCAAATAGGCGTCAACGCAGCTCTAGATGCTACCGTGTCGGCTATGGTGGCCTTGTACAGAGTCCGCCAATACAATGATTCCAAAGTCGTTGCATTAAATCACTACGGCGTGGCTTTGAGAGAATTAATGGAAATGGTACAAGACCCGGATATCCAATATGGTATCAAGTTGAAAACAATATTAGTCATGAGTGTCTGTCAGGTAAGAATGAAAAGTGCCCTCACACCTTTGCGAAACCCTCCCGGCGTAACTAACTCGATGTCTCGTCATGCACAGGGGTGGATTGACAACAGTCAGTCAATCCGACACCGTGAAATGGCCTCAAGGTTATTTCGCGATGCTGCTATTCGGGACAGGCTGGGAGAAATTGATCCATCTTACATCTACGGTCTTCTACAGATAGCGGTCAGGCTTTTCCTATCTTAGGCTGTCCCAATTTCACGTGAAGTGTCCTTCAATTTCAGCTAATTTTATCATTTGCAGCTCCATGCAAGTTGGTTCAACGGCAATTTTCAGATAGGGCCATGGTTTTGGAGCGTCAATGCGACCGTCACCAGTCCTCGGCCTCTGAGGTACCACGCGGGATCCCTCCCCGGCCTCGAGGTTGGGACCTTGGCAGAGGCGACCGAATATCTCCATGGATCCAAGCAAGATATTCATCGGGTGCGATCGGTATACAACATTATTCGGGCAGATATTCCCAAGGCCACTCACCTACTCAAACTATCGACAATAGCCGCGACGGAGGCAAACTCTGGTCCCCTTGGGAGGAGGCTATGTTCCAACTATAGCTTTGGCTGTGCCGTGTTGCTTGGAATGGCGTCGTGCTTGAACTATTTACTTCGCAACTGGGACAGCGAGCCCACATTTCTAGCGGGTGCCCGAGTATTTGTGGACGAGATCATCTTGTTAGCGGACCGATGTGCTTCCTACCGGCCTTATGGGGTCTCATTCCTTCCCGATTATTTGAAGATGGTACTAGCATCAACCCCGGACTCATACCGCGCTAGTGAGATAGAGGCCATTCTAGTGGATTATGAGAAGGACTTCGAAGGGGCTGTCTTTGTGGACGAGGCGTTTCATATTCGTAGGTGGTTACAAAGGCAGGCTGGAGCAAGAACAGGTTAAGATTCGATAGTAAATGTGTTAGAATAAAAGCACAGTGTATTCAGGAACCGTGTTTTAATGGAAGGGCAAGAGTAACGGAGCCGCATTCGGCACGAAGTTGTCATTGGCTATCTGCTCCAGCGGTTCGATGTTAATCTATTCCCTTTACAAGTGTTTCGTAACAGCCTCGTAGCCCTCGTTAGCTGTCGGGGTTAGCAGAACGTTTTGTCTCATTCTGGTGGAAGATCAATGATTGGACCAGGATAGAAAAGGAGAATCTAAATTAAAGCTTAGAAGGTGAGCAAATCATTTATACACGGAGGCTACACGGAGGCTAAACTGTAATGCTGTAGGATCCTGATCGAGGAGAGTAAGAGTTCGCTCAGAGTGAAATCGCAATCCCGGAACTAAAAAACAAAAACAAATCAAACGTGTGGAATCATTTCTAGCCAGAATGGCGTCCAGTAAACCCCAATAGGACCGAGTCTAAGACCGATAAATTACTCGACTACGATGTAGAGCCTCGCAACAACACAAAGAATTGTCAAAAAAGCCAATGAAAACATAAACAAAAAAACACCAGGACCTGCAAACGGAGGATCCCAAGAGCTTGTAAACAGACGATCCCAATAACTCATTTTCCTTGTCCCATTTTGACTGGCATTGCGCTCTCGAACGCGCACAATGTATAAGGCGGTATTCCGCACGACAAAATTTAAGGCGATGCCGTTCGCCCAAACAGTTAATATGGCCGGGATCGTTCCCGCTATGATCAGGCTCGAGACCTTCCAAAGCAACTGCTCAGCTGTAGTGGGGAAGGTCCAGCTCCAGGCGGCCAGGTGGAAGCCGGCGTAGGCGGCGGGTAGCATGAGCGTGAGCGCCAAAATTGTTGGGCCACCGTCGCGCAAGGACTCCACGGCGGCTTCTAAGCCACTTCCATTAGCTAATTTAGGAAAATTGTCTAAGGGAACCACTCCCTCGCTGTTGAGGATCAGTCCGCCCCGGTAGCTGTAGAGGAATGAATTCCGGCTAGGCTGGGTTCGGTTTTTCGCAAGTGCGTCCTGCTTCTCTTGCACAAACACCTCGGCCACACGTGCTAATCTGGCGTCGCTGGAGGAATCGACAGAAATCGCGTCACCCTCTCGGATGCTAGAAGAGAAGATTCTCGATGCTTCGAGAAGGACGGCTAGCGTGTTAAACCATCGTTCTTCGAACTGCACTGAGGGCTCGGTGACATCTAGTGGTTTCTACATGTGATCTGGTTAGTGTTCTTTCTGTCTGATCTGCGAGACTTCAATATGCAAAGAACACACTATAACCTACATTGAACCAAAAGATATACATCATGAGTGCGCAAAAAACATGGACCATCGTATGCAGCTCGAGCAATGTTAGAGGAAGGCCGTAGATCTTTCGCACAATGCACTGCAAGAACATCCAGGATACTTGCAGCATAACCAGTGCCTTCTGGATCGTGTTTGCCTTGCTTTTGTTCTTGATGGACCCCCCAGAGACATAAAACCACATCCCCACCTTCGCAAGCGAATGCGCGCCCATCGTTGTGAGCACCATAGTCGACCCGGGAGACGTGAGCTTCTTGTGAACCTCTTCTCGAATCGTCTTTCCGCGGATATCTTTTGTGGAAATGAGGGGCGCCAGGTCCGAGACAGGAACGCGGAGCCCGCCCATGACTGCGAAGAAGGCGTATGTTAAGGAGATGTCGAACTGTTTATTCATCCCATTAACATTTGCACTTGGGTTTTGAACCCCCAAAATACACCCAAGACGAGACGCATCTCCGACGGTCGAGACTCACTGTCTTGACGTGGCCGTCCGTCGATTCCGCCTGCATCTTCCTCATAGCATTCCGAAATTGCAATGCTTGTTGAAGTTGACCGGCTGCACAATCCAGCACGAGCTCTGGCGCAAGTAACGCAATAATTACCCACTTGACTTTGTGGAGCAGCTGACCCCATGTGCTCCTTGAACTTTCCAAGACATTCATATGAAGCGCCGTATAAACACAAGCTACGATGGTCAAAATACAGCTTTGCAATATGGCCATGGTTCCGCGAAACTCAGCGGCTGAGACCCAATGTGGGGCCTCGATCCTTTTCAATGCCGTCAGGTTATTCCGATTGTCAACGAGGGTATTCCAGACATCATTCCTGTATAATGGGGCGGACATAGTGAACATATCAGATACTTGACGTATAGATTGAGCGGAGAAGATGTAATGCAATGCAGATCTAATGTTTGCGTGGGGGAGGGAATTTTTGTTTTGTCTTTGCTTCGCGCAGGCAGCAACGCCTTCATGCCGCTCCGCGCCGCTTGTTTCGGGGTGCTATGAGCTGACCACCTCCGTTCAGCTTTACTTCTAAGCCACGGTGGCGATCTTCGCTTTTGCACACTTTTAATGATCGTGCGACGCCCTGATCACTCCGGATTTTGCCCGTTTTCGTCCAGGTCTTTCGGCCCCCATTTCTTGTGCACACATCTGACATTCTCGGGTGCTGTAAATAGACATTGTTGATACTGTATATCTACGAGGAGTGAGCCACTCTGAATAGGGCCGCGGACTAGCTTCCCCGTTGATGAATTCTATTCACGCGGAGCTATTGCTATATACACATTCTTATATGATTTAGTTCTTAACCAACGTAAGTTTAACATGCATCTTAGGTTTTGCCCAAAAGACAACAGAAGTAAAGTTTGGCCTTGTGTCCCAATCATGATCTTCAGGCTTAAGCTCGAGATGAAAATGCCATATGAGCTTTGCTAAAATCATGCGCATCATTCCATAGGCAAACCTGTTTCAATCGTCAGCATTTTAAAGCCAGTAAACCAGTAATTTTCTCACTCACCCTTTCCCCAAACAATTTCTAGGACCCTTTGAGAAGGGTTGGCAGGCTCCTTTCTGATCTGCAGCAAATCGAGGGTCGTCCGCTGAAGACTTTAACCACCGTTCAGGCAAGTAGGAGGTGTGGTCTGAGAAGTTGGAGTCCATGTGATGTGCTGCCCATTGTGGCACACCAACGGTAGTCTAGTTACGTTAATTAGCTCACTGGCCCAGCTTGCATGGTAATAGGCACTCACCCCTTCGGGAACAAAACAGCCATCGACCATCCCGCCACCAGGAGGGCCAACACGCGGAATCACGGCGGCGACTACTGGGCGCATGCGCATGCCTTCATCAATGCAAGCCGTGAGATACTCCATGGACGCCAATCTAGCGAACGTGATTTCTTCATCGCGTTCAATCGACCGAATCTCGTCGGCCAACCGTTTGTACGCGTGAGGGTTAGTCAGAAGGTGAAAGATCACGACGGACAAGGTCGTAGCCGAGGTCTCGCTCCCAGCAAAAAACAGAAGCTGCGCAAAGTTGATGATCTTGTCCCTCGTCCATGACTCTCTGTCGTTGTTCTCCGCCCAGATCAGCGTCATGAAGTCAGGCCGGTCGTTGCCCATCTTCTCCCGCTTCTCGGCCTTTTGTGCAACGATGTCGACCGTTTCAAGCCACGTCTTCAGCCCTTTCTGACTCGAAACTAGCTTGTACAGAAACTTGGTCACGGGCAGTCTGTTGAAGAGCTGCAGAAGGCCGATGAAGGGAGAGACGTTCAAGATCATATCGACAAAGGGATCCATCTCGCCCTTGTCCATGCAGTACAGTGATTCGCCAGTAGACAGGTCAGCCATCACGTCAGCAGTAGCAAACGTGACCCAGTCGACTATGTCGACGTCTCGGCCGACCCTTTCGCGAAGCTCCGAGACGAGCATGTCGGCGTATCTCTGGATGATGGGCTCCTGGGACTTGAGTGCCTTTTCCGAGAAGGCGGGTGCGACTTGGCGACGCAGGGCACGATGTGTGGGCTGGTCGGCTGAGATCATGGAGTCGTTCAGCGGTGTGCCCCGTACGTCGTAGAACACTGCATCTTTGGGGAACTCGGGTTTTCCCTTGGTCTTGAGGCCGTATATGTCTTCCAGGGCTTGGGCCGACGAGAATGACAGTTCGTTCGGCCCGACTCTCACGACCGGGCCGTACCTTTCATGGAGGGTTTTGGCGTGCCTCCAGTAGTCAGCTCTGTAGACTTGTCGATAGAACTTTGGAAGCCATGAGACGGCATAATGCCGTGGCCCGGGAAAGTTTCTCAGAGGATGAATGAAAAGGTTGTATAGAATGATGGACAGTCGGTAGACGACGAACTACTTCTAGTTAGAGAAGAAATGTCATCGGGAAGTGTAACTCACGGCGCAGATGGCCAGCAGCCACATTGAACTCATTGTCGGATGAGTCTCTCAGACCTTAGATTCTATGTGACCGCTCCGCATCCAGTGTCTTCTTGCCAGTACGTGCATTGGTGACTGCAGTCCTGCGAGATCATTGATTATGAAGTGCGGACTCCATCATCCGGGTCATTTGTTTGGCCATGCAAATACAGCACCTAGCACATCTCCAATCCCCTCATGAGTCGTGGCACGACCGTTACTCGTGCTCAATGCTGCTTTAACAAAAGTCTTCAAGATCAGCAACTAATTATGGAGAAATATTGACGATCAGGCGCAGCTAGTCAAGGGTGACGAATCAAGAACAATGCATTCTTCACAGAACACAACTTTGGCGAATGGCACGTGGTAAAAAGTCAGCAAGCGAGGCCCCTTTTGTGGGCAGCGCGAGCCTCTGAGATACCGCACGTGGTGATCTGCCGGCAAGCGATGCACTGTATTTGTATATAGTTCAGCGTTAAACGCGGTAAATAAGTGGGTTTAAATATTCACCGTGTGGTTCGCTTCTCGCGTTTATGGGGCCAATTGGTACTTGGCCCTCCATAGTCCCACAAAGAAGTTGATTGAAACTTGTACTGAGCAAGAACTTAATCGCGGACCTTGTAAAGCGTAGCATTCTCTAAGGAATTCGACTATAAATGAAACCGTAACCACGGTACGATTCAGACTGCCCAATGATCATTAGCGAGAAGGGCAAGTCATGAGGCTGTGCATAGTTATTTCTGTCAACCCTCAGTTGTGGTCGCGATGATTCACAACAGGGTTGGTGTGGAAGTTGAGCTCGGTAAGAGGACTGAACCAGGGCAGACTTTCTACGCGAGATATTTTTGCTAGAGGTCAGCGTGTAGCGTACGAGTCATATTTAATCCCGTAGATGAGTATTTCGATCTCCTATCATAGATATACCGACCGTGATGCTTGAGTCATCTCGACTATCACAATGCGTCGGCAGATTCGTGATATCTGACAGAATCCAGAATGGAAACACCCAGATGGGAAGGAGCCCCATAATACGGTTTCAAGGGTCACTACTCATGTATACAATACTTATGTGTGATGCTATCCTAATGAATTATTGGGATACAAAGACAGTGCATTCAAACACGAAATTCACTCTCAGAGCTCATTGCCATATCCAAGTTTACATCAGTCTCTCGTCGAAAAAGTTTAAAAATGGCAGAGGAAATGTGGAAATATTCCACAGCCATCGACCCGGAGATTGTGAAACAGACTGGTTGTTTCACAACTCTGCCAGTCAGGATTAACAATAGAGACGACATCGCGAATGCATCATCCTCGCGCGTGCTCAAGGATTGGGCAGATCATACGGGCAATCGAGACATAGACCCCAATCGCGTATCGTTCTCTCCCGTTGGAAGCTTTTGCTCCTTGATCTACTGCGAGACCATACCCGAGCGCTTGGATTCCATATCCTACCTCACCGATCTTTTCTTCTTAATCGACGGTTTGTTTCATCCCAAATCTATCTTTGATAAGTCTCGTTAACATATGACTCGGATGGTAGATGCAACTGAGGAGGTGGAAAATGATAAAGTTGCTCAAGAAGAGTGGACTGGCTTCTCCGGGGCGATGACAGATTCACTCGGGGAAACACCCCAGCGTGACCATGATCTGGAGTCCATGAAGAAGAAGAAGCTGGTCGCCCGGGTAATGCTAGACTTCATGAGGTTAGACCCAGCACTCGGGTTGGACCTCGTGAAGAGCTGCAAGGCTGGTTGGACACCTTTGGCGGCTGGCGTTGAGTGGGAAACAATGGAGGATTATCTTCATTTCAGACGACTCAGTGCGGGTCTTGAGTAAGTGTCACTGATAAATGTTTTGGCTCGACTAACATCAGCAGCATCTACTGGACAAAGACCGTATTCGGCCTTGGAGAGAAGCTTTCAGATGACGAGGAGAAGCTCATCCGTCCTCTCGTCTGGGCTGCTGAGAAGGCCGCCATGCTTAACAACGACTACTGGAGCTGGGACATTGAATACTTCCAGGCAGATCAGAAGATCGACAACTTGACCAACGCTGTCGCAGTTCTGATGAGGAAGGAGGGAATCTCGGCCCTGGAGGGCAAGGATCGCATCAGAGACTTGATTTTGGGGTATGAGGCCGAGTACCTTCGGTTGCGGGCTCAATTCTACGACAGTCATTCCACAGCACGTCTGTACCTGCGTAAGAGGGTTGAGCTTGCAGGGTCAATGGCGGCTGGTGTGAGCTTCTGGAGTGCCAACTCTCCTCGATATCACCTGCCCACGAACCCGCGGACGAAGCAGGCCAAGCCAACCGATGTTAATGTTGAGGCCTTAATTGCCAAGATCGACGACAACACACGGACAAGCTCCGTCAGAAGTACCGTCAGCACCGACTGCGATGAATTCATGGATGCGACTTCGGGCAACCAGACCGATATCACAAGCCAAAGCTCACATTCAGAAGAGCCCGGAAAGCGCTCTTACTTTGACGTCCCGAAGTTGTGTCAGAGGGCAATCAACGAGCCTATCAACTACGTCAGCGGCATGCCGTCGAAGGGTGTGCGCTCTTCTCTGATCGATGCGATGAACCAATGGTTCCAGATCCCATCCGCTCAGCTTGCGGTAGTCAAGCGCGTCATCGACCTCCTCCACAACTCGTCGTTGATTCTCGACGACATCCAAGATAACTCCCCTATGCGGCGCGGCAAGACAGCAACACATTTGATCTACGGCGAGGCTCAGTCCATCAACAGTGCCACCTTCTTGTACGTACGCGTGGTGCAAGAAGTGCAAGCTACCGGCAACGCGGCGTTGATGACGGTGCTTCTCGAGGAGTTGGAGGATCTGCACGTCGGCCAAAGCTGGGATCTTTACTGGAAATACAACCTGAAGTGGCCGACGAAGGCTGAGTATTTCAGCATGATCGACCTGAAGACCGGCGGACTTTTCAGGATGTTGGTGAGGATGATGCAGGCCCTCAGCCCTCGACCCAGTACGGCTTTCGTCTGCGATGCTCTAGTATCCATGGTCAGCCGCTTCTTCCAAGTCAGAGATGACTACCTGAACCTCAACTCTCGCGAATACAGCAACAAGAAGGGTTGGTGCGAGGACTTGGACGAGGGAAAGTTCTCCTATCTCATTATCCACTGCCTTGAGAACAGCCCCGAATATGTCGACCGGATCATGGGTCTCTTCCGGCAGAGGACCGGATGCTCAGGTCCGATGCCCAGTGCTGCAAAAGTTCAGATTATCGAATACTTGCAAGAGGCGGGATGTTTCGAGGCTTGCTGGGAGTTGTTGAACAAGTTGGAGAACGAGATCGAGGATGAGATTAGGAGACTGGAACGTGTCACAGGGGAGGAGAATCCTCAGATGAACCTTTTATTAAAGCTTCTGAGCGTTGCGAACGAGAAGCCCAACAAAGCTGCTGTGGCCGTACCTGTAGGAGTATAGTCATTTTTTTCACGCTCTAATTCATTGTATTATTCCCTGCTGACCTGGAACTGGGAGTCAGTAAAAGGTACCGCTGTCTTTAGAGTCGTTGAAGATGCCGAGTTTCAGGGTGGAACAAGGCTTGGCTGTACCTAATACCAAGCTACGATGGAAGCGGCCATGACTCACATGCTATTGCAGTTGGCTTAGGCTGTGACTGGTTGCAAGAGTTGTCAGAGAGTATACAATGTAGTTGCGCTACTAGAGATGAAGGTACCCGTAACCGGTCTCATTAACAGGCCCGAACTACCTTTGGCCGTGGTCTCATGCTCAATGATTTTGGTATAGTGAAATGGAATAACTTGCGATAGCGAGGGTTCGGGATAGTGAAATGGGCAAAGAAACATTTATTAGTACTTTTTGAAGACCTGCCTAGCGCCTATTGAAGTGGATTTTAGCCCGCTCAGAATTGTGCTCATAACCGCGTTCCATTCCAGTTTTTCTTTGCTTTTTTCACTCGATATTAGCATTCGAGGCCTTGTTCTCTTCACAAATCACGTCCCCCCCACCCCGCGCAAACCCACACACCCGGACCTTTGACGTTCCCGCGGGCTAGCACGCCATGGCAGCACGGCAGTCGATAATCAAGAAATATGCCACTCAACTAGATGGCTGGATCCAAAGTTGCAACGAGAATCACGGTGATGAATGCCAGGTAGAGCCTATCACGGGAAGACAGCCGCACCATATCCCAGACTGGGTTATAGACACCGAGGACGGCTGCATCGTCCGCGGATGTAGCGTCCAGAGATATGCAGCCCTCAGCTACGTTTGGAATTCTGCTGCGACGAACAACGATGGAGGGAGACCAAAAGCTGAAGAGCGGCTGCTTCTACGGAAGGACAATTTCAAAGACTTCTGCCGCCAGGGTTTCCTGCGCAGCCATGTCTTAGAGAATGTGCCGTTGGTCATCCGAGATGCCATCAATTTCGTACAGCTCTCGGGACTTAGGTATCTCTGGGTAGACAGTCTTTGCATCGTCCAGCACGAAGACACCACTAGGGATTGCGTTGCTCTCATGAACGAGATCTATTCCGGCGCCTATTTCACCGTAATAGCGGCTGCCTCCAAGGAAGGTCTCTATGGCAACAACGACGACGGACACTTACCTCACGGAAATATCTCAGTGCAACACTTACATAGCAAGCTCCTATGTTCGGACTGGGCCTCGCGGGCGTGGACCTTTCAGGAGCAGCTGCTGTCAAAACGTTCTATCATATTTCTCGATGGTGTCTGTTTTTGGGACTGTCAGCGTGACGTGCGGTGGCCCCAATCCTCGATGAATGAAACTCCAGACTGGTCTGTGCAGATGGATCCGCGTGTCGGAGTACGCCAGCCTACATCTACCAGCCGTCATCCCTTAGAAAAGGCAGACCTCGAAAGAGTCAACAGGAAGCTTTCCGGCAGAGGAAAATCGCAGGACCTGACCTCTCTCTCTTGTATCCCGGATTTCAAACTCTACATTGAGCTGGTATGTCGATACAGCAATCGGGAACTCACATACAATCAAGATATGCTACCAGCTTTTTCCGGCGTGCTAGAAGCTTTCTCGCGGTCCAGTTTCCGTGGTGGATTCATTTGCGGGCTTCCAGCGATCTTTCTCGACTCGGCCCTTCTTTGGCAGCCACTTCTTAAAGCAAAGCGACGGTACCCAAAAGTTACAGCGACCAAGATTGCTCCGATGGCACCGCTACCATCGTGGTCCTGGGCAGGGTGGCAATGCCTGGTAGACCCGGGCAGTCTGGAAGGTGGCTTGGATTACAGGACCTGGGAACTTCCGGTCCACAGAGAAACTTTCAGAAGTGGTAGAACTTCTTGGAGAACTTGGAATCTAGTAGATTGGGCTACCCTTTCCGATGATCGCTCAATCAACCCATATGCAGTCGACGGGCCCGCTCTGCTGCAGACCTACAAGACTGGTTGGGAGGAACCCAACCATAAATCTCTTTCTACAGAATGGTCTCGCGATGTTACTGGTGCTTTCGTCCACGCAAGCAATCCCAAGGTCCGTTATCATTACCCACTGCCGACCCAGAACAATTATTCCGCCACTATGACCCAGAGAAATACTTCCTTGCTATCCTGCACGACAAAAACAGCCTTGTTCCGCGTTCGGCGGGTCCTTGTTTCGTATGACACGACGGAAATGGAGACGGGCAGACGCGGATGGTTCATGGATACTTCAGTCTTCAAGACTGACTTATACAATTTCAAACCCCAGCTGGGAAGATTCTGCCCAGTCATCACTCTTGAAGATAATAAAGGGAGATGGGCTGGTGCTATGACTATCATGGAGGACAAAGCCTCCGTCCAACCTGGGTCTAAATTGACAATGATAGCCATCTCAACTGGCAGCGCATTTCAGGGAGATGTAGCTAGATCTTATCCAGAAATGGTAGACAGCCAAGGATACTGGTATTATAGGTCTGTGTGGGAACACTACCACTTTAGGCTGCAGGATTGGCGTGACGGCCTCGACAACGGGGGCAGCAGCAGTGGCAGCGGCAGACGACACGCGCCAAAGTCTAGACGCCGGCACAAACGATGGACCATTTGCCGACTGCTATCACCCAGGCATAAGCAACACAAGTCCTGCTGTAAAACCCACAGCACCGGCAGGGTCCAACGAGCTTAAGCGATATCACTTTTACAATATCCTATGGGTTGAAACCATTGAAGGCGTGATGTATAGAAAGGCGGTCGGACGTGTACCAAAAGAGATATGGGAGCTGAATTGCGGGGAGCCCACGAAAATTGTGTTAGGGTGAAGGATGTTTATGAGCCTTTATTCTCAATTGACTGGATGCCAGAATATTTATGTCTGTCACTTTCGGCCCGAAGCAAAGTGTGTGGGGTGCTGGGCGCCACAGCCACTGCTTCACTGAGTGAGTGTTACTACAATTAGAGAAACCCGCCGCGCCAGGCGAGATTGTCTTGGTTGACGAGATTGAGAAGCGACTCCCAGGTGACGCCACCAAGTATGTCTGGTCGGTCCTGATATCATGGAGCCCATTCGGCTGTGGTTGAAGATCGCCCGAGTAGAACCCGGATGGATGGCCCGCCTGTGCATCCGGGTCTACCCGTCTCCTCTTCGCAGTTCTTGTTTGGTCGGGTGCTTGTTCCCCAACCGCTTGTGAGGCATGTCGGCTGATGGCCTGAACGCTACTTTTGGGCCCAGAGGTCAGCAGCCCATGGGAGGGGCTGTGAAGGAGCGTGTCCCTATTCAGCCGGACAGTTTGCTGGAGGTCAGACAGGACAATGTGGAAGTTCTTCGCCAAAGGCCAGCGATTTGACATGCTGGACAGCACCTCTAGGCAGAGAGCGATTTCCCTACCGTTCTGTCAGCGCGTGCTGTACCTTGGTCGGTGAGATCTTCTACTTGCCCATGGCCCTTGTCCGGAGGGTAGAGCTGCTGGTGACACGCAAACGCAAGTATGATGCCGGCCATCCAAGCCGCCGACAGATGACCGGGCTAGAAGAGCGCATATCCCGCGCCGCGCTGCTTCCTCATATTAAGGATGATCTCGCGCGACGAGCCGATGCATATCTGCAGCGCGGACTGGAACTCGGCAGTAGACGGCTCCAGAGACAGCCACGGGCGGTGGATCAGGAGGCGTAGCTGGTTGTGCAGGAGATTGAAAAAGGCCGGCGCGCTGAAGACCTGGCTCGGGTTCTCTGAAGGCTTGTCCGCCTCCGTGGCGAAGCCGAAGTCGTGCAGTTCGGACGGCAGCGAGTTCGACCACGCGTTCATATCGGTCCGGAGGGAGAGCACCGTGCTAGGATCTATGGAGCGGACGTGGATGGACTTGGGGAAGAGCTCCGAAGCCCTGCCTAGCAGGTGAGAGTACTCGACCTGGCAGAAGAGAATCAGATGGCGGTCACGCTGTTGGCTCGAGCCGCTCGGGGTCGGCCCTCCAGTCTCCTGATCGCCTCCTGGGGCTGAGGAAGCATCTTGGCTGGGCTGGGTGTTGGCCGCCGCTCCATCTGGGTGGTGCGGCAGGCCATTGGTCAGAAATTTTCGATGATGAAGCTCAGGGCCGGCAAGGGAGCACACGTCAACATCAGAGTCCTAGATACCCAAGGGGTGCCCGAGGGCCTGCGAGAGGAACCGATCGAGGACGTAGATGCCCCAGAACAGCCTCTTCCGGTTGTCGCAGTCGTCGGCCGAGAGCTCGCGGTACCGGACAGGACAACGGTGGAGGCCCGCCAGGAAGATGGCGCGGGAGAGCAGGCCGGCGACGACCACGGCGGTGCGGAGGGACATGCGCGCCACGAGGAGGAGCTGGGCTGCGAAGAGCGCCTGGGTCGAGATGATGTCACCCTTGGCCGCGAGGCCCAGCAGACAAGAAAGGACTCGGGAGGGCTTGCCGATCCGTGATGCAGCCGGTAGCTCGACGTCACCATGGAGGCTGGCCAGATTGAACAAGCACTGCAGGATGATGACGCGGGCAAGGGGCAACGCCAGCCCGTCTGGAGCACCCTGTGTGGCGGCCGAGTACGACGGCTCCTCGTCCGACGACGAGTACAGCGACTCGATGTCCTTGGCCAAGGTGGGCCCATGGAGGAAGGGAAAGAATCGGTGCCAGGTCTGGAAGTAGGTCATGAACAGCTTCCTCGCGACGTCGCGCGGCGGAGGCCGGCCCAGGTCCACCGGAATAGAGACGCCCGGTCGGGGACTTGGCGCCCGTGATGCTGCCGTGCTGTCCTCGCCCGGCCGCCTTGTTGTGGAGCGACTATCGTCTTCATCCGCGACGATGCAATCCTCCGGCGACGGGTTGTCTTTGTCCTGGAAGACGGACGACAGGCGCACGTCGGCGTCGGCAAAGGTGCGTCGTACCGTGTTCACGAAGTAGACGCCGCTGGAGCTGCCGATGAACTGGCTCCGGCCGTCGCCAGAGGTCCGCAGTGAGCCGCGCTCCTGCACCTGCGGCGACAACGACTCGTCACTGGCAGAGTACACCGACTTCCCCGTCATTGGTCTCCTGGAGCCAGGCGCCTTTCATCCATGGAAGCGCTTCGTTAGAAGCTTCGTGTACGCCAATCAAGGTTCCAGCTGGTGAGGTTGCATCGTCGTCTGCTTGACGTTTCCCCGCCTTATCCCGAGGGTACAAGAATGAGTGACTCAATTTGCAACCCGTGCAGACTTGTGACCCTAACCCTGGCTTCCCCCTAAGAAAAGGTCGGGAAGTTGAAATTCTATAGCATAAGAAGTAACGAGGCGTCATGAGGTAGTATACAACGAAAGAAAAGTTTCTGTCTCCACACTGATCTCATGTAGTATATGTGTAGCCTGGGCAGTCAGAGGGCAAGCTGACCAAGGACATAATGTGGCAAACTACTTCGGGTCCACTACATTTACCAAAGTCTATCTTCTGCATAAAGTCAAACTGAAATACCGCTTCAATCACATAGAAACTACTACACAAGGTCTTGCGATTTGTTCATATTGTATCTCACATAGATCCATCGGGTTGGCTCTGTTGTGCCGACCAGCTGAACAAAATGCACTGACATCTCAGTGTCCCTAAGTTCATATGGATCTGAACTCGCTCAAAGTAAAGAAATCCTGCTTGTTTCAGCTTCTGTTAATCTGCTTACCCATATGACGAACATCCATCAGATAATTACGCACGACCGACTTCCCAGGGATGGTTTTAACAGTGCGTTGCATTGAGTGAGTTCGGAAGAGCGGACAATGTCTCTCATGCATAGGACACGGCATAAAAAATGGCGCAGGCTTCTCCAACGAAACAAGGGAGCGTTACTCATCGCGGTACCATGACAAGTTGTACTTATGAGTAATTTAATGCAAAAGGCGAGAAGTGTCTATCATATGACGAGCACGTCAGCGCCACGGTGTAATACATAACTAATATGCATCTACGGGTACCCAATGCCTGCCAACCGAGATGCTGTACTGGTCCCTTATCTTGAGCTGTGACAAGCCTTGGTATGTGTTTGATGCGATTCATCTCTACATAGTGTTACTGCGGCTCAAACAGCGGTCACGGGAAGTTCCCAAGGTTAGGTCCATACCGCGAGAATATCACACCAGATATGGCTATTTTGTAGTCAGAATGGGGCGAGCTCAGGTGGTGGTGAATGGCAACGAATAAGCACTACCTGCAAGTACGAATAGGGATTGAGGACATGAGACTTCGACCATTAAGTCATCGTCGATTCGAGACATCTGCATAGCTTCCGGGCCATCCCTTTAGTGTAACGGTTTCTTATTCGTCACTTTGAAGAAGACATTGGGTAGGATATCAGCATTTTGGACATCTTGCCCTGCACATATCCAATTTGGACGGCACACAGGCCAAGATGTAATGGCCACTTGTCCTTCGCATCCATCAACTACGATTTGCCTCGAACATTAGATAAAAAGAGCCGTCGCATGGAGCTCATCCATTTTGATTCTGCGAGCTCATCACTCTCCACTTTCCAAATCTTTTCTTTTCATCTAGTAGATCCACCTTAAAATATCAAAACGCAATGGCGTTGGCCTTTCGCCTCTGTCTCGCCTTACTGGGACTAATGTCCTTCTTGCTGTCTCCAGTCAGCCCTTTAGCCGTTGATGTCCAGTCCGACTTCCCCAACGAGCCCGAATCTAACTCCATTTTCATTTCGGGAACAGACGAGAACCATTGGCCTGCGGTTCAGCCGATCGACCCTCCTGATCCTGCCGTGCCAACCAAGGTTCCAGTTCCTACTGGTACACCGTTTATAATAGATACCAGGCTTGTTGTAAAAGTCAACACGGGGCAGCCGTTCATCATCAAACTCGATAAATTTCTACAGATTTTCCGAGATGGTGTCAAACTGAGTACCGATCCTAAAGTGAGCTGGGTCTCGCTGGATTCTACGCATCGGGCAGTCATTGGGCGAGTCCCCAAAGACTACCCGACGAGCCGGATCCTTATTTACATCGCGGGGCCGTATTCATTCAACGGAAGAGTCATTAACCTCGGATATGTTGTGGCCCTCGATGTTATTCGGCCCTTCAGCACCAGTACTTCAAGGTCCACCCCTCCTCCCACAGTACGGTCCCTAAGTCCTAGCACGTCTCGCTCGCTGTCGATACACTGGCACACGAGCCCTCGCACCACGACTCCACGAACAACTCTTCACAAGTCTACTCGCGCAACGACTACTCGCACATCAACTTCTCGCACAACAACTCCTCGCACAACGACTGCTCGCACAACTCCTGGCACACCGACGACGCCGCTGACCACCGCGAGGACGAGTCCGAGTGGTTTACCAAATCCGACCTTGTTCCCGAGAGAGAAGTTCACTATCCCCTTAGACCCGTACAAATTGTCACCCGGGGACATCGTTACTTCGTTTTCGACGGAGCCGCAGTCAGAATGGCTTCGCCCTAACGCGCCTTTTAATTCGAGGCCAACTTTTCTCGTGGGGACTGTCCCTGCTAAGCAGCCTCCAGGCAGGATCGAAGTGAGGCTTTCCTTGAAGAACCCAGCCACTGGATTTGAGTATAAAGTCCCGTTTTATATTATTGTCCGCCCTGCACCGGATGTCCATACCCTATAAGGGTGCCACACGTGCCGTTAGATTTCCATCATATCGATGGATCGGAATCAACCGCGGAGGTGGACTGTATTGTGATGGGAACAGCCATTCGATAGAGGAGAAGTATCGGTTACACTGTCAGACGGTGTTGCTTTTGAGGGCTGGCATTGGCTTCGCCTGTTATGCTCGACCACTGAAGAATGAAAACTGGGCCCTTACCTAGTCCAGCCTCGACACGGGACCTCGAAGGACAAGAACACATTACGGCCCCCAGATTTTATTCAGATTTGGTTTCACCCTGGTTGGAATTTGGAAATGCGTTGGGGAGTCGCGAAGAAGTGGGAAGCTTTTGGGCGAGAGTCAACGGTAGTCCGGGGAAGTCATTCTAGCAATTACTCCAGCTCGCGGTGCGGGACGATGCTTGTTTGACGTCCATTTAAGGGATGATAGAAAATTCTATCGTCTTCTGCCCTCAGCCAGTTCTTTCCGGTGAAATCACAGCCGGGAGTAGGTGTTCCTTGTGAGATTATCTCGCAAACAATTTCATTCATTTCTTGTCTTTCCGTCCAATTATTCCAAGTCCGCCGTGCCGATAAGCCTACCGGCTGGAAGCCGTACCTTCACCTAGAAAACTTTGCACCATTTGGTCGCAACCGCTCGAGTAAACTTCAGCCTCTGATCCGAGCACCGCGGCAAGATCTGCTGCAGGACTGGCCCCCACCACTCCTCCTGTCTTCTCTGAAACGCCGGAAAGAGCTCCATAGCAAAGGCGTACTCGGCATACTCGGGCCAGAAGCCACTCCTCTCCCAGTCCACTATCCCCGTGACAGCACCGCCATCCACAATGATATTGCGCGGCGACAGGTCCCCGTGGGTGAGCACAAACTTGCGAAACGGTCTCCGCCTCTCCTTCTCCAGCCACCGTGTCCACTTCCTGCGCGTCAGCCCGAACAGGCCGTCGGGCACACGCGCCAGACACCACCGGTCAAAGTGCTCCTCGTCGATGAACGGCCCGCAGACCTTCCCAGGCATGCGCTCGTAGACGTCGCACGTAGACCTGTTGTTCACGCGGCCGATGCAAGACTGCGTGCAGGAGCGCATGTTGCCGACCTGCTCGCGGAGCTGGGCCACGATGCCCGACCTCGCTCCGTCGCTCAGGTCGGCCCACACCTCGGACAGGCGGTCGCCTGGCGGCCTGTCGCTGACCATCGCGGACGCGGAGGGCCTGGTGGGTGATACGGTGTGGATATCGTAGACGGCGCGGACTTTGGGTGCCAGGACGCCGTGTGTGGCGGCGTAGTGCATCATGTCTGCTTCTGTTTGGATGCCATCGTCCTCATAATCAGCGAGATACCGCTTGAATTTGATTGCTATCTTGTCACCGGATGGAGTGTCGTGCTTGAGGACTCGGTCACCGTAGAATTGGTGCTTCTCGTCGTGGGACGCTGGATCCGCGTTGCGGATAAGATGTTTCAGCTGTTTTAGTTCTTCGTGTTCGGTGTCTTGGTCTATCCTGGAATCGTCCATCTCGATTTTGCCTGGTCGAGAATGCAGAGCTGGGTTGAAAGGGTGAACGACTGAGATGTGTCAGAGGATGAGAGTCGGTGACAAGATCTGATTTCAACGCAGGCAACAGTGCATGGGTGTGTGTTGGTTGGCGAAGCATCTGGGCGGTGCCGGACCGCTTCCGCATAGAATTGCGGGGCCATGCTGCCCTGGCGGACATACAATCCTTCTGATGATTCTATATGATACCAACATTTTACCATCTGAAGCAAGGCTGCATCAGAAACTTGAGGCTTTGCCTATCTTTTCCGTAGTACAGATCCCACAGAAACAAGGAGACCAGCTACAATATTTTCTATATCGAGCTTTTCCCTTTGCGTCCTGATATCTGGTTTGCGCGTGTGTCCACAGATTACGGCAGTTGAGCAGCCTCAGAATCGATTGGTAGACCGGGCGTCCTTAGACCCATCACAGAGAAAAGGCCGTGTTTCTTTGTAGGAGCCACTGAATTTGCCTTTAGGTGGGTACGAAATGCGCGGCGCGACTACAAACATGCTGTCTCAATTCTTTTCTTTTTTCTCATTCTCTTTTTCTGCTCGAGATAATCGCCATTCCATGCCCCAGAGCCAATTAGCGATGAACAATGGTGTAGCACCTATAACCAGGAAAGCTAAGCCCAGATATGTTGCTCCTGCACCCAGTGTTTTGATCATTTCATCAACGAACGCCACCATGATAGCAGCCAGGGTGCATCGCACAAGGTTGTTTATTCCGGTGCTGCTCGCGCCTTTCCCGGGACAGAGGTCGGCGACCAAGGTCTGGTTGATGGAGAACATCGCATTGGCCGACGCTGCAATAAGGAATTGCAGCGTCAGCGGTAGGGCGATCCACCCCGGTCGACCATACACACTTGGAAAAGATAAAGAGAAGCCGTATCCAGCGATGGTGAAGACGAACAGGGCCAAGGCCCAAGGTAATCGGCGCAGTCGCAGTCGCTCGATCGCAAAGTCGGGCGGGACGTTTTTAGGTGAGAGCTTGTAAGAGTCCGGCAAGTCGTGAGCCATCTTGTAAGCCTTTGTAGCGGCCGCAAAGTCACGGTTCAATACTTTCCCAATCATTGCCGATCCTACAATGGTACCAAAACCTAGAAGTGTTGTTAGCAGTGGCCTGTCTACAATAACACATGGGGATGTTCACCATTGGGCAGGTATATGACTCCTAATAGCAACTCGTTAAGACCAAAGTCAGTAGCGAACAGATTTGTCGTGCTCGAAGTAACCATGGACCAAACAGCGTATATGAGGCCGAAAAAATAGACATTGAGAGCAACCTCCTTGCGAACGAGTAACCGGAACGGTCCAACGAAAGTACCCAGCGTGACCTTCTTCCTACTCGGCTTCTCGCCTGGATCTCGTACGTACTTGGGCGGCTGAATCATTCGCCACAACGATTGATAGATCGGGCCCTTTAATCGCCATGACCCATTCCCAGCCAGGCTGCGCATTGTCTCGGGCAAGAAGAAAGCGAGCAGGACACCGACTGCCGCGGAAAGCCCGAGCAGGAACACGAAGATGGCACGGAACCCCAAGGACTGGGCAAGTATGCCGCCGAGGACGGGGCCGAACGCGACCGCGAAGTTCCGAACGGCCTGGTAAAAGCTGATGTAGCCTCCTCGCTCCGAGATGGGGCAGATGTCCTGCAGGACACCGTTCCCGATGCTGGCTGTCGACGCGGCGCCCGCGGCTTGCATTGCCCTGAAGGCCACAAGGACTGCGTAATTCGGCGTGAAGCTAAGTGCTATATTCGCTATTATGTAGATGCTGAATGAGGCGAGGTATACCGGTCGTCGCCCGATGGTGTCAGACAGCGGGCCCCAAATCAGTGGCGCAATACCTTGGATGACCAGGTAAGATGTGATTGTGAGGTTGACTTGTTGGATGGAAACGCCGAGGTCCTGCATTAATTAGCAAGGAATGTGCGTTGCGGTTGTGTGGGAGGTACAGTCAGACCCTGGAAATGGCGTTTTGGGAAGGGAAATATATGTTGGACGAGAGTCCGGATATTGACCCTGCGACCGCGATCAAAGTTATGAGTAGTCGCTTCTGCAGTTTTGGAAACACACTGTATTCCTCCTCATCATCTTCACCACTGTTGACGCTGGAACTAGACTCGCTGATGAAAGTGTCGCGAGACGTTTGTCGGCGACGGTCGGGATTGTATCGATCGGGGTCCAGGTCTGGTGTTGTATAAAAGTATGAGAAAGCCTGGCGCGTGAGGCGTCCAGCGGCCCCTCCAGTTGTTCTTCGGCGCGGCTGCTGCGGGCGCGGCATTGGCCTCTTTGGCTCATATCCATCCTGAGGAAATTGATTCGAAACGGTCTGCATGGGGAGAGCTGGCCTTCCGCTTGATAATTGACTACTTATCTCATACGGCGACAAAATGACTGCTTGTGGCGGCAAGAATATTTAAGAAAACTCCAATGAGCTCGAGAGCTTTGCTTCACGGATCATCAACTTTTCGTCCGATGTGTCCTGCGGGCCTAGGCCTTCGGTCCCGAATCTCCGATGCGAGACACATGTGGTAACCATACTCAGTGACCTCATAAGCCGAGTTGAAACAAGTGCTCGTGCTTGGAGCATTTTCCGCCAAGCTGACCTATGCTGATATCAGTAATTAGAGAGCACGCCCTAGCCGCTTCTGTGCTATCCCCTTTGGCAATGCGGTCATCGCAGGAGCCACACAGACGAATCGACGCCTAAAATAAGGTTGAAGAGTTTCCAATGGAGGAATTTCCATTCACATTGTAGTAAGTTGGCCGTGGATGACATAGCAAGCAAGTCTAGCGGGAATACTTCCTTGACTTTTTATAATAAAGCCGGCAGCCAGAAACATCCTCGTAGTCCTGCAAATCCATTATCCAGATGCTTCAAGGTCTGGAATAGAATTAGCTTGAACGCAGCATGTCTTGGGTATCCTCTGTCGTATTGTTTCCCCTGTATCGTTACATCATCATTTGTTCAACGATGGGGATGACTACAGTGGCATCCAGTGTCTCGCTTTGCCCTAGCAAAATGTGGTTGAGTACTCCCAGATTGTCATCATCGAGTTCCTCTACACCATCCTCGTCGTCTTCTATAAACATTTCAAGGTCCGAGCCCACAGTGTCATCTAATCTGTTACCGTTGAGCCTTGAAACCGGTAAACAGCCGTCCATGATCAGCATTACGATGTCAGGAAATCCAGGTCCAACACAGAACCCGTCACCAGTGCCGCAATCTCCAGCTCAAAGACAACAAAGTGTACAGGCAATGACTTTTGGTGGTGCAATATACACTACAGTATTGGCGAGTCTAGGTATGGGGATTTGTTTCTCTTTCTGTTACAAAATCGGTATCTAACATGTTATAGCTGCTTTACATCTTATTGGTATGGTTGTTATAATACTTTTGAGACGGATATCCAATAGAGGACGTGCGGAACAGGTATAGACTTTGCACCACAATGTCCGGTTAAAATAGGGTTAGGCCCCATAATTGTTTCAACAGGACATTGCAAAATCTAATACTGATTTGAGTATAAACTGAAGGTGATCGATCTGTTGATCCCCCCTTTGTGATACTTTGCAAAGTCTCTTGCCCGGCAGGCCCGGCTGCAAATAGGTCTGTGTAGTCACGGGACGCCTAGAAAGCGATCTACTCCGGGATGTCAAAGAGCAGATTGCAACCACTTCGGCTGCGGCCGTTGAGTAACGTACCAGGTTGCAGAGCCACACACCACCAGCTGCGAGGTGCTTAGCCCTCTAGCAGGGCAGAGTCTAGGGATATTTACCTCTTGCTAATTATCCAATCTAACTACACCCCCTCACTATTCATGCAGGCTGTTCCATGACAGAACAAGATGCGACCAAGTTTCGGTGTGCCAATTCCTACGCCGCCAACTCATTCCAGGCCACTCGTTTCGAAACGTCGAAAGCTACGATATGTCTGGGTCGCATTACGCAGATATGGTGTCGTCCGTTGATGCCGAGGCGCATATTGCACGTCTTCGCCACCAGCTCGACCCCCGGTCTCATCCTCGCCTTGCGTCGCTGATGGACATTGCCATTGACCTGTTCGTGAGCCTCATCGCATGCTTGCATGTATTGGATGCTGACTTTTCGCCGGCGATGACGGGTACCCCGTGACGCTGTCCCGCTCCACAGTGGCTCATTATCTTTCCTTGAATTATCCAAAGTGGGCAATTGCCAGAATCCTCGATCTTGGAGTCAGATGTCTAACCAGTGGAGAGTTTCCTCGCCATCTGGGTCGTATGATTACCGATGAGCCGGACGATCGAGAACATAATGCCCCCTTTCAAGTTTAATAAGAGACTTATCTGGAACTGAGATTAGGGTTAACTTAACTTCGGCTTGGTAACTTATTAAAAGTCTTTGCTATATATTATCAAAGTTATTAAGGAATGCCAGTAAGCGATATTATCTTAAAGTTCAATGGAAAATAACTTTCAAAGATATAACTAATATTTACAAATTTAAGTAGATACTTAACGAATGTGGATACCCTAAACCAGTAGGATAAATATAGCGATATGATACCCTAAACCAGCAGGATACATATAGCAATATAGAAACGAGGGACTAAAACACTATTACGTCAGAATATCAAAGACCAAATAATCCCACTAACATCGCGAACCAACCCTTCGAGCCTCCGATAATGCCCGGAAGCCGCTATGCCTTCAAGAGGTAAATCGGATGCCCTAGGCACCGGCAGCGGCAGCTTGAGCGGCGGCAAGCCGCTTGCATGTCTCTGCCAACTCTGTTTGGCCAATTTGTCAGCGACACAAAGTAGCCATTGCGGGCTGGGGCTATTAAGCTGTTCTCACTGTGTTCCTGAATCGCGATCTCTTGGCAGGCCTTATTGGCTGACTTGAGGTTTTCTTCGCACTGCGCGATGTGATCCTTGGTAGACTTAATGCTGAAATGGGTGAGCAATTCCGCCTCGTGGACCTTGAGGAAATTGATTCGCATTTTGCCGGCCCTAGTAGTTCAGTGTTATTATTTTAACGATAATTGCGTGAGGGGGGGGATAAGTGCTTTTAGAGGATAACTGTGGGAGTGGGACAATTTTGCTTGTGGGATAACTCTGAACATCAATAGACAGAGCACCCGAATTATGGGACGGTACATTCGGGTGTGGCTTGGGATCCTTTGGAAACCACTTCTGTGTATGTGTTGGTGGATAGTGGACGTTTCGACTTACTTCACACCCTGGTTGCACCAGGCCTGGGCCAGCTTTATACACTGGTTGTGCAGCTCCGGGTCATTCTTGCCCTTCATACTCTTCCTGAACGTATCGTATGCCCTTTTGCATGGGTTTATCTTGTCCACCTCGGCCTTGTACGCGGCGTGATCATTGTTCATCTTCTCCGAGCAGCCGTCCGCGAACCTGATGTTCTTGGCGGGAGCCGTGGCAGGGTCAATCCTTTTGGCGTTATGGGAAACCAGCTTGCGAACTGCGAAGATGTTCTGCTCGTCAAGAATCTTGACCATAGCAGCGTCCAGATTGTTCTGGGCCTTGAAGGAGTCTGCGGACATAGTGGAAATATCTGACTTGATGGAAAGAACGGAAGCAGCCGAACCGCTCGAGCCGGCCGACTTGCCGGACTTGCCGGACTTGTCGGACTTGTCGGACTTGACTGACTTTGGGGAAGACATAATGGAAGAAGGGTTAGAGGGTTTTTGAAGAAAAATCAATTTGAAAAGTTAAAGGCTGAAGTCTGAAGCCTGAAATGGAAATCAGTTATAGAGATCAGAGAAAACGGACTGGATGAGACAAGTTGGAGGCAAATAAGAAAGAGATGCAAAGTTGAATGGGAAAGAGATGAGATTAAAATGAGAATGATGAGAATGATGAGTGGATGGAAGTAATAACTGAGCTGATGAGAGGTTGTTATATAGGTTCGCGATCGACTCTGACTTGACGTAAAGAACTTTGTTTGTCAACAGGTCTCTCGCCGGGTCCACAGTCTCCAACGAGGCTTATCCTTTTACCTTCTGTTGGTTCCTGGAAAATGAATCCTTGTGCTGTCAGTATTGCGGGATACTATGCGGCCAGGCCAGAATGAAGCCTCCAGGAGTATCTGTAAGTGGAACAAGATGCTATTTAAGCATCAGAACCCCACCCACGTCGTTTCCATTAACTTCTACGTTAGAATGTGGCAGGATAAAACAGTTCCTTTTGCGGGCTGGGGCTTTGAGAGGCTGGTTGCTATGGGCCTGACCGGGGAAGGGCCAGTGTCGCAGCTTTGGCCGGAGATGGCCAGAAATTACCTTTTTGACAGCGACCAGAATCCACGCGCAGCGGTGTTCATCAAGCATCTGATCTGTCTTTCATTTCCCTTCCACGGACTGCGAGGACTTTAGACTTGGATCGTGTGTACTAAAATGTGATGAGGGTTGATGTCGGTGACAGTCTTGCTGTCAAGAGTCCATCATAAAATCTCGAAGGACACATATGGTCCACTGGTCCTCCAGCGAACCTAAGGCAGATAGGTGGCTGGTTATTTTCCAGCATCCTCAAATGTTCATTGGAGGCGCAGGCTCGGCCTCAAACCGACAGGCCATCAAAATGCTGTGGTTGACTGGACTTGTATCCGCTCGTACTGTTGGCGATAATATCTGAAAATAACCAAATATCCACTGTTCTATTAATAAGCTGCAGTCGATTGGAATCGCTTGTTGCTTTGATTGGCCGGGACGGTTGCCATAAAGTGGGTAGTAGACTATCCCCACCTGCCCACAAATGATCCCGGGCCTCAGGCTTGATCCTGCAGACCTGAAATAAGTCAGTCGTCCTTGCATCCACTTTTGACTTCCTTTCTTTCACTCCAAACCCAGACATACACAGTTATCGCACAATCCCCGACTTCCCCTCCGACTTTTACAAGCAAGCAGCGACCCAGCACAGTCTACTTCATGCTAAAGTTGCTCACAACTGAAGCACAACAGGACGACCATTGACAAAATCACGATGTCGACGATCCCTAGCATTGATGGTGTTACTGAAGCTGAAGCTCCAGCGCTTGTTGGGTCTGATCAGCCAGATCCAGACACGCCCAGTATTGCGTCAGCGGATCCGAATGGTGCAGCTGAGTGGGCAACAGACAGAGTGGCACTTAAGACGACCAACACCAGTGAACAACAACAGCCTTCATCACTCGAGAGCCTTCCAGTCGAGCTCAGAATACGCATTCTCGAAAACATGCCAGACCTAAAATCACTAGGTTCCCTCCTTCACGCCTCCCCCGTCTATTTTGCCCAATATCGGCTCGACCGCAAATCGCTTCTCTGCAGATGTCTAGAACAAGATTTAGGCCGCGAGGTGTTAGTGGACGCTTACGCCGCCTTCAAGTCACGCTCGTCCAAGATAGGCCCGCGCACAGTTCCAAACCGAAACGTCACCGACTTTGTCGATTTGTATGGGGCATGGCGATACTCTGGTAACCCTGTCGCGTTGCTGAAGTCTATGCCACTTGCTGATATCCGTTGGATCACTTGGTTTCATACATTGACTGTACAGCCTCTGGCGACTCAATTCGGCACTTGGGCTTTAAACAACCTCCAGTCTGCAGCAGCCAAGGCCACAGGACAAGAACGAATACAGACAGAGTCAATACCATCAAAGAAACCACCAATAAGTAGTGTTTGGCCGGGTGGATTAAGCAGGACGGAGCAGAGGCGGATTCTCCGAGCTTTCTACCGATTCGAAACTTTCTGTCATCTCTTCAGCGGTAAACAACACCAATCCTTTCGCCACGACGACATCGCACGAATCTTCTTCTCTCAATTCGAACCTTGGGAAATCGAGGAGATGGGCTGCGTCTACAGGTGCATCAAGCAGAGATACGGAGAAATTGTTGCCGAAATCAAATGGGATCTTCACCCAGACAATCCCAAATTTGCCACCGATCCCGACTTCGGATTTGAACCCGAAGGGGCCTTCACGCTTGATCGAGATGATAACGGTATGTCTACTGCATTTTGTTTATTCGGTCACCTCCCACGCTGACAACTTTGCTCCCTTGACCAACAGAATACCTCAACGGCACCATCGGCTTCGGAGGCCTTAGGCTGGCACTGCATATGTTTAAAACCAGAGACCACGATCAGCTCGTGGACCTGATGGCCAAGTACTTGAAACGAAGCCAGGAGTATTTCTTCGACGATTGTACGCAGGACGTTAGCCAAGCCGACAGACGCGGTGAAGATAATGGCTTCGACGACAAGGATCGGGCCGAGCAGAGAGGTGAACCGATGCCGTTCATGGGTGACGACGACGCTCCCACATTCTCCCCCCACAGTGCCTCAGCGAACATCACAACGACAAGCGGGGCAACTCCTCCCTCAGCTGACACGACGGAGAGTGCTAGTGAGGCGGCAGCAGTGGTTTCCAGTATTTACATGCCACCGCTCGCTTGGGTTCTCTTGTGGGATGGGAAGTACTGCAACCTCTACGGGGAGTATGTACCCGATGAGTTTAGGCGATGGGGTTATGTCCTGTGGGACGAGCGTCGGTGGAATAATATAGAGGGCGCGAAGGAACTTCTCATCAAGCTATGGGCCTCGTCGTCTCAACTCAAAATGGCCAGGGAGGATTGGGCATGGCTGGGAGGCCGCCAACCACCACTCGTGAACGACCACTAGGTTGGCGTTCAGTCCAGTAGCTAATTCGTGACCGGGTCCTGGAACGGATTTGAAAGATCAGAATTACAGATATATCTCAAAGACGTGAGAGAGTTGCTCGGAGGGGTGTTCAGAGATGTCTGGGACACCGTCCAGCTCCAGAGAGTGCTTTGGGAGGCTCCTATTGCCGGAGAGAAGCATCCTGAAATTGCCCAGTCCGGGGATCTGAGCATCCAAGACTCATGGGAAGCTTTCAGAGCTCTCTTGAAACTCGACAGGCAAGATCAGGGAAACGAGGATTACCTACCCAAATGATCCACGGAACATCCAGGGGACAAAGACGAGAGCAGCCTTGAAACGAAGAGCAGGGTCTATCAGTCTCTCCTGTAAGATGAAGTCCGAGACTGGCGCTTCATGATACTCAAGGAGAGGAGTCTTCGGGGAATCGCTCCAAAGATTGTTCAGGAGGGAGATGCTGCTCACACTTTCCATGGCGGTGTCGTTCCGTTCATTACGAGAAGAAGCGAGGAAAGAGAGGGCGCGTATAGGCTTTTCGGACAACGCTACATCTGGAGGATGATGCAGGGAGAAGGAACAAGTTACGACGAATTGGTCCAGGAGACTGTTAGATTGCATTAGGTAACGGAAGCAGCCAGCGTTTTACTGTTTAGCCCAAGAGGATGCAGCTTCTCACCACCTTCTGTGACAAGAAATTGCCAAGACAAAAAAGAAAGCGGAAACACGGAATAGAATCGGTGATGGTTCGATCTCGGATCAACATGCATAAGCGTGTAAGGCCAAATAGTCGAGATCTATATGCCAATGTGACTTGGTGACCAGTGGCAAGAGCAGAAATGTTGCGATTTGCGGATGAGCACGAGTCCGGCCGAGCTCTTCGCGGTCACAACGAGGTATGCCATGGTGTGTGTGGAACTCATCCAGTGGAACTCCATGAGAAGACTGGCACAACGAAACGTCCACTTTACCGCCAACTCACTCTCCAACCCAAATCCCCGTGTCTTTCAGCTTCCCCAAAGTAGGCGATTTGAGGCTTGTAGCAATGAAGCAGTCTAAACTGCCCAGGAGCGCAAGCTGTTTCCGGTGATTTTGACAACTCAGGCCAGGGAATTCAAGCTGCCGCCGCGGAGTGGCTGGAGCTGCGTCGGCCAAGACACGGCAGACCCTGATGTCAAACCAATGAGTGACGAGCTTGGCAATTGCATGCTTGACTGCGATGGCGGAGACGATTGAGCTAGAGGGATTTGTGGTTGGGCCTTGACCCTGCCTTTGCCAAGCTGGGCCGGCCTCATGATCCATTCTGGGTGGGACGCAATCAACATTGACGGAAAACCGCCTCCATCTTCTCTGAAGGAATGATCTCATGGCAATGACATCTGGAGTGGGATATTATTCATCCAGATGATTGAAAACAGTGGAACAGATTCCGATGGTACAAGCTGTAGCCATGATCTGGTTGGTTTGGACTTCCAGGTGCTGGTCACGTTCTCGGAAGCCAATTTAAGTCAAGAACCTGGCTCAGTCACTCTATCTGTAAACTTGAGTCTACTGTCTCGATAGCTTTCCCCTGGGATGATAGCTGAGACCTAGGGCCGAGACTCGGTGGTGCCATTGAATAGCACGAACCGCATTGTCCCACGTGGGATATCTATGGGGAAACAGAGAAGAATTCAGCCAGAGCAGGTCATTCACCTCCAAAGATTCAGTTTGTTCTAGCCTCCTTCTAGCCTGCTTCCACGGCACCAGCTCTTCCAGGACTAGCCTGACACATCGATATAGATCGATAGAGTTGTCTCCGCAGAGCGTGATAGGACCAACAAGTGGGTATGGGGTTACTTTCCGGGGCAGATTGGGGAAAAGTCGGAGGCAAAAGTGACGCGAGGAAGAGGGAGCTATGGCCCCCGTGCGTCCACACCCAAGACCTTTCCAAGACAAACGACGGAAGTCCCAAGACATGGGGACTCCGCAGCGGCGCCGCCGAATCAAGCGAAGGTTTGGACGGCTGGCCCTTGGGCGCAGGTCAACTCCTCACTCGGTGCTGCTCGCCGCCGGGCACTCCACCCGCCGAGACGCCTAATGCCAAACCTTACCACGGGTGCCATGCGAAATTGCCTGGCCAGGCCCCGTCTCCGGCGCATTATTCGGCGCCATCAGGGGTTCTACTCGACCCCCTTCTCATTTCTCATTGGTCCGTCCCCGCGACTACCGACGGATCGGTAGAGCCTCACACACATCATCGCTGGCCACCTGCTTGGGCGCTCTTGGCCCCAGAGGGCCACATGGGGGAAATGGAGCGCATTGTCCAGGACGGGCTCCCGCGTCGTAAATTGTCGACATGAGGCCCATGCGCGGCTGCCAGACCCCATACTCCAGATCTTCAACTCCAGACTTGTGGGCCTGGGGAAATGTCGCATGAATCAGGTCTCATCACAGTCGGGCCGGATGTATAAAGCTTCACGGTGCCCAACTCCTTTCTGGCACGAGTCGTCCTGGGGACCTCATCCGGCATCGTGGGCTTCATCTTCACATCCGGCTTCATCAATCAGACATCCGGGACAATTTTTGAGTAGAGGGGCTTTGCATCTCGACCACCTCTCCACACATCACATTCTTCTATACTCTCAACATCCCACAAAGTCTCACAAATCACCAACATGGCTGGTGGTGGTATGCCCATCTCCCCCGGCACGGTTGCGGGTGGCTATCTGACCGGAAAGGCATTGATTTTCCCGCTGTCGCTGGTCATCTCCCTGTTCTTCCTGTGGGGCTTCAGTTATGGTCTTCTGGATGGTGAGCAATTATGTCAACGTCCCACAGGGGTGACATCCAAAAACACTAACACATCTCTGCACAGTCTTGAACAAGCACTTCCAGACCGTCCTCGGCGTCACCCGCCTCGAGTCGACCGGGCTGCAGGTCATGTACTTCGGCGGAGGCTACCTGCTCTTCTCCCCCATCGCGGCCGAGGTCCTCAAGCGGCGCAGCTACAAGTTCACCATCATCATGGGCCTGTGCCTCTACTCGCTGGGCGCCATCATGTTCTGGCCGACGGCGCACTTCACCAACCCGGAGAACAAGAAGGCGGCCTTCGGGGGCTTCCTCGCCTGCACCATGATCATCGCCTGCGGCCTCGCCACCCTCGAGACGAGCGCCAACTCGTACGCCGTCGTCATCGGCAACCCGGCCACCGCGTCGGCCCGCCTGCAGTTCTGCCAGTCTTGGAACGGCGTCGCGTCATTCATCGGCCCGCTCATCGCCTCCAAGGCCTTCTTCTCGGGCGAGGGGTCCAAGGACCTGACTTCGGTGCAGTACGTCTACCTGGCCGTCGCGTGCGCGGGCGCCGCCGTCGCGGTCCTCTTCTTCTTCGCCAAGCTGCCCGAGGTCTCGGAGGAGGTCATCGAGGGCACCTCGACCGCCGACAACCCGGCCGGCGACAGCGACGAGGGCATCGGCGCGGGCCCGCTGTACAAGCAGTACAACATGATCTGCGCCGTCGCCGCGCAGTTCTGCTACGTCGGGTCCCAGGTCACCATCGCGGCCTTCTTCATCAACTACGCCACGGAGAACGCGCACTTCCCCTCCTCGGAAGGGTCGCAGATGCTGTCGTACGGCCTCATCGCCTTCACCGTCGGCCGCTTCGTCGCCACGGGGCTGGCGACCGTCTTCCAGTCCGACTTCATCATGATCATCTACGCGGCCATCGCCATCGCCATGACGGCCTACGTCTCGGCCGGCAGCGGCACCGCGGCGGTCGGCGTGCTCATCACCATCTTCTTCTTCATGGCGCCCATGTACCCGACCCTCTTCTCCCTCGGGACCGCGAACCTCGGCCGTCACACCAAGCGCGGAGCAGGTATCATGGTGATGGGCGTCTCGGGCGGCGCCGTCTTCCCGCCGATCCAGGGCGCCATCGCGGACTCGGCCGGGACGCGCATCAGCTACGTCGTGCCGCTCGTCGGGTTCGTGTTCGTCCTGATGTACGTCCTGGGCCACTGGCTGCGCACCGGGAGGCACATCATGCGCGTCAGGGAGGTCGTCGCCACGACCCCCGAGGCTGCCATTGCCGCCGGCGAGAAGAGCGAGTTTGAGAACGTCGAGGTTGCCGGCGACCGCAAGGTTTAGGAGGGGTTTTCCTGCTTAGATTTTCCCGTCTTGCATAGGCAATTGTCTAGATTCCACTCCTGGGTTAGAAATCGGGCAAGGTTAATAATAGAAGACCGGGGCATGTAGAAACTCAATCAAAGAACATCAAGAATATGTTCGAAGTTCAGCAACTTTTGTCATGAAAAGGAGGCTTCATACAGTGCCAAAATGTCCGCTCGGCAACGTTGGCGAAATGCCACTCCGTCATGCCCCCCCATCCGATCCGCCCGGGTCCACATTCGGGAGCTACCCCGACTTTCAGGGCAAGCTACCCGGTAGTTGGGGCGGCTTTTGTACTGGGGGCGTAAATACCACACTGCCCACTCAGCGTCCTTCAAATTGTCAGAGGTAAGCTTTGCTATCGACTGAACACACTCACCCTGTTGTATTCATCCCACCATCTCACCTACGCACTCCAGCCCTGCTTACGAGACATGGCAGACTACACTGGTGGCTCGGAGCCGCTGGGCACCGTTCACCCCAATCAGGAGAAGCTCATATCCCAGATCTCGTCCTTCCTCTCCGAGGTCGAGAACCTGTGAGTCAGCACTCCGTCCATAAGAGCTACCTACATTACACACCTGCATACCTCATCACACACTGACCATATCGCAGAACCCCAGGCAAGTCCCTCGAGGACCACCTAAACAAGTCCTACGGCCCAGGCACCCCGCACTACGACGCCCTCGCGGGCCTGATCAAGTCCGGCCTGGACGAAGGCTGGGTCGCCAACATCCCCATCGACGGCTCCCGCTACCGCCGCTCGCGCGTGTCCCCGCCGACCGAGGCCACGCGCTTCTGCTCCGTCACGACCGTCTACATGGCCACCGTGGGCGGCGAGGAGGACTTCAAGGGCCAGTACCACGCGCACCCGTACGGCGAGATCAACTGCGTCGTGCCCATCGACGAGGGCGCCGAGCTGAGGGGGCTGAACGGGTGGATGGGCAAGGGGTGGACGAGCCCGCGTGAGTTTTTCGCTCGTCCCTGACCTGTTTCGAGAGTGTGATCTGACATCTTCCGTCGCTGTGTTGTTGTCCAGACCCCGGGAGCCATCATTATCCCCAGTGTCGCAGGGGCGGCGTCGTGGCTTTGTTCTTCTTGCCGGCTGGCAGGATCAGCTACGACGCCAAGCCTGAGGATGCGATGCCTCCTGGCGCTTGATTTGGATGTATCCTTTGTGGCCCGTAGAATAAGTCGCGGATATCGGTTGAGTGCATCATACAAGTATGATATCACGGCAATCTATTGGCTAGATCAATGTCCTCTAAGTGCAGCCCGCCACGCATATGCTGGTGTCAAATCACCCAAGCCACTCTATAACAGGAGAAACAACAAGCTTCCACAGGCCGTTGCAAAGGCCGCTGATAACATCTGAGAACGCCCCATGCCCGCTGTCAGAGAGTAACCGCTGCTGGTAGAGGTGTCCGTCGAGTTGGATGTACTGTTGTCGTTCTTGACTCCAGAGTCGACCTGGTTGAACTGGCTGATGATGAAAGACGAAGCATCGGCCAGGTAGGCCGTGTTGTTGAAGTACGAGCCATGCACCCTGGAGCTGTTCCCGCTGTCGCAGTACAGGTCGTTGGCGTCGCACCACGAGCGCATCCTGCTCGTGAAGGGCTCGCACGCCGTGACGTTGTTCCTCGCAAAGATCTGAGCCGCGTCGCGTTAGCCTCTAGTCGGACCATCCACAGTGACTTGCAGTGCAGTTGTAGTGTGTGCTCGCTTACCCCATTCCTCGTGCTATTGCCCTGGTTAAACGTGGCATTGACAGAATGGCTAGGGTCGCCAAACATGACGACAGCAACAATGTTCTCCGCATACTCGCCCCCAAGCTCCGGGGTGTCGGACAACGCCGTCCCCGTCCCATCATCCCGCCCGCACAGCGCGTCCGCCGAGACCTGCGCGCCCTGCGAGAAGCCCAGCAGCGCGATCTTGCCCTGCGGGCACGCGGCGACCCTGTCCTTGATGGCGGCCGTCATGGCCGCCACGCCCGCGCCCTCGGACTCGCTGTAGTTGGCGAAGGTGGCCGGGTAGACGATCGGCTTGACGATGGAGTCCGGGATGGAGGACGAGACGTTGTTGGCGACGACGCCGACACGGCCGGTGCCCGGGTCCTCGCCTGTTGCGCGGGCGACGATCATGTACAGGCCGGCTGTGCAGCTTGATGAGGCGTCCTGGGCGGCTGTGAGGCCTGCGGCGGCCAGGATTAGGGCGGAGGGCCGCATTGTGAGAGGGTCGGGATAGTGATTCAAGTGTGAGTGATTTTATGTAGGCTATCGTGAGATACAAGCAGCAGCAGATGCTTGGGGCTGCAGTCACCGTCTCTGCCTGTGTGAACCTCAGAAGGAGTTGGAAAGGATCGCCAAAAGACCAAATGAAGACATCAGAAGGTTGCATTCGTCTGAACTGCCAAACAAACACATGATGTGTATATTGTTTCCGACAGGACTTCCGTTGCTGCCGGTGCCAAGGGTCATCCCGACGTCCGAACCTCGGTACGACTAAAAAAAGCAGTAGCTCTCGCGACCTGCCTAACGAGGCACTGGCTCGCGTGCTCTAGCAGGCCCCATGACCGAGAGCGGATAACTCGAACACCTACCAGGCCCTTGCAACTTGGCGCTATGGCGTAATGCAGGAACTGCTCATCTTATTCTTTATCGACCTAAGCTGAACGTGGGGCTTCCCCCAGCCGAGCTGTAGCTGTTGTCCATCAAACGGTTAACAGCTTTGCTTTAGGATTTAGCAGCACATGTTGATGTACATCGATTTCATCTGGGTCTGCATACTCACTGTGGTACCTGAGCATTGGTGTCTTTCGTAGAAACAGGCTGGTGAGCTGGTGGATGAAATCTACGCCCACGAAAGAAAGGCAAACGGATCCACGCCTGCAGTCAGCTGTGAGAGTGTTGCTACAATGTACCAGCACCATGGGCTAGTTCGGGTAGCAGACGCGCATGTCACAGGACTAGCAGATTGAATGGACATGAGAGCAAGGGTTCCCGACGCCACCCACTCCATTTGGCGCGATGTTTTCGAAGCTTTCGGCCCCGCTAGTGACTAGCTTATGACAACCCATTTCGAATTTGGTCAAACGACCTGACGACATAAATGCTGGAGAGATGCCAAGCATGGTGTTCTGTCTGGGCAGGGAAGAAGGGCATGGAACATGGACTGGAGAGTTGGACAAAGCCGGTGGTTAGGAGGCTATGTTAATCATCACCTGGGAACAGGGGGCACAGTTATGGTAGAAAGGTGGCTTGTATCACGATTATGACCATGTATTGGGTATCATTCTGTATGTCTGCCCTGGGCATGAGTATGGCAAGGTGCCCGAGGGTTGACCTTGATTCTGCCATTTGCTGCAGAGCAACTGCGCCGTCTCCAGTCCTTGCGGCACAGTGTGCTGTCGGTATGCGGATGAATCCACTGCCAGTTCCGACAGTCACTTCCAAAAAAAGACACCCTTCCCTCAAAAGTGCAGAACCCTCTTGGCCACCCTGCACAGGGCACGAGGAGCCTCAAAGTCCCAGCTGCTCGGTTTCGTCCGCATCATCGTGTCAGCCCAGTCCTGCTCCCACTCCCAGATCTCCATGAACATCCCGAGGTCCTCCCAGTACTCGGGCATGAACCCGGCATACTCGAAGTCGAGCAGGCTGGTGATGCGGCCGTCGGCCGAAGCCATGATGTTCCTAGGCTTGATGTCGCCGTGGGTGAAGACGGCCGTCTCGGAGCGGGGGAAGTTGTTCCTGACCTCGTCGCTTGGGCCGTGGTTCTCGCGGTATCGCTGTATTATAAAGTTTCGGAAGGCGTCGTCGGTGTTGTACTGGTCCTCCCGGAGAGGAGCTACCTCGTTGCCGGTCAGGCCGCCTTGAGGGTACAGGGGCGACCCGTCGACGGTGGTGTAGAGGCATCTCTCGGGTGGGATGTGGGCGGGTCTTGGGATTTGACGCAGGGCCATGATGATGTCCCAGAGGTCTCGACAGGCCAGTTCCTTCTGGAAGGGGTCGAGACTGGGCCACACTTTCTCGAGGGTGTCGCCGGGTATCTCCTCCATGAAGATTCGTCCCACGCGTGGGTCATCGAAGTCGGACTCGTACACCTCAGGCACTGGGACACTTGGTGCGTGTTGGTGGACGTACTGCATCGCAGCGCACTCGCTGGTTCGAGTGTCGTAGCTCTGCTTCATCAACACACCTTCCTCGAATCGGAAGAGCCACGAGCGTCCCTTGCGACGAGGCAGGTGCGGGAGTACAATTTTGGGGCAGTCGGGTGAGATCTTGACAACGACTGGTTTGACTGCATGTTGTTCTGGGCTGCTTTGAGGAGTTTGTGTGGCTGAGGTCGAGGGGGAGGACGAAGCTGTGTCCAACGCTGAGCAGGCAGAAGTCGAGTCTGGCTTCGCTTGCTGTTCATGGCCTTGATCGGAGTCAGGATCCATATTGGTTTGGTAGTTTATCTTGAGAGTGTAAGAGCTCGAAGGATGATGGTTAGGAAGAGGAAGGGAGAGAAAGAAAGTTTGTGGATTGGTTTGGAAGGAAAGCTAGCAGCTGCTGCTGGTGTTTTGAGGTCGTCCTTTCAATGCAAAACCAGCCCCACTTTTAGCCCGTCACTGCTGTCAGTTACACACCAAGTGATTGCCCCTGCGCGTCTTCGCAATCACTCCCAACTTTGAAAGAGCTTGATTGTAACCATGCCTTAACATTTGGTAGATGGAATGAAAGTCTTTATCAATGTCCTGTGTTTCCATTCTTTTATTGCTAACACAATAAGATTGATCCTCAAGAACGAGTCAATATATCGAGATAATTGTCGTGATTCAGATTGAGCGTCACAATCCCTTATTGCCATGCAAAAGCTGTCCCCAGGCAACAAGCTGCTTGAGTACGTGTAGCCTACAGAAGAACCAGTGCCTTACCTACAGACAAAGTCACCGTGTCAAATTATATATACGCCAACCAACCTTTTTATACTAAAAGGAACATCCATCGTCTCTTTGCATGGCTTCAGGTGCTTCTCTAGTTAGACTCTCTGCCTCGATTCCTTCGCGTTTTCCAAACGGGGCTCTGAGACGAGCAACAACGTAGGAGGAGAAGTGACAATGACTATGGCTTTCCAGATGCTGCTCCGAGAAACGTGGAGTCATACTAGTGGCACTGGGAACAATTACAAACGATCTTTTGATTGTTGATACAAACGGGGGGAGTGTTGACTGGATATGCTATCATCCTTTCACGTGTCGGAATCACTGCTTGAATCACTTCAACATTGACTGCTTTCCGGTGAATGGAAGCCCATTGACTGCTTTCCAGTGAATGAGAACGAGATGAACGTTGGTTTAAGAAATTTTGGCATTTGCTTCGCTCTCTGCTTTTCTTTCTCACCTGGCCTGTCCATCGACAATCAGTCAACACTGCAAAGGCACCATGGCAGACGGTCTTCACAGCAACGGTCATAACGGCACCGGCCAGACGGGCTGCGGTCAGAACGGCTCCTATCAGAACGGCTCCGGTCAGAACGGCATCGAGCGGAAGAACGGAATCGACCAGGACAGCGGCACCGACCAGAAGATTAGAACCGGCCAGAATGGTACCCGTCCGAACGGCACCGACAACAATGTCCCCACTGTCCGGAACTGCACCTGCGAGTTCCCCAAGATCTACGCGGACGAGTATGGCAAAGAGATTGGCAAGATCAAGAGAATACTCAAAACCGAAACCCTGCAGATGAACGATGGCGGCCGATACAGCCGCCCTCACGTTTGCGATCCCAACCCAAACGAGTGGAGGGAGGTTATCCCACCTGTTCGTCCCAAGACTCCTCCCAAACACAAGTCACTCTGTAAGCAGCTTCCGGATACAATTTTAACCCTTTTAAGAAGAGCAATTTTATATCTATAGCCTGTACCTTAAAGGTATTGTCAGGCTGCAGTTTTTGAAACAGGCCATGGCTATAGTGTGGAATGGTCCTCCCTATACTTCTTCCTAAGTGTTTTGATACCTAGGTAGCTGACTCCTTTTGCTTTAGGGGTCGTCCGCCAGAGTCAAATCGACAAGAACCCACACTGGTCGCTTTTCGCCGCCTTTGACAACGACAACGATGGCACGAAGGGCAGGATCTGGCAGGTCAACGGAGATCCCGACGTGGGAATGTTCTACGCCCACCGCAGCTCCGTTCCGGGCGTCGCGATCTTCATCTCCGCCTCGTTCCTCGACAGCATCCTCGTTTGCGACGCGCTCACCGAGGAGTGGGAGGCCCGAGTCGACGAGATCGCCAACAACATCAAGCCCCCCGGCCCCAAAGAGACGCCCACCAACGGCCAGCGTCGCAAGATAGACTTCCAGCGCAAGACCTGCAAGAATTGGGTGTGGGACGTGCTCGACCAGCTCGCGGACGAGGGCATCACTTCGCCCGCAGTTCCTGCCGAGGCGAGAAGCCTTCAGCCTGTGAAGACAGTCGAGTAGGACCTCCTACTTCCTACCTCCTACCCTCTACCCTCTACCCTCTAAAGGGGCGTCAGGAAAACTCCTAATAGGCGAACATATAGGACAGTGGTATCATCCTGTGGGATAATCCCCCATGGGACAAGCCCCCGTGGGAGAGTCTCCTGTGGGAGAGTCTCCTGTGGGACATCCTCTGGTGGGATAACCTCCCCTGGGATACACTTCTCTGGGGGAATCTCCCTTTCGCTATGGGGCATAGCAATGCTGGACACTCGGATGTGTCATGGAGGGCCGCCACACAACTGTAATAGATAGACTTCTCAGGCAACTGAACTGTACCATAGTACGCTCTTCCCCCATCTATTCAATGTATCCTTACATCCACCTCACCCAAGTCTTGATATCACAGTCATTCCAGTCTAAGAGTGAATGTTTGCTAACATGCGCCCAATGTGACTTCTCTGAACTTCGTTGTTAATATACTAGAATTAAAGTGTTTTTAGTATAAATACTTAATACACTTACGCTAATCATATCTTAAAAATTGCCTTGGAGATAAGGAGCCACAAGTGTTCCCGACGACTGTCCCACAATGCAGCAGGGCGGTTCGGACCTTGTTGAGTAAGCTCCGCAGTGACCAGGCTTTAGAAGCCACATATAGATCCAACGGCATTGACCTCAAGATAGGCGGTCCTGCCACGGAAGAATCGCCGAAGGTCTGCCTGGTTGAATCTTTTGTGCATTCTGCAGTAAGACTGAGCACCTGGCTTGACGCAATTGGAACAAGGATTTGCGGCTAAGTCCCAACAATAGGCTGCGGGTGCTGCAGGTACTTTTGGTAGACCCTCGTGGCCGAGCTTGCCAGAAACGTTGCGTTATCTTGTGGCATATGTACGGAGTACTGTGGAACGCGTTGCTGTGCATTCATCGCAGCTCATGTTGGAAAGTAGATGCCTCCAGGCTACATGGGTATTGCTGATGCAGCGCTGTTACCCATCATGCAACAATCCCCCCCCCCCCCCAAAAAAAAAAGTCAAAGGCTCGCGGTCTTCCAAGAAGAAAGAATGCGCAATCGACTGCGGGCCATTACGCATCAGTTGAAGATGCGAATTGGCTCCTCTTCCGGATCCTTGGTCCCTATAATACTAACACTTGGGGGACTGCGCAGACAGCAAGACCGAAGCCGCCGAGCACGCAAACCATACCCAATAAACACAGAGATTCCAGCATCGGTTCCGCTACTAGGGGCAGGAAGGCTGCAAATATGTTGCGAGTTAAGGCCTGGTCCGCGATGGCCGAGCTCGCGTATGCATTTTACGCTCGTATCAGCCAGATAGTTGAAGACGGCGAGGTATACACTGGCGATGCCGAGCATCATGCAGCCCAATGAGACAGTTTGCACCATCTACGGCATCTGTGGGCACGTCGTCGCTCCAAGCCAGAACAGACCAACCGGAAGTAGCAGCGCTCTGTGCAAACGGAAAGAAGAGCCTGATCTCGGGTTGCCTCTGAAGAGCCATCATCCATGGAATCCGGCAGAACAAACGTGAATGCGCGTCTAAGATCAGCCAGCCGTTCCAGCACAATAGCTACGGCAGCGGCAAGAACTGATGCAATCACAACGGTGGCGAAGGCAAGGCCCTGTCCCTGAGCTGTGAACCCATAGGCTGGTGCAAAGAGCAATAGTACCGCCTCGAAGGTTAGGTAGATGATGGACCATGGGTAACTCATCCAAAGAGAAAACCAGAAGACGACGCCCTCAGTAAGCAGGAGCATAATCGGCCGCGACAGAGGAGTCTTAAGAAGGATCCAGAGCGAAGCGAGCTCCTCATCGTTCTGAACCTTCCACCGCAGCCTGTGTTCAAAAGCATGAGGGTGATGATTGATGTGAGACACAGCGGCGCCACGAGACATTGACGTGGACAATGCTGACCGTTGATCCTCGGTGATCGTAGCGTCGACTGTGTCGTACCATGTATTGAGCACCTTTGCTTTTTGGCTCAGCAAGACACTTCTCCGCGTCTCCGGGAACGAGAGGAACAAAGCCGTGACAATGATTCCACAGGTGATGGTCTAAAGTAGAAAATCCAACACCAGCTGTGGTGGTGCGAGATGACTCCGGAAACAAGGGACCCAATCCCCGCACCAGACAAGGCTGCACTAGTGAAGATGGCCATGGCGGTGTTACGGTGCTCCGAGGCGGAAATGTCACTAATTACGCCCCCAAACACCATGCTGAACGCGGAACATGACAATCCCGCTAGGCCTCATGTGACGAGCATGCCACCAAATGACGACATGGTGGCCGATCCCAGCTGACTGATACCAAACGCAACACCGGCGGTAAGAAACAACGGCCGCCTCTCCGTCAGTTCCGAAAGTGAAGCCAGGAACATGAGCACCACAGCAAAGAAGCAGAGCATGAAGACTCGGACTGTATTACCGAAGGAGGCGGCGAGGTTGCCGATGTGCTACACTGGCTCGTACTGCAGGATCCCTGCTGCATATGCGCCTGGAGTGTATGTTGTACAGTAACAAAGGTGGTAACACACAAGAGCCAGGCAACAAAAGACTTCCAGGAGTGCAACCAACAATGCAGATCAGTATACTTGGAAAGGTCGGGTCTGGAATCACTGATGCAGGCGAAAAGCAGGTTGCCACAACCTCTTTCTCCATTGGGATGCTGGGTGACCAAGCTGACACCAAGCTGTGATTCCGGTGTCGAGAATCTCAGGTACTCGTATCATACAGGTGCCTCACTGTCGTTCAATGTCTCGTTGCCATTCAATGGTCCAGTGGTCATTGTTTGAGTGTCCATGCTGAAGCTGTGCGAAAAGCCCTCATTTGGTTCAGGTGACGGAGGTCCATTCTCAGTTGTCATTGTATACTTGTATTATCTTCATTGGACTTGGCCCCATTAGCTAGAGCAACTTGTATCTGAAGTGAACATTTTCACTGTTGTATGTAGACTCCTTCTCTAGAGTTATCCTGTCTTTTGGGACACCCCTCATTAATGGAATGTCGGTGAAGACTTCCGGTTCTGGCTTATTATTTTATTACGGTATGTGAGTTATGTCTGCGTGCTTTTCACCTTAATTCCTCTTAATCATGCCTGTGTGCTCTAGGAAATTGACGTCACGCAGGTCACAGCTCAAAGGCTTACCACATTCCTTTTAGATGGGAGCCTCAGGTCACCGCTGACCTCTTCGTTTCCCTTTTCATCTTTTCCTTCTCAGTTACACACATGCTAACCCAGAGAAGAAGGCCGCCGGCAACCGTTGCCGTGTTTGCGTAACAGAAGCCGTGTCTGCCGTTGCGAGATCTCGATCTCCCGCCTCATTTCTGTACGTATTGCCAGTAAGCTGTCGTGAACCTTCGCAAACTGCTGCCTTGAGCAGGTAGCTACAATATACAACACTAGACCAATACAAATACTAAATACAATTCTATTACTCCATGCTAATAGATGATTGGCCTTGTAGGTGCAGAGGTTGATTGTGTGACAATGTAAGGCTTCGTTTGCATTGTTTAACCTCACATTTTAAACATCTTTCAGCATGTCAGCGGCTCGGCTGTCAGCTGCAAAGCTGCCATCCGCGTATTGTAGAGTCAAGACAATGAATACGACCTAAAAGAATTGCCTTGCTGACTGCAGATCGTACCCGAGTGGTGATCGTTTCCTATACTGAGGTGAGACCCCACGCCGTGTGCTGTGAGGCTTATTCATGCTTATTAGGTTACCAAGAATTAAACACAGCAAGTAAGGTTCACATCGGGTATCGGGTTTTGAAACCGGTGTCCGACTTTTCCGAAGTCAATGAACATGATGTCTCCATGGAAAGACCTTAAAGTGAACTGGATACATGGCCTTGGTATTCATTTACGTGTTGAGATAAGCAGGTCGGGAGCAGAAGATGCTATAATCTATAGTAAGTAGTTCATTTCATCTTCAATTGCCCATTTAATCCGCCAATGTATCTTAGATAAATCAGTTGATGTCCATTATGCCCGTTCCGATGAGACTTTTGCCCACGTTGGGTACAGCTGGTAGTCGGCGGGAATACCGGATTTGGATTTCACAGATACTTCTGACTGTGTCATTCTAAGCACCCCGCATGCCTTTTGTGCAACAGGTTGCAAGTCGAGATTGCAACATCAATGTGACAGCTAACGTAATATTATATTCACATACCAGTCAGCTGATATGTTAACGCAGCCTCGTACAATGTGCCGACCAACACGCGTAATGAGTATCCCAAGACGGCTTGCCGTGCCTCTCCATGTCCAGAAAAACTATAAAGGCAGAGAGAAACTCCCTTCATTTCCGTCTCTCTCAACAGCATCAACAATCACAACAGAACAATCCTATCTACTTCTCACCACCAACCAACAACCAACCACCCCCATCAATCAAGATGCAGATCTCCAGCTACTTCTACGCCGCCATTGCCGTCTTCGCGGCTCAGGCTACTGCCCAGGCATGCCTTCCTAACGGCAACATCTGCGTAAGTACAAAAACAAAAGCAGCCTATCAGCGGCTATCGCTGATTTGTGAATCATAGACTGTTAACTCCAACCCGCCTTGCTGCTCGGGATTCTGCCTCGTCCAGGCGGGAGCTTCCTCCGGAGTGTGCCAATGAGCGTCTCGTCTCATGCGAAGTTGTTGGGAAAGTTTGAAAGGGATGACAGCCGATGGACATTCGCTTAGACTAAGTGCCCAAGGGTTTTTATTCCCCTGAGGGTTTCCCCTTGGGAATAACTTAGAAATAAATACTACGACGTCGATATCATTGTGCCTTGTGCGAACACTCTGCCACAGTTTTTCGTGAACACGAAATTGTATTTCCACTTGACCACTCAGGCTTCCTTGATTCGTAGACGGATGCCGTCTTTGGTGGGAACAAGGAGTATGTCCAAGAAACAGAGTAGGGAGAGAGAGAATCTTGATCCTTACATTAGTCTGGATCCCTACTATGTACTGAAAACACAAGGCGAAATAGAAAATGCCGGAAACGGCTCCGTAAAGGACTTGCATCACTGCGTTGCGGAAATTGTTTGACCCTTGGTGCTTCAGACGTCACTATTCTGACTCATCGGGATGCACGATTCCGACCGAAGGGAAAGTCAGGAACACTATCATGTGCACGAGAGAGGCCAGGACGTAACTCACCCGATTCCTTTGTGCCTGATGTGGTGGTGCAGGGAGGCTGGTGCACAAATGCTACGATATCTTCCTACTTTAGAGTGGTTGACCCAATGTGTCCTCTTCACCTATTTACAAGTACAAAGAGTATGTAATAAATACTCTGCTCGTGGTATTCAAGGTCACGTGGAAATCTTAACAAGCGTGGACCTAGCAGGTAGTGGTCATCAGCGCTTTTCAGTTTGCAGCAGATAATAGAAAGATCTTCTAGGTCTAGTGAGCCAGAACTACAATCGCATTTACTGAATCTACTGCATTTATTGCTGGATCTATCATAATAATTCATATGGAAATGTGGAGGGCTCACAGAGTATTTGAGGATTGTAAGGAAGTTAGCTGGTCGCTGATACAAACCCAGAGTAGTAGCTCAGAGCAGCTTGACCCAAGACCACTGTCCTACCCGATGTACATAGAGCTTAACACCTGGTCACCGACCGCACTCGTCGGAGAATTGTCTCCCGATCCGCATCTCGCGCGCAAACCTTCCGCAGCACGGATTAGGAAGATTGGTTTTTGCACAGTTCCGATGCGACAAAGTGGATTGGGAAGTTCCTCGTGGCTAGTACGGGAAGCTGCTTAAGTCTCCGAGACCCTGGTCCCTGTAACCGCTCAACGGAACCCCAAAGCAACAAGGTTGGCCAATGAGACACAGTTGCAAAAGCCTATTGGGGAACTCGGGTGAGAATATATTTAACTTGGAGCTTTGCGGCGGAACATACACCTGGGTTTTGGAAAATTTGCAAGTGTCACTCGCTGAAGCATTGTATCGGGCTTGGCTTCGATTTTATGCGAGTCGGGCCTACGCATAATACACTGCACTTGTACTTGTATACAAGAGAGTGGAGTTTACTTGATTTGCCACATGCTCTGACTTGGCTTGCTCGAAGACCTTGTGAGCTCCACGAGGTTTAATTCAAAACGCCTATATCACTAATCCAAGAGAGATCGAGAAGATCCACCGCTCAAGAAATCTATGAAGTCAACACAACCCCTGTGTCCTTTCTGCTTGGCAAAGTCCTTCGCACTTTGACACTCCTTCTCGCTGAAGCCAAAAGGCAGCACCGCGTTCCAGAGTAAACAAAGGATATCGATGCACCCACTTTCGGCCGCCGCCTCGAATGCTGTTCGACCTCCTACTTTAGATTTTGCCATGTGTGGATCAGCATAGTTGTCAAGCAGCAACCTGACGATCTTCAGGCTCCCGGTCTTGGCTGCCATTTGCAAAGCTGTTCCGCCGTCTCTTTCGGCCGCTGCGCTGTTGACGTTTGCTCCTCTCTGGAGGAGAAACTCCACCATCTTGTAACTGCCTGTCTCGCACGCCGCTTGTAAAGGTGTGCGTTTGACGCCACGCCGCGCTGGCATGTTAATATCCGCCCCGTGTTCAAGAAGGAGGCTCATCATCGTTGCATTCCTCATTTTGATGGCAAGAACCAATGGTGTTTCCAGGACGGAAATTACACCATTTTCGCTAGACATCTCGCGTTCACTGACGATGTAATCTGGTTTGGCGCCTCCATTCAGCAACTTTCGCACCAGCTCATTACACCGGCCTTTGTGATGGTTGATTGCGAAACCCAATACCCTCTGGTTGTTCATGGGCCCGTCATCGTCGATCGGCAGGAGTGCGCGTCTTTTGCACCAGCCGTTCACGTCTGCTCCGACCCCTAGCAAAGAATCGACTAGGAAAAGGTCGTCTAGCTCGATCGCCTTGGCAAGAAGGGAACCACCAAAATTTGGCAGACCGTGGGGATGATGTGACTTGAACTCGGACAGCAAGACCTTGTATCCGGCTGGGTCATGGCCCATTGCGTAGGTGAATGCAGAGAGGTCTGCCGGGTCCGCGCCCTTGGACACCAGAAAGCGGGCCATGTCATGATCACCAATCTCCAACGCTGCCCTAAGAGGAGTTACTGCACCTGGACCGACGGCATGCCCTTTAGGGTTGGCTCCTAAATCTAGGAGCTGGTGAACGAGAGTCCTGTTCCGAGATCTGACGGCTGCTCCCAGCGCCGTCATCTCCACCCCATCGTCGATATGGGCGCCCAGACGTATCAAGTCTTTGATTACTTCAACCCCACACCATGATCCCGCAACCTCGAGGGCAAATTTCTCATCGTTAATCATGTAAAGTCCGCGATAGTAGACATCGGACTCTAGCATGGAATCCACGGCTCGCTTGTTGCGTCGCTCCAGAGCATTGACAAACGGATTTCCGTACCTCCGTCGGCAACTGAGTGGACTGGCTCCAGCGTCTAAGAGAATGAGCGCCGCATCAGTTTCGTCGTTTCGGATGGCGACCGCTAATGCTAGAGTCAAAGTCGCGCCTTCGTAAGATCTACACCCGTGCTCAAGTATCTTCTTTAAATATGAGGTGTTGCCGACTTCAGCTGCGGCAAAAATGGCAGCTTGAAAATGATGTTCATCGGCAAGGCGGGTAAGCCCTCCAAGCCTCTCGAACGTTCGGATTAGGTGGTCGTTTCTGGCTCGGATGGCTTCCGCAAGAGGAGTCCTGATCGGGGTGACCACGTATTCGAAAGGGGCACCCGAACTCATTGGGCGATCGTATCCATTCTCGTCATACATGCCATTGTACACATGCCCCCACCGATCCCTGGAGTATTTAATGTCGTCCAATGACTCCACCTGGTCATCCACGTGTGCGCCCCTATCCAGGAGAAACTGAACCAGCTGGCCACTAGCACCTCTAACAGCTGCCGCCAAGGCTGACTGTAGTTGTCCGGTATACTGGACAAGGAACTCGCTAAGCTTGAAGTTTGACCGTCGTGCGGCATGGCAAAGCATTTTTTCGACCAGTCTAGGATTCTCCGATATGCATTTGCCGCAGTTCGTTGACTCGAAACAGTCGGCAAATATGCGCCGTACGAACCTATCTGCCGCTCCGTTTTCCAGGTAATGGATCATGCTGATGAGAAGCCATTGGCTTTCAAAGCAGGCCTGGTGGTCCCTTGCTGGAATTCGGGAGACCAGCTCTTCAGCAATCGCCGTGTGGCCGGGGCCTGGGCGCATCGCATTCTCGGCCAAGTCCATGCGGACTTCTGCACCACAATCGAGAAGCAACCTCAATAGGTCAATATCCACCGGTTCTGGCTCGCCCGCCGGTGAGGGTCGGTAGGGATGTTCACTGCCGTTCACCCAATGACCCAGGGCAAGTGCGAGTGCACCTTTCTCCCAGTACCTCTTCTGTTCCTGTCGATATGTCTTGTTGGGATCTGCGCGGGAAGCTACAAGCGTCCGAACAAGCTCTGTATCTCGGAGCTTGGCAGCCAGCTCGATTGGCGTATAGTCTCTGCCTTCAAAATCGCACACGATCTCATTTGGGTCGATAGCGATCCTGGGATTGGACTTGGTGTGATGAATGATTGTCGCGACGGCGTTGGCATCGCAGCCTTCGACAGCAGCTCGAAAAAGGTTGTCTGCCAGCGGTTTTGCGACACCGGGCCGGCCACTTTTGATGAGTTCAAACAGTGGGGTGCGTATGTCATGTTGGTGCCTGAGGAGCTGCATCAGGGACTTCCGGGGAACGTCGCGGAGGCCAGCGAAGTTGTTTGTGAATGAATAAACCAAAGTCTTGAAAAGACTTGAAGACGAGGAAACGGTTTCAACGCTTAGCGTCATGCCAGAAAGTTCGCATGGTGTTGTTTCAGTCTCCGGCAGCAAGGATTCCAAACTCTCCATCACATCTTCAACATCAGGCATCTCCATTTTCGTGGAAGTGCCTGTTTGGTGCAATTGTGTCATTTTTCCATGCTGGACTAGAGACTCAATGAGGTTTCTCGCGTCTTCTAAGTGGCTGTGTGCTCCTGTAACAGATACAGCTCCTCCGAGGACTGGTTCTTGGTGACTCTTCCCAGGGGCGGTATTCTCCTGACTAGACGAGCCAACAGAAGTCTCGAGGAGGAATTGTGGAAAGTCGAATGGCGCATTGAGGATACTAGAGCCCAATGGCAGGCCCAAGAGAGAAGCATCGTCGACACCAAGGATTGGACTTTGGGCTAGGCTGGGAGATCCAAAATAAGGCATTGGAACGGTCAAGAATTCATCGAAGTTGAAAGGTGGGCTGAACGGACGATAGAGTGGGTTGCAGTCATGGGGCGATGGTACAAGGCCATTGATTCCCTGATCATGTGCCACAGCTAGATTTGGGTCTCTTTCATGGACTTTGAGACGATCTTGGATCTCAGAGTGGTTGTTGATCGGAGAAGTGGACCCGGGAGCGTGGCTGGACTTTTGCAAGATCAGGGCTTTCGACTCCTTGGCTTGGATGCTGGAGTGTCTGCGCCATTCTCCGGATTCATCAAGAAATTCGACTTGAGCTTGGCGAGAAGCCGGCAAAGTGCAATCTGAATTGGAGTCAGCCCGACTGCAATTCCTATGACACATAGAGCTACTAGTATGCACTCACCTCCACACAAGGTGCCCCGTGACCTGTTGTATCGTGGCCGATAGCGCCGCCGAGCTCTGTCAATCTTGTTCTTGCTGAGAACCGAACCAGACATGGTGATCCGCACATCACTCTTGGTCTGGCAAAGGATGTCATACTGTGAAATGAGAGCAGCCCATTCGCTGCTTTTGAGGTTCTTGGCAAATCCCCATTTCTTGAACTGCAACTCATATTGGGAGGGACTGATAGCAAGCTTCAATGATGACATTCTATTCCACACTGCATTCAAAGGATGTGGGGCTTGAGAGGTTACCTGGCGAAGAACCCATGTCTTTCTTTCATCAACTTGATGACATTTGGGTCGTTTTCCTTGCCTTTCCTGCTCTGTAGAGGGAGCTTTTCGACGCAGTACATATCCTTAAGGATAACTTTATGCCGTTCCCATTCGTGTTCAGGTACTGACTGAAGAGTGGCCATTTTCATGGTTTGCGCTCGCTGTCACGATATATTCAGAAAGCTTTAGGACAACTGGTTGGGAGCGGACACTTATTCGCATGCATCAATTGCGGGCCCATGAGGAGGAAGGATGCTAGAGTGTCAGCTTTATACATGGGGAGCTGAGGACGGAGTCCCTGCCTCTGATAACAATACATTCAAGAAGAGCCGAGACCCGAATGTGCATTTTCAATTGTCGGGCACATTTGGTTGCTCGTCCACACCAAAGATTGAGCAGTGGCTGTGGAATGCATGCTTACAGCTGAATGCTCGAGTCGTCAAGCAAGCTCTCAAAAGATTGGCCCGCTCATGCTCTCACCGGCCCACCCTCTTCGACGCACCTACACTTCTTTGGTCTCCCGCAGAACAACCCGAGTCACTCTTGGGTAACACAAAGAGATCACTGGTCGAAACCTTTGCATGAGCCGGAATTCTTTGCCGGCCAAACCCCGCGACCAAAATCGGTGCCCGAAATCTGTGCCAGAACCTGTTGCCATTTTCTGTGGCCAGACTGATTAACCATCATTTGTGGCTTAATACCAAGCTTGGTTCACAAGTGAAAAGCCAACGCACACACTCGGAGTTGTAGGACCCCGTCGCTCTGTTCAGGTCGAGAACACGATCACTAGAAATGAGTCATTGGAATTAGAACACAGAATGAGTATTCTGATGGGTTAAACTTGAACAGAAAACTCCTGTCCGTTTCCATTGCACTACTATCCCACATCTCTCCTTCTCTTTCTTCTCACGGTCGGCCATGCTACTCTGAGACCGAGAGCTACGTGTATGACCATGGTTGAGAGCCTGACCACCATGCAATACCATTCTCTATCAGAACATCGTCATCAATGTCAATGAAGTATCCTAGCTGCACAAACCTTTCCTTGCAATTCTCATACAATTCCACCAATGGCTTGAAATTCTCCCTGCCAGGTGCGAGTTCGAGAGCCCGTTGGGCCGCCTTATACCCAACACCCAGGGGCCGAACCGTGAAGCGTGTACCGTTGTGCACGAAAATCTCTCGAGCAACACAGTGGTGCATGTCCATCTCCAGACGAGTGGGAGGGCTCCAACCAGGGGCGCCGAACCACCTCGCAGCAGCAAGAGACATCTCGTACATCTGCATGAGATAGGCTGTGTAAGGAACATCGGAACGCACCAGGGGGGAGAATTTACTCCAGATTACCAATTGTTCCAGGAGCGACCGATAAGTCTTGCCCAGAATGTCGTTGACGAAAGCCGTGCGATCGCTGGCTTTGTTCTTGACGCCAGCCCACACATCTGGGTCTCTCACTATTCCCTTGCACATGTCTAGAGCCTTGTAAATGGGAATGATACTGTGCCAATACCCACCAATACCTTTTTGGCTTAGCAAGAGCAAGTCTTCTATGTCGTTGAGAAGCTCGTCAGGGTCCGGGATGAATTTAGATTTCATGTCCTTGACGGCGGTGGCGGCGAGTGCTTCGCCCAGGCCAACGCAGGAACCCTGCAGTGAGACGCTGAAAAAACCGTGGAGACGTTTTCGGTAAGGTTGAAGGACCTGCTCATGGATCTTCTCTCTGGATAGGTATTCGGGCGCGACGTTCTCATGGTGGAAGTTTGTCGTGAATGCCAGCGTGTGACGAGTCGCCGCACACACCTGGGGGCGGAGGGAGAGGGCAGTGTCTCCCATGATCGCACGACAGAAGGTTTCAACGTCCCTTCCGTAGAGGACAAACTCCGATTTGGGAGGACAGTTCGAGTTGCCTCTGTAGTGATGATACACTGAGTATCAATTAGTGGAATGTTCACCCAATTCAGAGGTCTATGAAACTAAATCATGGCCCGGGAAAGTCATGATGAGAGCATTGTTGACCAGAATTACTTACAGTTGTGAGTCATGATACAGAGGTTGCTGTACTTAGGATCGAGCAAGCTCAGCTGGCTGGCACATAGCCGCCGAGAAAGATCGATGTTGGTGGTGGTGACCTTCACAAGGCGAGCACGACGAAGGATGATTTCTTTGGCTTCAGCGAAAGTCTGGCGATTTGCCAGGAGAATGTTTGTGTCGATCTTTTGCGTTTTATGGAGGAATGACATAGCGTATTGGTGGAAAGGAGGGGCCATATGGCCTTCTTGCGCTGCCTCATCGTCTTCCTCATCCAAGTCCCGCTCAATCGAGTCGACTTCATGCACCGCGCGATCCCAAAGGCATTCGAGGCTTGGATTCGGTAAATCGAGCAGGACATCGGCGTAAATTTGATCGCGTATCTCCCGAGGGCATTCTAGTAGACGGCATAGCTGGCCGTCGCCTGGAAGTTGTGTCGCCATAACTGACTAGCTGTGGTTGGGAGGACAGGAAGGTCGTGGTGTGGAAAAGTAGTTGATTTGAGGGTGATACAGATCAATTGCAATGAATATAAGCCATGTGCGCAGGCCAAGCTAAAAAGACTACAGAACAGCAACAACCATAGCTCGAGCTTAGTATATTTAGTTGAGGGGCTTCTGAGCGGCAGTTATGGGGCCGTCACTACCTACGCAATCACACACATATTACATGCAGTGACTAATTGCCTGGCTTCAAAGTTTAGTGGACGCTAACTGCATACTATGGAATTTGCACTTGCGTAATTGACCTAGAAGGTAGCATACATAAGCAAAATGATTATAGTCTCAGGGTTAAAAACTCTGGGTACTAGCTTCCATATAGTACCTCAGCATTAGAAAGGCAATACACACCACAAAACCCGTTTTAGCTTACATGAGAATGCGAGAAGCGAGGATTTGGAACTACTTGGACCCGTTTGACTGCAAAATGGACGTCATTGCTGGACAGAGGACTATTGAGTGTGATAAACTTGTAGGCAAGCTTTGTTCCAGTCACGACGAAGATTCTCCAAGACAGGCATCTTTCGATAGTATTATCCGAAGCACTGTCTGCATAGAAGTAGTCCATAGAACAGTTGAGCGTTTCTTTGATGCAAATGGATATCCGCACATGTACCTGGTGACTAGGACCTCAAGATGTTGCCGGACCTGATTTTCTCGGCCATGTCGTTCATGAAATCACGATCGGGCTCCACGGATGAATGCGCGGAAATCCAAAAATCCTCACAGCCGCGAAGCACCTTCTGGTATATTTGGAACAAGTACTTGTGGCTGGGAACGGTCATGGATACATGCGCTGGGCCAGCCCGCAGCCTGGCCTCGGGATCCACCATAACCAAGCAGTGACTGATATTGGGGTCCAGGGTTGGTGTATCGCAGCGGACTGGATCCAATACGAAAAGCCCACGACAGAACCGACTGAGATCATCCTTTCGTATGATGTAGCTGATGTCGTCATGGCCCTGCCATGATTCTGACAGATAATTTTCGTCCACTGCGAAAGCAGTCAGTCCTCCTTGTTTGCGTTTTTACACTTGAACCCGAACGATGAGATAGTAAGGCTATATGGAGAGAGAAACTTACTGATGTGCTTCAAAAGACAGAAATGCCTATATCTTGTGTGGAACGTTGGAATCCGGTCTTCCATGGCGGCTCCTGTGCGAAGGTCTTGGTGTTTACCACCACATGTGATAACTTGGACCAGCTGTGCCCCAATGATGACGTTCCGTGCTTCCTGGAATACGTGGCGACTGGTGAGAAGGATGTTGGTATGGATTGGAGTGCCGACATCGATATCGAGACTCGCTTTGCGCTGGGAGATATCGGTGGTGTGTGCGGACGCAAAGAGTACGTGCACATAGACCATATCTCGGATCTCCGGGGGAAGCTCTAGGAGGCGGAAGGACTGCTTGGCAGTCTCTGAGTCCATGATCATGAGTTTGTACGTGCGAATGTTCAGTCTGAAGATGGAGGGTTAGAGGTACGGTGAGGTAAGGGAGTTGATATTTCTGACTTGACAATTTCCAAGGTGTGTTGGAGATGTCTATTTCTGATATAAATGGGAAAAGGTTGAAAATCTATCACGGTCTGTATGGAGCTTCATTTCACTTTCAATTCCATTCAATTTTGAGTAGCGCTTCGTTAGGGCTTCAATGGACGGTCAGGGGGTGAAATTGCAAGTTAATGCTACTTGTTACCGTCAACTCTAGCAGCAAATTTGCACTTCACAAGGATGAACATAATTCACTCAGATGCAATTTATTTTGTTCATAATGTTCATTTTATTTGACACATGTGACATTTACTTCTCCATCATGGTCATCTAGTGATGTTAAACCCCCCCCCCCCCCTCTCTGCTGCCAACATTCGGAGGAGGCAGGTTGGATGAGGGTGTAAATGCCGGACTGAGCTTTAATGTATGAGTTCCAGGTTGAATAGGCTCATCTGGGCTAGGAGAAGGACTTGGGAATGTTGCCCACTTGGGGCCGTGCCAGTGATGAAGTATTTTAGCACGCAGCATCCGCATTTGAAACACCAAGTTCGTATGGCAAAAGGGTATTTGCGACCGTAAAAAATTTCTACTTTGAATCTTTTTTGTCCAGCTACTTCAGTGCTTGTAAATGTCAGCCCACTTTATTGCTTGTTGTTAAAGAAGATGGGTTTGTGATTGCCACACTTTTGGGAGGCACCCGTCTAACGCAAGATGAAATGGCACTTAGCCTGGTTCTAAAGACATTCACTGCAGCAGGACTTGCAGGCACTTATCTTCCCTCCAGCTTTTGGTGAGCTCCACTCAGCATCATGTTTACATCCCATACCACCTGTACAAACGACACTCCCAGAAGTTACCGCAAGAAACGGTCAACGAGACTTGTTAAGCTGTTGCAACATCTTAAGCATTATGGCGGCGCCCGATTCATACCTAAGGAAGCTCAAGCAGCTTCTTCTTACACTGCAAGAAGGCGACCTTCAGCATGAGGGCCTCAATCTAGGTGACAGTATGGAGCAAGCTTCGCAATAGCTGCATCTTAACTCTGAGTCTACCGGAGGATACAATAGCTCGCAAGACGCCCAAATTCCTCCCATCGCCTTGGACAGCGAGCCTGGACGAGGAATTGGTGTCATTGCGACGCGTCTCATCCCCGCCGGTAGCATCATTCTTAAGGAGGAAGCCATTTTGACCGTGCCAGATTTCCCAGACAAAGCCATAACACCAGACATCATCACAAACCTTGTGGAGAAATACACCAACCTACCTCCTGCAATGCGCCAGCAAATTCTAGGCCTATATGCACACACCCGTCCAGTACAGGACAGGACCATACGCAGCTTTCTCATTGCCGGCGATAGTGACTTCAACCTCACGGGACCACAAGTCGACTTCATCCTTCGTCTGCATTCGAGTTTTGCCACCAATGCGTTCGAGAAAACCACTCCATTGACCAGCTCACTATACCTCGGGGCTAGTCGTTTCAACCACTCCTGCCTCCCCAACTGCGACTCCGATCACACGCTGGAGGGCAGCTTGACTACGATCACAGTCTGCTCTAGTCGCGATATCCAGCCGGACGAGGAGATTACTATTTCCTACCTGAACATCTACGACCCCCGCGACCAACGACAAGCTTGTACAAGGCTCCTCTGGGGATTTTCGTGCAACTGTCCCGCTTGCGACACGGCCGATCCCACAGTGGACACTGTTGTGCATGAACAGAGGCTGGCCGAATACCTTCAACTGAAACAAGACTCGTATCTCAAAATGTCCGCGAGTGCCAGGGCAAATGTAATGTCCCTCAAGGACCTCGATGAGGTGCTTAGCCGGTCGACTCAGCGAGCTCAGATCGCTGAGACGCTGGGAGACAACTACAATGTGTTGCGGGAGTAAGTCTTTCCTCTCCGTATATGCCCTCCGTGTCGTGATACTGTATGTCGCTGACCTCTTGTCCATCACTTTCGTTAGGCATCTGCTTTCAGCTGGCGTTTGCGAAAGAAAATGGCTGCTGACCGGTGATGAGGAACATGTGAAGAGTCGCATCAGGTTTTTGGAGCTGGGTTGGCCCATGACAAGCCTTGTACCGCCCTCAAGCTCAAGTCAGCGCATGAAGGAGGGCTTGGCAAACTCACTGCGTGCAGCAAACAAGTTGAAGAGCATCTTATGAAGAGCCATGTCATCGCCTCTGGTCACAGACTGAAGGAGATCTCAAATGTGGCTTGACAAGAATTACAGAATGCACGAATTCGGCGGGAAGAGTAGAGCTAGTTAGGATCTCGACTCATGGTGATTGGGAGGCTAATGGAAAGTTTTCCCCTCGGTGTGCAATTTAATTGGGGGATATTGGATCGGACCGCCAGAATGAGCACAACATTGAGTTCTTCCTTGCAAAAAACTATTGGGACGGCGTCGAGACGAAGGAAAAAAAATTACACAATGAGTATTAATACTAGGTGGCCTTAGTGGCACAAAAATAGGCTCTAAGGTGAAGTGTTTCTGTGTGAGCAGCCGGGAGCCGTGTTAGTGTGGATGTGGGCACGGACCACCAGATGGCAAAACCACCAATTTTCTCTCCCTTGAATAAATTTTCACTGGCACAGGAATTTCCACAGAACTCACCCCCAGAACAACGCCAGATAAACGAACCATGGAGCGCCCCAGACCGTCTACATATACTGTGCCTACGAGTGAAGAGGAGGACGTTTCCCTTTTTATCTCGGAAGCGAGCTGCGAAGCTGAAGGCCTTCACCTCGTGACATGGAGCTCGGCATTCCTCCTCTCCAAGGAGCTGCATAAGCTGCAGATCGACCGGACACAACTCAAAGATCCCGTCACCGGATACTCAATCCTTGAGCTTGGTGCAGGCACTGGACTTACTGGTGTCGCCGCCGCGGCAGTCTGGGGTGGTAGTGCCCTGCTGACAGACTTGCCCACCATCGTCCCGGGCGTGCAAGTGAACGCTGACCTCAACAAGGACGCTGTAACGGCCAACGGCGGCAGAGTCGCATGTGGAACGCTTGACTGGAACAGCCCGGATAGGATATATATACATACGCCGTCTGACAAGGATGAGTCGCCGACAATCGAGGTCAACGACGAGACTGCATTTCCCGTCATTATCACAGCGGATACCATGTACACGGAGGACCACCCTCGTCTGGTGAGCCAGACAATTCTGAAGTGTCTACGGAGGACCAAAGATGCCCGTGCGGTGGTCATGTATGCAATGAGGATTGCATATATCGACCACATCAGGGAATTCTGGGAGCTGATGGAGGAGGGAGGCCTGGTTGCCGTGCAAGAGGGCCGGGCAGAAATCGACCTCAAGGACTGGGACGACGAAAAGCTTCACGAGTGGTGCGTGTGGAAATGGAAGGATCTATGAGGCTCGACTTGTGTCTCGGCAAAGTCAAGACGGGCCCCCGTTATTGGAGAGAAAGCGACCGCTCGCCCGATGACTGCACATGCGCGATGCCGACCGCCAAGCTGGCCATTCGAAGTCCGAGTGTCGTCGGTGCGGAGGAATGCGGAGCGGCCTCATGCCCCGAACTCGGCGGGATCGTCGACCCCGAACCGGGCGGAAGAGGACTTAGCCGGTACAGCCATGCCGGAGCAAATCCCGACAACGCAAGTCGGAGAGTTGTCGTGGTGTATTACTTTAAGTACTTCAGTGTGGCTGGCTGCTCTTGTTTTTCTGATTTCAACTTTTCTGGACGACCTGAAAGGAATATTCCACCATGGCCGCATCATCACAACAAATCGTCAGCATAGCCATCATCGGCTCGGGCTTAATAGGCCCGAGACACGCAAGAGCGGTGATACAGGACCCAAGTGCATCGCTTCACTGCATCGTTGATCCGAGTCCAGCAGCGGCGTCAGTTGCAGGCGAGCTGGGAACAAGCTACTATCCCTCCATTTCCCAAATGCTCGCATCCTCGTCCGGCAAGCCTGATGCAGCCATAGTTTGCACGCCAAACAAAACACACGTCGCCCTCTCGAGCGAGCTCCTCTCAGCAGGTATCCACGTCCTATGCGAGAAGCCTATATCCGTCGATATACCTTCCGGCGAATCTCTCGTGGCTTACGCCAGGGCACACCCCAGCCTCCATCTACTTGCCGGACATCACAGACGTTTCAACCCACACGTACTGGCAACGAAACGCATTCTAGGATCCGAGACGCATTCGCTTGGCCAAATCACAGCAATCTCCGGCCTATGGGCTCTATACAAACCGCCATCCTACTACGACCCTCCGACAGAATGGCGCCGCAGCGGCGAAAGCGGTGGCCCAGTGTGGATCAACCTGATCCATGAGATCGATATCTTACACTACCTCCTAGACAGCCGCATCATCCGCGTCGCTGCCTTTGAGACGCCCAAGCGCCGCGGCCACGATGCTGAGGAGGGAGGGGCGATACTGCTGCGCTTTGAAAACGGGGTGGTCGGGACCTTCCTACTCAGCGATACTATTGTGAGCCCGCATGCGTTCGAGATGGGCACTGGGGAGAACCCGGTCATTCCCAGGACTGGGAGGGACGTCTACCGGGTTTTCGGCACGGATGGCACGTTGAGCGTGCCTGACCTGAGGCGGAGCTTTTATAACTCGGACAGTGGCGTGGAGAAGTCCTGGAACAACGAGCTCAGCGAGGTCACGGAGACCCTGCAAGGCTGGCTGAGCGAGGAGGAGTGGGCCAAGGCGCCGTTTGAGTTGCAGGTCGCGCACTTTGTCCGGGTGATTAGGGGAATTGAGAAGCCGGTGTGTAGTGGAGAGGATGGGTTGGCTGCTGTAAGGGTTGCGGAGGCTGTGAGGGGGGCATTACAGACGGGTGGGGTGGTTGAAGTTGAGCGAGCAGACAGGAATATTGGAGGTCTAGCTCGTTTGTGATGCTGAGCTGGTTCACTCCCCTGTGTCCCCCTCGAACAATGTATCGAACGGAGATAAGGTTCACTTTTTAACTCGACTGGGGTTGGGATCAGAACGAAGCAATGATCTCGCTCGTTGTCTCCCCACTGGTCAGGAGCCCCTGGATCTCGTGGGCTGGAGTTGTGAGAAGCGCCAAGTCGGTCAAGCTTCGAGGCATCGTGTGAATGGTTTCTCTGGAGATTTCTTCACCTGGGAGTAATGACAGCGGATTAAGTGAAAGCGTTGAGGAAAACGGGCACTGGAGAGATCGTGGCGAAAGCTGCCACCACAGTAAAAGTGAAGGGTCCAAGAGGTAGGCGAGAGATTGAGAACCGGTCGGGAGCCTTGAAGAGAGTAGAAGTACGTTGGAACTAGGTCAGCTGCACTGGTTTGCATTCCATGGTGACAAAACCACGCTGAGGGCGTGGTCAGCTGAGTAACCCAGTGTGGTGACACACCCCTGAAAAGTGACCTCTTTGCTAAGAGTTAAGGCTAGTGACTGCAAGGCTGGGGCGGTTGGGCCTATACACACCCCTTCAGCCCCCCCCCCCCCCCCCCATCAATAAGCACATGCATCTGTCCTTGCTAACAGTTTCACAAGGCTGCGCCTCCCTCTGAGCCCATGACCTCCTGATCTATCAGTCAGCGTTTGCTTGCCCAGCCGATGATGCCGTTACAGAGAGCACTTTGGTCCTTTTATACTGTTGCGCTTCTGCGATTCTTCCTGCGTTGCCTGTGCTTATCTATGCTGCTGTAGTAGCTGATTTTACCCGACCCCGGTGGTGGTGGTGGTTATGCACAAGCTACACCCGACTCCAAGACATTCATGCGGTGGAAGGACCGGAGGCAGAGATTGCTGTTCCGATTCCAACTCGATTTGCAACGTTCAAGTCAGCCCAGACTTGGACCTGCATTTATTTATTTCCTTCTTCATGGGTTCTTTTCTGTGTTTGATCCACGACTACATCTGGACCACCGCACAAGTTTTGCCATGGTGAATACAGACGTGCCGGGTGTTGTCGCTCATTTTCTGTTTGCCCATAACAACACTGGAGCATGCCAGTGTCGTAGTATCGCTGTCTGAAGCTTGTTAGCCGAGGTAAAGAACTCAATGTGGAAGTGACGCCGGTTACGGTGAGTGCCTGGCGAGACATCAAGCAGCAAAAGTTACTCATGGGAGCGCCATACATGGAAGCGACCCAGGCCCTTTAATTCCTTTCCTGGACCTCAAGCCATGGTTCTCAGAGACGGTCAACACTCTTACAGGCGAAGAGCTTGGCGCTGCAATCCGGAATTTGTCGAGCCTGGTTCAAAACAGTCACCCAGCGCCCTCCATACGCGTCACGAATCCGTTAATGCTGGTCTGCCACCTCATCTCGAAATGTCTCCATTTGTAGACGGAATCTCTGACGATTGGTGGAATTGCCACATTGCTGTACCACATTGCGTTTGGTCAGCTGTCATCCGATGACAAGGCTCCGTCGAACGGACAATACTCATCATCGTGGGCGGCTTGACATTGACTTTCGCCGTTGACATGACTCAATAAAAGTACTGCATTTTGCAAATTTCTCAGTGCTCCAGACAGATTCAACCAGATAGGATACATGACTGCAATTGGAACGAGATCAGCATGAGAGCCTTAGGGGTTAACTGAGTTAAGCCCTGTTTGTAAGCTCATGTGTACTGGAGCTATACTGTATTTATGAGATGTTTCATTATAGGGCGAGGCTGCTTAGCTAGGTATCATATGTCCATCCACAATGAAAAATGAAACACTCACAGTCTTCTAATGGAAGCCAATTCTTCAAGCATCATCAGGATACGTTGGGTGCATTTATTTAATTGCTAATTCAACTAGTGTGACGACTCATTGCAATCCATGCTTGACTTACAGCTATTATCCACCAGCAGCCCCGATACCGGCGCCTGTATCCATGGCACGCCAACCGTCAAGTCAAGTTAGACTGCATCTTGAGCCCCAACGCTTAGTTTCCACCTTCTAGCAATAATTCTCTCAACGCTCGCTAATCCGATCATTGAATTCGCGAAGCATCAACCCAGAATTGTCAATCCCCGGAATTCACAGCTCGCCCTGCCGTTACCCCGCCGTCCCCGCCAAAGAATACCCGAGTCAAGATGGCGGCCGCTCAAGAAAAGGCGACTTACACTCACGGTCACCACTCCAGCGTAGTAAACAGCCACGCTAGGCGGACCGCACAAGATAGCGCCGCCTTCCTCCTGCCCCACCTCAAGCCTCACCACACCATCCTGGACATCGGCTGCGGCCCGGGCACAATCACCGCCGACCTTGCCGAGCTCGTGCCAGAGGGGAAAGTCACGGGCGTCGATGCCGTCGAGGCGGTCTTGGAGCGCGCGCGAGCCCACGTCGCAGGACGCAGTGGCATCACGAACTGCACCTTTGAGGTCGCAGACGCCAACGCTCTGCCCTACGCGGACGCCTCCTTCGACGTCGTGTTCTGCCACCAGGTCCTGCAGCATGTCCAGGACCCCGTGGGCATCCTCGGGGAGATGAAGCGGGTGGCTAAGCCGGGTGGTATCGTCGCGGCCCGTGAGGCCGACTACAAGAGCTTTGCGTGGTTCCCGGAGCCCAAGGGGCTGGACGAGTGGCTGGATGCGTATCGGAAAACGGCTAGGCTTTGTGGTGGAGAGCCTGACGCTGGGCGTCACGTCCGACATGTAAGAGAACCCTTGGACCGCCTAGAACGCAAATGCTGACTGAGTTCGGTGGCAGTGGGCCAAGCAGGCTGGATACAAAACAGATGAGGCGCATCTGCAGAACGGGTTCAGCTCTTGGTACTACACAGGAGAGGCAGCAAAGGCGTTTGGCGGGAACTGGACGGACCGGGCCTTGAAGTCGGATTTTGCAAAGGAGTTTCTGAGACATGGCCTTGGCTCACAGCAAGATCTTGAGAGAATCAGCGCAACCTGGACACAGTGGGCAAGTGAGGAGGATAACTTCATCGTGATACCTAACGGAGAGATCCTTTACAATGTGCCTGCTTAAGAATTCTCAGTAGAAGACCAGAAACGTCGCTGAGTGTAGGTTCTGATATATTCGTGCCTTGGGGCAGAGTGGGATTAGATTCATGAGGAGTTTCCTGATCAATATTTCGGGTGGACAGGAGAGCAAATACAATCATAATACTTGTCTGCGGACATATGAATATCAATTGTGAAATAACCTTGTGTCTGGTAAAGTTGATTCCTGATCAGGTCTTGTCGGAAGTTATTTGAAGTCGTTAAGAGGCCCTGGCTGTAAATATTGCGGATCGTTTAATTTTTTTTATTTTTCCATGGTTTCCCCGGTCTTGCCACAATGCATTTCTAGGTCTTTTTTCCTTTTTGAGAAAATGGTTCATATCACAAATATTCTCGGTCTGAGTGCACTCGGTGGTGACACAAGTGTACCATAATAGATCCCGTGGAAGCGTGCGCCATTCGGCGACTGGAAATCAGGCTCTGGGTGGCAAATGCAGTCAGCTGTGACACGTTGGGCACCTCAGCCTGCATCTGTGTAGGCAACCACGTTTCCCGTGTGGATCGCCCCGCTTAACGCGGTGGATTTCGTGGTCACAACATTCGAGAGTCCAATGGGTATTTGCAACGCATTGCAAAATCTGGTCTTCACATAAGCATCTTCCACTGGAACGCCTACTCTCTACAATGTCCACAGAAGCTTACCACACAGCACCGGTGATGCCGCCCGGCCATCCTCTCTCCGTCAACCAGCCCTCAGGCAGGCCAACAAAAAATCCTGAAAATGCCTCAGTGCAACAGGAACCAAACACCAGCATTGCATTCAGCAGCTCAGCGCATCCCGATGATGACTGGACCAAGGTGTCCGATCTGGCTGAGCGCCGCCGAATACAGAACAGGGTCGCTCAGCGCAACTACCGTGCGCTCCCCCTTGTTGGTAACAACATCCCAGGATGTCTTGGGCACTAACATCATTCAACGTACAGGCGAAAAGCTCAAAGAAAGCCGGGTGGGCTTCGAGGGACATTCCGACGTTTTTAAGCCCGAAGACCGTCTGATCGACGAGATGTTGCTCCAGTTGACGGAGAAACGTGGCTGGCATAAGCTGCCGGAACAGGCCCAGCGCCAGATGCTCGCATATCCCTCAGACAAGAAATGGACATTGGTTTACCAAGACAGGCTTACAGAGTGACAAGGTGAACAGAAGAGACGAACTACTGTGAAGCCCGGACAATACCAAAGAGTCGATCTCACCGCTTCTGCTGCCGATCAGGAGAGCTCTAAACGGTACGCTAGGAAGGTCACGAATGACAGTCTCGACACCGCGGGACTGGGAAGCTTCGAGACGACGGCAGGAAAATCAACCATGGAGACCAAGCCAAATAAGGCAAAGGAGGCGGAGCAGAGAACTGACGAAGCAGAGTCTGAGGTCGATCTCACTTTGATATCGACCGCGAGTTCACTGGCTTCTCATGTTATGGATCGTGGGACTCAGACTACTGATTCTGAACCCGCCCCATCCGCGTCCTCGGCACCTTCACATCACAGCAACAGCCACGCAATGGTAGCCTCATTTGTGGAAATTCTTGTTTGCGACCCAACCATGGACAGCTTACTCGCTATTGCCACATCTGAACTCGGAATGACTTTAGCAGAATACTCAAAAGCTAATCCCAGCATTTACAACAGGCAGCTGAAGGAAGCAGCATAGACGTCCGTGAGAAATATTTCAGGGCGGCCAAATTTGTCCGGAATGCGAGGTATGAGGTCTCGAACTGGATTTGAAGAACAGAGAAGCCGACCTCGTTCCCCGTCATCAAAAACAACCAGTGTCAGAGGAGGATCATGATCCACCCAGCGACGATGAAAGCAATGAAAATGAGCTTGATTTCACGATAGGGGATCTGGAGGAATTCCTCCTCTCCGGAGAGCCTTTTCGACTCCTGAAGCGCAATCTGTGCCCTCTCGCCATTCCGGAGGAATTTCTTCGTTGCATTTACGAATCAACCCGGGAGTTCCTCAGCCTGGTTTTCACGGGCAGGCGTATAAATTCTTTCACTCGTGGAATACTTCCCGCAATCGCTAATGAACGAGACATTACATCAGATTTGAGTATCCAGATTCGTCTCATGGCTGCAGATCTCGAAAGAGAGTGTACGGATATGCCGCAGTTGGATGCGGCCTTTTTCCTCGAAACCTACTGGCAGTACATCTCGGTGGTAGCCATCGATCACGTCAAGGATACGTCTACAGCACCTATTCGAAATGCACACGGCTTTTCGCCGAATCATGAGAGAAGGTCAACTGAGAGGGTCCCGAATTTGAAGACCAAGGGCACTATGAAACATGACCCTTCAGCAGCCATTCCGCACAAAGACGTGTTGGAAAAGGTTGTGGCCGACGCGCTACCATCAGTTCTTTACGTCGACTTGCTGCCCCATCGGACATTCCTGGCCTCAACTTCAGCGTTCGCCTCCTTCATCGATGCTCTACGTGGTCTCGTATATCCAACTTCCTTCTCCGAGGCCACGAGATTCGTCAAGGCGACCGTTCTATCAGCCGAGAAGAGTGAAGACAGGCTGCTAGCGTCGGAGGGCCAACACGAGCTAGCTATCCTGTCGGAGATACAATCATGCCTCCCACAACGCAACAATCTGATCTCTTTCTCCATGAATTCATGTGAAACTCGAATTACAGCGCTGAACAGCGCGAAATTAGCAATCGAGGCCAGTACTGCTTCTGAGTGGGACTGGTGGCTGTTGCAGCCTCCGAGACATCCCGGAGACGCCGCCAGAGACGAATTGTCGTGGAAATGTGTATGTTCTTCCTTGCCATTAAGAGTCTTGAATCCCCCTTGGAAGAATTTGTGGCTGAGTCTGTGTCTAGTCATGTGGCACCAAAAGGCGCGAATCAACCCTGCCATATTATGCGAATGAGCTGAAGCGCATTTTCGACAATTTTCCCCTGTCTCCTGGTGGTAGTAGTGGGCATGTAGGTCGACCTTCAAGTTCTCTCAGCAACGCTAGCTCTCAAGGAGCCAGGGCACACGTCGATACATCTACGTTTTCCTTTTGATGAAAGCCTCTGATTACACGCTCGATACAATTGATGTGAACTCTATGAAGGCTCGGGATTTCTTTCAGGCACTGAGGGCAGCATAAATGAAGCACAGAGGTCTCTGGCGCCGGGCCTTTTCCGTGTTCGTGTACAATCACTGTGACTTTATAAAGGTAAGATCAAGGTCCTCTTCAGAAGGCTCTGGTAACTTGTGTCTCACAAAAGGTCCACCATACATAGATCATCAAGCCAGAGCCCGAGACATTCATGCCCGGCGAGCTGAAATTCGAGCTTCCCGCTGATCACGACGATGAGTATCACTGCCGACCAAGGCCCACACACGCGGCTCCGATCACCAAACACATGTTCAGACACTACTTCTACGGCTGTTACGACAGCGGCACTCTGAGGCATCGCCTTCACGCCTGGATGCCCCTGGCGCCCACATGTCGGATCCGCAACCCAGCCGCGGAGCTGCTGGGATTCGTCCCGAAGAGGGACAGGCCGGCCGCGGCCACAACTCGGTCGGACAAGGTCGAGGTGTGCTACGGCCTCGTGGCGCGGGAGTGCAGGTCCTTCTTCCGCGTCGTGCTGTACCTGTGCCTTATCATGGCGCCATCGGTCTGGTTCGTGTTTGCCTGGCTCTTTGTGTGGGGTGAGCTGGCTGAAATACGGCTTTGGATTTCTGTGTATCATTGATTTGTCGGAAAACCCACCCACGTGTACAAGGTGTGGTGGCCGAGATTAATCTTGCGCGCATTGGAAAGGTGGTGGAGGTCATCGTCTACGCCTCGTAGAACCTCGTAGGATACCTCCGACCACCAAACACGCTGGACGTCATTCATGGCATGTGAGCATCCAACCTTGACGAATGTGGACACCGGTGTGGCTTGTTTGAAGGACCGGTGCGGGCGGACTGAACTGAATAGGAAAAGTCTTCCTGCAGCTGTTGACGCTGCTTCCTTTTTTTTCCCCCCGTCTTTTTTTAGAATACCCACATTGAATTTTATTAACGTTGGGGGCGAAGGGGGCCGGCGGATGAGCTGGGTGTGACCTCTTGAAAATCTTACGAGCTTATGATCGATTAAAAGATTTTACTCAGTTTGTCGGTTGCAAGGAATAAAGTCAAAGCATATAGGCCCTGAGAAGTATTTCTCCTAGTGAATTCCTAAGAAATAGATGTACTCGGCGGGCCGCCAGAACGAACTGGGTAGATGGAAGCAAGAAGCTGGGGAGGCCGACGATGGCTGGCCAGATATTATCACAAGTACCTCAAAAAGGCTAGCTTTCCACTGCACGTGTGGCGTGTTTCTCACGGAGGATCCCGATTGGCATTCTAGAACGCCACTACGCACCACTTCAGTTAAGACAGTACCGAGGCCTATTTATGTCATAACAATCCCGTAGTGTCTTAATGCCTTGGGCTGAAATCGTGAGATTCAAGCCGCTTCACAAGCCGCTTCCGACTTCTGTCCCTTAATTGTGTCATTCACTGCAGAATCTTTAATTACAACCCACACAGTTCTGATCCAAGGAGTTGAAACATCATCAAACTCTATTCACTTTTCAATTTAACTACTAGAAGCCCGAACTCGAAGTTTACGTCATAAGCCACTGTCGTGCGATGGCCGACCCATCCCTTTCGCAGGAAAGTCTTAATGAATACATCGGCTGCAAGCTAATGGGTGCTGGTATCTCAATGCTGGTTATCATCACCATGGTGTATATCCTCTTCAACATTTCTCGATTTTACGTCGCCGAAAAGAACTATTGGGAAGTTTGGACTATTTACCCAGTGGCATATCTTGCCTCTATGGCGCTCTGCATTAGTGATATTGGTCAGTCTTGGATTGTCCCTCAACCCGCTCAACTTACCTTGACTGAGCCCCAGTTCATTCCAGTAATGGTGAAGATCGCAGGTGGCGGGCACCACATGGTGTATTTGGCAGAGAACAATCCCGACGTAATCGTGAATTGGATGAAAATCCAGACTGGAGATGAGATCATATACATGACTGCGGTCACACTACCCAAGATCGCCATTTGTATACTTTATCTTCGAGTATTTACGCAAAGAATTGTGCGGATACTCACGTGGATCACGCTCACAATCTGCATCCTTTACTGGTTCGGCGCTGGAATTCTGTCCGAATTTCTGATCTGCCACCCGTATGCCTACAGATGGGACTCATCAATCAAGGGTGGTTGGTGCGGTGACCTGCTCGCCGGGTATAAATTCGTCAGTGTTCCTAATCTGATTATTGACGTGGCTCTTATCGTCTTGCCGATCTCGAGCTTGTATCGACTACAAATCAGCTGGCCTCGGAAAATTGGTTTATTCATCACCTTCATGGCCGGATGCTTGTAAGTTGTGTCGCCCTGGTTTGACATTAAGTAAGCCCAGAATTTGACTGAAAAGTTTACGTCCAGAGGCATCGTCGGAGCCCTTATCCGCTTCATCGAGTTCTTCACGATAGACTTTTCTTCTCAATTACCGTATCGGGGTGTCTGGACCATGATTTATACTACGATGGAAGCGTGCGCTTGCTTTGTGTATTCATGTTTGCCAGGCACACGGCCTCTTATCCGTTGGTTCTACCGTGAATCTGGTCTTCGGGATATCATCCAGTCACACGACGGAAATAGGGACCGATCGTCAAACCACATCTACGAACTTCCACGATTCAGCAAGTCTCATAGACGTCGCTCGTCTACGAGGACTACTGGCCGCAAAGCTGTACAATATAAAAGCCAATACCACGACACGACAGGACTGATTCGCCCAGAGAAGGCACTTCATGTCGACACTACACCTAGGCCGGTTTTTCCAGGTTTATGAGATAGCAGGCATAGAGTCCGAATTGGAAGACCATATGGGGCCTCTACAGTTTAGATAGTCAAACCCAGCAGCGTTGGCGCGAGAAGAAGCATAGAAGTGTAAAGATGGCATCTTGACAATCTTTTGTAATGTATCGTATATTCTAAGTTTCCTAATACATTACACCATCACGAGGAAGCCATGTCCGAATGCCGCGACGTTTTCTGAATCTCAAAGCTTGGATTCAGGTCGTTTCGCCTCGCCGTACTTTCTGTGCACTCCAAGAGCAAGTACGAGCTGTCGCGCGAGACAAACCACTTCCACATCCTCATTGCAAATCGTAAGATCAACATCCATCCTCCCATCAAGCAGTGTCTTAGCTGTGGCCCGGGTGAAGGTGAAGCGCAGTCCCTCCATCGGCAGTCGGCGTTTGTACTCGATGTCCATACTAACTGTGATATCGGTAGTAGCTACTTTCATCACCTGAAGACTGTTAGTTCACGAGATGCTGACGCTATCTACCAAGGAAGCTTACCTCGGCGACGCTGTTGTTATTCCTGACTAGAGGCACGCCGGGGTTTTTCTTAGCCCTCTCCTCTGCCTTTCCCTGGAACACACGGGCATCGTACGGGCCACCGTTTCGCAGGAGAGTGTCCGACATCGAAGGCATAATTTGAGCCATCTCTGCTAGATAAGTGGAATCGATGCGCTAGTCTCTCATGAAGCCGTTCCAGGCATCGCAGACACCATTGTCTGGAAATCCGCCGCGTGGGTCCAGGACGAGGAGCCGGCCGGTCATTGGCAGGGTTTCTCCATCGTAACTCCTGGGACCCAGTGAATATCGGGCCTGTGATCAGGTACCGCTTCGAAGTCTGATTTGGGCAGAATGTCCAGGACTCAGATGCAGACACGGTCGGCCCAAGAGACTTGTCGAAGTTTGTTGAGGTTACAAGACCGATGACTTTGACTTTGTCGTGCTGACTGTGCAACTGCATGGCTTAGTGGTGCGAATGCGTAATGTGAAATGTGAAAGGTTGGCCATGACGTGGAGAAAGAATTTGATAGGAAAATCCTCCCATGCCCTTAGCACGCAAAGAGCTCATGACGGGGAGGAGATGGAAGGGTCAATACGGGAACTCTCACAGCAGCTGTAGTTGTAACGTGGTCACGGTACCACCGATCTTCAACGGAATGACCTTGATGATGCTATAGTCGTGGGTGGATGTACGGAGAAACTCAAGATGTAGATTGAGTACGTCTGGTTGGTTCACTTTGACCAGTACTGGATCAGTTCTCAGATACGTCTGCGCAGTAAGTTGAATGATGGCGGCGACACAACCACCCAGTAAAGCTGGGATCAGAAATAAAGACTTGTCAGCCAAACGCGAAACCATAATATCACGCGAACCACACAGCATCACGTAATAAACGACTCACTCGGTCCGATCCCCCAATCCGGGTGCCAGCCGGCAGCGAAGGTGTCGCTGGTAAGCTGGCGCAACCCGATCTGCTTTTCGAGAATGCTGCTCGTCATGGCGTGAGGGATGTGTCGAAGAAGTGTGAAGATCGAAAACTGCTGGGCGTCTTCAACTTTTAAAGGGACGTAAGGTTTTGGCTGTAGTAAGCCTGGTACGCCAAGCAAAGGATCTGACTTAGCCAACTTCCAACGGCCAGAATGCGATCTGGATTCGTTCTAGTGCAGTGTTCATCATTGGTGTTCAACGATGGCAACAGTAGGGATTTAAATACGACTTTGAACCAACAGGTATATTTGGGGTTATGAAATCACCTTTCTGCCACACCACCTTTGTCGTGCAGCATCATAACAGGCCTCCCTATGGAATCGACCTCCAGCTTTGCCAACAAGGATTCCAGAATCTGATTCTTTGGGTCTCCATCCCAAGCATCCGCAGCTTCGTCGCCCGTTGCATCCCTCGTGGCGCTCAAAGCGATGCAGCCTATGTCGTTATAATCAAAGACCGGAACCTCTAACCTCGCCAGATAGAAACAAGCCACAATTACGAAACCTAATCCGGCCACATTGACGACCATCCCAGCTATGATAAACTTGCGTGTCCCAATACGAACGGCCGGCATCGCCACCAGTGATTCTACTGGCTGTGTTGTGTTTAGGCTCGTCAACAAATAAGAATTCAAAGCGACAAGGGCGTCATCCATCATGGCGGAGACTGAGTCCTCCACTGCTTCCAGGATAGTCTCGTTTGAGAAACTGTCAACGGGTGCGAGCGGTGATTTGCGCGTGTGCATATTCCGGACGTTCCGCATGAAGGCGTCACCGACGGTGTTAGTATATAGGGAGGTGACGATGAAGCTTAGGCCTATGCTGCCGATTGCCTGCGAGCGGAGGTAATGATCCGGATCCAGAAGCCCGGTCACGGGCTCAGGGCGTGATGTTACATTGATGGTGTTGTTTTGCATGGAGACGTGAACGGTGAAGTGTTTCGGTTCGAAGTCGAGTTCACACTGGATGTTGTTCAACTGATGATAGTACGTGCCTGCGGCGATGCCGAAATAATACCCATTGTCGTTCTCAGGCTTTCGTGGCCCTCCGTTGAAAAGGCCGACTACTTTCTCTTTGTTTTCCCATGCAATCTGGGCGTAGTACATGTATTGGAGCGGCGCCGTCCAGTTCGAGTTCGGAAGGAGGCCTTTGGCCATAAACATATCTGGATATCCGTTCCCCCCGGTAGATGGTGACTTTGTCTCGATACTGTACGCCGCAGATTCGTTGTAAATGCACTTAGTTCGTGTAATGAAGCCTTTCTCGGTGTAGTTGTACCAAGTGGGAGTTCTCATGGCAATAATGTCTTGGTCGGTGAGGCCCACTCCGCCTCCGACTCCAAAGGAACGGCCAATGTAGGAATATCTCGAGTAATCCCATTTCGAGTGGTGTCTCTGGGCTTCGGAGGTTGAGGTTGCGCTTGCGATAGTACTGAGTAAGTCGGCGTTGTTGGTAAACAGGGGACAGTTGGTAAAGGTTCCATTAGTTTGTTGTTGTGTAACACAGTCTCTTGTGAGAGAGGCATTGTATCCTGCACCAGGGACTGCTACTTGTTAGCAATCACTGTTGTTCTCATTCATCTGAGTTGTTGGTTAGAGATTTATCGGATTTAATACTTACTCAAAATGCGAACGTTTTGCAACCGTTCCGTTAACCAAGGGGTCAATGCACCAGCCCACAGCGTCGCTGGAAGGAGTGTAAAAGTAAAGAATCCCAGAGCGGCAAGCGCCTTACTCCACGGAAGATCCCAATTTGTTGTAGCCAAGGATATGGCTGACCACAATCTGAGCGTGCTGAGCTTGACCGGGACCCCTGACAGGCGATACCTTGTCCATTGCGAAATGACTGTCCGAATCGAATATAGCCACAAAAAAGATAAGATTGATGATATTACTTGTATAACAACCTGAACTGCGCCCCGATTATTTATGGACCAGGTGAGGAGCTGCCCAGAGTATGTACGTTTGTTGATGTGGAGCAGAGCAATGTTGAGAGCTGCTGGCACCACAATCAAGATGGGGGCTACCTTGGGCCACCCATGTTATGGTGCGTGGTTGAGAACGAAGCGGAGGATGGTCAGTTGTAGTTGTAGCTACGGACTTGTAGGATTTCGACATGTTGAGGCCAGTGAAGCAAGGAATCGAGATAGCAGCGGAAGACTGGGACAAACTGATGCCATGCATGGCCAAGCAGTCGTTCTCACTCTGACTATATAAGCAGGCAGCAGCACGCAGCCAAGATTGCGGCAGGCAAGGCGACGAAGGTTGGGTCGCATGCTGACGGATTAGCCGCAGTCAGGAGGCCCAGCCGCCAGCATGCAACAAATAATACGCTTCAAAATATCCTCACAGCCCGCGAATGTCAAGGCAGAAACTGGGGTGAAGGCAGCCCTGTAAATGAATCCTCTCGTATTTTTTAAAACTATATTTGCCTTTTCCCATGACCACGCCCTACAGCTTTCCGGGTCAAGATCGCTGCCACGGTGTTGGAAATCGGGTTTAACGTCGGCAAAATCGGCCGATGTGTAAGGCAGCCTTTTTCGAACACCTCTGTAGTTTAGAATTCGTTCGCGCCCTTCTCGCCTCTGAGGGGGCCTCGGGAGGCAGCGATTGGACTGAGGCCCTGGCAGTCTGCCACCATTCTCCCCTTGCCTCTCTGACGTCTTGGGATCAAGGACGAGCATTTGTCGATGCCGGCACCGATGCAGAGAAAACAGAAGCATACCGGACTATTTGTCAAAGAATGATTCGAAAGTCGTTGACTAGACGTGTCTGAAACCTGTGCATTCGCTCACTGCAAGATCTGCCGGAGCTGGGCAGGCACATGCCGCCGCACGAAGTCAGAGGATTCGAAGGCTGGCAGACAACCCTGTGTGACGTGCATAAGCGCGTGCCTACGTGCAAGTCAGGGGCCCAATCCCAGACCACCCCAGAGAAACCCTAGCGAATCAATAACGTTGCGATGGCACAACGTGGTCCAATCTTCGTCTGTCCCAGAGGCACCTCCATCTGGGACTTTACATCCGTACAGATTCAATTGTCCCATCACTCGAACGTTGATGTGCTAGTGACAAGCTTTTACCAAGAGTCCCGTTCGTTGTACCTGAAGGTTAAAGTCAAATGTACCTGAAGAAGGATCCTAAAAGGTACAAAATTGAAGCACTTATAATACCTCAGAATCTTCCTTACGGTCTGAATTGTGACCCCGCATTTATTACACATAGCGCGGTTGGGTCAGACGCTGGGGCAGCGAGGCAGTGAATCCCGCTCCACACTCTGTGACGTAGACATCCACAGCGAGAACATGATTATTTGAAGTAGAGGTGTACCCGACGAACTCCTCTACATTCTTTGAATTTTGTTATTATCCGTTTTGCGTGAGGCTTTGGTCTTTTTTGGTATTTCAGCGGCCTGCATATGATCACATCTGCTCTTATGTACATCAACCCTTCAAAGGCCCATCACATCCACCGTCACGAGAAATTGTGAACGAGCCAGTTTCCTATTAGTAAATCAATGCCGTATGGCTTCAGAGATGGTGTATTCTCAGGCCGGCCCTTCAAATTGGCTGGGTCTAGCAGCTAACCAGGTTGAGCTGAGCCATCTGGAAGAAGTGGCCAATTCGGGGTACACCACATGGAGGAGTCCTGCCAGTCGAGATGGTGGCATTTCCAGTTGACGACTTTGCAAAGGTGGCCGTGGTATCCTGGCGATGGGACATTGACGCAGTGGATCACCCATCACGGAACCTTTACAGCACCATCCTTTACGCAAAGAAGGCGAAGCTGCGTCACTTATTCGTCGATGTCATCTCCATCGACCAAACCCTCAAGGGTGATGCCCTGCTGGAACAGGTCCGCCTCTTCACGGATTTATATCGAACCATTCCTGTCATTACTGCTTAAGACAAACCGAATTGCGACCTATTGAACAGTATGCGGCGCCCGTGGATCGCCAGCGAGATCACCGCGTTCAAGCACAATCCGACCTCCGTCGTCAACCTCCGCCATGACTCCAGGAGGCAGCCTCATGTGGAGTACCTGACTCCGACTCATGTAGAGGCCTAGCTGTCGTCCGGCCCCGACAAGGCCGTGATTGGCTTGGACCGACATCACGGGTTCCCGGGAAGAGCAGTCCTGATCTGGAAAGCCGGAATCGTCACATCGATTCTTCAATTACTTTTTGGCACGCTTCAGATGCAGAATATATTTGATTTCAAATACATTGTGCCTCTCCACGCACCCATGCTTGTTGCAGCAGAGAAGTGGTCTCGTTTTTAATCTGTATACATATGTTTCTTAAGCAATATGCATCCAGTCCCTTCATACAGTGATAAACGCTTAATCACCCAGCGTTAAAAAAAAAATACAATGTGGATAACAGTAGGTTTCGAACACAATTACAGCTTCTGGCTAAGAAAACAATGATAGCCTTGTGACAGCCGCACAGACGAGGCTAGCAAGAACCGCTTCTGGCGGCGGGTGATCATATAAGAATCTGCCGGTTGAGGATATACAATCCGCCCCCCCCCCCCCCCGGAACCGTGCAGCAGTCATCTGTTATTACTAATTTTTTTAATATAAAATAAAACACGGTAGTAGCTGCAAATTGTATGGGGATTGAGGAACAATCCCTTGATCTATCTGAGTTCATTCTGACCACATTCCTATCCGTATCTACCACACCAAAACCATTGTCTAGTTTCCAAAGGCTTGTTGAACTCCCAGTGAGACGAAGCGACAGCTGAACAGGTGCTTGTTGTCTAATGCAAAGCAGAAGTAGCAGAGAAATGAGAAACCAGAACGATTGGCCAACTTATTTCAAGCCTCCCAAATCAACTATCCTGCTTTCAGCACCTCCTGCCACGCTGGCAGGATACCCATCACACTATCTCATGAATTCTGTGGTGCCTTGTCAGGGACTCGTTTCTCCTCAGTCTCGGCAGCAGGGCTGATCACCCCCTGATCGACGGGCGTCTCCTCCTCCAAGCGGATGCGCCGGTCCTTGTTCCAGTACACGGCGGCAAATACCGCAGTCGCCAGGATCATGGTTCCGGCGATGCAGGCCCACATGACGACGAGGTCGGGGTTCCGCGCCGTCGGGGCGATGGCCAGGCAGATGAGCGCCCCCGCCCCCGGACAGCAGGAAGATGGCCTGGACGAGCGACTTCATGGACTCGGGGGCGGCGGCGTAGGCGTACTTGTACCCCGTCGAGACGGCCAGCACCTCGGACAGGCCGATGAGGAAGTAGGAGGGCAGCTGCAGCCAGACGCTGATGTCGTTGGGCCCGCCGCCGTCGCTGGCCGCGCACTGCGTCGGGTACTCGTAGCAGGGCCCCGCGCCGTAGATGAGCTTCTGCAGGGCCGCCTGGTAGGCCATCGCCAGGGCCAGGAAGACGCAGCCGACGGTGATGCGCGCCATCGGCCCGAAGGGGATGTGGTACCGCCCCGTCACGCCTGTCATGAACCATTGGACGATCGGCATCAGAAGGACTACCATGATCGGGTTGGCGAACCAGGTCAGGTCGTTTGGCAGGCCGTTGGTCTGCATCTGTCCCGCCTGGGCTATGAAGTTGCTCGTCATCTGGCCCACACAGACCCATATCACGATGAATATCAGGCTGTGTTTTCGTTAGTTTCCAAGTTCGGCACGTGGTTGCGAACAGAAGCAATGCTGTGGAACCAGGTCACTCACAGAACACGGCATATCTCGAGAACCTTTTGGACGCTCTCCATGTCCTCAACATCCTCGGCGCTGTCGTCTGCCTCGGACGTGTTCCGTTTTGATCTCATCCGTTGCTTCGCCAGCCGTGCAAAGGCCTTGCTCTTGTTCACCAAGTCGCTTTCTTTTGGGGTAGTCCGAACTGCAATGTGTTAGACATCACTGCGAGTTTGCTTGCGGAGAAACTGGACCTTGTTGCTGTTGATTATGACGTACTGAAGGCTTTGCGACCTATGATGAGCGCTGCCGGAGCAATCCATAATCCGCAAAGTGGTAGGAGGAAGGCGGCCCAGAACCCGTAGTGGAGCTCCAAGAACGTCGTGGCAACGCCCGATATCGACCCGAGATTAAGCCCCCTTTTTTTTGGATAATGTGAGCATGACAGAATGATTGGGCGTGGTATGGGCCCAGATGCACATACCAGTAATTTAAATTGTAGATGTATTGCAGAGTCAAATCTTTATCGGGCATGTACACTGTCCCGTCTTTTCGAGTAATCACAGCTTGCTTTGAACCGGTGTACTGGTCGCCTGGGAACAGTCTGGTCAGCTTCGCCTTGTCGGCGTCACACAGCATATCCATATGTCGCCGTCGAGATCTTACTCACCAATGAAAGCACTCACGACAGACTGAAACCCCCCAGAGCCGATGGCAATGAGTATCAGCGATACGACAAACCCAGCCGGTGCAGCACCGTAGTCTATAGCCGCTGGAGTTGATATGGCCACCAGGATGATGTTTCCGAGCATGTAAGTCCTGTCATGAGTCAGCGGGTGGCCGGCCCTTCAAACGATGGCGACACTCGACGAGGACCAGACTCACAGGGAGCATATAACCAGGAGCTTGTAACGCCCCATCCACCCATCAGCCGCTACTGCGCCGGCGAGTGACATGATGGTCTGGAAGCAGAAGTAGCCATTGACGACGGCCGTCGCGGCGGCCTGGCCGAGGCCAAGCACCCCAGGTCGCTCCTTGTCGCCAGACTGGTACGAGTTTTGGACAAAGTTTTCTTCCCACCGTCAGCGATACTGGAAGCTTTGGCATGCGAAGAGAGAGACCAGTTTATCTTCTTACGAAATGGGACCGTGAGACCGTAGTATGAGAACCTCTCTGCGACATTGACTATAATCGCGAAGTAGACACGCCACGGTATGTGGTCGATGCCAAGGGGGATTTTGCCGCCATCGACAGGCGAGTTCGTGGAGGCCATGATGCTGAGTTTGCAGTTATGAACTAGCAGCCATAAACAGGTAGGGATTGTGGGGCGAGAAGCTCCGGACTGTCCAGGCACCCCAGCTGTGCTTGTGTCTCGCTCGTCTCGTTCGACTTCAGCGGTGCTCGTGAGGGCTGGTTTACGACCGAGAGAGCCTAGCCCGGTAGCGGGAAGGATGGGAAGTTGCCGGCCACAGAAATCGATGTTGATGAAAAGAGAAGCGAGAAAACTGCCGGTGTGCCAGCTTGCGGCAGCGATTTAGCAAGGGGGGCTGGTGGCCTGCAGGTGAGCAGTGAAGTCGTCCCACGGTGCATATTGGTATAGAGGGGATATGCAACAATCCACAGTACCGGTACATCAAAGTAGCCGCCATGGTACCAAGGTACCGAGCCTGATCTGTGCGCTGCTGTCCCGTTCGAACCACCCTAATAACTAAGCTCGGTCCAAAACACCCGGGCTTGTCAACAATGGCTGCCAAGGGTCAGACGCGCCCTTCGGCCCCAACGCTGATCACGCCTTGCAGCCCAACGGCAGCTTCTCCATCACGCAGCTGGGCCAGGCCGTCAAAGCCGGACGATCTGCCTGCGGCACAGCTAAGAGCTTCCCGTGCCGCATGCAGCAATGGCCCAAGCAGGAAGGTGGGGAGTCGACGACCCATGCACAACGTCAGCTCGGTTCCCACGCCCAGGCGAGGTGCTGTAAGATTCACAGTTGTTGATCCGGAATCTCGACCGCATAGGGACTCGGGCTGTCAGGCCTTCACCGTCTTTGAGGCAAAGGTATGGGCCCTTGCTTGTTTTGCCTGTTTTCCCGCGAGCCCCGGCTGGCAGACTGTGACGTACTTTCATCCAGGCCCAATCGATGAGAGACAACCTGCCAGGGCTGCCTTGAACAGGCAGGCAGGTAACGGTGCTGGAGGCTCAGGGTGCCGCCTCAAGCCGCCATCCCCCGTCGTCACCCAAGCACGTGTTTCACAGAGCAAAAGCAGTGGCTGAGCCAAGGCCATCGTGCTCACGAGGCAGTAATCACGCTGCATATTCATTCATTCTTCTCGGATGCTGACAGCAGGCTCCACGACGGCAAACTCGTCCCTACCCGAGTCCAGCACCGCCATCGCGTCAAAAGGGAGCGTGACCATCGGCGTCGTGTGCCCAAAGTCCACGCCAAACAGGATGGGGAACGCATTGCCATTCTCGGCCAGGCGGCCCTCGCACAGGAGCTCCCTGATGACGCCCGCGTAGGCAGCCCTCGCCTCGGCCGAGTCGTAGCCGAACGGCCGCCCGACCACCAGCCCCGCGACCCCGTCGAAGACGCCCTGGGCGACCAGGTCCGAGATCCCGGCCCTGACGACGTGGGTCGGGTTCCCCGCCACAAACGTGTCGTTCAGCGCGGTCTCCAAGAAGACGACGCGCCCGCGCCAGTCCGGGACGAGGGCCGGGATGGCGCCCAGCCGGGCCATCACGGTCAGGCAGCCGCCGAAGAGCCGGCCGCGCCCCCTTCCCGGCCGGAGCCACACCCATGGGGGAGTAGGGGCAAGTGACGGGGGCTCTGTAGAGGCCGGGTCGCTGTAGACGAGGGCTGGCTCGGGTGCGTACTTTAGTGACCGCGGGACTGCGCCGATAGGCTCTGGGTTCATGATGGCACGGAACAGATTCTCGACGCAGAATCTTAGCGGCGAGGCCATATAGGCCTCGTCATCGGCAGGCCTGCTCTCACACAGCTCTGGTATGGCGCCGGGGCCATAGAAGGTGCGAAGCCCAGCAACGGCGTATAGGTACCAGTGCAGCTGCGTGATATCGGAATATCCGACAACGATCTTAGGGTCGGCGCGAATAGTTCGGTGTAGCTCGGTATCAGCAAGGAGGCTTGGGAGCAGCTCATTCAAAGAGTGCCCGCCAGTAGTGCAGATAATGGCCGCGATAGAAGGGTCTGAGAAGGCGGTGCGTATCTCGGACAGGCGGTTGGAGATGGATGACTGTATGCCCGAGTCCGGGGTAAAGATCTCGCGGACCTGGAAGCCCCTTTCTCTAAGCAGAGCCGTTGCTCGTGCCATGGCGGGCGCGAGCTCTATGTTGATCCGGGACGAGGGCGATATGAAGGCTATCGCGGCACCCGCGGCAAGTGCCCGCGGGAGTATAGGCGAGGGCATCTCGTGAGTGTGTGTTGTGAGTGCGAGTAGTGAGGCTGGTGCGACTCGTCTGGGAACGCTAGGGCATCATCGATGTGTTGCCCGCTCACGAAGAGTATTCCAGTATTCTCAGCAGTGGTGAAGGAGGGCCCGTCGAGGGGAGGAAGGAACTCGCTCCTAGTCAGTTGGTTGTCTGAGGTTTGCAGTTGGGCCGCTGCTTGTGCACTGCTACAAGTAACAAGTCCCGTCCCACGGGTGTTATGCCCCACAGGCCAGACACGGCGGTCGAGGCTGACGCAGGAAGAGCAACCTTGTTCACAGCCAAACATGGACCCACGTTGGCCTGGAACGTTGAACGCAGATTAGGAAGGCGGGGGCGGGGAGTTGTGGAGTGTGGAGGCGAGAGTGGAGAGGGAAAGATGTACAGTACACAGGTGCAATCCTTCGGCCGAGAAAGAGGAACGTACTCCGGGTGCGCCGAGGTGGTCAAATGGGACTTCCATTCCATGTACCGGCAGCCTATGATTCAAATTTCTCTCAAATTCACATTATTGTCTGCAGAGTTACAACCCTTCCCCCCTCATAAGCATAAGGGGAAAGATGTACTCCACACAGCTGGGAATGCATCTCACTCCACACCGCCCCAAAAAACTAATCCCTGTTTGGAGATATTCGGGTAGACGATAGAATATTCTTGCCATTCCACGTATCCCATTGCCGGAAGATATTCCAGGGTGATCTTCCAGGGTGATCCACCGGTTGTACCAAAGCCAACCAACCAGCTGTGGACGTCTGGGGCATATCACCCCGGAAGCCCCTTCACCAGGCTCACCAATCCGCTCTCTCCGGTCCCTGTCGTCACGCCATCTGCCACCTCCCCCTTCTCCCCCAAGGATTCCGCGTATCCGTCGCAGATCTTTGCCATTTCCACGTCCTTCTCAGAGATCCCGCCCGTGTCGTGCGTCGTCCAGCGGATGAAGACTTTGTTGTATGTCTGGGCGGCTCCACCGGTGTCAGCGCGATATGTGGGATGGAGTGAAGGGTGAGGCGGGGGATGAACATGCATTTGCCCATTCCGGATGATGCCGGTGCTCAGCCGCACTGGTGGCAACCAGATTCAGGAATTCCTAGCAGCCGTGAGTAAGAGGCCGGAGTCAGCATGCCGCTCTTCCCGGGGCCTGGGTATCATCTGGAGGGATTTCGACACGAGGGCGACAGGGGAGGCGGGACGGAGGGGGAGCGCAGCACACTTACCCATGTTTTCTTGAATGTTGGGAAGCGGAGCTGGGCCTCGAGGGCTCTGCCGTTTTCGCTTACCCGCCAGCGCTCCGACACGGGGTAGGTTGGCTGGTTCGACATGGCGGAGTTGCGGGTCAGGCCAAGGATCAAACGTCAATGTAAACAAATGAAGAGGCTCTGGCTTACCATACAAGGAGAATTAAAGAATTGCTAGCGAGTGACTGCAGTTATATTGTAGAGGCCCGGCCTGCCAATCGGTTGGCTCCAATGGGCATCTGACCGCGCCGCTACTGTACTTGCATTGTAGTACGAGTCCGATGCGTGAGTCCGATACTTGACACGTCGAGTTTGTCGTGACGAACAACACCAAGGACCAAATTGAATGTATACAGTTGGAACAAAAGGCTGGCACGCCAGATCCTTCGAGCCAATACGACTCTGACCATCTTGCATTCCTTCTTTTCGGCGTTTGAAGTCCGTCACCCTCTACGAAACCGCTCCACCAATAAGCGACAGCAGCACCCTCCTCCTTCTCCCAGGCGTCATCACTTCAACCTCGCGTCGATGGTGGCGTGCTCGACCGGGCTGTTAGACCAGATCCTGTGGACGCGGAATCCGCTCTCGTCGAGCAGCTCCCGCCAGTGCCGCTCGGTGCGCTCGATGCCCCCGATGGTCATCATGTTCAGGTCCTCCCAGGCCATCTCCCGGGCGGCGTTGGTGTCGGCGACGACCATGTCCGTGACGAGGAGGCGCGAGCGGGCCGGGTCCATGGCGGCGGCGACGTTGCGCAGGACCGTCCTGCAGGCGGCGTCGTCCCAGTTGTGCAGGCAGCGGCGGAGGTGATATACGTCGGCGCCTGTTGTGGTGGGAAACAAACATGCGAGAACGAGTTAGCGCCATCTCGTCTCCCCACACGTGCCTTTATTGTTGGTGCTGGGGACATGAGCAGGTTCAGGGAACGTATCACGCGTCTACGTACCGCGGACAGGCAGGGGCTCAAAGAAGGAGCCCTTTACCGGCTCGACCCACGGCGGCAGGCCAGCCTCGCGCGCGCTGTCGATCACCGGGGCGAGATCCACCAGGACGAGCCGGGCGCCCTGCAGCAGCGCGGGGTGGTCCCCGCGCATGTCGATCAGGGCCTGGCCCCGCCCTCCCCCGAGGTCCACAATGGTCAGATTGCCGCCGCCATCGCCCCCAGCAGCAGCAGCAGCAGCAGGGCTAGGGCGAGGGCTCAGCTCCTCGCCAAAGGGGAACGGCCCGGACGCCTTCCCCGTGGACAGGGCGGCGACGATCTCGCTCTGCATGCCGAGGTCGAAGACGCGGGAGCACTCCGGGTCCGCGTCGCGGAACTCCCACATGGGCAGGGCGGTGCGGCACCCGAGCATGAAGGCGCAGTCATCATAACTGCCGGCGTCGCGCCAGCCGCGGCCGCGCAGGAACTCGGGTAGGGCCACGATGGAGCGGGCGTTGTAGTCGAACATGAGGGACAGCAGGGCGCGGTTGGCGGGCGAGAGCATGGCCCGCGAGAGGGCGTTGTGCGCGTAGTGGAGCTCTGAGGCCTCGGCCAGCAGGGACGTGGACGTGCATGCTCGGAGGATCCGGCCTGGGGTACGGGGTAAGTCACGATGTAAGCGGGTTGGTTCGGTTTGAGCAAAAGGATCACCCTCCTCGAAGTGTGGTGTGAGAGGAAGGCAGGGGAGGAAGGCAAGGAAGGAAGACTGTTGGTGACTAGTTACAGCCCGTATACTCTACGTACTTAGCAGCATCTTGTCAGCGCCCACCTCGCTCGCGATGCTGTCCAGGCTGCGTGGACTGCCGTTCTCAGGCAGTGCGTCCGGGATCCCGAGGGCGATGGCACAACGGAGGGCGGTTGTCTGGGCCGGCTAACCAATCAAGGCCCCAGTCAGCCCAAGGACGTCAGCCGAGAAGCTTATGCTGGTGGGGATTTATGGGGCATGCATGCATGCATGCATGTATATACTGGAGTGGTTATGTATGTAGATACGTACCTGCTGGGCAATGGCAAAGACGCTTTCCTCTGGGCTGCGTGCGGCAAGAAGCAACTGCTCCGCGGCGGCAATAAGCTTTCGACGCGAGGCCTCAGACTTGAAGGGGAGGCAGTTGTTGTCTGCGGATGTGGGACATGGGGGCTGGACGGCTTCGTTGATGCGTTGGAGCAGGGGGTAGACGGCGTCTGGGTACGAAGGATTTAGAGACATTTTCTTTTTTCCCCCCTCGACACATACGAGATGTAGAATGTACTGAAAAAGCAGAAAATGTGTTCGATTGCAGGATTCCACGAGAAAATTCAGAGAGTCCTGCTCGCATATTATATAAATTACCGGTAGTACTTTACACTTGTCAAGGACCAGCTTACGTTGTCAGGTCTCACAAGCACGGCTCAATCCTGCCCGCACCTCATTCCTGGACTGCACACACACATGTGCACACATACACATCTCTGTCTACCATTGTCTGCATCTCTCCGGATATTGGTTGCATACAGTCTATCCAAGAGTTCCAATCCCTGCATAATTTCTCTCTCTCATTTCATCCAGGCCCTCGTCTCAAAATGGACACTTCGGCCCTGCTCGTGAAGCAGGCATCCCCAAGCCACGCACCCGTCGTCACCGTCTTCCACGCAAGCCCAAAGATCCAGTCCCTCTTCCCCACCTTCATCGACCAGGCCACCAGCGCCTCGTCGATGGAGGCGACGGTGCAGTCCCTGACAGCCGAGGTCGTCCGCGCCGCCAGGCAGCGCAGCCCCCAACACCTCGGGGCCGCCGCATCCGTCACACTCGTGCCCATCCTGCGCGGGGGGCTGCCCATGTACGCCGCCGCCTCGCAGCTGTTCCCCGCCTCGTCGTGCGTCCTCGTGCGCGGCTACCGCGCGAAGGAGGAGGGCGCGGCACCCCGGCTTGAGTGGCTGGGGCGGCGCCCGTTCCCCCTGGTGCCTGAGGGCGCCCATGTGGTCCTCCTTGATACTGTCGTCGCCACGGGCGGGACCATCCTTGCCATCTGTGACGAGCTCATGGCGCTCAGTGGGCCGGGCGAGAAGTACATCACCGTCTTGTCGTGCTATGTGTCGCCGATCGGGCTGGAGGCGGTGGCCAAGCACCCGCTGGTGCGCGAGATCGTCGTTGCGGCTGAGGCCGAGGGGGTGGACGAGAAGGGGTACACGGTGCCGTATCCGGGTGATATTGGAGATAAATTGTATGGAAAGGCGGCATCATGATAACATTGGCTAACGACCTGAGATACAACTTAAAGGGAGTAGACTACTGCGTTTCCATTCATCACCAACTTTAACTTTTGTGGCGCGTGTGTGTGTTTACAGGAGGTCCCAAAGATTGACCCTCTCCCCGTCCATCCAGTCCTCATACAGAATATTCGCCATGACTTTGCCCAACAACTCCTTCTCCTCCCCATCATCGTCACCACCGGCCCGCGCAATCAGCGTCTCACACACCAGCCGGTACGCCTCCTTGTGGGCCCGGTGCTTGATCGTGTTCCGCACCTCAAAGTACCCCCAGCTCCTGCTCTGCGCCAGCCACGCCGCCCGGCCCCGCGCCGACAGGCGCCCCAGCACGTCCTCCTCCGCGCCGGGCGGCCCGCCGCGGGTGAAGACGCGCTGCTCGATCTCGCTGGCCGGCAGCTCGTAGCTCTTGTTCTGTGCTAGCACCGCGAGCTCGGTCGCTGAGACGGGCTTGCTCAGCCGGAGCGCGCGCCCCGTCGACGGGTGCACGAGGGACCGCTCGCCGAGCAGGTAGTCCGCCAGCGCGCGGGCCAGAGCCGCCACCAGGCCCGCGTACGTCAGCTGCTGCTGCTGCTGCTGCGTGTCATCCGCGACGGCGTCCGTGTACAGCTTCGTCAGCAGCTCGCTGAAGACCAGGCCGTCCGACGCCCACGGCCCGGCCGCCGTGCGCATCCCGGGGCTGCGGACGAGCGCCGTCAGCCGCCGGGGGAGGCGCACCAGGTGGTCCTGGTACTTGTTGCCGTACAGCCCCTCGCAGAGGGTGGCGCAGCTGAGGTGCGCGAGGTCGTGCAGGTCCCACATGGGCGTCCGGGTGGCGAGGACGTCCGCCACAGGGTCACGCCCGGAGAAGTCTGCCTCCCGGACGACGACGTGGCGGGGCCCCGCGGCCGAGATGGCGTTGGGGGGCACGCAGGCCGTGGCCGAGTCGGCGGTGAGGCCGCCGCGCGTGACGTACGCGTGCACCGCGTAGTTGATGGCCCTGGTGCCCGCGGCGCCGTGGGGTCTGCTGAGGAAGAAGTCGATCGCGTCCGCCGTGGCCCGGTGCTGCTCCATCAGGAGGTGGCACCCGGAGTCGCCGCGGGCGTCGGCGCGGGACATGAAGTAGATGACGCCGTAGTGCTGCGCCATGAGGACGGCGCGCCATAGGTTTGGGTTCTGGGAGAGGGACCTGGACAGCAGGTCGTGGTTGGGCTCTTCCGAGGGGGCGATGCCGTCGAGGATCAGGCGGCAGCCCTCCAGGGCGAAGCCGAGGACTTCGTCTTTGATTTCATTGACTATGGACTGAATCCTGGTGGCATCGTTGAAGTGCGGATGGAGTGGTGAAAGGCCGTCGAGCCACTGGGTTGAGGGATCATAGGATGCGGGAAGACTGGAAAACAGTTTCAAGTCTGTTGGAGAGACTTTGGAACGGTAGGGTGGCGCTCCCTTTCCAAAGTCAGAGAAATAGGGCGTGTGCTTGTCGAAGTTATGGGCTGGTGTGACACCAAAGGCTGAGAAGGCCGTAGAAGACGCCATGCTGCAGGTAGAGCCTTTGTCAAACAAGATACGGACAAGTGTAAATTTGATAACTTGAGATGATTTCAGAGTAGCCCTGGAAGGGAGGCTCCTCTTTCCTGGCGATATTTGCTTGCGCGCGGATTATATACTTGAGTACCTAGGCAACTACATATATAGGTAGGCCAGGCTGATCGAACCACCTGTTCGAGAATTCAGCTTGAGTTAACTACCGGTAGAGGGGAGTTGACTTCGCACTTACCGTCGTTCTCTAACACCAACACCTGCATCCATCGCCTGTTGGGAACATCCGCTGTGTGACTTGTAGCCTGGAAATTGCGTATATGTGGTGCCTGGTTGCTCATTGCATCTTTTACGGGCATGCCTAACGGGATGAGGAAGCCTGCTTACATCCGGGTCATATTTGTACACATTGCCATCTTGTCACAAAAAGAAAGTCACAGGGCCTCAACCGTCATATGGCTGGGGATGAGATCGTCATGAGAAGGTCTCGCCCGTCTCTGAATTCGACGTTAAGCTACATGAAGGACCTCTGATTCTCGCCCGGCAGTCAGATGCCGGCAGCATTTGTTTTCGTAGAGAACACGCTCAGTACAAGAATTATTGATACCCTCGGTCGTATTATCCGATGTCCTCGTCGACATAATTGCTATGATGAATCAGTATTATCAAAGGATTTAGATAAACATGGTAATAGATAGCTTGTCCAATGACTTTGCAGGGACCAATACATGTATTTATTGTATTCGGGCTAAGCTTCCTTGTCTCGGGCTAATTCTCAGGAAGGATGACCGGAAGATAGGTGGCTGCAAGAACTGTTTCCAAGAGAAGGAAAAAAATCAAGTCCCACGCCACTCCATGTCGATCCCCGGTTCATCAGACCACTTGGTATATAATTCCGCCGGGCATATGGAATCAGATGTGGATACTCTTCACATGAGCATTGCAAAATCGAAAGCATTTACTGTGTTCATGCTGAGATACTATTGGGGATCGTTCACTCAAGACCTTGGTTTCTATGTGGCTTACTCAACACCATTCTTGGCCCTCGCGTATTTTCCATTCCCTCGCATGAGCCGAGTAAGCTCCTGGTCAAAAAGGACGCGTCAGATGATCTAGTATGAGCATCCTGCTGGTGGGGAAAGGCTTATTTCCCACGTTATCCGTTCCGATGCTTGGCCGCATGTACGCACACAACACGAAGTACCAAGGTATATATATGTGTATGCAGGGCTGACATGAGGGCGGCGGTCGCCGTTGAAGCCAACGGCATAAGCGCCGGAGCCGAACTTCTCGTCCCACCCAACCACAACCCTAGAAAGCACTCGACTATAGGACACATAGCATACCCTGCCAAACCTGAATCCTCAGTGCGATGCTTACCTGTGGTAGTAGGGGTAAGAAGAGCGCTGACCGGTGAGGTTCGTCCTGGGGCAGGGCCACTATGGCACAACGTCTCAGGGTTCTTTTGTAGGCTAGAGCAGGGGAAACGTTACAGTAAAACATGGATAGCCCAAAATGCATAGGTCAGAATGTCTCGGGCTGCTCGGAAGCGTATAGTCTATTCAGTACGCATCCACTCTGAAGCTTAGCTCACATCAGCCGTGGGATCCTGGAGATCATTTGTCGAAACCAACTTGAAGTGCAGGACAGGCAGGCAGGCGGGGCCGATGACCACCCAGACACTCCTCACTTGCAGACTTGTTCCTGTACATGGGAGAAAGTGACCGAATCCCAATACGCTTCGCCAAGGACTCGGCAAGGACCATGATCAGCCGATCGGCGTTGTCCAGGCGCCTTGGATCTGGGGTATGCTCGGGCATTTGTATAAATCGGGTCGAGGACGACCGGGGCCCCTGACATCTGGACCAATCCACAGCAGTCGCATCATTTGTGCAGCGGCTCTGTAACCATGTCTCACTCAGATGTGCCTATGCACTTAGCCTGTGAGCGTCCACAGTGTGTAGCAAGTTTTGCGGCGCAGTTCCCAACGGGCTGTGCGATGTGATTAGTCCGTTGGTGATGGGTAGAGGTCTTACTTTGTTGGCTAGGTGTGATTCAGGTAGCGGTGAATCAGATCTGCCGAGGAGGCTCTGACAGGATTCACCGCACCCGTTGGTGATGGATTTGCATTGAAAGTGGCCGATGCAACTGCGGGCGAAGGAATACACAGAATACGCAATACATGAAACCATTGGCTCTGTAATGTACAGCATAGTGAGATTTTTATCCTGTTTAGGTACGCACCTGTCAGATTGAGTTAGCGAACTCCTGGGGGAAATGCAGTCAGACTATACGCGTAAACGCTTTTGGCAAGTACCTTGGTATCTAGGTACTTTGCAGGATGCCGTTCTTGCATACCCAAAATCCCAGGTATGCAATTCCGGGGAGAAAAGCAAAACTGCGAGAATATGAGCGTAGACGTTGGCCAGGATCAGGATTATCCTTCAAACGAGTTAGCCATAGGAGGCGATACTCCGAGACAAGCCTATCTCGTAAAGTCGGCATCGTAATGAGGTCAAAATAGGAAGGAAGAGAACCGGAACAAGTTGAAATCACGAGCTCATCTTGATCAAACCTCGGCAGGCCCATCACCAATCAACAGAGTTCGGTTTGGCCTTGTTGCAATTTCTCTTGTAAAAGAGTCAACATGTCACCAAGCATGAGCAACGGCATTCCGGACGAGGCCAAAGACAACTCAAAGCCAGCCACACCATCACACATGTCACAGTCAGAACTCGAGCGCATAATCCAATGGAACAAAGAAGACCCAGAGATAATCGACGACTGCCACCACAGGCTCTTCGAGCGCCAGGCCCAGCAGCAGCCAGACGCCCCAGCAGTGGCAGCGTGGGACGTCGACCTCAGCTACGCCGAGCTCGACAGGGCCGCGGACCGGCTGGCGCACCACCTGGCCGGCGGGGACTGCGGCGTGGCGCCGGGGTCGATCGTGCACACGTGCTTCGAGAAGTCGGGCTGGCACGTCGTCGCCGTCCTGGCCATCAACAAGGCCGGCGCCGCCTGGGCCCCGCTCGACCCGTCGCACCCGGCCCAGCGCAAGCGCCAGATCGTCGGGCAGACGGGCGCGACGCTCGCCCTCGCGTCGCCCGCCAACAGCGAGGCATGCCGGGAGCTGGGGCTCAAGGTCGTCGAGGTCTCGCCCGGGCTCGATGCGCAGCTGGCGGCTGAGGAGAGAGGCGATTCTGAAGCCCAAGGAGCGCCTCCTCCGTCCGGAAGCGCCGCCTCGGCCCGCGACGCCGCCTACGTCCTGTTCACGTCCGGCTCTACGGGGACGCCCAAGGGCATCGTGATGGAGCACGGCGCCCTCTGCACCAGCCAGGCGGCCATCGGAAGGCGGCTGGGCCTCGCGCCGGGCGTGCGCGTGCTGCAGTTCGCGTCGTACGTCTTCGACGTGTCGGTCGGCGAGATGGTGGCGCCGCTCATCGCGGGCGCCTGCGTGTGCGTGCCGGACGAGGCCACCCGGATGAGCCCGCGCGGGTTAGCGGATTTTGTGCGGCAGAAAGCGGTGACGTGGGCCTTTCTCACGCCGTCGCTCGCCGCCACGCTCGACCCGGCGGACTTCTCGGGTCTGGAGATGCTGATGCTGATGGGGGAGGCCGTTGGCCGCGGCGTCTTGGAGCTGTGGTTTGGCAAGGTTCCCCGGCTTGTAAACGGCTGGGGGCCGACAGAAACCTGTGTATTCAGCGCGTTCCACGAGTGGAAATTTGTAGAGGAGCATCCGGCCAAGATCGGCTTCCCCGTTGCTTGCCGCTGCTGGGTCGTCGATGCTGAGGACTCTCAGAAGCTCTTACCGATAGGGAGCACGGGAGAACTCGTTGTCCAGGGCCCAACGCTGCTGCGGGAGTATCTAGGTGATGCCGAACTGACCAGGGCCGCTGTTGTCACCTCAGTGCCTCGCTGGGCTCCGCGGCACGACGTGGAGCACTGGGATAGGTTCTACCGAACTGGTGATCTCGCATATCACGACACAGACGGTGGCCTGGTCTACCAGGGCCGAAAGGACGCGCAGGTCAAGCTGAGGGGCCTGCGTGTTGAGCTTGGCGAGATCGAGTCCCAGATCAGGAGCAGGTTGGCCGGCGGTGGTGTCCAGCACGTTGCCGTGGACGTCATCCGCCGCGAGGGCGGCAGCCAGGTGCTTGTGGCCTTTCTTGGCCGTGAAAGCCGCGAGGATGAAGAAGAAGACGCCCTGGAAAGCAATGGAGACAAGGCCCTGGGCATCTTTCGGCCGGGCCCTTTGGCTTCTGCGGCCTTGATAGAGCTGACAGATTATTTGAGCACCGTGTTGCCAGACTACATGGTCCCCCATTTCCTCCTCCACCTCCGCCGCATGCCCTTCTCCCTGTCGATGAAGCTCGATAGAAAGGCCCTGCGCGCCGCCGCCCAGGAGATGTCCGCAGACAAGCTGGCCGAGGTTGCGCTGGTTGAGGGCAACCGCGCGACACCACAACAACCCATCAACGACGACGACGGCGCGGAGTCAGATCTGAGTGGCGGGTACAAATACTTGAGAGACGCGTGGAGCCGGCTTCTGAAGATAAACAAGAAGTATCTGCACAGCTCGAGCCACTTCCTGAGCCTCGGAGGGGACTCGATCGTCGCCATCCGCCTGGCCGATGCAATGCGTTCCCACGACCTGGAGCTCCCAGTATCGTTGATCTTTCAGCACCCTCAACTCTCGGACATGGCCCGCCAGGTGCGCCATGCACACGAGCAAGAAGAACCCGCGCCAGAGCCCTTCTCGCTCCTTGTGAAGAAGTGCAGCCGCTCTCTGATCGACACCGTGTGTACCGACTGCGGTATCCCGGAGGACAGCATCCAGGACATCTACCCCTGCACGCCACTCCAGGTCGGCATCATGACGGTCTTTGCCAGGCAGCCCACGTGCTATGTCATCAACTATGCCTACTCGCTGCCGCACACGGTGGACCTGGCCAGATTCAGGGCGGCGTGGGCCATGGTCTACTCGGCACTTGCAATCCTGCGCACGAGGATCACCCTGGGCGACGACGGCGAGTACCTGCAGGTAGTCGTCAAGGAGGAGCTCTCCTGGACACAGCCCCCGGCAGCCGGCGAGTGGACCAGGGGCGTCTCGGGCATCGCAGCCCACGGTATGGGGCTGGGAACGCCTCTCGTGGCCTTTGGACTGACGCCGCGCCATGACGACAGCAATACCGGCCACGACTTCTCGCTAACCATCCACCACGCTGTTTACGACGGGTGGTCGCTGACCGGCACCATCAGGCTCGTCGAGCACGTCTACGCTACTGGAAAAATCCCGCCAGACATCCCGAGCTACAACAGCTTCGTCAGGTTTGTGCTGGACAAGAATAATCCGGGCTGCGCGGACTACTGGCGGCGCATGCTCGCCTCGGCCCCCGAGCCGTCCTTCCCGACTTTTCCCGGGAAGACCTACCAGGCACTCGACGACAGCGTCACCACAGGGGCGATTCAGGTCCCAAAGAACAAGGACGTTTCCTCCGGAGGGGTCACCACACGCGCGACCCTCTGCCAGGTCGCCTGGGGATTACTGCTCGCCAAGTATGAGAACGGCGACGACGTCGTGTTCGGGTGCACGCTCAGCGGCAGGAACGCAGACGTGCGCGGCATCGGCGACATGCACGGCCCCACGCTGGCCACGGTCCCCATCCGGCTGGCCTTCGACCGGGACCAGCCCGTCGTGTCGCTGCTGCAGGCGGCGCAGAAGAGGCACAGCGAGGCCATGGAGCACGAGCAGTACGGGCTGGCCAACATCTCGCGCCTCGGGCCCGACGAGCGCCGTGCTTGTGGCTACCGCACGACGCTGATCATCCAGACGCCCGAGTTCGAGGCGCTGCAGAGCTCTGAGGAGACGGCAGTGATGAGGTTGGAGTCGTCGTCGGCGACGTTGCATGGTGCGCCGCTGACTGTCACCGTCCGTATCGGGCGGGTCAGCGACGAGATCACCGCTCGGTATGACTCCCGCCTGCTCAGCGAGGCCCAGGTTTCTCGGCTGCTGGAGCAGTACTCTCACGTCCTGTCTATTCTGTCTGGTGTTGGTCCATGCGCGGAAACGAAGATATCCGATCTTGACTTCTGCAGCCCTAGCGACTGGACGCGGATCCTGAAGATCAACCCGCGCCTGCCCGACCGGCTCGACCTCTGCATCCACGACCTTTTCAGGACCGCGGCGAAGAAACACGCCGTCCGGCGCGCGCTGCAGGCATGGGACGGGGCCATGACGTACGAGCAGCTCGACCGACTGTCAGACCGGCTGGGCCGACATCTGGCGCGGCTCGGGGTGGGCCCTGAGACCTTGGTGCCGCTGTGCTTCGACAAGAGCAAGTGGGCAATCGTGGCCATGCTCGGCGTCCTCAAGGCTGGGGGCGCCTACGTTCCGCTGGACCCGGGCCACCCGGACGCCCGCCTGGGCATGATCTTGGAGGACCTTGATGCGAAGATTGCTGTCACCTCTGTCCCTTACTCCGGCAGGCTAGCGTTCGCAGAGGGCTTGACGGCCGTTGCCCTTGAGGAGACCACACTCGAGTCCTTTGATGACAGTGCTTCTTCCTCAGGCACGAACGGCAGCCCGAGCCCGACCAGCTCTGTCAAGCCCCACAACGCCGCCTATGTCCTTTTTACCTCAGGCTCCACGGGAAGGCCAAAAGGGATCGTCCAAGACGCACGACGCATACTGCACAGGGGCGCTAGGACGCGCAGAGACGCCGCAACGAGGAGTCCCGGGTGCTGCAGTTTGCCTCCTTCGGCTTCGACCCGAGCATCGAGGACATCTTGACGACGCTCCTGTACGGCGGGTGCGTGTGTGTGCCGTCCAACAGCGACAGGCAGGGCGACATCGGGCTGTATATCCGGCAGAACGCGTGCGATTTTGCCAACCTGACCCCGTCCTTTGCGGCGACCATCAGCCCCGCTGAGGTCCCCAGCCTGAAGATATTGATGACCTCGGGCGAGCCCATGACGGACGACTTTGTGCGGGCGTGGGCGCCCCACGTCACGCTGATGAACGGCTATGGCCCTACCGAGACCAGCCTGAAGTGCTCAATCAACACGGGCGTCAAGGCTGGAGAGAGCCCAAGGAATATCGGATTCCCCATGTGTGCGAATCTGTGGGTTCTTGACCCATCTGACCCAGAGAGGCTGGCTCCTATGGGAGCACCCGGCGAGCTGATGGTCGAGGGACCCTGCATAGCCAGGGGCTATCTGCGTCCGGGCTCCGCGGCCGCAGCCAACGGCTTCTGCGAGCCCCCGGGGTGGCTCAGGGCCCTGAGGAAGGGGGATGGTGTCCCCTCCACCCGCCTGTTTAGGACGGGCGATCTTGTGCGCTACGCATCCGACGGGTCCATCGACTACATCGGCAGGCGGGACTTCCAGGTCAAGATCAACGGCCAGCGCACCGAGCTCGGCGAGATCGAGGCCCAGATCCGCCGCCTCCTGCCCGAGTCGTTCCGGCTGACGGTGCAGATGGCCCCGACGCCCAGGCAGCCCGACGGCGTGCTCACCGCTTGCGTCGCTGAGAGGGCTGCTATACGAACTGGAGGGCCTGGCAGCGACCCAGTTAGTGTTACGGATTTCTCACGGCCGTCGCCGGCTGCTGCTGCTGATGCTGGGAGGTGGTGGGATGATGAGAAGTCATCGGCGGCCAGCCTGCGGGAAAGGTTGTCCCGGGTGCTCCCAGCCTACATGATCCCAAGGGCCTTCTTCGCATTCGACCCCCTGCCGCTGAACATCAACGGCAAGGTGAATGCGCGCGAGATCCTGGCCCTCCTCTCCCGTGAGCGTGTCGAGAACGAGAACAACGAGATCGAGGAAAACCATGTCGTCCCAGAAGATCTGACTGACGGCGAGAGATTACTCCTCGATCTATGGGAGAAGAGCATCCGCGCCGACCTGGCACATGCCGGTCCGAGTTCCAACTTTTTCGACCTCGGGGGCGATTCCCTGGCCGCCCTTCGCTTGGCCGCCTTCGCCCGGCGCCAGGGCCTCGTGCTCCCCGTTGCCACGATCCACGAGAACCCCACGCTCAAGGGCATGGCGCTCCTGGCAACAGCAGCCTCATCCTCCCTAGAGTCCCCGCCGTACCTTCCGTTCACCCTCATCTCGCACCTGGGAGACCCAGTCGAGGTCGTCAGAGAGTGCGGCGAGAGGTGCGGCGTCGACACGGGCAGCATCGAGGATGTGTATCCCTGCACGCCGTACCAGGAGCACTTCATGGTGCATGCCATCTGGTACCCCGGCCAGTGCGTCTTTCAGGGAGTCTTCCCGCTGAGCGCGGACGTCGACCTCGACAGATTCCGCCGCGCCGTCGAGGTCGTCGTCCAGTCGCACCACTCCCTGCGCGCAAGGATGACACTTGTCAACGGGACCTGGCTGCAGGTTGTCGTCAAGAAGCCCAAGCCCGTCGAGTGGAAGCCCACCCGTAGCCTGCAGCAGGTGTGGCGCGACCACACGGCGGCGACCATGATGGATGGCGACGAGCTGAACCTCTTTGCTGTCGTCGAGGACAAGGACAGCAGGTCCAGGGCCCAGTTCGTCTGGACCACCAACCACGCCATCTCGGACGGCTGGTCCCTGTCCGCCCTCGTCCACCAGATCAATACGGCATACGCGGCCGGGACAAGCACCCTCGAGCAGGAGAGCACCTTCGGCGACTTCATCCGCCACGCAATCATGCAGTCCGACGCTGTCGCCCGCCAGGCGTTCTGGGAGGACCACTTCCGCGGCAACGAGTCCAGGCCGCTCTGCCCGTCCGTCGACTCGCCCCTGGTCGACTTCGTCTGGCACCGCGAGTTCTCGCCGCCCGCGCCACGGCCGGACAACCCCTTACCCGTCTCCATGTCGACCGCCATCCTCGCCGCCTGGGGCCTGGTGGTCGGCCACGAGACGGGCTCCCCGGACGCCGTGCTGTCGCTGCTCCAGCTGGGCCGCGACGCGCCCCTCGCGGGCGTCGAGGACATGGTCGGCCTGCTGGCGACGGCGTTCCCCTTCCGCATCACCACCAGCACTGGCACGACGGCGCGCGCCTTCCTCCTCGCCACGCAGGCCCGCCTCAACGCCGCCCGCCACCACCAGTACACCCACACCGACTTCGTGGCGTCCCGGTGCGGCGACGGCGCGGCCAGGGTCCCGGCCACCCAGACGCGCTGCGTCGTGCACCCGGCCGAGTTCCGCGGCGCGCCGCCCGGGCCGCGGGACGCGGTGCAGACCCGCACGCACCGCGTCGCCGTCAAGGGCGAGTGCGTCGAGGTCTCGCTGAGCTTCAGCTACAGCGACAAGAGCAACGTCGTCGGCATGGACCTCAGCTTCGACAGCCGCGCGGTGGGCCGGGCAAAGGCGAGGCGGCTCATGGAGGGGTTTGAGACGGCGCTTGTGCAGCTTGTCGGGGCGCCGGCCGGGCTGTGTGTTGGGGATCTTTTGTGGGAGCCTTCGCGGGCCGTGCGGGATAATGGGATTGCGGAGACGGATCTTTCCCGTGGGCCGGATTGGGCGCCTTATCCTGAGGAGTGAGTGAGCTGCCGTGGGATGATGTTGGATCTGTTTACTGGATAGGGTCAGATGGTATATAAGACAGTCATATGGCTGCAATAGAGTTATCTTATAGATGAAGCAAATTCATATAGAATTAACCCAACCCTCACTGACTTAGTACTACGTATGTATGTACTGGAAGCCCATTGAGCAGTATTTTTGCTTTCACCCTTTCCTCCATTTGTTTTCAGTGTTGTTATTTGAAGATACGAGTCCCATAAAAGTTGTTTGGACAGCGCACAATATGATGAAAATTGAACCCCATCATTTCCTTCTGCAACTCCCCTTTTCCTTTTTTTTTTCTTTTCCTTGTTTTTTCTAAGAAACCTAAATTGAAGTTCTGATACGGGCACCAACGGCCCCAAGGGCAAACGTCTAAAATAAAACCGTCTATAGGCGGCCTATACGCCGTGATTTAGTTACCTCTAAGCCACAAACTAATAATCAACACGAGGACTCTATTTTGCTAGCTATTTTAGTACTAATTGGGAGACCGAGACTTAGCCGAATGTTCGTCTATATATATGGGTCAAATCTCCCTCCTTCGAATAGCTTGAATATACTCTATTATCGTCCTGAATTCTTACAAAACGGGCTTTGTTTGCCATAAAAGTAGCCCAGGGAGACCCTTTCTTAGGAAATCTAATAGACGCATTCTCTCCCTTTTACAATTCGCATTAACTTCTTTGGTGCAACAAGGTGTGTTAAGCTACATGATAATGTCGTAAACCTTTTCTGTTGCTATGCAAAAGGTAAGCAAGCTCTACATGGCTTTACTACAACGTCACAAACTCTTTGAAAGTATGGCGGCATTACGGGAATACTTGTAGTGACATTCAATATATCTAAGTCGCTTATGCATTGGGGATTGTCTGTGTCAGTAGGCATATGTACTTATTGATTCCAGTATTAAGCCATGTTTGGTTTTCTTGTGCATCCTGACCGGTCGGCTGGATGATCCGCTTTAAGCACCTAACTTTTCTACCGAGAAGTTGTCATTGTGACACTACCAATCGCGTGACAAAATCGGGCTGGCCTGCAGCAAGCCTGAGGGCGCTGGTGCTGTATTGCAGCACCAGATTACCACCATCATTGGCCGCCACACGGTTAAACATGTCATCTTTTTGCCCAGACCGGCCCCAATCTTCCTTCAGCTCGGCCGTGGAGGAGAGGGTGTGCAGCAAACAAAATGGGAAAGATCGTTCCACTGCTGTGCGAAAATGAAGTTCTGGGAGTTTTCAGTCGCATGGGTATTTAACCGCAACCATGGCGCTCTCCATGCCATGGGTTTCGTCTGTCGATTCCCACAAGGGAAGATTTCTCCTCAAATTCCTAGCTCTCCTACCTGTAGCTAATTTTCCAGATGCCAGATGCCAGAGTTGGCTTTTCATTTTCTTTTTTGACCAGTCTATTCCGTCTCTTCCACTGATTTCTGATACCTCCATTCCCCAGCCCCAGGATCTCACTGTTTACACTCAACATCACCCAAAACCATGAGCACAAATGGAACAAATGCTACCTTAGTAGGATGATTCCCGTCGGACGATACTCGCGGTACAATCGACATACTGTGGTCTTGCTGTGTCACGTTAGTTCTGTGTGTGTGGGTGCTGATCTATCCGAACGTGCCATCCCAGAATGACGAGTGGCATCATTCCTACGTCGACAAATCCAACTTAGCCATGATATGTTTTGTGGGACCAGACTTTATTTGCGTCTTCGCTGGGGGCCAGCTTGCTTCTGCGAGGAGCGTCGTCAAGGTCAGTATTTGATAAGCCAACACATCACATCCTTCCGGTGGAGATCATTGATGCTGATGAGAAGCACCGAGTAGCAGTTTAAAGAGGACGAAGGTGTCCAGCAGATTCTAAACGGCCGAAAATGGACGCTCAGACATGCCTTCTTTGTGGACATGGGCGGCTTCATTCTGACCAGCCCCGACTATGACCAAGGCTTTCCTGTCAACGCCGAACAGCTCTTCTACCTCGTTAAGCACGGTTACATTGACCTACCATACCTAAGCGAAAAGGAAATTAAAGAAAAGAGCAAGGCGGATACATTGTCCAAGTGTGTATGCCTGAAAATCTGTTTCGGCTCGAAGCTAATGGTCGTGATTCTGCAGATTGATCACCATCTGGCACGTCGCGTGGTTTACAATTACGAAATCGTGAGGCTTTCCAATGGGTATCCGATGACAAATCTCGAACTCACGGCCTTGCCATTCTCGTGTATGATGGTTGTGGTCTCCATATTCTGGTACTACAAACCCTCAATCCCGCGGTCTACCAAGATTTCCACCAAAGATGGCCGGACTGTGGAAAAAATTCGTCAAATAGCGAGACAAACAGTTAGTGCTTCTGTATCTCCTAGATTCTACAGATTTAACACGCGTGAAGATACATCCAGAACTCCCTAACACGTGGTACCGCACACCACTATATTTCGTCTCCCGGCGAAGATTCCAGCCGGATGTAATCTGGTCCTACGGTAATCAATTTGGACATAAAATTCATTTTCTTCTTTTCAAACGGAAGATGAACGTCCGTTTAGGAGAACCCTGGGACCGGTTTCCCTCAGACACTATCCAGCCAGTGGACGGTTCAGGGCGTCTCCTCATCCCCGTCGCAATGTGTGTGCAAATACCCTACGCCCTCTCGTTTCTTGCCGCATGGACCTGGCATTTCCCTACGACGACGGAGATGTGGCTCCTACCAGGGGGAAGGGGGGTCTCTAACTAAGTTACGAAACACAGTTAAGTTGTATAATAATGCCAGCATTAAATTACATTTTAGAGATTATAGCAAAATATTAGCAAGATACTATGTAATAATTATTGACGGGAAATAATATTTAAAAGAAGACATTATATTAAATTTACTATATATTATATTAATTTTTTACTTATATTTAAACAATAAATTTAAGCATTATCTACTTTAAACCTATTGGTTTTTTTTTATTTCCATAATTCTATAAATCTTTTTATAATAAATAATTCAGCTAATAAAGAGTAAATAAGTAATTAGGTTAAGGATAAAAAAAGATTTTTTTACCCTTTATATTAAGGGTTAATATTATATTATAATATATTAAAAATAATTATATGTATAGGAATAATATATATAGGCATTGCATGCCTATGCAATAGGTGCACATAGGTAATGCATAGATTTAAAGGTGCAAGGTTTAAACTAATCTTATTAATAATAGCTGCTAATTAATGCTAGCTAGCTGCTAGCTAATGGTTATATGCCTTATATATAAATTACTATAGCTAGCTTATAGCTAAATAAGGGAAGGCTGCAGCTTTATTGCAACTTATTCTTTATATTATAGCTAAATTAATTATATACTTTATTTATTTATTAACTATATGAAAGCTAAATTAATATTAATTAGTAATTGCTAGGGTAATTATAAATAGTTAGGTTTAAAGAAATAGCCTTGCTTTAATAATAATTTAACTTTATTGCTAATAGCAAATTGTAAATATCTTTTCTTAATTAGCAATGGCTTTAAATAATTAATTAAGAGCGATTATGCTAATTGGTAATTATTATGTGCTATGAATTTATATAGCGTGGTTTATAATATTAATAAATACTTAATGTATAAAGAGGTAGTTATTATAATAAGAAATTATAGCGAATTTCCCTACCCTTAATATATATATATTTATTACGTTTTAAGCAAAGCTAATAATAATGGCTTTTAAGGCTAATAGCCAGCCTTAGGTAAAAATATATATTGGCATTTACTCTTGTTAATTTTTTTTAATCCCTTTATTAAGCATGCTTAAAAATATTATGTTAAATACTTTCTTGCAATATTTTTAAGCTATTGCAACTTTCTTAGCTTATTAAAAGCCCTTTTGCAATATCTTTATATTAAAAAGCCTTTCTTGTAATACCCTTAAAAAGCCCTTACTTAGTACTTATAAGAAGCTTTTAATTAGCATTCTTAAGAAGCTCTTGCTTGCAATTAGCACCCTTAAGAAGCCCTTGCTTAGCACCCTTAAGAAGCCCTTGCTTGGTACCCTTAAAAAGCCCTTGTTTGTGATTAACGCCCCTTAAGGCACCTGCGCAATACTCTTAAGGCTTATAACCCTTTAAAGATCCCCTTAAATACTTAATAAAGCATAAGGCATTTAAATACTTTAAAGTATTAATAAATAATACTTCTTTTAGGCGATTTATATACTTAATTAGCACCCTTAATTAAATATTTTAAAGTATTGGTTAGTAAATAAGCTATTAATGCAATTATTTTATTTACTTAGTTAGCTTAAAACCGTTAGGGGGAATAATTAATATTTATTATTAATTTAGCTATATAAATAACTTAATTAAACTTTTAAGATATTTACTTTTTAATAATAATTAATATTTAATTAATAAATATAACTTTCCCTTTTCTTAATGCCCTTTTTATTAATGCTCTTTAATAAGATTTTAAGTATAAATTACCTTAAAGCTAATAAAGGTTAATTTACTAAGTAATAATAGCATTTAGGCGCTATTATTTATAGGTAAATAGTTTAAAAGCTGGTTATTAATTTATAAGCATAGCATAAAAACATTTTTCCCTTCCCCTTTGCCTTATAATTAATTATCATAAGATTTACCTTAATGATAATAATAATAATAACCTTAATAATAATAATAATACCTTATTATTAAGCAAAAATAGCGCTTATTATTAAGCAAGAGTAGCTTTATTATTAAGCAAAAGTAGCTTTGCTATTAAGCAAAAGTAGCAATTATTATTAAAAGTAGTATTTAGCATTAATCATTAAAAAGAAGCTATTAAAGTAATAATTAATTAATTAAAGCATGGCATTTTAAATACTTTAAAACTTTAAAGTATTAATAATTAAATAATTTAAATTAAGCAATTTAAGCACTCTTTTAAAGTAATTATAAATACTTTAAAGTATTGCCTTAATAACTTAATAACTTACTTTTATTAACTTAGCGATTAATTTAATTAGCTTAAAGTAAATAATTTATAAAGGAAAGCATGATTTTAAAGCATATATAAAAGATTATTAATATAGGAATAATATATATAGGCATTACGTGCTTATGCAATGGGTGCATATAAGCAATATATAAATTTAAAGGTGCAAGGTTTAAACTAATCTTATTAATAGCAGCTGCTAGCCGGTGCTAGCTAGCTGCTAGCTAGCGGTTATATGCCTTGCGCATAAACTATTATAGCTAGCCTATAGCCAAATGGGGAAAGGCTGCAGCTTCGCCTGCAACCTACCCTTTACACCATAGCCAAATTAATTACACACTTTATTTATCTATCAATCATACGGAAGCCAAACCAACAATATATTAATAACGTATAAATTATTTAAGATAAGCATATTAAAACATTAATTGCATATTATTACTATATTACTATTCCATTGACGTACTAATTCAATTTTAACAAAAAAAAACCCTCCCCCTGGTAGGATGCCAGTGTGGAGAGTTTGCGCTATTTACCACAGTCTCTTCTTGCTGATATTGACACCATGCATGGTCTTCCATACACACCAAGAGACGGCCCAGAAATTAAAGCAAAGACTACGCCGTTCACATGCCAAATCACATTCCCAGTCACATTTAGCAATATTGGGACACTGGCGAGTTGTGGATGGCTTAGAAGGATGGCTCCAGCGATGCCGAAACTTGTCACCTGACCAAGACCCTGACATGGCCGTGAATATTCGGTGGACGTTCCTGTCAGTATTTGCTGTTTTCATCTTCATCCTTTGCAGATTATTCTTCTATTCATTGGATTTCTCTGGGCTGAGACAGCAGCCGATTGATGTATATAAGACTGTCAACCGCTTCGTGCTGTTCATCTAAAGAGACAAAAGATTGGTTTGACATAGGCACTTTTGTCACGTTGGCCGTAGAGCAGTCGTTCCCGAGTCAAACTAGAGCATTGTTGTTCAGATCAAATGCAAGATTCATTTAACCTTAAGCCTGCACCTGAATAATTTGCACGCCTAATTTAAATTGGGTATGTGCTGCAGAATAAAAAGTACTTTAGTACTGTTCCCAATGTCTACTTCTTTATACGCTACCTAAATTACACCAGCCTTATCCCTATCTAGTCTCAATGGGTCCTGACTCTTTATAGCCGCTTAGTAGCTACGAACGGAGTCGTGGGAAATACGTGTGTATGGGTTTTGTGGCTGCAGGCAACCTACGCTGATGGGTCCACAATTGCGGTAGGGGAATTGCACTCGTAACTAGCACCGCTTGAAAAAGTAAAGTTGCGGGTCGCTCGACTGTGAAGTGGACATGGCACAGCCTACAGCTTGTGAGTTGGCAAGCACTGATTGGACTGATAGAGAGGCATTGCTTAGGCAGCTTTCTCGAAACGAAGATTACAAAAGAGTGCCTCCGCCGCTCAAGAGTTAAGACTCGATGATCCGCCGTTCTATTTCTCAACGCAGAATAAGCACTATCATCCTACACTTTAATCTCGGTGAATTCCGTCCTTTCTTGCCACGATGCCATTCACCTACACAGATCTTGCCACGCCGGAGTCTATCCGACTGATCCAGGTGATGCCAGAGAAGATTGATAACGTCATCGCTTTGACCATCCACACGTACGACGCACAAGAGCTCCAACAAGCAGGCCATAACACTAGCTATCGCGCCCTGTCGTACCGCTGGGGAAATCCTGAAAGCAAGACACCACACGTCTATTTGAGGGACGCCGAAAAGGCCAAGTGGCACCTACATCCAGTTCACGAGAACTTGTGGCAGTTTATCAACCATGTGTGGCAATGTCAGTGGTTTGATGACCTTTTCTGGACAGATTATTTTTGCCTAAACCAGAGTTCCGCCGAGGAGAAGAGTCAGCAAATTCCCAGGATGGGTATCATCTATTCTGGAGCCGCAGAAGTCATCATCTGGCTTGGGCTCTCCGAAGATGAGGAGCGTCAGATCGAATTCTTTCTTGAACATCTCAAGAAGAACGGCACGTGTTACGGACCAGAGGATGATGAAACAACTCAAATAATTGAAGGCACTGTTACAGCTCTGTGCAAGAATCCATACTGGTCTCGCCTCTGGATCATCCAAGAAGTCACATTGGCAAAGAGAGCCGTGGTCATGATGCGTTCTCGCCGTATCGATTTTGAGGATCTTGAGTCCGCAACTCTTAAGTCCAGGGGAGGATGGCCTGATTTCGACCCCCCTTCTCTCAGCGATCTCCGGTACTTGAGGCTCCAACAAAACAACCGACAATTAGGAACGCTGCTGAAGACCCATGTGGCAAGAAACTATCAATGCAGAGAGCCGAATGACCGAGTCTTTGGTTTGATCGGGCTGTTGGATCCACCCAATGACTTTCTACGTGTGGACTACACAAGGGCGTACAGCCACGTCATTCTGGACGCAATATTGGAATCAGGCGCAGATATGTCACACCAAAATTTGCCAGGAGTCCTCGATAGCCTCGCTCAAGGAGATCCACCACTCAGACTCACCACAAATCCCAATGAGCTTGAGGAGTACTTAAGCGATCAACGGACGAGCCAGCGGCATAGGGAGCTTGCGAGCGCGGCTTTACAAGCCTTTGACTCTATGAGTTTGATCATGACTGTCGAAAGCGCCCCTCAATCTCGCTCGCACATCAACAAGACACACTTTGAACTGTGTGATAATAGGGCTCTGGGTGTACAGAACGGAGCTGCCTTTCTTGGATTCTCCCTCGTGTTCGGGTCGTCTGAGGACTGGGCATCGAGCTTGCTTCAGAACTGGGAGACTTGGCGACAACATAAGCTTCAAACGCAACCGGGGCTGTCTCGATGGCGATGTGTAGCGCATCAAACGGAAGAACACATGTCAAATTACACTCGCCAGTATCGCGGAGAACCCTCAAGGGAGGACTACATGGAAGAGTTCCAGCGCGTTTATATGCGAAGCTTCTGTCATTTCCCTCTCCAGGATGCTTTCATCAAGTGTTGGCAACGAGAGTGGACACGGCGGCACGGAGGTAGTTTCCCCATGGAAGAGTATATGCACGCCTACACTTTATTTCGAACGAAGAAGTCGAATCATCATGCTTTTATTCGCAGCCAAAGGGCTCCAGCAAACCAAGGCCGCGAGACGGCGCTACCTCGTGACAGCAGCTGGAATCCTGAGGATATCAAGAAAGCATGTGGGAAAGCGAATGAGGACTGTGACGGGTCAGGCATGATTTTGGAGATTCCTCACACTTCTTTCCGGTTGATTGTTTCTGAAGGACGAAAGATGCGGCTCGACTTAAACCTGGGTTGAGGAGGAGCAGGAGGTTTGGGGGAGCACGGTTGCTCCCAAGCGCTAAATCAAGGTCGGCCCATTTTGGTAGGGTTGAGTGTGTGGTACGACCAATTTGTAATGTCTGTCTTCTTCATAGCCACACCAGGTATGAGAAACACGAACACGAAATCCTCAAGCCATTCTCTTCTCCATCCAGGATGACCTTGCTAAACCCACGAGTAGATTGCATGAAATTGCAACTGAGCAAGTCCATTTTCCACACTACGCGTGGCTTTACTGAGTGATCAAAGAGGTGCCTCGCAGTTGTTTAAATGCAATAGGCACGTAGGCATATTGTTCAATCTGCAATGACAAGGTGTCCTTTACATGTTACAGGATGAATAGCACCATTATAACCGGCAAAGCCCTTATGGTAACTAAGTGAATTGAAATTCGAAAGGAGCTCAATCACGTCTATGAAGATGTCTATTCAAATCTCCTATTATATAAAAAGGTTTATACACGGCTAAAGTGGTAGTGTTTTGCAGGTTTTGTGTAGGGAACTTGGCGTTCCGAAATGGTGGGCGGGGGGCGCGAAATAGTAGCCCGGCATGGTAAGATTATCTCGGCCATTCGGGGCATTGGTGTCACCAATGATGCCAAGGAGATGAAGGATCTGGAGGAGCTGGGGGCCAGTTACAGACCGTCCCAGAAACCCTAGCCAATAAATAACTTTGTGCTGACACAGCCTGATCCTTCCCCTTCACCCACCCCAGCGCCGCAGTCTATCTATCTTCTCAGTTCAAGAGCATGTGGTATTTAAATGGTCGACCACATGGAAATTTTGCATCCAGCTTAATACTCAATTTCCCCTGAGGTTTGAAGGGAAGAGACATTGCCAGTCATTAAACTGTCTGCACATCCAAAGGATGCCTCAAGGTGAGTGTTTCACGATTTCAAGTCAGAAGTCCGAGGCTTCTCATAGATACTACAAGACTGACCGATGTTCATGGTAGCTCCCATCTCACCAGGGCTCGATGCTGAGAGCTTAATGAGTGTCAAGGTCAAGCTCGATGACTGCACCAGAAACCATCAGTGCGAGGGTGCACGGAATGCAGAACTGCCCATGCGCCTTCTAGATCTCAAAGGCTGGTCCACAAGCCCAGAAAGGATCAGGCTTGTCGTAACAAATGACCTTTTGGCACCACCTGGCCAGATAATCGACTATGCTGTCCTATCGTATTGCTGGGGAACGACGCCTGCCTTCACTACCACACCCGCCACTCTCGGCAGTCGGCTAAAGGGGTTCAACCTCGCTGAAATGCCTCGGACCTTGATAGACACGGTCGAGGTCGCTCGCAACATGGGATATCGCTACCTCTGGATTGACGCCTTATGCATTCTCCAGGGGAGCCGGGACGACACCGCAGCGGCGGCGGACTGGCGGAATGAGGCGGCACGCATGCACTGGATCTACGGGAATGCATCTCTGTGCATCGTCGCCGCTGGGGCTTCGAGTTCGGACCAGGGACTGATGCACAAGGTACGCTGGGGCAAATGCCCATCATCCCAGAGAACGGTTCCATTGAACTTGCAACGCTAACATCTGGTCTAAATAGGACCCCAGGGTCATTACCGATGACGAAATAGCGGAATGGATTGACAAGGGACAGATTCCCATTGGCTGTGAGCCCATTTCCAGCCGCGCGTGGTGTTTCCAGGAATGGTTCCTATCCAACCGTCTACTCGTGTTCGCCAGCACAGGGATATATTACACGTGCGACCGATACAAACTCGACACTTCGGATCCAGACTACGGATTTCGATTCCCTCGGTCCCGTCAGGAAGCCGCATTGTTGAAAGTCGGCGCGGACCGGAGATACGACAGTTGGCAGACCATGGCGATGAACTTCTGTGGCCGCAGCATGACCGAGCCAAGTGACAAACTTCCTGCCCTATCCGGCATGGCGCAGAGGTATGCCGGCCTCATGGGATGGCCGCCTGGTGATTATCTTGCCGGGCTGTGGAGACAGACTCTCATCAGCGATCTCCTCTGGATTCGTGAGGAAGGCCTCTCTTCCATCTCGGCGACGCCCGACCCCGCCAAGACAGGTCGCCAATATGGACGGGCGCCATCTTGGTCGTGGGCGTCGATGAATGGAAGGATCCTGTACCTCTCGCTGCAAAACGGGCGGGTGCCGGACACCGTTCGCGTTCAAAGCTGTGAAACTGTGAAGCCAGGTCTAGAGGAAGATCCCTTTGGTAAGGTTGTGTCTGGCCACATAGACATTGTGTGCCCGTACATGACGGGATGGGCCAGGCCGTTGGTCTCGGAGTCTGGTGAATTGTACTTCCAGCTTTTCGACGCAGAAGATGGGTTCATCAGCTTGCTTACGGTGGATGATCCAGCCGAGATGGATGCGCTCCAGACAAATGTGAGCACCAGGCCGCAATTTCAGCCAGCCGACTCATCACATCCAACTAAAGGCATAATGGTACACTGCCTGGCGCTTCTGGTTGAGCAAAGTGTGCAGAGAAGAGATGGGAAGATCCAGTGGGCGGGAATTGCTGTACGGCCACTGATTGATAATCGCTACACCCGAGTTGGGAATTCCTGGATCGCGGATTTCAAAGCTTTGGGACAATCGAGGTTCTTGATTGTGTAGTCTCTGGTCTGTGCACTGTGTGCTGGTCTTCTCCTCAGAGCACACCCTTACTCGTACTTTATCAATTAGATTGCATATATAAGTTGGTTAAAATTTTGATCAAATTCGCATGATGTTTTGGCACAGGGAAGTTGGCGCAGAGAAGACGCTTGATCGCTCATGGCTCCATCGATCCATTCTTTTCAAATGCCTCTCTAGCTCCAGGAACAGTTTGCTAAGCGACGCGGAGCTACGCTCCCTTTTGTTTTCATCCAATTCATTCCCTTAGAGACTAAACAATGATGGTATCATGTGCTCATTAATACCAGTAGATACAATTTTCATCGCAGGATCCAAGGATGTTGTTACTCATTTAAGCAACGTCCGGATACTCTTAATAACAAATATTTATGCTAATAAACCTCAGTAATACTTAGTTTTCCGAATTCTAAAACACTATCTGTCTCCCAGTCCTGCTTATTTAAGCTTTATCTACCATCAGTTAGAGGCTTGTGCTTTATCGCCCATGAACGTTGCAGTTTATCTATGCTCACGACCTGGCCATTCTCCCAAATTGTTGAATGCTTTCCAGAAATTGGAAGACTCGTCCTCTCTGATTTGGAAATTTGGTAACTTGTCGTATGATGTCCATCAAGCCAGGAAGGCTTCACCTACGTCAACTGCCAGTATCAACGCACATGTGCAGGATGGGCTTTCAAACTGAACTTGCTCTTCATCCACTGCCCTCCCCAAGACTATACCAAGATCAAGAAATTCGATGCTCCCACTCCAGTAGCAATGACAGAGTGATAGCAGACCGGCACCCTATTCCTTCCACTTCGCCGCCTGCTCCCTACCTACTAGGTAGCTGAGAGTAACCCCTAGGCACTTGGACATACACCCAATTGCAAATTTTGGCTTTGACTCCATCAGTATGCAATTCGAGGTCCACTCCTTCATATCACCGTACCTGCTGTGAAACGCGATCAAAGATCCCATCTTGACTATCCGGCTGTTCATACCTGTCGTGAAACTAAACACAGGACACAATCCAAATGCGCCTCGGGTGGCTGCATGGTGGTGATTTGCTAAGCCTTCCGATGCAGCAGAATGACGCCGAAGCCGAACAGCATATCAAGGCGGTCCGATAACAACGTCGCATCACGGTGAGAATTACTTGCGACAGATAAATGAAAGCATTCTAGCGAACTGCATGTCTCGGGCGTTGTGCCTCGAGGGTCACCCAAGCAGGACACTGAAGGAGTCGTGGGAATCAGGAGCAAGTTCAAAGCTTGAGATGTGTCATTCAATCGCACGAAAGGGTCAATTTAGACGTTGCAATGCCTGTCCATCAGCATTCTGCCTTTTCCAGAGCTCACTAGCATATTGCCGAAAGCTCTCAAGCACCTTGGCAGCACCTGCCATATCATACCAGACTACAAAGCTACCTTAGCCACTCAGGCTCTTTGTAATCTTAGGGCTATCGCAAGAATCCACATATGAAATCAGTGGGCACGTTCTAGACGACCTTGCCATCCTCGATGAAGGTCGTCTGTGTACCAGCCATCACATCCACCTTTGTCGTGTCAATCCAATCTACGACAAACTTCCTCACGCTGCCCTCCCACTCCGGATCAGTGATCATGTTGCGGACGTTATGTAAATCAGTCGTCCAGTAGATGACTGCCGCATCATACGGCGCTATGTCCCAGCCCGCGGGGGATCCGCTCTTGAGGTGCTCCAGGTGGTCCTCCTGTAACCGTTTCTTGAAGCTGCTCGGGGTGAAGTACTATGTCCGCAGGAATGACCATAAGTCAGCGCTATCTAGGACGTGCGAAATGACTTGTAAGTTTGGGGACACTGGATGACACACAAGCTCAACTCGATCAATCCCATGCTTAAGGGCGAACGGCAGGATGCGAGGCATCATCTCCTCAGTCCACCACCTCTGACAGGTCTCCTCATCGCGGGATTGGTCCCGATCGTGAAGCACGGAGACCTTGATCATCGGCGTCGGCGAGGTAGCCATTTGTTCTGGTAGTGCCCTTAGTTATGCTGTCGAACACAGGCACTCTCTTGTGAAGCATGAGAACCGGTGAGTGATTTACGTGATGCTAGTCCAGAACTGGGCTCCATGAGCAGTCGATTCTCGCTTGTGTAGTACTCATATTATTTTAGTCAGTACATTATCGCACCGCAGTTCTTCCTGTATGGGCACCGAATATGGATGTAACGTTACTGTCGCCTCATCTCATGGACGGTGACGTAAAATACTCTCGCAATTTGTTGAATCAGGGCACCGCTTGCGCCACAGGGCTTCTGTGACCGTTCCTGGACGTAGCGGTGCACGCCAACCTCCTACACATCACCAGTTAGCACGTAGACGACCTCCCAGACCTAAAGCCATTAATTAAAGCCCCCCAGGACGCACTCGTATGCCCGGTAGAAAATCTACTCATCAAGAACAGCCCCAAGCGACAACGTATACATGTGATGATAATATTGCACCAGCACGACTACCTCACCTAAAAGACGGCAGTACAATGCCAACTACGAAGACTTGCTCAGTTATGCGACCTGAAGCAGCAAAATCACCAGTCCGTCATCAACTGTACTCCCACGAATCGATGTAGTGGACGCCGATAGTATCCCTCTTCTGCTTTTGCATGTCCCTGAAGTTCTTACTTAAAGTATCTACCCAAGTTGGCCAGTCTCCGCGCCCAGGACCGTGCCAAGCACGGCAGGGAATCTGGGCTCTGGCATCGGGCAATGATTGGCACATGCATACACATATCCTGGTCAGAGATGCTCCCCAATGATCAGCGAAGGGAGTTTATTTTCCGCGTATTACGTGTAAACCGAAACCAGTGCTAACCCCTAAATAAGACTCCAACCTCTCTACTGAATCCCTACCGCGGTGTCGTCTCGTGGACTTTAAAGGAAGTGATATGTCCGCTCCCATGCCAAGAACCCTTAATTTATGAAGACGAAAGCTTGGATCCGTTGCCAAATGATTGTCCACCAATGCCTCTAAACTGCTCAAAAAGTAGCCGGGAGAGGTAATTACTTGAAATAACAAGATGTTTCCGTTGCATGGTTCAAGAGGAGGGGACGAAGAGTTAGTACACAAGGAATTTGTGAGTGACAGCCTCCTGAATTAAATGCTAGTCCTGGTTCGAAGTCTCTCCATCATCCAATCCATTATGTACACCAAGGCGATTCAGTTGCTTGCAGCACTCGCTGTTGCCCTCCCGGCGGTCCATGCCTGCGTCGCAAAGGACGCCTTGCCCCAGGCTACGCAGACCATCACCAACTCAAAGACCATTGAGGTCGCCGCGGGCCAGACCTATGATGGAAAGAATGCGCGTTTCGACAGAGGGGCGGGTGCCTGCAAGGAGCAGACAGAAGGAGGTGAGTAACTAGAGGTCCCATCGAGCAAGGTTCAAGTACGCCTAAGCTGATTATCCTCGAAGGCCAGGCAGACACTGTCTTTCTACTCCGAAAGGGCGCGACCTTGAGGAACGCAATCATCGGCAAGAACCAGGGCGAAGGGGTGTACTGTATCGGCGGTGGGTGTACCATCGAGAACGTCTGGTTCGAGGATATCTGCGAGGATGCCATCTCCATGTACAGTCCCCTCCCCAGACTGCAACTGTATTTCGTAATGAGCACAGAGCAGTGCTGACGCGATTTCCCACCGGCAGCAAGGAGGATACCGCCGGGACTGTAACTAGAATCATTGGCGGCGGTGCGTATCACGCCTCGGACAAGATCATCCAGCACAACGGATGCGGCAGCGTCAGTGTAAGTCAATCGCGGCGAAGACCTCGGGCCCTGGCTCATTGTAGGAGCTGACGACGGTAGATCACAAACTTCTATGCACGGGACTATGGCAAGGTCTACAGAGCTTGCGGCACCGTAAGTATCAGCTGCCTTGGACAACCTGCCCGGACTGAAAGCGTTTGGCTAACCCTATCCTAGTGCGACAAGTGCAAGCGTACCGTCACCGTCACGGGCGTGTCTGCTTACGGCGGCGGGGAGGTTGTCGGCATTAACAAGGACACCGGCGACGTGGCAACACTGAACAATATCTGCACTGACGCCAAGACTCCTTGCCAGCTGTACAGCGGTCCTGGTGAGAAGGCTGGAGCTTGCTAAGCGCTCGTTCTCACAGCTTGTTCCATTTGTGCTGTCATATCTGATAGGCTGGCGAGGGAAGCGTCGCGGTCAAGTCCTGTGTAGTGGTTTTCTCCTATAGAAGCAACCACTCTTCGACATTCGTACATAAGATACTTCTTCGGACCTTAGTATTCCCAACTCTTGAAGCCTATCCAACTATCGTTCCTGCTTATTTGAGGTTTAGCTACCGCTAGCTTCTGTGCGCTCTACTAGTATTGAATACGAACGTTGTAGCCTATCTAGGCTCACAGCCTGCCCATTCTCCCAAATTGCCTGATGCTTTCCAGATATTGAAAGACTAGGCCCATCTGATTCGGAGATTCGGAGACCCCTCGTAGTTGCCAGGCGTTTCCAGGAACGAATAGACTGAAGAAACCTGAACAGAATGCTTTGTTCGGAAAAAGTCTTCGGAAGCGCCGGCATGCAAAATACCAGGAGTGCAGAGGTCGTTTCAGGCAGCATCCACATCAGCAAAGTTGAAAGCGTATCTAGAGACTCAGTCAGAGAAACAGTTATGTCGAAATTAAAATACTCAGTGACAGTCTCGAAAACGAGGTAAAAGTAGAACACATACATGTCTCGTCACCGTCAAAATCCGCCTGGAAGGTCGCGACAAGGCGGCCAATTGCGCATGCCACTGTCAACAGGCCCACAGAGAAGATAACGGAAACACCAACCCGGGTACGTCCCCGCATCTGCATGGCCCAGATAATGTGCTGAGGAAGGAGGAGGACGGCGACGTCCAACAAGACATTGAACAAAGCGGTAGTTAGCGCCAGAGACCTACGGTTAACGCAGTGGCCAGGGACCCAGGAATGCCAAATCGACTCATGCGGGATACATGTTATCGCCGAGAGAATAAAGCTGGAAGCGTAGAGCAATATGTTGGCCACGATCAAAACACTGCTGGACCACCAGAAGAAAACTTTGATCCTTCTCGGTGAGAAGATCCGCATCCATTCGAGTAACATTGCTGTCTTCACGAACAGCAGTGCCGCGGTATAAGAACACGGGATGCCAAATGCGAGGTCCTACCCGAGATCAGTGAACGTTTCAAAAATAAGACAAAGACTTCCTGGATGCGGCATGTGTTCGTCAGACTAACCTTGGCAATAGGAGGCGCGGAGCTAATACGGATGTTCCACTGGTGTACCCAAAAACCGCAGATGTACAACATGTGTAGGTACACCGCGACCATGGCCACGAAGCTGACCTATTTATTGTCAGCAAGGATAGAGGTCGATCGCAAGAAACACTTCTTGGCGGCTAAACAGGCCTGATTTCAACATACAAAAGCAGCAATCCCCAGATCTGTAATAGTCATTTATCTTAGGTTAGGTAACAAAGCCAAATGACTTTAAAAGGTTTATCTGGGCGCCATACTAACAGTCCTCAATGTGGAGCTTCTTGACTAAGAATGCTCTCGAATACACACGGCCAAGTAATGCCAACATGGATAGAATCAAGCACACAATAATAACAGCAAGAGCCTCGCGGTTTCCGTTCGGCGGGTCCGTAAAGTCCGGGGTCACTCCTTCAGGTGGCGTCGCTGCGGGGCCATTCAAGATTTCCTGCTGGTCCGATGGGGAAAGGTTGGGAAAGTCGTTTTTGCTATTCATTGTTGTGCTGCCTCGTCAAGCAAATCCCATGTGCAAAGCAGGAACCTAATCAAGTCTGGGAAAAGGGATGGCTCCGGGTCTTTAATCGCTCGGTGACAGGTCGTCAGAATGTGACTGCAACTATTCTTCTTCAATGAGAGCAATACAGGACTGGCCAGCGAGGAGATGAGGCTTTCCGTTGTCAAAAATAGCATCGAGCGTTGGAGCCTGCATATTTCAAGCTGCAACGCTCTCCCAGCCCTGTACAACACATGCAGAATTCAGGCATTGGATTGGGAAGCTGCTTTATAGATGTTGTGAAGCACCAGCCCGTGCATAGTAATGTGCACCAATAGTACAGGTAAAGTTGCTGATGTTGCATGTCATGGTGCGTAATCATGACAGCGGTCTCAAATTGTCCTACATCGGTAACAAAAAAATGCCATCCGCATCCAAACTGCATATGGAGGGGCAGCAGCTAATCAAGTAACATTCCCTGCCCCCAACAAAACAAAACCAACCATCACAGATGTGTGGACGGAAGTAATCATGTCGAAGATGCTGCAGGCTGCGGGCCGCAGCGACCCAAAATGTCAGTGATCATCTTCAATGTCACCATATCTCAAATTAGTATTCCCCGGAATTTTACGCCCGCAAGCAACTGCCAACTGCAAAAAATTTTATTTAAAGAATAGATCGCCGTTAGGTTCATGCCCCTCTAGGGCATAAAGATCCGTGCGGCCATCTGTCTACTCATTAGGTGAATGCTCGCTACATGAAAAATAGCGTAAGACGTCAATTGCATCATCTTCGTTACTGGGGTAAATAACGGAACAGGAACACCAGTCTGGACCAGAAATCCTGTCTGGTGACTCATTATTCGAGTGGATTTGTCAACTTGGTCTTTGGAAGGATTTTCGGGGTTTCAGATGACCAATGGCGAGTTGCAGGGCTTAAAGTGATGCCTAACGCCCACCCATGGGGTTGGATGTTCTGAACTGAGCACTAGACCTCGTAACATGACTCACCAGGACTGGCCTTTTCCCAAGATTGACGGCCAGACTCTTGATTCCGTTCTCAGCACACCTCCAAACCCTCACAGCACTTGCATCTCCACACACGGATAGCAGAATGATCGCTTCAACAACCGTCCTCCCCCTCTCATCAGCAGAGAAGATAGCGTCGTACCAACTTCTCCCGCCCAATGGCCTAGCGAGCGAGGCAGCCCAGGCAGCGCACCGCATCAACATCCTCAACAGCTGGGGCACAGACGTGATCAAGCCCGGCAGCCGCGTCCTCGAGATCGGCTGCGGGCAGGGCAACTGCACCGCCGTGCTGGCCGAGGCGGTCGGCCCGACGGGCCACGTCGATGCGTGCGACCCCGCCCCGCCAGACTACGGAGCGCCATTCACGCTTGCCGAGGCGCAGACGCACCTTTCGGAGAGCGAGATTGGCAGCAGGATTACATGGCACAGGGGGAAGCCTTGGGAGCCCGCCGCACCGGATCAGGAAGGGACAGGTGTATCCGAACGGAGGTGGGATGTCGTCGTGCTGGCGCACTGTGTGTGGTACTTCAAGGGGCGCGATGAGCTTTCCAATATCCTTGGGGATCTGAAGGCAAAGGTAATAGAGGGCGGCAAGGTGTGTATCGCGGAATACGTGCTGCACGCCACGGAGAAGGCGGCGTGGCCTCATGTCCTGGCCGCCTTGGCGCAAGGGACCTTGCAGGCGCTGAGGACCGAGGAGAGCCAGGAAAATATCCAGACACCTCTCAGTCCCCACCAGATCAAGTTTATCGCCCATGATCAGGCCTGGCGCCTTGATCATGAGGCAGTGCTTGTTCCCGAGGACGGTCTCCTAGATGGGAGCTGGGAAGCTGGATCAATTGCTAGTGAGGATTTCTTGGGAGAGGTGGAACAATCCGTGGCTAGGAAGGATTGGAAATCAGATGCAATGTTGAAAGCCATGCGTGCGTCGGTTCTAGTTGCCGTGGAAGCTGTTGGTGGTGTGAAGAAGACGCGAACGATGGATGTGTGGACGGGCGTGTTCTCCACAAACGTGGACCAGCGACAGTGAGGGTCGACAAACATCACCAAAGACCGTAATCAAAAGATTAATGGGTCTCTTTCTTCCATTCAACATGACGAAAACTTGGGGCATGCACATGTACTTCACTTTCTCGCTGCGCTATTACTCATCAGATCGGTAGCCAACACCCTGCCGTCTATTGGAAGCATTACCAGATTCACTCATATGATTGATCGGTGTGAATTCCGTACCTTTTGGGTCTATCTTCACGGCCCCACACTGCACTGCCTTGTTGACGGAGCTGAGAGGTTACCACGAAGGAAAGTAACGAGTGCTGGGCGGACCCACTACCGGTGGATCCGAGGTTTAGCCGCGGACTTTACAGGAGGTAAGAGGGAGTTAATCATGTTGAACTCTTCGTCGTGTACCATTTCGTTGTCTTCATCACCAGGGAATGATTGGCTGTGTGGAAGTGCGGCCTGCAAAGTGTCTCGACATCGGATATCAACTGCCGGTGTATGGTTCTATAAGCAATACTACGGCCCATCTGGATTGAAATCAAGCATCTTACGATGTCAAGCCAGTGATCTCCATCTCAAACATGAATTTCTCATCGTCCACGGACTTTTGCTTGTGAACTCGACTCTAGCACGCGATGTGCCTTTCGGGGTCCGTAGCAACTTCCACGTAATCACAGAAGTTTGGCAGACATCAGGATAAAGGCAATCATATCGAACAAGATAGTTGCCGAACTACTTCCGACATATGAAAATGAAGCCAGGTCACCCTTCTCGGCCCTTTCTGTGGCTCGGTAACGAGCCATACGCGTACTCGTCTGCATGCATGATTTACGGGTTCCACGGTTAGGAAATCACATCTGGCGATCAACCCCTGTGCGTGCAAGAGACGTCATGCACATAGATAAGGTCTGTTCAGTGGAGTTGGTGATCAGTGGATTATACTGGGTGCGTGCAAGACCCAAAGTGTTATCGCCGCCGCTTGTATTGCCCGGTCCACTACTCGATCCGGATATTTGTTCTGATATCTATGCCAGTATTGATCTTGTATATACAAGAATGGTCTTGCACCTTTGAAGTTGGTCTGGAATGCAAGAAGACATCCTCACGCTCTTGACAGTCAAAATGAATGCAACTATGCGCGGCGTAGCCATGATTGGCGCCGCATACAATATTTCCGTCCTCGACTTCCCTCGACTTCATCGAGAATGAACCCGACGGTTACCTCGACATGTCGTTGCCTACCAACATTTTGGATGAGATTTGAAGGTGTTGTTCCACTACTCCCAGTCTATACCCCGCGTCACAGAGCAGACTCCTGGGTGACCTTTGAGCTCAGATTCGATTTTAGAATGGCAACTATCTCTGCTTTCTAGTCTCTTCCTTGTTATTTATGCTCGCTGAGAACTCCTGACTGAATGGATAGTCGATGTAACCACTCTTTGTCTTGGGCGCATGGAAAGTTTCCCGGTTGTAGGGATTCGGAATCAGGCCCTCTCGAATTCGGAAAGGAAGGTCGGGTGTGGAGATGAAGTATCTCCCGAACATGACGACGATGTCTTTGTCCGGAAACTCCTGGTCAACCGCCTGCCTCGCCAATCCCGGCGTGAAGCCACAGCCACCAGGACGGGCCCATCGAACTGTTGGAAGGCAAAAGACAGGCTCTCTGAGCCCTCGGCGTCCACATTCCCGGCTACCCTAGACTCAATGAGGTGGACGTATGCGATTCCCAGGTGGTTCACCTTCCGAATGACGTCCGTGAACTGCGGGACAGGATCGGCCATCCTCATGTTGTTGTAGGTACTCCATGGGCTGAGACGCACCCCAGTCCTCTCCGGCCCGACGGCCTCACTCACAGCCCTCACAGCTTCGACGGCGAAACGGGAGCGGTTCTCCACGCTGCCACCGTACTCGTCCTCCCGGTTGTTGGTGCGGTCGGAGTGGAACTGGTCGATCAGGTACCCATTAGCGCCGTGCAGCTCGACGCCGTCGAAGCCGGCGGCGATGGCGTTCTCTGCGGCCCTCGTAGTTGCGGACCCTGTCTTGGATCTCGACGGTGCTCAGCGGAGTGGGCCGGCGCTCCTCGTCCAGGCCGATGTTGCCCGAGCTGACGATCTTGATTCCCTCCGCGGCGGCGACGTCGGCGTAGACGTCGCGGCCGAGAGCCCAGAGCTGGCAGAAAATGTAGCTGCCTTTGGCGTGGACAAGATCCGTGACCTCCTTCCAAGCGTCTATTTGTCTCTGGTTGTAGATTCCCGGGGCGTTGGCGTGGCCGCCATCTTCGGGGGAGATAAGCACGCCCTCGGTGATCAGCAGAGTTCCAGGGACACAAGCTCTCTGTCCGTAGTATTCTTTAACAAACTCCAGGGGAACGTGGTCATCCGAAGCTCGGTAGCGGGTTAAAGGGCTGAGCCCCACGCGATGGGATAAGGTCAATTTGCCAATCTTGAGTGGCTGGAAGAGCCGAGAAGAAGCCATTATACCTAGTGAGTAAGACGTATGACGTAAACTGTTTCTAGTATCTGTGAAATAGTTAATAGTGTTTGATGATTGTCAGTTCTATTAGTGCGCCGAGTCAGTATAAATAGTCATCAGTTGGGCTGTAGGGGATTGTTACCTAGGTATTTTATCCGCATTGATTAGCGAGATCGTAAGCAGCCTCAGTGACAGCGCAGATTCCAGCGAGAGGCAAATACATTCTAGAAGTGCTGAATTGTCAGGTTCATTCTGAATCCCGACTTAGGGCCGTCTTGGCGAATATGGTATTGCTGCAGTTCTTTCTCATTCCATGCTAAATCCCAACAATTCTCCCGAGCGGTTCTGGTGCCATAACTTCTTCTTTCACTGTATTCTTGATGTAGCACCACGATAACGCATTGTCTAACGTACCACTTTTGCATGGATGGCCTCATGTCATTTCGGAAAGAAATGGAATCAAGGGGCAACCCATTGGGTACTATGCAAGGGAGGGCTTACTCATAGCCCTCCCACCGGCATTCCATCTTGGTAAAGTCTGGTATTCAATGTTTAGTGATCATTTCCCAACCACCTCACATCCGGCTTGAAAAGCAAGTTGCTTGCTTGTCTGCGAACTCTAAATACTGTGGTTTGGTGGGCGAGAACTCCACATTCTCAACTGGACGATGAAAAGCAGGAATAGTGACAGGGTGTAATATTCGATTACTGAACGCCTTACTGCGTATTGTCGCCTATTGCCACGATAAGACGCAAAACTTCATATTAAAAGGACCGTTTGAGAATATTGAACATCAACCAACAGCTCCCACATCTCAAATTGTGTCCCCTTCTTAACGCCATCTAAAAGACTATCAAACAAGTCACGAATATTGAACCACACCTATACCGAGGATGTCTTCTCCTTTTAAAAATATCGTCATTATCGGCGCCTCAGGCTCCATAGGTAGCATAATACTCGAAGCCTTTCTCAACACTCCCACTGTGACAACCACAATCCTTCAACGCGCCTCTTCCTCCAGAGCGGCTTCCCCTCCTTCAGCTCACGTCGTAACCATCCCAGACGACTACCCCCACGACCCACTCGTCGCCGCCTTCGCGAACCAAGACGCAGTGATCAACTGCGTCACAACCCTCGCCGTGCGCACCCAGCTCCGGATCATCGCCGCCGCCGCCGAGGCCGGCGTCCGGCGCTACGTCCCCTCCGAGTACGGCCTCAACAACAACAACCCGGCCGCCCGCGCGCTATGCCCCGTCTTCCGCGAGAAGGGCGAGGTGCAGGACCACCTCCGCACCCTGGAGCACCGCATGGAGTGGATGGCCGTCGCGAGCGGCATGTGGCTCAGGTGGAGTGCGGTGCACGAGTTCCTCGGCATGCACATCGCCGAGAGGAAGGTTGTCCTCTGGGACGATGGCGAGGGCTTGTTTAGCACGACGACTGAGGAGAACACGGCTCTCGCGGTCGTGAACGCGCTGACTAAGAAATGGGAGGAGACAGCGAATAAGGTCGTCTTGCTCAGCGATTTTGCGGTGTCTCAGAAGCAGTTGCTAGAGGCAGTTGAGCGGTTCACGGGTGAGAAGTTCGAGACAGAGTTCATTGACTCGGAGTCATTCATCCTGGAGAAGCAGGCGGCTGCCCTGGCTGGTGATGGTGGGGCTGCGTATGCACTGATTGAGACAGGCTTTGTTACTGGCAAATATGGGGGCTATCTGGAGGACGAAGGCGAGATTATGAATGACCTGCTGGAACTTCCAAGGCGGTCATTTGCGGAAGTTGTCAAGGCCGCTGTTAAGGCGGTGAAGACGTTATGAATACGGTGCTCGGGATGTCTCACGGCGCAGAATGTATTCAGCGTGCATCTAATTCCCTCATTAGTTGACTGCATATGCCTTTGATCTTGCCTAAATCCGAATTTGCCATGGCGTTCGCGTACAATCTAGCCTCTCCTTGTCCTTAAGGAGATTGATAAATAGCGCCTGCAGTGTGTTGGGGGCGGGTTATCTGCCTGGCGTAGATGGGAGCACACCAAGGAGTGGTCTGATTCTTTGCATAATCGACGAAACGACCAAGTAAACGAATTTCACCATCTGCACATGGTACAACCACACTGCTGGCGGCCGCTCTGCCCGTCTTTGCAGACACTGGCACACATCGCAAAGCCAATGAACTTTCATTCTGACGCGGCCGCAAGGTTGTGAGCAAAGTTCATTCGCCAAAAATGTTGCACACTGCACGCGGTGAGCTCGACTGCCTAAAGCTCAGCCGCCAACCCCTCCCAGACTCAGCTCAAGTGGATCTTCTTTAGTCTCGTGCCCTTCCCTTACTTGTCTCCCTCATTTTAGTTCATAGACTCTCTCGCCCTCTTTTGACTTACATGAATTTGACTCTTTGGTGGTCGATTTCCGCCGTGATTCTGTCCTTATTCTTAAAGCCTCTTCCAACACTCCAATCATCAATCATGGATCCCGTGAGCATTATCGGCATAACCGCTGCCGCTGTCCAATTCGCGGACGTCGGAAAGCGCCTTCTGTCGCGGTTTCATGAAATTGACGGCCGGACCGATCAAGAGAGGGAAGCTCTCACATTGCTGGGAGACTTGCGCCAGATGGCTGCGCAGACACTAGACCATCCCATCTGCGCAAAACACTGCCGCATGATGCACGACCAGACACGGGTTTTCAATTCCGACGAGAATCCTACAGCCGTTCTCCAGGAGGTGGAGTCCATTCCTACCGAGTTCGAGGGTATCCTAACACGTCTGGCGGCACGGTCTGATGTTAGTGGCGAGGGTGGCAGCAAACGCGTGTCGAAATCATTGGGGGCGGCCGCCGGGAGCATGTACGATGAGGGCATGGTTAAGAAGCTACGCGCGCGGTTGGACGAGACAGAGAAGCGAGCCATACGATTTACAATTCTTTCTTTATGGTAAGTAGAGCTCAGTTCCATGACCATGAAATGCTGACATGTCTAGGATCCAAACGAAAGAAAGTGCTATAAGAGTTGAACAGTTCGGCTCCAGGATAAATGATGTTCTGGATACTGTGGGACGAATCGAACGCCAGAGCAACAAAGACACAGCCACCGAAGGATCGAACAGCAAATCCGTAGCAACAGAACGAATTATTGAACGACGATGACGTCAACGTTGGGGCCAGAGTGTATCGAGAACTGGTCCAGGAGCTGTGGATGTCAGCACGCAGCCCAAAGCTAGAACCGGCCAAGGTGGCGGACGACTTTGCGCTGAACATCCAGTGCGCAATAAGCAGAGGCCTTGTGTCTGGCGTCTTTGACGAGATCAGCAACAGGGAGAAGCTTATTGCAGATGCATACGAAAACACATTCTCATGGGTCTTTCAGAAAACCCCGGTGATCGAGGCCGGAAAACACCTCTGGTCAAGCTTTCCTAAGTGGCTCGAGGGTAATGACAAGTCGGTATTCTGGATCACGGGGAAGCCGGGGTCCGGGAAATCAACACTGATGAAGTTCATTCTCTCAAGTGACGAGCTCAGAAAGTTTCTCGAGAAATGGGCGGCCGGACTTCCGCTGCAAGTGACGAACTTCTACGCCTGGGTTGCCGGATCAGACTTACAAAAGTCTCACCTAGGTCTCATGAGGACTGTACTGCATCAATGTCTCCAATCAAATCCTGGCCTAGCTTCGGCAGTTGCCCCACGAAGATGGGCTCTCTTCTCTACGCTGAGGAGCTGCGAAAAACAGCCGACTTGGGAGGAGTGGGAACTGAAAGAGTCTTTCGAGTATCTGCTGTCGGGAATGGTCAAGACACATCGACTTGCATTCTTCATTGACGGACTGGATGAGTTTGAGGTGTCTCCGGCTCATACCTTGGCTCTGGTGAAGGATATTGGTGCCCGCGATGGTATCAAGGTCTGCGTTGCCAGCCGTCAGTGGAGAGAATTCAACGACGAGCTCGGGAAGTATCCGGTGCTACGGATGCAGGATCTTACGGAAGAAGACATGACACACTTCGTTAGGGGCACCTTCTCCTCTAACAGAGGTTTCCAGGAGCAAATCCATATATTTCCCGACGAGGTCGAGTCCATCATACTGGAGATTGTCAACAAATCAAGCGGCGTCTTCCTATGGTCATATTTGGTTGTCAAAAACTTGTCCGAAGCCTTTACAGACGGCGAGGGACTGCTGCGGTTGAAAGAAATCCTCCACAGTCTCCCGGAGGATCTCAAAGATCTTTATACGAGCATCTGGGGACGCATGGGTCACCGCAGTCGAGACTTTGCGAAACTGATGGCTCTATTCAGGGCGTCAGAAGGACCACTGCACTTGCTGAATCTATGGGTGGCAGATGGCGGGCCCCAGGGCCTTACTGGATTTGACCTACTCAATCTCTCCGTCGTTCGCTTGTCAGGCATTCGCAGTCAAGTGATACGTCGCCTCGACAGTCATACACGTGGGATCTTGGAGCTCTCCAAGGACGACAACGTCGAGCTACTCCACCGTACTACCTTGGACTGGGCCAAGAGAGAGGAGATTTGGAGTGACATAAGCTCGCATCTGGATGCGGACTTTGACCCTTTCATTGAACTAATAGAAGCTGAAGGTATCATGACGCGGAGGAGGCTGAGACATATTGATATGCCTTGGCGACAATCTGAGCCGGATCCGACCTTGACGCAACGGATTTATGAGGTCTTGCGCTACGCGAACAAGGTCAGGCCCTCTGTCCCCAACACGCAGCGACTCGTCCAAATCCTTGACGACTTCGACAAGGACATGACAGACACGTGGAGCCCGATGGGAGGCAACCGTGACGCGATGGGCAACAAAATCCGAAACAGTGATTGGCCGTACTATCAAGGTCCGGAATGCGACTTCCTCGGCCTCACCGCTCGCTATTGCGCGGTGAGCTACGTAGACTCCAAGCTCGCCGCAAGTCCACGGCTGCTATACGACACTGTGCATCAAGGACACTCGCTACTAGATAACTCCATTTACGGTCACCATTACACCAAGGATGCCAGACGTGTACCCATCGAGGCAAGGATACGCATGGTGGCGTGTCTGCTCAATTGGGGGGCTTCTCGGGGAAAATTCTCGCTAGGACGTCGTGTCAGCGTGTGGGGGCGGGCGCAGACGCAGGGAGCGGTGAATACAGATGAGGAGACCGAATATGAGATATACTGGGAAGAGGTTGACCGGTTGCTCATAGCAAGAGAATCTGCCTCGTCAGCCGGACACCTGAGGGGGTTTCGTCGAGGAATATTTCGTCAACTTTCAGCTCTACTACGATATGTATGCTATCATTAGCCAACATGCTTAGGTTCTTGAATGGATCTGGTCTACTCTGGAGCTTCGTGAGCGCCCAGGCACTGGTCCTGTGCAGCCTGAGTTCTTGAAAGTTTGACTTCTTGCCTCCTGCGGGTTGTCTATGCAGCAGATGAACGAGTCTTGCCCACAAAGTCACACCATCTATCAACAATGTCAAAAGCAAAGAGAAGTTCCTCCGGGTGTTCTCACGCAGTGAGTCCCGTTCCCAATCACTCCCTCCCGGGACCATGCGGCCTCCGAGCCCGCTGGTCCTGCCCCTGCGGCGCATCCTTGTGCTCCTTGTGCTCGAACCAGTCCTTCCACTCCTCAAAGACCTGGTCCTTGAAGAAGACGCCCGCGTCCGAGACCCGGCCGTGGACGAGCTCGTGCAGCAGCTCGTGCCACCAGCCGTGCCTGTCGTCGTAGTACTCGAGCATCATCTGGGCGATGACGCTGGGGCCCATGTCGGCCAGGGCCCAGTAGCCCTCGCCCTCGCAGAAGTGGAACGAGCTGCTGTAGTTCTGGCGCTCGACCCTGAACGCGGCCCAGCGGTCCAGGGCGTCCTTGACTTCTGTGTTGCGCGTGAGGTTCATGTTGATGATGTCGGCGGCGGCTTGCTGTTCGGGAAAATGCCTGGCAGTCAGCATAGATCAGGCCTTTGGATATGTACGCTGACAGTTGGTGTCGACTAAGAGATTGGCATGGCGCTGTAAGACCTTAGTGTTTAGGATGTCCTGAGGGTCCAACTTGTAGGATAGATCCTTCTCGAGCTTGTTATCTATTGGCAAAGTGTTAGCAGCTTGTCGAGTTGATAATGTTTCTGGGTGCTGCAGGTTTGTTTTCCGTACATAGGACAACAGCCATAAAGTCTTTTCCGCTCGTCAATCGGTATACTACCAATGGCAGGATCTTTGGCCCAAGCGCAACAAGGGCATCCCACTCAGGCCCGGAGGCTCGGGTGTCCGAGTTTGGTGAAACGCTATTGCCGTTGCTGAACCATGTGTTCTTCCAAGCGGCATACTTGGTCTCGAAGCCTTTGACGAGGTCGGGAGACGCGGTCTTGAGCTTGTTGTACAGGTCCGTGGCCGATTTCTTCGCCGCAGCACTGGGAGGTGGGACGGGGGCGAAAGGATCCATGCGGGGCACTTTTGCGTATTTGGATGAAGACGAGGACGGTCGGGAGGAAGATGAAGACGAAGACGGAGGATTGGAAGAGGACGAGGTGGATGGTCGGGAACTTGGGGGTGAAGAAGAGGAAGCGGACGGCGGCTGCGGCGGGGCCTTGTTTCCAGTGGGCGCTTTGCGGCTGGGGCTGAGCTGTTGTTGGCTGGACCCGGTTTTACAGCCGCGGCACCGTGCAGCGTGGAAGGCGGATGGGGCACCACTGGGAAGGGGGGCGCAAGGCTGGAGTGGGGGTGACCCATCGGGTTCGTCCCAGACGGGTAGTGAGGACCACCTGGATTCGCGTTGCGAGGGTCCTGGGGGCCTGGGGGCTTCACTGGCAGCTTGTTGGCCGACTTGCCCGGAAGAGAAGGATGTCCCGGATGCTTTTTGAAGTGGCCATAGATGGTACCAAATGTGATGGGTGGCGCTTTGGCTCCCCATGGCCTCGTGTCTTCCAAGGCTTGCCTGCCGTGCTGCACGACTGTGGCCAACTTGGACGAGCTGAGCTTCTTCGCGGGGTCGTCGTTGCGATGAGCATGCAAGACTTTTGCCAGGGTGTTAGGACAATGCAGGGTAGTGGCCGCTAATCACTTCGCCGGTCTTTTTATGCTTCACTTCGGGAACGTTTCTTGATAATGTTGCCGGTGCGTCGGGAATATCGTACATATCAACCTCGGCCTCGGCGGTACTGCACGCGACGTAGTAGTAATGGGCATCTGCCAATTCTTGACATTAGCTATCCATATGCATGACGTCCAAACAACTTGAAGTGCTGTAAGGGGATGATAACCAATTACTCACAGAGTATTTTCATTTGCTCGCGGTTCCCTCCGTCAAACCATCTATCCTGGAAACCTACCGACCAGGCGAAGCAATTGTACGAGGTCTCGTCCACACCTTGAGCAGTCTTGTAGACTTTGAATTCCCCGATGTTTGGATATTTGTTAGGTCCAGTCTTGTATGTCGCCAGTTCTCCCTCAGTCGGAGCTCTGAGCTGATTAGCGGGCGGTGTTGGAACAGGGCTCCATGTGGCTGGCATTTTGGCAGTATATGAAGGCTGAAAGAGTAACGTCTCAAAGCAGGTACTTGGTCTGGAACAGACAAGATTGAAATAATATGAAGACAGTGGTATTGATAGTATGAATGAATTGATGATGGTTCCAAAACTGCTTCCTCGTCCTATTCCAAGCTTCTTATACACTTCAAGTGCTGCTCGCGGAAGTGTCGCTGAGGTTATTCGCTTGGAGTAGATCTATTTTCGCGATCACATCCTGTACAACATTTCAGGCCCGTTGTGTAGATGAGGTCCCCAGACTTGGTCTGTATCCTATTCTTGGGTATCATTTGAGGGCTGTGAAAGGTTGCAACATGGCCTTTAGAATCAACCAACCGCACTCACTGAGCAAATGGAATGAAGTTGTGGTCGCCTCTACACACAGGAGACGAGGCTTTAGGAACACTACGTGCCGCTCGCTACGATTGCTTACTCCTCGATTTTTTCACCGTGGCTGGACATGAGACGGGCAACCCGTAAATTCAACCAGGCCCGTTTGGCTCGAGGGTCCTTAGAATAGCATTCTGTTGGTCCTAAGCAGCCACTGTTAATCCTCCGGACAACTCCCGACCCGCACTTGTGGGTCCTTGGCCGTGTCTACCTAAGCACGCCTCAATGTTCCCGGCGGGCAGGCTACCAAATCGTCTTGGCTGTGCTCTGGTCACTCTCCGATTTCACGTGCTCAATTTTCTCGTCAGAGTGTGTTCTTTCCGTAAATACTGCACATAATTGCGTGTTGAGGAGGTCAATGCTGTGACGCCCAGACTGTACTTAGGCCAGTAGAGCGGAGACGTTGATGGTAGCGAATGGTGTCTCGCCGAGACTGTTGGATACTGGCCTGTTTCCTGACCTCATCTGACCTCATCCGATCCTTTGCAGCAGAAAAGCAGGCGAGGCGGCGGCGTCTGCTGGGCTGTTGGTGTGCGTACGTTGGGGTCCAGGGCATCTTGAGCTCTGCCGTAATCGTCCCCAAGAAGTGGAGATGGACCCATCGAGTACATATCGGGCAGACCCAGTACATAGGGCTGATCTTGGGTTGGTCTTGGCCAGGCCAAGACCAGATCTGCCATGGCCTCAAATTCTGTTTTTTCAGGTCTGCTGCCTAGCAGATGGCTTAGTTTATGAGTTGACCCCCACGTACAGTGATTCAGTCGTAGCTTCATTACCAGAAGTGAATGTCGGAGAGAAGGACAGGACGTAGAGGACTCAGACGTCCCGTCCCGAAACTCGGCAGAATCCATGACTCTGCTTCCTATGTGATAAATTTCAACTTGAGAGGCCTCTATTGGACCCCTACGTAGGTGCCAAGTGGGAGAGGGCTAACTAACATGTCACCTGGCGAATTGATTGGATGGAGGCGATGGGATGATGATACTGGCTGTTTCAATGGCCAGCGAGTATAGATTGTCACTATATACATAAAAAAGGCTAGAGAGCTTTAGTATGCCAGCGTCTCCTATCTTGTTCAATCTGTACCCTGTACCCAGCACGTATCAAACACATTCCTGCTTGTTTCTCGGCACAAAGTCCAAACACCTCAAGAATCTCATAACACAGCTCAGGTAGAGCCGACGGCCTTGACAACTAGCCAATTAAGCCTTGACCAAGGTGAGGCCGTAGGTGGACAGGATCTCATTGACGGGCTGGAAGTAGGTCGTGCCGCCGGAGCTGCAGTCGCCAGAGCCTCCGGAGGTGACACCCTGGGCCTGGGCGCCGGTGTAGAAGGAGCCGCCAGAGTCGCCGGGCTCGGCGCAGACGTTGGTCTGGGTGAGGCCGGTGACGCGGCCCTCGGAGTAGTTGACCGTCGCGCCCAGGGCGCGGACCGTGCCGCAGTGGACGCCGGTGGTGGAGCCGGAGCGGCAGATGCTCGCGCCGGTGGACGAGGCGGTGCTGCCCGAGACGGGAAGGTTGCCCGAGCCGTAGCCGTCGATGGTGCCGGTGAGGGTGGTCCCGCTGACGGTGCGGATGTAGCTCATGTCAGCGCTTCCTGGGAAGACGGAGCCCGAGAAGGTTCCCAGCGACCCACCGCTGCTGCTGGTGGTGGCAGTGCTGCCTGCGGTGCCACAGTGGCCGGCCGAGACGAAGCCGGTGGTGACGGAGAAGCCGATGGAGCAACGAGCAGCCCGGTTGATGTAGTAGGCGTCGCCGCCGCGGACGGTGGCGAAGGTGGTCGGCAGGTTCTCAACTGTCTTCACTCGAACTCGCCTGCGACGAGGCCGACCTGCGAGGCCAGAGACTCGGCGTGGGCGGTGCTGTCGGCGAGAGCCTCGAGGACGAGCTTGTTGGCGGCGACGTCGACGTAGTACGCGGCGATGCCCGAGGCGGCCGAGTCGGCGCCAGCAGCGAGGGTGCTGGGCTGCTCGATGTCGATGTTGTCGAGAGCATTCTTAGCCTCCTCAAGCTTGCCGAAGCTGTTGGCCACGACAGCCGGGGTGGCGCCAGCAGCAGTCACATCGGCGGCCAGGGCTGCGTCAGTGACGGCGACGTTGAGAGTGCCGTCCTCGGACGTCCAGGCGCCGGCGAACGAGTCACCCGCCACGGTCTTCAGCTGCTCGATGGTCTCGGCGGCAGCGATGTCCCTAGCGACACGGGCATGGGCCTGCTCGGCGTCAAGCCCCAGGTCGCGCTTCATGGCGGCGAGGATCTCCGGGTGGAGGCTGTTCGCGGCTTGCGTGGGGGCACCGTAGGCGACGGGCAGGACTGCTGCCAGGAAGGCGAGGAACTTGACGAGCTCCATGACTAGCGTTCTGAAGACAAATAATACGTGGGAGAAAGAGGCGTTAATGTTTCAGAGGCTAGAGAGTAGGCAAGATGAGTCGATGCTGCTGCTGCTACAAACTACCAGACAAGACGAGGGCATGCGGACGCTTTTATGCTTATTCTGACTCCAGTATCGTGAGGTGCACCACGCTCCTGTTGTTGCTGTCTCAAGCAGAGCACTACATTAGACCACCTGCCGCCGAATTCCTCCTTCCCAATCTGCGCCAATCCGCTCACCGCGATGTTACCCAGGTTTCGATAGCATCGGCATACATCTTCTAAAGGCACTTCAGAAGACTTCCCCCCTGCGATGTTACAACAAAATACGGCAGTCCTTCGAAGGAATCTTTGGAGATATCGAACGCCCGCTGCGCGACAAGCCGGCACATGGCCTAATGGGAAGGAGGAAGAGGGAGCCAAGAGACTAGACGGGACCTCTTGATAGAGAATGAGCTGCAACTCGAGGCCGCCACATCGGCAGGTCTGCACAACTTCCTTTATTAGCGTTGTGGATGGACCTGTCAGGTCAGCCGATGTGAAGAGGGTCACATTGGTGTCAGCGAGCTCAGAGCCTAGGCTGCCACAGAGAGAGGAGAGGGTGTGATGGGGCTTGCTGGAAAGGGTAGGTAAGAAGATGGGGGTTGGAGGAGACGGTGGAGGTGTTGAGTGTTAAGAGTCACATCAGTGGCGGGAATCTCAGAGGAGGGACATCTAGTGTTTGCCCAAACGTCAGAGGTCTAAAGAAGCATCGGATACCGGTATTTGGTTACAGCCTGCAGTAGCTATACGATTAGCTAGCAGACAGAGGCTTGGCATATAGATAGCAGAGGTGACCTTCCTTTAGAGGCACGGAAGTCGGCTTGGCGTTCCAATCTCCGTAATCCCCATAGCACGCCACCTCATTCTGGCTCGAGCCAGTAAACTCCGTATAAATAGTTGAGTGGGGGCGTAGTTGAGAGTAAACAGCAGCCAGGGCTTGAGTTTCACCAGATAGCGAACTGTGTTCAGACTGCCTAGTGTTGAACTGAAGTGGCTGAGGATTCGGGATTCGGGTGAGAAACCCCGATGGTTCGCCATATGTGTAGGGTAGCTGTATCCTGACTAGATAAGCATAATTTTAGGCTCCGGGGGTGTGGGTGCATCCGATTTTCCCTCTGCAGCTAAGTAGGGTGGCGAGCAACGCTGGTTGGTTCCCTTGTCCTCGCCATATGATGCATGAACTCCGCTTTCGAGTCCGCTTTGGAATACACAATCCAAATCGGATAGATATTTTAGCTCGTCGCGAGGAAGAAGTCTCAGGGACAGAATCAAATTAGGAGCTACTTGTAGTGGCTCAAACAGAGTCAAAGAGACTCATCACTTCAAACTTTTCTGATCAAATTAAAATACAGATGATGTTAACCATGTAAAACGACTCGTATGATGGGAGCATCGTGTGTTGGAACAGTTAGTCTAGATCGACATGTCTACCCTGTGTCGATCGATGATTGACAATGCATTGAAAAAGGTGGCCTGCTCCTTATAAAAGAGCTCAGACTGGTGGCGCTGTAGGTCCTTTCCCTCTCACATATCTCAGAATTTCCGACACTTCTTACAACTAGCATGGACTTGCATGCGCTACTTTCTCCCGAAACCAAGCCCTCCGAGAGCCTACCTTCTTGTTGGACTCATCTTGGTGTGAATCTGCCGAAGCCTGCTCTCTCTTTTCCTTTTGCTCCCTACGCGTTCTGCGAAAAGTAAGAAACTTCTCCTTCTCCTTGGACTTCAGGCTCTCTGTCATTTTCATCGCATTCTCATAGAGGCCATCGGTCGTGAAGTTCATCCCAAGGTAGACGTAGCGGTACAGACCGGTCCAGACGAGGAGCCTTGTGCATGACTGCGTGAAGACAAACCATAGAAGCGTGCGGACGGATGTGCTGATTGAGAACAACAGGGTCAAGACGATGACACCGGCCGATATCGAGACTACCAGATCTTCGTTAGAGGGCGCCTCAATTCTCGTGAAAAGTCAAGATCGAATTTTGCTTCGGAGCACGTCACTCACACATGTACGTGAATTGATCCCTCAAATGCATCACGTTGTCACTCCCACCAAATTCTATAGCGTTCATTCCGAAAATGCTGGACATGAATGATAACGGCAGCTGTTTCTTGCGTTAGTTGCTGTTCGCAGTGCCATGGGCGGGTGGGCATATTCGCAGCATCGAATTGGAAATCCCACGGAGAGAGCACTCACAAAGACGATAGTCACGATGGTAAAAACCAGAATAGATCTGCCCTGTCTCATGGCCTCATTGCTGTATTTTACAGACTGCCAGGCCTGAACCACTCCAGCTTGCTGCTGTTTGAGCTCCAACAGATCCTTGACCTGGAGCAGTAGAGGGGCTATTAGCCTTCCGTGAATGGGGCTATCCACAGAGACGGAGACTTACCATTTCTGCCGTCGACTTTGCACTCCTCTCAAGTTCTTCGAGCTGTGCAATCCGCTGATCAACTCTTTTGAGGAGCTCAAAAGCATTGTTACAAAACCACTGGTACGCGGCTCTGTCAGCCTCTCTGGTCGAGGGAAGAGAATTCGGACCCATAGCTGGAGTTGAGGGTCGTGATCGGCCATCGAATCCCCTTTTTTGGCTAAAATAGTCATCAAGTCTAGTAACACTCGGGGTCTCGGGACGCTTTTGCGCCTCGGCTGCATTCCCGGGATTCAGGATTTGGCGCGCGTTGTCCACAAAGCTTTGTAGAACATCCTTTTCCGCCTTCTTGATATAAGTCATGATCCCGAGCTCCTCGACAATATCTTTTATCTCCTTTTCCAGCTTACCCTCTGGGTTGATGTCGAGAAGGGGAATGTGAAGCTCGGAGAGCACGCCTCCGCCGGGTAGCCTGCGGTACATTTTGCTTGCTCGCTCGGTCCATCTCCAGAGTCTTTCGAAGGCGTCTGTTTGTTGATGCATCTATCATCAATTTAGTGTTACAATTTCTCCAAAGTGGTTCAATAGAATTGCGAACTGACGATATTTCCAATGGCCTCAGAGAATTCATCAAGCACTTGTGGTTGTTTGTCCGAAGTTCGCGTCCGGTCAAAGAAGGTATTGGAGCATTCCTCGAAGATGACCAGTGCCAAATCAAATACGGAACGGACACAAATCCCTCCTTCGCTGATGCGCATCCGTATTGATTTGTGGATACCCGAGGTGTCATGCTTGTTGGCACCGTAGCGTTTAGGAAAGCACGTGATGATAGTGTTCCTGTCCAAAACCCACATCCACAGCTGGTCGACCATAATGACTCGGGAGACTTTCTGAATATTTGCAGTGCACTCTGCACAGGGCTCATGCTCGATATTTTCCAATTGCTTTGCTGTCTTGTTGTCCTCGCTGTCATGGCCAGTCCAGATTGAGCGGTCCACATTCCACCGATGGAACTTGAGAGGATCTACCGTTGTAGCCCGATAGACGACCTGGTCGAGGTCTCTATGATTTGTGTTATTCAGGGACCAGTAGTATGCTTGGTCCAGAGTACGTCGGGGGTGCATTGGCGGATCTTTCATGAGGTAAGTCTCCAGGAGCTTCCTGTCCCGGTAGCTTGTCATGCCCTCGAATAGACGGGCTGCATCAAGAAGATACTGTCCTAACTTGTACTGAGGTTGTGAATCGTCATTTGAGGGGTGGGGGTTAGAGCGTTGCTGCGAGCGTCTCTGGTCCTCCAACCACGCATCTAGGTCCACGCGGCCATGCTGGTCAACTTGCGGGAAACGGCCAGATAAGTTAAGCTGTCTCTTCACCTCTTGAGCCTTCAACAGCCCAGTCATGGAACGGATAGGTCCAAATTGCCATTGTGATTTGTTGTCCTCATCCGTATTTGAATCCGTTGCCACGCCCGGATTCGTAGCAGAATTTTCTTTGGAGTCTCGGGAGTGTTCTCGCACCCTGTCCCACCACGAGCGAGAATCTGAAGGTGTTGGGCGCTTGGGTCTCGTCAATTCCTCTCGATGATCCTGCCTGTGCTTCCTGGCTTTTTCTTGTGCTTGCCTGTCATTTCTATTCTTGGTGTCCACAATATTCTCAATGATCTGGGAAAACCTTTGTTGGTTCCTGGAAGTCTCCCAATGCATGTATGGCATCTGAACATGACGGTGTATAAGTTTGAGTGCGCATGAGTTGTGAACCTATTCGGGACTTACAAACAGCACGATGTTTTGTGCCACAGTGTCAGCAGCAGGGCTTCGTGTCGCATCTATCGCGACGAGATTAATTTGATTCTCGGAATGACCGAGTAACACGGGACAAGCTCACCAAGTGAACGGATGGATTCACAGAATGGTCTCATGTATCGAGAGCTCACAGTCGACCGCCCACCATGAAGCTGGCCCCTCCAGTGTGATTCCTTTAGTATCCACGCAGCTTTGGACGTTTTTCCCTCCTGGATCTCTCGCTGGATGGGATGGAAATTCGGTCGATCTTCGTGATAATACCTCGAGACGGCTTGCTGGTTCATGTTATTATGAGTTTGTCGATGAGAATCATCAATACTATCTTACCTCGGCCCACTCCATGACAATAGTCGTCAGTACTCGTCATTCTTACTCTGTTGAACGTTTGAGGTATACAGACTTACCAGCATGTTGTTGGACGGAATGTGAAAGTACCTAATCTTCTCACTGTCGTTTCTACCACCCAAAAGGTTCTTTTTCTCCTTGTCAAACAGCAGCCGCTGCACGTTGGTTTTTTGATTCGGAAACGTGCCCCAAATCGAACTTTTCGGGTCCTTTGTCTCGTTATCAGGCTCATATATTGAGCTGGCCTCTTTCTGCTTCTTGAACAGCATGAAAGGGGTATTGACATCCCGCCCTGGATCGTAGTAATTATCCTTCGATATACTAACCTCTGGCTCGCTGTCCTCTTCATTCGAGCCTTCGGGACTACTTCGCCATTTTTTGATCTTTTGGTTTCTGATCTCTTTGATCCCATCCTTGTACACGTCTGATTCTTCCCATGCCTTACGGCTGTCCTCAATCTTCTGGACAAGGTGCTTTTCGTCCTCGTCCTCTTGAAGTTTGGATCTCAGAAAGGCGATGCGACGTAGCTCGCTTAAGCAATCTTCTCTCCATGCTGCCTCTCTCTGCTCACTGATGTCTCTGTTTTCCTGATTTCCCTCAGGCTGGTGCGCGGTGGTTTCAGGTGCGGTCCCTTCAGGTGCGGTCTCTTCATGTGACTGCACATTCGACGGAGCCTTGAGGAACTCGTTCCTAGTTGATATCTCAACGCAACCGAGAAAGTGGAGAATGGGATCTTTGATGTTATCTTCGTGTGGATCCGGACTGAGGCAAGTGAGGGAGGTTATTTCCGGCTCGTTGTACATTTTGGATTCGTTAAGGCACAGAGAAGTGGAGAGAAGTTTATGTCAATGTGAAAGATGGCATCTGGCAAAGGGTCCGAATTGATTTGATTATCGGTGGTGCTGCAACATATTAAGGCTGAGACGAGTATCAGTCTCGGTCGAAACTCAAGGTGAACCTGCACCTAAACAGAGTTTGGTTGCACAAGAGAGCCGCAATATTAAGCCTGTCAGCACGCCGATGTCCGACCTCGCACCAACATGCAGTCATCTACTCATCAGCTCCGAGGTTCTATCGATAATGCGGCTCTCATAGGTTTGCTTCCCCTCCCGGGAGTAGAGCCTTGACGGTAGCCAGCCACACAGCTGCTGCATCCGGAAAATGCACGACACAAATGGTGTGGTACACCGGTCTGTATTTTGTCGGGGCACGGCGGGGCTGATAACCCATTTGGAGCGGCTGCATGTCCATCTGCAGGAAACAAAAATGAAATCAATAGATGCAGCGTCGCTTTCTCCGGGAATCAGCCGTGGCGACCCGCTTTCTCGTCCGCATATTCGTTTTCTGATCATACAATTTTGGTCACGTCCACCGTTCATGGTTGTTAATCAGGATGTTGATAAGTGAAAAGCCGTATGGGCTGGTCAGGCTGTAGCCGGGAGGTGTGATTATGGTTAGCTAAAATACGCACCTCGTCCCTAGACGGCTGTGCTCAGTCGTGCCTGTGCCGGGCTTCCGGGAACTTGCTGATCGGCTTCAACCGGTCAAGCAAACTGCAGTCGATTCCATGCTAAGCTAGTTGCGGCTGAAATGGAGCTGCAAGCCCCAATAGATGTGCAACATCAGCCAGTCATGATTGGGTGCGTGCCGGCTCCGTGTCAATCTCTCCCTAGGATAGGACACTTACTGGCGAGAACAAGGCTCTCTGGCGAAACGCCGATCAAATAAGTGGTGGGCTGCCTAGGCAAGGCTCTCAGGTCGGGCCGATGCACTGCATCATCCATTTGTGCACATTTGGACCAGCGTCTTTAGGAGGAACGTGATTTTTATTTCTTCTTTTGTCTTGGTTTGGGAGGGGAAATTGTGGAGTCAGGGACTTTGCCCCGGTCACCCAAAATTCCGCGTCACCACATCCGGTAGACACGAGTGAGCGTAATATACCTTGAACAGGAGGCTATCACAGCGCCTAGCTTGACATCAAGGTATTGATTGTTGCTGTTTCCCTTGTCGGGGTAAGGGCAGCTGATTTGCGGCGATGCATTTGTGGGATGAAGGCGAGCCTTTTTTCGAGAAGGTTTCATATGGAAGTTAACTCTCCAGATTCAACGCTTTATGATAACGTATAATTTCTCAAACTGAAAAGTTGTTAGCATTCATGGATTGGTAAGGCTGCTTCGGACGGCACTTTAATACGCATAATAACCAGTACTAGTAGTACTAGTAGTAATGGTGGAGGCAAAATCTGATTCAAGCTTTGAATGAAAGTAGGCTTGCTTGCCCTTCTCCGCAGTATAAGTTAGGCAAGGCAAGGAGTGGTCTAAAATGCTGCTGACAGTCTTAGAAGTATTGCCAGGGAGTCAGCTTCGGCCGAATCGGCCGGATGTGTCTCTACTGCCGCATTGGACTGGTGTACGTCATAACTGCCCTTGCCCCTGCTTATCAGTCTCCATGAGCTTATCTCTACTTCGGTTGGTACATGTTTCGGGCAAACAACCCCCCGCTGTTGAATTCAATCTTTATACCTCTTTTGTCACTTCATGACAAGCGGAGATATTCTGTCTTAATGCTTTTATCGACATGGAGCGACGGAGCAGATCACTGGTCGCACTTTTTTCAGCTGTCGTTTTTGTCGTCACAGCCGGCTTTCTCTTACGACCGGGGCGCGACGGCAGCCAGCATGTCGACATAGCACTGGCATCATCATCGCGCTTCCAGGCACCAAAGCAAAATGTCTGGTCAGATCTCACCAGGCGTGAAGCTGATGAAGTATATGGTTTTCTCCGGAAGGAATGGGCTGATCTCAACTTGACGAAAACTCCCAAGGATGCTGCGGACAACTTCATCGTCACGCTCGAGACCTTGCAGCCAAACAAGTCGCATGCACTTCCGTACATTTTGGAGGATAGGAACAGGCCAGACCGATGGGCAAAAGTCGTTCTTTCACATAACACAGAAGAAGGCCCTCTTCTCAGCTACTATGCTGTCGGACCGCTTCCCATCTCGGCCCAAACGGGCGTCCAGCCCCTGGTCTATCCATTTAACTCGGGTCGCAATTCCGTTCCCAATCTGATGGCCGATTTCGCCGGCAGTTCCCAATTCGCGCTGTCGCTGGCAGAAAACATATCTGATATCACGACCGAGCTCCTCGGAGCCAAGGCCAACTTGGAGAACCCTTTTGATCCCAATGCCCTGCAGGCTTTCCCCCGATTCACCCGTCTTGAACCCGACCTAGTTGTTGGGTGGATACAGTTCTTCAGGCCTGGTATGGGAAGTTCTGGCCGAACACTACTTCCGCAAGGGCTTTACGTCCGAGTTGATGCCAGCAAAGATGTCAGCCAGTGGAAGGTTGGGGAATGGTTCTACAACGGCCAAATGTTCGATAGCGTGGAAGGCCTGCGCAGCGCGATACGCGACCCTGACAGTGGCTTCTTGAAAACCAAAGCAAACCTGGACGGCCACTGGACTGACACGGAAGACTTCGACGCCCGGCCAGATGGGCACGAACTCCCGCCTCCAGTCTCGATCCAGCCACTGGGGCCTCGCTACAAGCTTGACAAGACGGAGAAATACGTCTCATGGTTCGGGTTCGAGTTCTATCTGACTACTACCCAAGCCACAGGCGTCAGCGTCTTCGATATTCGCTTCAGAGGGGAACGGGTTATGTATGAGCTGAGCCTTCAGGAAGCCCTGGCGCACTACGCCGGTGATGACCCTATGGCGGGCGGCCAAGAGTTCCTCGATGCGTTCTTCGGAATGGGCACCATGGCCTTCGAGCTGGTCCCGGGCTACGACTGCCCGGGATATGCCGACTACCTGGACACGGAGATACACCGCAGCGGCAACACGGAAAGATTGCCCAACAACATCTGTATCTTCGAGTTCACCTCGGACTACCTCCTTTCCCGCCACACAGCGCAATACTCAGTCACTGCCTCCAGGAACACCTTTTTGACGATTCGGTCCGTCTCCACTGTTGGAAACTACGATTACACCGTAGACTACATCTTCTACCTCGACGGCACAATCGAAGTCAAGGTCAGGGCGTCAGGGTACATCTACGGCGCGTTCTATGCCAACAACCCCTACAAGAACGAGGACGAGTACGGCCACCGCGTCCACGAGGCCCTGTCGTCCTCGCTCCACGACCACGTCATCAACTTCAAGGCAGACCTCGACGTCGCCGGCTCAGCCAACGACATGGTCCGCCTGGCCGTCGAGCCCACCACCACCAGCTACCCCTGGGACCAGCCCTACGTGAAAGAGCGCAACACGATGCACCTAAAGGAGTACCCCGTGACGCATGAGGCCGGACTGGACTGGCCCAAGAACTCGGGCGAGTTCTTCCTCGTGTACTCGGCGGACGCGAAGAACGCGTGGGGCGAGCGCAAGGGCTACCGCGTCGTCTCCGGCACGGGGATGGGCAACACGCCGCACCTGACGGTCCTGAACTCGACCTCCTTGGGGGCCAGCGCGCGGTGGGCGGAGCGGGATATCTGGGTCGTGCGGCGCAAGGACGAGGAGCCGCGCGCTGCGGATCCGCTTAGCTTCCTCGACACGCCGAACCCGCTCGTGGACTTCGGGGGGATCGCGGACGGGGAGGACCTGGAGAGGGGCGACGAGTACGATGGGGACCTGGTGGTGTACTTCAACGTCGGGAGTCATCACGTGCCGCACTCCGGGGACATCCCCAACACGCTTATGCACACTAGTGCGTCGAGTGTTATGTTTGTGCCGCATAACTTTGCGGACAGGGACCCCAGCCGTGAGAGCGTCCAGGGCGTCAGGCTGCAGCTCAAGGGCACGAAGAGTGGCGGGTTTGCTGGGTTCCCAGGTCTCAATCCGGATGATGAGGATCAGTCGAGTACCGAAGACCTGAGGAGCCGGGAGAAGAGGGGTGGGAAGGACAAGGGTGGGTACAAGATGCACGAGGGTGCCAACTACTTCGGTACGCCGTACACGGAGGGAGTTCATGTGCCTCTTGAAGCACTGGAGCCGAACCTGGAGAAGACGTATGAGAGCGAGGAGATCAGGGTCAGTGACCTGGGCTTGAATGGGAGCGCGGCAGGACTATGGTTTCCTTGAGGGTTTCAGTCTTATGGTAGGTAGCCGCCGTGTGCACGGTGCCAGTGGCTTATCTCGCCACATCTTCCGGTATGGACCAAACCATCTTCGAGATGTCATCCTATCCTTCTAAGATCTGTTAGTTTGAATATGCACTCGTTTCCCATTTATCGTCTCTTGATTAGACCCAGCTGGTGTAGAAAGTGTCTGATAGATTGAGATGGAATCACCTTAACGATGACTTCTGGTTTAAATGAGACGCAATGAGACTAGAATCAGTTAGTCGAGTCTGACCAGTGAACCATGGGTGCTTGACTCCGTTGGTCCTGAAGAATTATAGCCCTAAGCGTTGTCCTTCTAACTTGGTCTGTGTGTGACCGTTCTTTGTTGCCAGCCAGCCTACTAGCATCGTCTAGGCTCACATTTTGAAATTTACAAATCGAATCTAATGCACAAAAGCTTTAAGATAGGTCCCGATTGAGAGAGATCATCGTACATAATTCCACATCCGTTGGCACACAAAATTCTACGGCTCTTGTTACCATCGCCATGGAACCCGTCAGAGCGAAACAGAACCTCTAGGAACTTCGACGATGGAGCTTCAAGAGAACGAGCGCCCTTACCAGGCTGAATCAAATCTCATGCAACTTCCAGAGAATATCATCTACCTCTTTCAAACCCATCTTGACACAGCAGCCAGGATTGCATTCTCGCTTTCCTGCAGAGCTCTATACGAAAGATACTTTGCAGGCGCGCGGAAAGCTCGAAAATCCGCAAGCGTCATGGAGAAGCGGCGCATCATAGTCCTGCTAGAGAAAGACGTGGCCAATCGCGAATTCTTCTGCCCATACTGCCGGCGTTTCCGAAGCTTCGGGCCAGGATGGAGGGTGGGACTGGGTGCGTGTTCGTTCGAGACGTCCCACAACACGAACCCATACGACCATAGCCTGGCCAGCCAGCAGGACTCATGTTCCGGCCGTTGGCTCAAAATAAATGATAACCGGGGCCCTCAGTTCAGCTTTCATCTCGGCAGGCTGGTGATGAACCGTCATGTCTTCGGGAAGGACTGTGGCTTGCCCCTGAGCTGCCTGGAGGTCACTGATCTGCCTGTGAAAGCACAAGGTGAAGGCAAGTACGCCTTCACGTGGAAGCAGACCCAGCGGGCCAGAATCATACATAATCAACTCTACCTCCGCTGCACTCACGTGCTCGACCAAGCCGAGCAGGAGGGCATAGACGCAGTGACCTTGAGGCACGGCCTCAAGGAACTGTCGCGCTACAACTTCTGCAAACACCAGCACACAGGCACCCAAGACGGCTCGTTCTTCAACCCAGAGCTTTTCAAGCGCTGGTTGCCGCTGGGCTCCTCTCGCTTGGAAGACAGGGACCAGTTCATCGCACACTCGGGGAGCGAGTTCGGTTGCCCCGAATGCGAGACGGACTACACGACATCAGCTTGTTGGCGCGAGGCACCTCGCGGCAAGGGCAGCTGGGTCATCCGGGTCGACGCGTACCACCAGCTGGGGTTCTTCCGGCACGCAAACGATAGGAGTTACCGGCTCGCGTGCTCACGGGCACCGCTGCACTCGCCTTTTCCTCCAACATCCTTGTTCGGGTTCAGCGTCGAACCGTTCCGCGGCGCCACCGGGCTGATTTGGGCGAGCTGGCACGGCTCCAAGGCACCACCACCGTTGGTGGATTGATTTGTGCGTTGTTGAAGTCCTGCTGTTGCGTCGGTAACCAAGCGTGCACAGGAGTAATCGAGTTGGCAATGATGTCGTGGTATACAGCGGATTTACTTGTACTGTAGTTTCAGGGGCTGGAACGGGAATCTGGGGTCAGCTGCAGTGGCAGGGATGTCACCTGTTCTGCAGGTACGGATACCCTGCTGCAAATGCCCCACTACCTCTCACCCAGGCGCCTTGTTTACTCTCGGGTTCATGCCCCTGCTGAACGCAACCCACCCCATGGAGACAATGGCCACAAGAGAAATACGCATTCTGTCCGTCTGCCAACGATGAAAGAAGCACTGCAATGGCAGCCGTCCAGAACAGCCTGCTGTCCCGCACGAGATCAGCGCGTGTGCCCGCCCCAAAGTCGACCAAGAACTTGACCTCGACCACCACCGACGCTGCAGCCTCGTCCAAACACCACACGACCGTCGCATCTTCGCCCACTAACGTCTCGCTGTTTCTCACGAACCTACGCCTCCTTGACTTGGATCTCCGCCCCGACTGGCCTGGCCTCAACCTCCTAACTCTGACCAACAAAGATGCCGCCCAGGGCCAGAAGAAGAGGGTCCAATGCGTCGAGTGGGCGCTTTACCAGCTCTTTGTCCTTTGGGACCCAGAGGAGGCGCGAAATAAGCTCCAGCCCTTCTTCCCGCCGCTCGAGCAAACCCAGTCCGTCAACCTGCGAGCCGCCCTCCTACGATGCCTCGAGCAGGCCAAGAAGAATGGCGTATTGGGTAGAGACACGGTGCTGCGGAAGACTATGCTGGACGAATGCAAGGGCGAGAGACTCGAGGAGGTGCTAGCTGTCTTCTCGTCGGCTGTGTTGAAGAAAGTCGCCACGGAGGAGCAGCTGAACAGCAAAGCCTACCCAGTCGTTGCCCAGACCCTGGCTCTGGAGAATCGCGGTTATACTGGGGAGAGGACTGATCTGAGCAGCCTCATCATTGCGTACAAGGTGTCTCTAAAGAATAGACTGGATCGGAAGACGGCTTCTCGAGCGCAGTACAACCACTTTGCCCAGCTTCTTGACTCCAAGGAGCAAGGCATCACCAGCAGACAGGACCGGGCCAACGCAAACGTACACCAGAGCAAGATACCAAAACTCTCCGCAGCCTCCAAAGAGGAAATTCGACGCGCGGTTAGGACCAACTGGTCCGGCAATGACCGATGGGTGGAGGCTCTGCTATATGGAGACACGAAATCACAGAAAGACGGCGTGCTGACAGCGCCTTTCGACCGCGTCTGGCGTCGCGTGCGGTCAGACCGTCTCGACGAGCTCGAGGACCCCAGCGGCGGGCTGCTCGAGCAGCTCGACAATCGCGTGCGCGCCCAGCAGGCACGGCTTGACAAGTGGCAGAGCTTTAGGAAGGAGATGTTCAGCGACGTCGTGGACCAGCCCAAGGAGAACGCGAAGGGTCGCGTTGGCCCGCAGAGAGGCATTGATCTTGGTTTTGGGGCCCATGAAGGACTGCATCTGGGGCGCATGAGCCCCAGGAAGCTCACATCCACGAAGAAGCCACAGCTTACTCCAGAGTACAAGACATTGGTCAGTGGCCTAGAAACGGAGCTCAACAAGAGCCAAGGCCATGTAGTCCATTCCTTTCGCCGGATGAGGAGGCGTGAGCAGCCGTTAAAGTCCTCGATACAGAGCAGCTCCAGTGAGAAGCCGGCAGAGGAGACCGTGTCCGAGCTAAGTGAGTTGGAAGAGGAGCTGGCAAAGACATCCCTCCCACTACGCAACAAGCCTTTAGAGAGTTCGTCACAAGGCAGAGAGGAGGCAATGGATGTGGATACAGATCCGCGACCATCGCAGAGAGCACAGAGGCCTCGCCTACCACAGCCATTGAAGACGATGCATGCATTTAGGCCGAAATCAGTCCCGACTGAAATCTCGCCGACCGAGCCTTCGAAACCTACATTGCGGTCCGAAAACAAAACCTCATCTCCCCGCCGGTCCCCGGTCCAGCAATCCAAGGATGTATCGCGTTCGCCCATCCGCTCATCCAGACTGTCTCCGTCACCTTCTCCGTCTCGATCATACGTGCGAGGCGGCTCGCCGGATATGACACAGTCGCCCGAGGAGATCCCCCCTTCGCCAACGCAGCAGCAAGCAGACCAGATCCTCGCATCCATGAACGCAGCTTCCCCGTCGCCAGTCAAGCAGGAGCGGCCGCGGCACACCCTCTCCCTCGCAGAGCGGACCCGCCTCTCCATGGCCCGCGGCTCAAGCGTCGACCTCGACGACGACGACGAGGTAGCGCTGGGCTCGCCCTCGCGGCCCCGCCGGCGAAACACCCCGTCACGATCACCCACCAAGGGGAGCACCCCCGCGACGCCGACCGCGATCCCCGAGGACCCGGCGGCAAATAATGAAGGCGCCAACACGCCCAAGGCCGAGAAGGAGGAGGACGACATAGTCGCGCGCACGCGCAAGTCGATGGCCAACTTCGAGGCGACGCAGCAGCGCGTGCGGCTGGAGAAGGAGAGGGCGGCGCGGCGCGAGGCGCGCAAGAAGAGCATGTCCAACAAGAGCGGCGAGATCGCGCGGCAGCCGTACTTCCCGCCGGACACGGTGGACGAGGAAGGGGACGGCGCGGGCGGCGGGGAGGGGGACTCGACGGCGATGCTGGAGGAGCTGATCGCCAGGGAGGCGCAGATGGGCGCGGCCGGGGTGGACTATGATTCTGTCTTCCGGAGCAGGCCGCGGATCAAGGCTAGTCCGCCTAGCACGCCGGCCGGGGACCGGGGTGGGTTTGAGTGAGTGAGTGAGTGAGTGAGTGAGTGGCTTGCGCGATGGTGGGTTTGAAGAAATTTGGTGCCTATTGTCCTTGATGATATCTGGTGCGTGAGACCTAGTTGCCATTTATTCCGAGTCAACGTCGACGCTGTGGATCAGTATTATACTCATCGCTATGTCGTGCGAGACCATTAGGTCTGTGATTCCTTTTTGGTTCCACCGGGCGAGTGTGCAGGATGAATCAGTTACCATCGCCGCGCTCGCCGTCGTGGTCGAATGAGTCGTGACGCCGTGTCGGGCCATTCTGGTTCAGATGGTCATGAGAGGGTTTGGTGAGGGTATTGAGGCCCTAACTCCGTATTACTGAAAGTATGCACGAGGAAGCACAACTCACACTTCGACCTCCAATTGTGCAGTCAAATGCTGCTCACGTTTAGCATCACGACGACCACCATGGCTCTGCGCCGCGTTTAGACAACACTGGTTTATTCAGGATGTAGGGAAAGGGCGCTGTTTTGAGTTGAGTCTATGTTGCAATATATTCCAATGTCGTAAAGGGCCGCCGTGCGTGGGCATATGCTCTGGCACATATATGTATCTACCCAGCCACCACGCTGGTGTCCAGCATTTTTGTCTGTCTCATCCCCAAGGTGCATCTTACAACACATCTATCGCAAATTGTACAGGGCAGCCAATATAAAGCACCCAGATGGGAACCTCTCCGCTGTTTATTCTTTTGCTCCTTTTTGTACATTCATTCCACCCTGACCTCTTGCCTTACCACCCCTGTCGGGCCAGATCCTGCACCCGGCTGCAGGTGGCCTTGAAGCCGTCCTTGAAGCGGGCCCTCCAGCGCTCGCCGCGGAGCCTCTTGCGCTTGAGGCCCGGCCGCTCGTGGAAGCGCTGCTTGGCCACGTCCTGGGGGATCTTGTTGACGCGGACGCGGGTGTTGAGCAGGCTCAGCCCGCGGGCGAGGTCGACCCTGCTGTCGAGGTGGACGGTGCGGCCGACCGAGGGCCGCAGCCGGTACTTGATCTCGGAGGCGGACTCCTGCGACAAGCCCGGCCAGTTGGTCAGGTCGTCGCTGGTCGGGCTCCCGATCAGGTGCATTTCAGACAGCGTGTCGATGATGCCGGGCTTGTTGGCATCGGTGGCGGCCCGGTTGGCCTGGGAGCGGCGCAGGCCGGTCGTGCTGGGTGCTGACCACGGCGTGCGGAGCATGTCATCGGAGGTGACTGACGGGCTCGCCGGCGACGACGGCGACGGGAATGGAGTCGAGTTCTTGGGTTTGAGAAGTGATGACATCATGCCGAAGCTGGTATTTGGGCTGTTAGTGCTAGATGGGTTCCCCCATGTTCGCGGCTGCGGTTGCTCCGATTGTCGGTTTTGCTGTTGCTGCTGATGCCACTCCTGCATTGAAGGAGGGGGGGCAGGTGCTGTCGCTTCTGCCTCTGAGAGGGACGGCCTGGTCGATGAGAAGAATCGGTAGAAGGAGGGTATGGATGGGTATGAGAGCGGTGATAGGGCCGTGGTGGCCCGTCGCGAGGCAGATCGGCCTGCGAGGAGGGCTGTCTGTATTGGTCGGAGCTCCATCTTGTCCTGGTGTTGCGATGGCTTGTCAGCAACTGCTCGTAGATTCGGAGTGCAATTGGTGGTTCTCCAAGTCGTACTGGGTTGAGATCGAGACCAGACTAACCACAACAACACTTCCTCTGCCTCTCTCTTCCTGGCAGGTTGACAGGTCGAGCGTGGACGGTGGAGAGTTAGAGAGTGTAGGATCAAGGATGTGCTGGTCGACGGTGGTGATGGTGACACTGTAATTGGCGCGTTGCGACTGATTGTTGAATGCGCCTGCCGGGGAAATTTTGTCGACCAGGCCCTAGCCGCTTCCGGCTAGCTCCCCACAGCGAAGGTCTGCCTGCCCGCAGCTCGGGGCCCAAGCTCTGGATTGACAGTCCAAGCCGACGACGCCCTTGCAGCAAAAGTCTCGTGCCAGGGAGAGAGACAACTGCACTGCGGATTGCCTGGCCTTGACCCCAAGTTGCATTCAAGGCCCCTCGTCCAGTCCCAACCCCAGCAACGCCTCGACATCAGACCGAACGCAGTTTCGATCTCGCTGCGTCGTGCCCTCTGATCGCAGGCTCTCCGCTCGATCCAATATTATCGGTACGCGACACGAGCCTTGGGTAGCAAATCAGAAGGAAAAGGACGTCGACAGCAAAACATGGCCTACAATCCATACGGAGGTGAGCGCACATCCGACCTTACCCCAGAACTTTCCGCACTCGCGATCAATAGCTGACCAGGCCCAACAATAACAGGCAACCCATATGGTCCTCCTCCCTCCTTCAATGGCTTTCCTGGAGCAGGCGGTGCGCCTGGCATGGCCCCGCCGCCCGGCCTAGGTATGTCTTGTCTCCGTTTCTGCTTCTCTCACACCTTTCATATACCTATGCGCACACTGCTATCTGCAGACTCCCGCGTCATGACCGCGTCGCAGGCTAACACTGGCTCCAACAGGCCCTCCACCAGGCATGTCCTCTGCCCCTGGGATGGCACCTCCTCCAGGTGTCCAGCAAGCCAATTCTCCCGCACAAGCTAATCGACCAAGTGGACTGCCCGCCTCCTTCCAGCCGCCCCCAAACCTGCCAAACATCAACTTCAACGCCCCCGTGATCCGCCTCGGCTCCTCGTCGCTACCACCCAAGCCAGCGCCCTCCGCCGGGCCTGATCGCAGGGAGTCCAATGCGCCGTCGTCGGCCGGCGGTGGCAGGCCCGGTCTGGGCGCAGACAGGAATATCGAACAGTCCCGCGCGGCCGTCAGAGAGAGTATGCAGGCGCTACAGGCACCAACTCAAGAAGAGCGTTTACGAACAATATTCTTGCACAAGATTCCAGAAACACTGGGTGGCGACGAAGGTGTGGAGAAGTTCTTGGGCCTTGTCGGCAGGTTGCGCCGCTGGGACTCCGCAAAGTCAAATCTATCAGACCACAAGGGTGAGCTTTTCGGTTTCGCCCAGTATGACGACCCTGACTCTCTGGCTACTGCTGTCGAGCTCCTCAAGGACATCGAGTTGCCCGTCAAGAAGCAAGAGCCTACCGATGGCCCCGCCAAGGACGAGTCTGGCGACGACGAGCCGTACAAAGGTATTGAGAAGACCAAGCTACAGGTCGCAGTCGACGAGAGCACGCTCAAGTTCCTCGAGACGTACGAGGAGAACAGAGCCGACGACAGCGGGAGGGAGGCGAGGCTGGAAGCACCCAGAGCTGCGCTGAAACAAGCCGTGCATGAACTTTTCTATCCGCCCCTCCGTAAGACGCAAGACGGCGAAGGAGATGTTAACATGGGCGATGCCAACGGTTCAGGTGAAAATGTCGAGGTTATCAACATCCCCCTTGCACAAGAAGACGAACTGGCAGACATCCCAGCCGAGATGAGAGAGGTAGTCGCTCAAGAGATCGCCGCATTTCGTGACAGGAGCATTCGGCGTGACATGGAGCGGCTGAGGCGGGAAGAGGAAATGGAAGAGATGGAGCGGACGCGTAACGGCGCTGCACGTCCATCCAGAGACTCGCCTCCGCCCGGTGCCAATTCCATCCCGCTCGGACCCAGAGGCGTGCCAAATGCACCATCTGGCCCTCGTGGTGCGGGCCGTGGCGTGGCCTTCATCAACGGTGCGAATGGTGACGGATCATTCCACAGGGATGACGAAGATACCGACGCCAGTGACGATGAGCTTCATCGCAGGGAATCATCTAAGCACAAGTCCGAGGATGACAAGCAGTACCTTGAGGCGGAACGGAAGTGGGTCAACAGAGAACGGCAGCGGGCCGCCGCGCTTGAGCGCGAAACAGACCGGGAGAAGGCCGAAGCCGACAGCATGAATCATCGCATCGAGGAGCAACTCGAGCGCGAGAAGAACTGGGACGACGAGAAGGAGGCCACGCGCAAGGCGCACCCATACTACCGCGACCATGCAGCATGGGCGAGGAAGCGTGCCCAGGACCGCACAGAGGAGGAGAGCCGCGATGACGCGGACCGCCGGGCCGAGCAAGCTGAGCGCCGACGCGAAGCGGCCGAGATGGAGCAGGCTAAGGACATGGCCGACTCGTTCCTCAACCAGCAGGCGCAGGAGATTGAGCAGAGGCAGCAGCAGGCTGCCTCGGCGGCCGCAGCCCCGGCCCGGTTCACCATGTCCCTGGGCGCCGCGGCGCAAAAGGCGCAGCAGCGCGCCGGCCCACAGCGCAGGACCATGGCCGAGGTCGAAGGGCTGCTGGACGACGAGGAGCACGAGCAGACGACCAAGAGGCAGCTGGTGCCGATCAAGTTCGAGCCGCTGGGGCCGGACGACACCAAGGCCATGAGCGAGGAGGAGATCCAGCAGGCGGTCAAGTCGCTGGCGCAGGAGATCCCGACGGCCAAGGAGGGCCTGTGGGCGTGGGACGTCAAGTGGGACTACCTGGACGACTCGGCCGTGTCGGACAAGCTGCGGCCCTTCATCGAGAAGAAGGTCGTCGAGTACCTGGGCGTGCAGGAGCAGCTGCTCGTGGACGTGGTCGAGGAGCACCTGCGGCGCCGGTCGCGGCCTGCGGAGCTGGTTGAGGAGCTCGAGGGCCCGCTCGAGGACGACGCCGAGGACCTGGTCAAGAAGCTCTGGAGGATGGTTATCTTCTTCACCGAGAGCGAGAAGAGAGGGTTACCTGCTTAGGTGCTTCACCCTCGTTTACTGGTCGCCGGACATCAGGTGGTCCTATGGGGAGCCCCAGGAGGCAGGATATCTACTGTCGCCCTGGGCGGGAAGCGATGCGGATACTTGAATAGTTCTGCCTTGTATGAGTATCACTGGGCGTGGCAATTTGCACAACGGGGGTCTGGCGGGCTTGGTGGTCTGTTTCGCTGGTGGTGCCACTCGTGCTAGAAGGGGATGGAGTGCGAGTTGTAGCTAGATCTGGGGTCTGGAAATTGGACTTAATGCATGCATACCGCTACGTCGATCACACCCACCGGTAGAAGGTTATGGTCCTGTTTGTGGAATGTGTCGGATTACGGAATGTTGAGACAAGACTTCGCTTGTCTGCCGTCGTATCTTGAATCTACGACTTTGGCTCTGGACTTAAGTGCTTGAGTAGTATCACTTGTACAAAAGTCTTAGACCGAGTCTACTTTTAAGCGCCATGCTCCCAGCTCTCCCTCACGTAATGAAGAGATTGGCCTCGATAGACGTCACAGGCTCATTACGTACTAAATCGCAAGGTGAAGATGGAACAACGACCAGCCCACAAGGTCCCAACGCTACCAACCTGCCTCACTGTTTGAGCCGAGTATCTGCGCCTGCCTCGGAAAGCACCATCATGACTGCCGACCTTTTCTGTTGGGCTGCTCTCTGGAAAGGTGTCATCCCATAATAGCTATCCCTGGCTTCGATGTCAGCGCCATGCTGTATGAGCAGCTCGACTATGTCTGCGTAGCCGCGTGACGCTGCCATCCAAAGTGGCTTTGCCCAGTTTTGGCCGATCCGCTCTGGCTCCCTGGTTTCTGGATCGACCTCCCACCGGGTTGACTTGTTAACATCAACTCCCCCCTCCACAAGAGTCCAGACAGCCTCTCTGTGACCAACACAGATTGCAGCCTCGAGGAATGCTGTATCTCCCTGTCGTTGCTTAAGATAAGGCAATAGCTGGTCCCCGGCTGTCACCTGAACTTTGGCTCCGGCCTTTAGGAGAAATGCAACGACATTAAAATTGTTGCACGCACATCCCTAACCCTGGTTTACAACCACTTCCTAAAATGCTTAAATAGCTAAATTTCTTTTATTTTCTTTTTTTAAACTACTCTTAGGAAATAAACGCTTTTATAATTATGCTTTTAAACCCCTTATAATACTTATAGCCTTTTATAATTATAAGCTTAATTTACATAAAATAATCTTTCCTTTCTATAAGTTATAAATAAGTTATGCAAAGCATATCTTAATTATATTTATTTTATATTATTTATTTCCTTTTATTTTTAAGTATATATTTATATAATAGCTATAAATGCTTTTTTAAACCTTATTAATTAAGTAATTTATTTAAATACCTATTTTTTTTTATTTAATTTATTATATTATAATTTTATTATTAAATTAAAAAGTATTAGAAATTTATAAATCTTAATGCATTAAATGCAGCTCTTGCTAAGTAATTAAATATAATCTTAGAATTAAATTCTTAATTTATATAATATAAAAAAAAGAAAAGAAATATTTAAAAGATTTTATATAATAAGTATTAAAAGCATTTAAGTAATGATAAGCTTTTAAAAAATAAAATAATATTTATTTTATTTTTTTTCTTATTTTTTAGTAAATTAAAAAAAGGATATAATTAATATCTTTAATAATAAATTACTTTAGCTCTTAATAAGGTAATTAAATTTAATAAAAAATAAAAAATTTAGGAATGGATATAAAAAATAGTATTTAGCTTAATTTTCTTTTTATATTTAATTAAAATGGTAAATATAGAATAATTTTCCGTTTAATAAGTAGTTTAAAATATTAAAAATAATCTTGCATTTTTTAAGTTAAGTATAATAAATACCCTTTAAACCTAATATTAACAATATTTAAAAAAAACGAAAAAACTAAGTATTAAATTATAATAATAATATTAAGACTTTATAAACCTATATTTATAAGCTTATACTTATAAATTACTTAAGATTAAGGAATTTATTAATTTAAATAACTTCTTATAGGTAATTATAATATATATTACCCTTAATTAAATAATTTTTAAGCGTTAAGAATTTATTAAATAAGATATATTTAAAAAATTTATTTATTCCTTAAAAACCTTATTTAAAGAATTAATGGCATTTTTATATTATAATAAGCTTATATTAGCCTTTAAAAATATTATAATATTTATTATATTAAGATTAAAAGTACCTTTTAAAATAAAAAGTAATTAATTAAGGAAGTAATTAAGGAATAAAAATGCGTTATTTTAGTTATATTAATGAAATAAAATATATAAATGCCTTTATTAAAGAATTAATTAATAAAAGAAATATATTTAACTTTTTATTAATTGTTACCGCCTTTATTTTATGCTTTTAAAGGAATAAATTTTAAAGCTAAAAATACCTTTAAGGGAACTTAAATATAATAAGATTAAAATATAATTATAAGAAAATTATTATAAGAACTTAATTTAAAAGCTTACTTAAAAAAACTTTTTGCTTAAAGATTAAATGCAAAGCTTATTAAAAATATTAAAAACCCCTTTAAGCATATTTTTAAAAGCTATTAAGGGATAATATTTTAATTTCCTTTTTTTATTTTATTTTTCTTTATAAAGTAAACTTATACTTTTTTAAACCTTAATTTTAAAAGATTAATTAATTAATAATATCTTTATTATATCTTTATTAATTCTTTATTAATTTATTTATGCTTTAATTAATTTATTATAATTATTAATTATAATTAATTCCTTAAAAATATATATAACTTTAAATTTTATATTATATTTTTTATCCTTAAGTATAATTTTAAATAATTATGATATTATTTATTTTATTAACTTTATTAATTATTTAATTTTAAGTATCTTTAAAAAAGCTATTAAAATGGATATTATTAAAGCAGGGACCTTATTTTTAAAGGTTTTAAATTATAAAATAAGGCGCTTTAAAAATATATTATATAAAGTAAATAAAAAAAGAATTAAGAATTTAATTTTAAAAAATATAATAATTATAAATAAATTTTATATTAATATAATATTAAAAGCGCTTTTATAAAAATTAAGCATTTAATATTATAAAATTAATTTAATGCTATACTTTAAATTACTTAAATAAAGCATTATTTTTTTTAAACTTATTTAATAATATAATTTAATCTTTTTTAAATATATATTATTATAATTTTTTTATTTTTATTTTTTATTATAAATATATATAAGCTTATAATTTTTTTAATAAACTTAATAAAACCTTTTAAGCCCTTTTAGCATTTAAATAAAAATTAAAAAGATTTAATAACTCTTTAGCATTTTTAATTTAAATACTTAAAAGCTAATGCTCTTAAATTATTAATTTAATATACTTAAGGTATAAAATTTAAGGAAATTAAATAAATTAATTATAAAAATTATTTTAAAGCTTTTATTAAAAAGGTAATTTAATATAAGCTATTAAAAGGCAAAAGCTTAAAACCCTTTTTTTAAATTTTATAAAACCTCTTTTATTATTTATAAATATTAAATAAGTTAAATTATAAGCTTATAATAATAAATAAGTTCTTAGGATTTATTTATATTTTCCCCCTTATATTAAAAACTTAAGAATAAGTATTTAATACTTTTTAAGCTTATAAAAGCTAAATAAAATAATAATATAATTTAAATATTTATAAAATTAAATAAAATGCTAAAGTAATAATAATTAGCTAATTTATAAATATTAAATATATTAAATAAGTAAAATAAGAAGGTATTAATTTAAAACTTGCTTCCTCTTAAACCTTGGAAGCAAATAGCGCTATAAAAAGGGCTGGCAAAGTAATAATTAAATATGCTTTAGCTATGTTATTAAGAGCTAATTTACCTTTTAATTTTTAGCTAAAGGTAATGTAGATTATAGCCTAATTATATAATATATTGCTTGCCTTAAGAAAAAAGGGGCGCATTTTAAATACTTTTTTATATATATGGTTTTTTCATTATTTTTAATAATTTAAATTAGCATAAATTTACTATTTTATAGCTTATTTATTACCCTATTAAGATAATATTTATACTTATAAATATAAAGTATATATATTTAAAAAGGAATGTAAAAATAATATAAAAAGATGCCTTATAAAGGGGAAATTAAGGGCTTATATTAAGTATTTAATTAATTATATAGTATTTAATATTTTTTAAATTTAAATTTCCTTGCTTAAGTAAATAATCTTTATAAGGAATGTATAATTTAATAAGAATATATTTTATAAATTAATAATAAATAAAGTAAAAAATAACCTTTTAATTCTTAAAACAAAATTATTAAATATTAAGATTATTAATACTAAGGAAATTTAAAATTATATTTACATTATATCCTTAATACTTTATATAAAAAATAACTTAATTAATTTAAATAATAAATTTAATATTTATTTTGCATTAAGAAAGGATAAAATTAATATTTTTAATTAAAACTTAAAGGTAAAGACTCTTAAATTTAAAAGATAAAGTTTGCTATGCATTATCTTTTTAAAAAGCTTAGGAAATTAAAAATAAAAACTTTTAATCCCTAAGAAAACCCTAAATATATTAAAATAAGGCTTTTATAAAGGGAAATATACTTTTATTAATAAAGTAAGAATTAATAAATTTAAACCTTCTTTTTAAAAATTATATATATTTAAAGCTATAGGAAATTAAGAATTCTTTTAATTAATATAAATAAGGAGGATATAAAAATAAATTTAAGGGTTTAAATCTATAAAAAGATCTTTTTAAATATATAATTAAGATAAGCGTTTTTAAGAATTCTTTAATTAATTATTATATTTAATAAATATAATTATATTTTACTTTAATATAATCTTTTAAAGTAACTTTATAATTATTTTTTTGCTTAATTAGCTTAAAAAATAAAAATAAAAAATACTTAAGGACCTATATTTTTTAACTTTAAATAATATATTAGTAGCTATTATTTAAGCCT